CTCTCAACATCCTCCTCTCAGTCCACCTTCACAGGACTGCTTCTCTTTACGAAGACTTCAGCGATCTGTTGCTTCGACTCTCAACATCCTCCTCTTACTGCACGAAGACTTCGGAGATCTGTTGCTTCGATTATCATACCCTTCTCCTCTTGTACGAAGACTTCAGAGATCTGTTGCTTCGACTCATATCCTCCTCTTAGTCCGCCTTGACAGGACTGCCTCTTTGCACGAAGACTTCAGCAATCTGTTGCTTCGACTCTCACATCCTCCTCTCAGTCCATCTTCACAGGATTGGTTCTTTTACGAAGACTTCAGAGATCTGTTGCTTCGACCAGAGCCATTAACTTACTCTTGACTTACGAGTCTGATTCACCAAAACTCTTCATCAAAACACCTCTCATATCCTCCTCTCAGTCACAGTTCATTAGATCGCAAATCTCCACAGACCTTGAGATCTGTGCTGCTTCCTTTGACTCTTATCTTATCAACTCCCAAGACACTCATCTTCCGACTTACGAGTCTGATTCACTATAACTCTTCATTAAAACACCTCTCATATCCTCCTCTCAGTCACCCTTCATTGGATCGCAAATTTGCACAGACCTTGAGATCCGTGCTGCTTCCTTTGACTCTTGTCTTATCAACTCCCAAGACACTCATCTTCCGACTTACGAGTCTCATTCTTCAAAGCTCATCATCCAGACAACTGTCACGTACGTCTTTCTCACCACCGCAAACCTCACTTTCAAACGTCATCATGTTGTACTTCATCATCTCACTCTTCACTCGACTTGTCCATGTCATCATCCACTTCCTTACTATGGAGCAAGAGGAGATCGAGGAATGGATCAACTACCTGGAGAAGCCTATCGGCGATTACTTGTGGTATGAGCTCGACTTGCCGCGGGACCAGCACTGGAAGATATGGGCGGCCATCTACCTGCCCATATCCGGCTACCTGATGTACTCCATCCTCCGATTCGGGAGCCGCGTCTTGGATGACCCCGAAGGGTACTTCGTGGGCATAATTAACTCGACGGTGAATGGACTTTGTTGGTTTGCAACCTCTCTCTGGGCCATTGTCAAGGGCGTGTTCGCGCGCACCATCTTGGTGGGCTATCACCGATGGTGCCAGGGTCCCTGGAGAGGCCTCTGCAACGGCATCGAAGAGGCAGTGGCGAGGCTGCCGGCCCCTGAGCCAGGGTTCGTCCCCGGGGGGTTCCAACAAGACATCAACGAGCAGGAGTTTCGTGTGCTGACCGAACTCCGGGCCAACGACTTGAAAGCCCGCGATGCGGCAGAGGAGAAGAACGCTCGGCTGGTGACTGAGCTGGGCAATCTTCGGGCAGCAGTGGCCTCTCTCGAAAAGAAACTGGAGGAGGCCAACAAGCGCGCAGAGCAGGCCGACAAACGGGCAGACGAGGCCGAATACAACCAGATCTCCTGGGCGGTCGCGCCCCGCAGACAGAAGGCCCGGCCAGGGCGTCTCCCATTCGAGGAGATACTTTCCGCTCCCTCTTCGCCGGACGCGGATGAGGTGGTCACGCCGACCATTCTAGGGCGTCTCCGACGTCTTGAGAAAGAGGCCGAGGAGAAAGACGCCGAGGTCGATGACCTGCTAGAAGAGCTGGCCGAAGCCAGAAAGACTGCGGTGGCAGTCACTGTTCCGGTCCCGATGCCGGTGGTCGTCGACACCACCGAAGTCGGCGTGCAGACGGAGGACCTTCCCCTTCCTGAAAAGGAAGTGGAAGTCTTCTCCCCTGTCTACGCCGACCAGGAGGTTCAGACGGACCTTCCTCTTCCTGAGGAAGTGTCTCCTGTCGCCGAAAAGGCGGCAGCATACGTCGACACCACCGACGCCGGGGTCCAGACAGACCCTGTCCCTGTCCCTGCACCTGCCCCCGCCCCGGTCCCCGTCCCTTCCCCTGTCGCCGCCACAGCCACCATCGAGTACCAGATGCTGGAGGAGGAACTCGAAGCAGCCAAGGCTGCACAGGAGTCCCGCGATGCGGAGGCTCGGTCTTTGAAGGCTGGGCAGGAGGAACTCGACTCGAAAATCCAGTCGATGACTGGTGAGCTGGCCACTGCTCAGAATGCCATTGCCGCCATCAGCCAGGAGCTGACCGAGAGCCGGGCTCGCTTCGGCAGCCTTGAATACGCCTACAACCAAACGGCAGCAACTCTCGGGGCCTGCGACCAGGCGAGACAAGAAGCCGTCGCTCGAGTGGCCGAGCTCCAGGCGGTAAACAACCAGGGCAATGCAGAGTTGGCACAACAGCGGGAAGCGGTGGCCGAGCTCCAAAAGAGCCTTGAAGCCGCGACCCAGAGCCAGCTGCAGTTGGAGGAGAGCTTCCAGACCGGCCGCCAGCAATTCGAGGCGGAGAGACTTCAGTTCGATGAACTGAAGAGGAAGCACGACGAGGAAGTCGCCGAAAAGGTGGCACAAGCCTCTCACGAGGAGAAACTCGTCGTGGCCGGTCGGCAATTGGAAGCCGAGAACAACGCCCTGAAGATGAGGGTGGATGCCCTGGAATGGTCCGGGAAGAAGCTTGCAGGGGAGTTGCGCGATGCGCAGGCGGCGTCCGCCACCAAGGACGAGGAAATCCGCCGACTGAGAGAGCAAGCGGGCCAGACCGGGGCAGGGGCCATGGACGTGGACAAGTCGTCGAAGAACGTGCTGGCAGCGGCGGCTCTCCCCCAGACTCCGGCAGGCAAGGCTATGGGCTCGTCGCCATCGTCACGAGCCTCCAGCGCCGGAGGAGCAACACCCAAGCTGGGAGAGTCGCCGCTCATATCGCGACCCCGACCGTCGCCCATCAGCAGGGGCGTGATCGAGACGTACCAGCACGTGATCGACGACTTGACGCGCAAGAACAAGGCGCTGGTGGAGGAGAAGGCGCGGGTGGAGGAGTCGGAGAAGGGGCTGCGGGAGGCGCGCGACGGCCTCGAGGTGGAACTGGCCCTTTTGAAGGAGCTGCACGAGGAGGACGAGCTCGAGGCCCAGGCAGAAATGCGGGCCCAGCTCAACAAACACCGGGCCGAGCTCGGCGACATGGAGTGGCAGCTCCGGACAAAGGAGATCGACCTGACCGTCGCCAGCAACAAGATGGAGGTCGCCAGGATCCAGTACGAGGCCGAGAAGCGCGCCGTGGAGGAGTTGAGGGGCCAGGTTGGGCCAGGGCAGGGGCAGGGTTCGGCCGGGCGGGATCAGCACAGCCCGCGCAAGGGGAAGCGCGTGGCCAGCGAGTCCAGCCTGGTGCTGAAGGAGGCCAAGAAGCCCATGGTGGAGGAGAAGGGCGAGGAGGCCGAGCGCGATGCGCAATGGGCCCTGGTGGTGGCGGCAGAGGAGGAGGAGGAGGAGGAGGTCTCGGAGGAGGAATAGGGCGATGCCCTGAGACGGCGGTAGTGGGATCAGAGCGATGCTCTTGGTGGGAGGAGGAGGGAGGAGGGACACGACACGACACGACACGACACGACACGACACGACACGACACGACACGACATGATAGAAGGGGGGCACCTGGGAGCTTTGTTTGTTTGCTTTTTTTCTTTCCTCGTCAACAGCTTGCTATCAAAAGGCAAAGGGCTCCAGGCGAGATCGATGCATTGATGTTCGATTCAAATCCAAAAGTTCTGCTTCCATCCATCCAGATTCGAGTTCCAAATGGCATTCTTTCTTACTGCATGCACACTATCTCGTTGTTCTTGTTCTGTCGAGTATCATGATCCATCTATTCTCTTCTCTTCGTATTGCAACTTCAATACTCAATACTCAATACTGTCAAACTTAGACACTATTAGTACTTAGGCGTTCCCAGCCTTGCCTTAGCCCTTGCTCTTTAATCAGGAGGCTTAGGGGCTGGTGTAGGTAAAGGCACACCTACAGTATATATGTAGTCTGGGCTTCCCCATACTGTACCCCTTTGATAGCGAATATGGAACTTTTCAACCTTTGACAAATACGTGGGTGGATTCCGGATCGTTGCTACAGCGTTCCACGCACAATCTCTGCATTTCTTTACGACATCTACCACCACACCATCTCTGCGCTTCCTTGCAAGACCTGCCTGACTTGGTCATCCCTGCATTTCCTTGCGAGATCTGCTCGACTTCATCCCCACGTGACAACTATTCTCCGTTCTTGACTCTCTCCAGATTGAGGGCGGCGCTGACGTAGGCCAGATGGCTGAATGCCTGCGGGGTGTTGCCGAGCTGCTCGCCGCTGACGGAAATCTCCTCGCTCAGCATGCCGACGTGGTTGCGGAAGTTGGTAACTGTTTCAAACATGGTGTTGGCCACGTCGAGGTACTGCTTCGAATACTTGCCGGCCCGGACCAGCGCTTCGACCAGCCAGAGCGTACACATGACGAATGTTCCTTCGCGGCCGCCGACGCCTGTGGAGAGCATGAATGTGTCAGTAGATGGGACCGGGCCATTCCGGAAGCAGATCAAGAATGAAGTGGGTGGAAGGAAGAGGACATACCATCGTCGGTTTTGGTGTGGTCATAGCGAAAGACAAAGCCCGCCGAGGTCAGGCCGCCTTTCTCCGGCGTGCGTAAGATGCGGTCCAGAGTGCCGACGAACTGCGGGTCGTTGGGCGACATGAAAAACACCAGCGGGGCAACCAGCACGGCCGAGTCGAGCGTGGTGTTGGACTCGTAACTCTGCACGAAGCAGTTCAGGTCGTAGTTGAAGCCCTTCTCCATCACCTGCTCGTAAATCACGTCGCGGGTCTGGAGCCACTGGTTGCGGTTCGGGCAGGGGAAGTTGCGTTTCTCCGCCAGCCGCAGCGCTCGGTCGACGGCGACCCAGAGCAGCATCTTCGAGTATGTAAAATGCTGCTTCTGCCCGCGCACTTCCCAGATGGACATGTCGGGCTGGTCCCACACACGGCACACAAAGTCGGTCAGGTAGCGGATGTCCAGCCACTGCGCGTACGAGATGGGCTTGCCGTGCTTGTTGAACAGGTAGACCGAGTCCATCAGCTCGCCATAGATGTCGAGCTGGACGTGGTCCGTGGCGGCGTTGCCGATGCGTACGGGCGTGCTGTCCTGATATCCCGACAGGTGGTCGAGGGTGAGCTCGGGGAGCGACGTGTCGCCGTCGATGTTGAACATCAATGGAAGGTGGTGGATTGCGTCTGATGACTCGGCCACCTTGCGCCATTCGGCGATGCGCGCGAAGATGAAGTTGATGTACGCCTCTGCTTCGGCAGAGAAACCCATCTTCAGAAAGACGTAGATGGTGAAGCTGGAGTCGCGCACCCATGAGTAGCGGTAGTCCCAGTTTCGGGGTCCGCCGATGGCTTCGGGCAGCGAGAATGTCGGAGCGGCCACGATGGCGCCGGTAGGGTCGTAGGTCAGCAGCTTCAGGATCAGCATGCTGCGTTCGACCTCCTGCTGGAACCGGCCGGCGTATTTACACGTTCGAATCCACGACGTCCAGAACTTGTACGTCTCGGCCTCCAGGCTCACAACCAGGTCCTGGGTCAGATGCGGAGCAACGTGCTTGTTGCACATGATCATGAAGACCTGCTGTCCTTCCTCGAGCTCGAATCTGGCTCGTAGTTTGACCGTGGTACCATCGGCGGATGCGACGGGCTGGAACATTTTCGGTGGAGCGCTCAGCGGCCGGTCGTGTGTGGAATATGTGGCAAAGAACTCCGGCATCTCCTGGCATTCACTCTCGTTTTCCGGGATCCAAGACAGAGACTGGTGGTGCGTGCCATCTTCGGTCTTGACCTTGGAGGCGCGCATGGCGCCTCTGTCCCGGGCATAGCCAGGCCGCGGGCAGAGTTCAATGTCACAAGACATCCTCCCGCGCACACATTCCAGCTTCCTCACCAGAGTTGAACCACTCCATTTCTCTCGCAGGAGTTTGTTGTACTTGGACAGGGCGAAGAAGTCGGTCACATCGACCACGCCGTCCTCGTCAATCCACTTGGTCTGGAGGATGTTGGAAGACCCGCGGTAGTTTTGCTTGCATACCGTACTGCTTTGCGGACTGATGCTCCAGTGGCCGCCACCGCCTTTGCTTGTGTCCAGGATCCTGCCGAAGATAGACGGAGAATCGAACTTTGGCCAGCACATGAAATCGATACTGCCGTTTTTGCCCACAAGTGCACATGTCCGCATGTCGCCAATGAGCCCATAGTCCTCGATACGGATGGGGACATGTGCCTGAGACATTTCTCCCATGCTGAGCTGTCCAGGCGCAGCAGCGACAGGCAGAGGAGACAGAGGAGACAGTCGAGGTTCAGCAGGAGCTTGTGGGTTGGCCGCGTCTCATAAACTGTTTCATCAACAAACACATCACAGAGCTGACAGGGTTCAGGTCAAGACAAACCGGCGGTGGACAGATGACTAAGGAGGGAATACGAGGGAGGGGAAGGAGGTTCGACCACAGGGATTGGTGCGTGAACCCTTGTGTACTCTATACTCTTTACGAGGCGTCGTCAATCGAAATCGTGGCACAGACAACTACGTACGAGGCTGGAAGCTCGATCGCATTCTGGGCAATCAATATCTCCGTCCAGATATCACCGTATCTCCGAGATCATCTGGCACGTGGCGAGCCTCAGTCACGTGAGCGTGGCCCACCCCGCAAATCTTGAGCGCAGGCGCAGGCGCAGTTTGACGTGGCTACCAACCTATGTACAGTAATCCGCGGTACGGGTATCCATACTCCGTGCTTCGTCCCTACCATCCATACTCTGTCCTCTTACCCCTTCAATTCGTCTAATCTACCTAGCTGAACAAGAAGATCCCGAGACACGCCCGCAGCCTCGATGTACGGAAGTATATTGGACCGTTCTGCTAGCCGGTCGGGCTTGCTGACTCATCCCTCACGATGGTGAATCAGCATGGCTTCCCAAAAAGGACAATGGTCGCAATCTAGCAATCTCGCAATCTCGGGGACTCGCCGCGGAATATGGGCACTCCATTGCACCCCTCAAAGAACGTTGTCCACTTGTTAAGTAATTGTCCATCGACTCAACGGTCTACATGCAGGGGCAATGGGTAGAAGTCAATTTCTCTTTGTGTTACCGACCACGTCTGGGCAGCCCGCGGATCGCAAGACACTGGAGTTAGCAAGGTCTGACGCTCGCTCCCACGCTGCGCGAGTCTCTTACCCTCGATATCCCCGAGCGCAGCGTAGATCGTCTGAGCGCCGCCTCTCCTCTGCTAATAGCTCACCCTCTAACTCCGGACATGAAACCTTTTCCGATGAGAGTCAGGATGGACGGTCCAGCGGAGTTGTGTCCCCCGAGAGCTGCATGAGCGTCGACAGTCAGAGCTCTACGATAGGTGAAAGATGTTCAGACGAGGCTCATGATGCGGGCTCGTTGCCTCTGAAGATGCAACTTGGGCTCCACGGGGTTGAAGAGCCTGCAAAGACGAACATCTCGCAAAAAACGCAGTCCAGACTTGTCAAGTTGCCCAAGCATATCAGCAAGAGTGCTTTGGATCCATTTGTACGTCCGGCACTCGAACTGTCTGTGCCGGATGAGCATTTGTTGCACTTGTGTATGTTGTGCTAGCCATTCGACCAGCCACGACTAACTTGGGCCAGACTTGACCACAATCCCAGACCAGGTATATGGGACAACCACAAGTTCGGTGTCAAGCGTCCTGTACAATGGTTCTATGGGAGTCGTTGCAACAAACCAGATAGTGCTCATGTGGCTGCTACTCGTCATAGAATCCCAGATTGTGAGCTTCCAGCCAACCAGAAAAGATAGACAGTTGTCAATTCTGGTGCGAAGATCACATACCTACAACTTGATGAACAGGAGACTCGGTAACCCAGAGACTTCGTGTCTAGATGACTTTATCCTAGCAGTGGCAATTGCCGGGAGCTGTGAGCGTCGAATGGGAAATTCGCGGGGTGCAGACCATCACATTGCCGCCGTGAAGAAGCTTCTTGACCTTCGTGGCGGACATAAGGCTGTCCGGGAGATCGCTTATCCTACAGGGTTAATGATAGTTAACATACTCGTTGAGAACGACATCCGATGCTTCTTTACCTGTCGGGCGGGTCTCATGCTACAACTCTCCGACCTGGTGCAGAAACTGCTGAAAATCCAGACCTGGAATACCGACATCAGATCCCGCAGCAATCACACTTCGTTGAAAGAGCTGCGTCACCACGATAGATCAGATATCATGGCTGAGCGAGATGTGCTCGTCACCAATTACTCCAGCAGACGGTCAAGAGCCTTTGATAAACGGTCGGCCTTGTTTCACTATGTGGCCATTCCGCCGGAAGAATTGGAAGAAGACCAATGTCGATTTTACCTGGGCATTCTTTTTGCCATCAACACTACACTATGGGCCTTTCGTGACAGCGAGAATACCAGTATCGCATATCTGCAAGGGTTGACGAACGCGGTCGAGCTGAGCGCACCCGCCAATTTTGTCCTTCGAGCAGGCGGGTCTAAGCTTCCATCCTTGTTGATGCTCCTCATGATAGCTCATCATGCGGTTGCAAGAGAGGAACGGAATTCGTCCACAAACACAGTGTTCGAAGTGGAAAAGGTCTTCGAGTTTGTCAACATGATCATGATGGCAAGTTCGGAGTCGAGGAGATCAATTCTGACTGCCATGTCTTCCTGGCTGACTGCCGGAATCAGCAGTTTGGAAGACCTCTGCTACCTCAGCCCAACAAGACTCCACCTCCTAGAAGAGGAAGTGGAGGATCAATGGTTGTCAGACCACAAGGTCCAACTTGGAGCCCGATCAGATGTCTGGCCATAATGTCCTCTGTCGATGAAATGATGGCGAAAGGCCGCCGGGTTAGGCCACGTTGGCGCAGCACCCACTTATCCGTTCCGCTCTTGATACCATGCACATCTTTCGGCAGTCCTCGGTTCTGGTCCTCTATGAGCCTCGCCATCAAAAATTCTTCAATGTCTCGTCACGCCTCCGTATGTGGCGGCCGGGATCCTGGTATGCACTGAGGACTGGCTTGGGGACACCTGCAGAACCGAGCGCCGATTCTGCTCTTGAACGGCATTTTGAGTCATGACATATTCGAGCACATGCAGGAAACACATGTAAGTCACCACGTTACCCTCCGAAAAGCGGGTTTCCATAGATACGCTGACAGGCCAATTAGTAGAGGTGTTTTCCTCGCAGTTTGGACGCAAGTTCCAACATACCTTGTACCATAGTCTATCAAACGCCAATGGTGACTACGACTGGCTGTCAAGCAAATCAAATCCGGGGTTACTGAAAGCGAGCTTTGTGCAATGCCACATTCGTCGGGCTTGGTGGTATTCGACTTTATACCATCTGAGACATACAAACGAGTGGCCCGTAGAATGCAGCTCGAATGCAAGCCACAATAGCAGCGACCTAGACACCATCCCTACTAGATCAGTCATATCCTTGTAGATACGTTGTTTAGGTGACGTTCGAGGAGGCGCATAGGGCGGCATCGGCTTCGGCCCAAAGAGGCCGAAGACTGATTGACAGCGCGGTGACGGCTTGGAAGGCCGAATGAGGCCTTAGGAGCCTCTCACAAGCCCCTGTTTACTACCAGAACAGCATCAACAGACACCGCAGCATCTTCGCTTTCCCACCCTCGCCCTCTTGAAGCCACAGAGTCCGCCAGTATCTCTTTCACCGTGTCCGCCTCGTTCCTCTGTAATTTATACAGGACTCTCACGGTCACTGCCTCCAATGACCTCCTGACCCTCCCCACCGCTCACCTTCCCCTTCCATGGACACGACCCTGGATCCCGATCGCGTCCCACGACCTGCTTCGGTTGCCCCCGGCTCTGCAGGAGAAGAGAGTTCGGTCTACATCAATCCTCGTCGCAAGTACAGACGCCGAGGTACGGGCTCCGTCTCCGAGACAAAAAACGGCGGCTCAGAAGATGAGGCAGGCTCTTCCATGTCGGAATCAGAAGAACACGAACTCGGCGCGCTGGATTCCGACGTGGGTGCAGATGACGATGCAGAGACCGGCTTGAACAAACACGACAGACTGAAATATGTCAAGCGGAAGAGGCGGTCTCATGGTCTGGACGCCCGAATCGCAGGCACCACAGGCATTTCCAAGGACGAAGCCGACCAAGCAGACAAATTCGTCCTGCGCAATCTGGCCGTCAACGCCGTCCTCATTGCCTCTTGGTATTTCTTCTCTTTGTCAATATCGATCGTGAGTCCCCAAACCTCGCCGCGCACCGTCGGTTGTGGCGTCAGACTGACTTCCTGGAACAGTACAACAAGATGATGTTTTCCTCCGAGCACCTTGACTTCCACTTCCCGCTGTTCGCTACCTCACTCCATATGCTGGTCCAGTTTGCCCTGGCGTCTACCGTTCTTCTCATCTTCCCTTCGTTCCGACCGTCACAACCACAGCTTCCAGCATACGGAAACGAATCGCGGTCTTTGAAGCCTCTGGTCACGCCGTTATTCTATGTGACCCGGTTGATCCCTACCGGGACCACGACCTCGCTTGATATTGGCCTGGGCAATACTTCTCTACGCTACATCACCTTAACCTTCTACACCATGTGTAAATCCTCGGTCCTCATTTTCGTCCTGATATTCGCCTTTCTCTTCCGGCTCGAGAAGCCGTCGCTCAAACTTGTTTTCATTATCCTGACTATGACCCTGGGAGTCCTCATGATGGCTGCCGGCGAGACAGCATTCAATGCCCTGGGATTCACCCTGGCCATGTCTGCCTCGTTCTTCTCGGGCTTTCGGTGGGCTGTGACGCAGATCCTTCTTCTCCGACATCCCGCAACGTCGAACCCGTTCGCGACCCTTTTCTTCCTGGCGCCAATCATGTTCATCAGCCTATTCTTAATTGCCTGTGTGTCGGAAACACCATCGGCGGTTGTCACGGGGGTTCAGCTGCTGATCAACACTTACGGCCTCGTCAAGTCGCTCCTCCTCCTCATAGTTCCCGGCTGCTTGGCATTTTGTATGATAGCCAGCGAGTTCAGCCTACTCCAACGAACCAGCGTGGTCACGCTCAGTATCTGTGGCATTTTCAAAGAGGTTGTCACCATAAGTGCGGCGGGGATCGTGTTCCACGACAAATTGTCCCTGGTTAACATCACTGGCTTGATTGTCACCATCATCAGTATTGCCAGCTACAACTATCTAAAAATCGTCAAGATGAGAGAAGACGCCCGAGAGAAATTGAGGAAGCGCGACGACGCTCTGTATGACGAAGGGGAGAACGAGGATACCGACTCGGTCAACCCCCGAACACAAGAGGTGGAAGCTACCAATTCTGATAGAATGCCGTTGATGCGGGACCAGGAAAGCCGGCCGGCGGGCTGAGAGGATTTTGGGGGTCGGGTCTAGACCATTTGTCTGTTTGGGCTGCGAAGCCTTGGGTTGATGGCGTTCTGCGGTGTGCCCATTATAGCGAAGGGAAGATAAGCAGTATGATTATGCTTCACCCTTGAGGGCGGAAAATCGTTTGGCTAGGCTACGGGAAAGAATACGGACTAGACTTGTCAACATCAGCTGTCAATAGATGTATCCGTACATGACATGTAGACTGTCTATGCAAGGACATATTGCTTGCGCTCTACCTTGACTAGAGGGACTTGATTGTAAACCCAATACATGTACGGAGTATACAGTACCGAAGCTACCTTACGTAAGTGTCTTGATGCACCAAGTAAGGTAGTGGTGGAAGTGGTGGCATGGTGGTAGGATACGTAGCAAAAGCAAAAGCAAAAGCAGAAAGAGAAGAAACCAAAACCATCCGCAGAGTAGACCATTGATCAATCAACTAATAAGGAGTTGAGCGTGAAGAGCACAGCGAGGCTATGAAGAGCAAGGGGCTAAGGGGCAGAAAGCCCCATGGGGAGACAGAAGAACCCGAGAGCATCAAAGACGAGGCTGGGCTGCTGAACAGTTCTCGTTCCTGGATATTGGACTTGGTCTACATACCAAAGCCAGAATGAGCGCGTACCGCCATCAACACTCATGTTGGCAAGAGGCTTCGGGCCTTGCGTCAGAGGCGATGAATCGCACCTCATCTGGTACAGTCAATCGGATCCACACTCAAATCGGCATAGCTTCGAAGTCCGGTACATAACAGAGACCTAAGAGCCTGATAACTGAGGCCTCAAACCTTCGGATTCGGCCTGCTGATTCATATCCTAGTGCAGCTTCCAACCATGGGCTCCGTAATGTCATGGAGTGACCATTTTGGTTCCGATCTGCTCGTCCCCAGCTGTTAGTCCTGCAAGCGACTTTTCGCCGCTCATCCTTAGCATAGGCGGATTACCATTTTCAGTTCTTCCAAGGATCTGAAACTGGCCTTCCGTAGTTTAGCCACCCTTTTTGGCACCCGCAGTCAGACCTCCTTTACTAGCCGAGCTGTCAGATAGCTTCCCATCAATCAAGCCTTTGGATATCCTCAGCGTGATCTTTTGTCGCTCCATGTCGACCACCTTTTTCATCCGCTCAAGGTCCCCGCGGCGGCCCTCGACGAATTTGACATTCACAGCACCATATGGCTTTTCGATCAAGTATGTGTCTGAGATGAGCATCATATTGCCAGTCCAACGAGCCGGATGTGTTCGAGACAAGGCTTCAAAAAGTGCTTGATCAGTCGGGGTAGTGCCTTTGGGACCAATCCGTGCTTGCGCCGCTTGCTGGGCGGATAGATTTCTGGCGAGACGGGATTGGACAGCATGTATGTCGATCAAATTCAGGGCTGGGTTGGTTGGATATTCACTTGGTTGCTGGGGAATGGAGAGGAGTTGAAAGCTGCTGATTTGCGAAATAGGAATGATCCGATACGCGCCTGCTGGAGCAACTAGAGAGGTGGAGTTGATTGTAGTTGGCGCCGTGGCGCTGAGGTTGAGGACGACGAGATTGCTCAGGGGATCGGCCGTGTAGACTGTGCCCTCCACGGTGGTCTGGTTTGGACCGACGGTGGTGACGCGGACACTGTGATCTGTGTAAGCCATCATGCACGCAAGGCGTTGGGCATCACTTCTTGTAGCAGTCGTACCGGCTTCCAATAGCTTGTTGTAGACCGACGTCTAAGGAGACAGACGACGCAGTTGGCTGTGCGGGCTCGGCCTTGGGTAAGGCAATCGGGACTCTTCCTCCTGCATTCTGGCGTTTTGTATCAGATGCCATCCTCATGCAAGAAGAGACTCTCAACCAGGCGCTGCAACACTCTCACGTCTGCCCGTCGTCGGATCTGATCGTGGAGTTGTGGAGTGGCACCACAAACACAGGGCAGTATCAACCTGCGCTGGGCCACAAGACCGGTTTAATGCAAACCCCCAAGATCACACTGGTATACGCCAGGCGCCAAATGACAATGCTTCAAGGACGTGCCAGCGGCAAAGGAGAGCGAGGTGAAAGAGACACTCCTGGGTGGACAGTTTTAGGAGGAGTCGAAGTCGCAGGACAATTTCACGGAAACTCTAGAGACGGGGAAGAAGGCGGACTCTTCCTAATTGGGCGGTCGGAGAGCAGGTATCACCGAGCCCCGGAGACTGCACCTCTGCCACTCTGCTACTCTGCAAAAAGACCAAAACATGGACTAGTATCCGTCCTCCGTACACTACGCGATGGACCGTCTCGATCTGAGCATCGTATTTTATTCTGCCGACCTATCGACATCCAGGCCATGCATACTTCCGAAATATTACACACAAAATTTGTCGTGCCGTATCTATCCGCGCGCACGAAGGAGGGCACAACACCTATTGTGTACTGCGCAACCACAACACCTTTCTCATTCCGAGTGAATACTTTTCAATCTTGCGGACATTCGAGTTTCATGTCTTGTCCACTCCGGCTGCAAACCGAGCGAATCTGCCAACAAGTTGTGTCCAGTAACAAGCCTGGCCATGGATGCAACGAATCGTTTATGCGTTGTAGGTTGAAGCAGACACATTACCGCCACGACCGGTCCAGTTGACGTGGTTGTATGCGCCGACCTTGTACTTGTCGTTGGCGTACTCGGGCTTGACCTGGAAGGTGTGGGCACCGAAATAGTCACGTTGAGCTTGGAGAAGGTTGGCAGGCAGGTCCTTGGTGCGGTAGCCATCGAAGAAGGCAAGCGCGGTCGTGAACGCTGGCATGGGGATGCCAGCCTTGACAGCGTACGCGATGACGTCTCTCCAGCCCTCCTGGGCATTGTGGATAGCCTTGTTGAAGAAGTCGTTGAACAGCAGGTTCTCAAGGTCGGGGTTTTCACGGTAGGCCGAGGTGATATCCTTCAGGAAGACAGATCGAATGATACAGCCACCACGCCACATGAGGGCAATGGATGGCTTGTTGAGCTTCCAGCCATACTGCTTCGCAGCCTAGAAGTGTGGTTAGTGGCATTGTAGGACGATGGGATCTCGAAGATACTCACAGATTGCATGAGCATAAAACCCTGCGCATACGAAATGATCTTGGAGGCATACAGACCCTGCTCGAGATTCTTCAAGAACTGAGCCTTGTCTCCAGTGAAGCTGGGCTTGGGTCCATTGAGGACCTTGGCAGCACGGGTACGCTCATCCTTGATGGAACTCAAGCAACGGGCAAAGACAGCCTCTCCGATGAGGGTGACAGGCATTCCGAGGTCGAGAGCGTTGATGGCAGTCCATTTGCCAGTTCCCTTCTGACCAGCAGTGTCGAGGATCTTCTCGACGAGAGGGGTTCCATCGTCATCAGTATAGCGGAGAACATCACGGGTGATTTCGATCAGGAAAGAATCCAGGACACCGTTGTTCCACTCGGCGAAGACATCACCCATCTCCTTGTAGCTCAAACCGAGACCACGCTTCATGATATCGTAGGCCTGGACATGTTAGCGGGGCTCAGGATCGGTAGGGATACACTCAAGGGCTGCTTACCTCGCAGATCAATTGCATGTCACCATACTCGATACCGTTGTGAACCATCTTGACGTAGTGGCCAGCACCTTCATCACCGACCCAGTCGCAGCACGGTTCGCCATCCGATTTGGCGGCAATGCTCTGGAAAATGTCCTTGATGTATGGCCAGGCCTCCTCGTTACCACCGGGCATGAGAGAAGGACCGTAGCGGGCACCTTCCTCGCCACCAGAGACACCGGTACCGACAAAGCGGATACCCTTCTCTTGCAGGTATCTAGTACGACGGTTGCTGTCCGGGAAATGGGAGTTTCCACCATCAATGATGATGTCACCCTGCTCGACGAAGGGGAGCAACTTCTCGATGAAGTCGTCGACGGCGGGGCCGGCCATGACCAAAAGCATGATACGTCGAGGCCTCTTCAGCTTAGAGACGAACTCCTCGATCGAGTGCGCACCGACAATGGACTTGCCTAATCAGGGATCATCAGCTTGTGAGCGTTGAGGGCCTCAGGCTCTCGGATGGAGTGTCGCTTACCCTTGGCTTCATTCTCGAGGAAACGGTCAACCTTGGAGACAGTCCGGTTGAAAGCGACGACGGTGAAGCCGTGGTCGGCAGCATTGAGGATCAAGTTTTGGCCCATGACCGCCAGGCCAATGAGACCGAAATCGCCACTGGATTCATCCTGCGCAGAGCCGACCTTGAGGCCAGCCAGTCGCGCACTAAAGTCAGCATACTACTTGTCAATCCGATGTGATTTGGGAACAACGGTGCAAGAGCTAGGAGTGCTTCACAGCCGGTTATAGACCAGGGGAACTGTGAAGAGAGCAGAGGGGATCTGTTTGGGGCCTGTCTACATACACTGCTCCAGACATATTGGCTGTAGGAGTGAGAAGAAGTGGAATGAAGTTGAGGGTTGAAAGCTGATGCTGGTTTAGTGGAGAGCTGGAAGCGAGGTCGAGTCTCTGTCTAATGCACCGAAAAAGACGAGAGGCACGAGGTGTAGAGGAGGAGAAAGGAGAGAGCAAGAAGCAGGAATAAATACTAGGTCCTGACTGGTAGCCTTCGACAACAATGAGCGGTTTGCAGCGAGCAGAGTGAACACCTGGGAACATCCACCCCACCTACGAAGCAGCAAAGGTTTGGAGGGGCTGCGCAGCAACTGCGCCCATTGGAGCAGCCTGCCGAGACTCTGGGTACAGAGTCGCCCTTAGTTCTCGGGATCAATTGATCATTCCCGGCTGCTATACTAATATTTGTGCTGTCCCCCGGCTGTCAACCACTCATCAAGGCACACCTGATTCCCCAATGGAGCACCTCTACCGTTGCTGCCACTACGAGCATGCCTGTTGTTGAGCGAACAAGCCAGCGGCGGGCGATGGTACGGCCATGTGCGGGCAGGATTCGTAACAAACTTGAGCCCGGCTGTCAGGTTGACTCAGCAGTAACCTCATTGTGAAGCTTGGATGCGGCCGCTCCTCCCGGGCTGCCCGACATCAGCCGGGTCGCCATCTTGTTCACGCATCTCAATCGCCCAGTGTGGACCGGAGAGCGGAGGACGGAGGACGGAGTACGGAGTGCAGAGTACGTAGCTATTCGATCCTCCTCTCGACTGCCCAATGGGTCTGCATAGTCTGGACAAGCTTGACCCAACTTGTACCATAATTATTATAGCAGACGAGAAAGCAAGGATGAACCCTCAATACGCCGTCATCAGCATTGATCCTGAGAATCAGCGCAGGTGGACCCCGCGGTTAGAAAATTTTCAATGTGCCAAGCTGACATCACGTGCATGGTGTTGGTCAGACTAAGACGAGGCGGGACTAGGCAATCTCGTTATACCTTCCTGCTGAACTAGCACGAGAAACATCCCATAGTGTTGCTAGCACTATCTAGTGTCTACTCCCATATCTCGCTTGAGGACTGCCTTGTCGCAAGCCATCGCTGCTGATCTAGGACCGCGGCAATCACAACTTGTCACCTCTCCTACGTCCAGCCCTTGATATCACGGCCCGACATCGACAGTAGCGCCCATACACAGTCTGTTACATCGAGGGTACTCCGTATATCAGATCAAGGCGGACTCCGATCGTCGAGGGCGGTCATTATCAAAAGTGTGGCCTCCACGAGGCGTCTGGTACGTTTTCAACCAGTGATCTTGTTCCAGACCAAACATTCATCATGTCGTATCCGGCCCCTCCAGGTCTGAAATCCTCTACAACACAGCCTCCTCCGTCACTGCCTGCTCGGCCTCCTCCTTCGACAGTGGGTGCTGCGCCGCCATATAAAACAGCCTCAAGTGGTGCAACGACCCGACCTGCCTTCACGGCATTTGCGCCGCGGTCTGTAGTATCGGCCAACACCTATCGCACAAGAAGTCCAGCACAATACGCAGCCGCGCCTGTCACGTCTTACAGCCCTGTCCCTTCATACCAAGCCACCGCAGATTACTCTTCGCAACCTCAGTATGACGCATCATACTCAGCCAGCCCACAAATCCGCAATCCTTTCGCCCCTCCTTCAGACACGTCAGCCTCCGCAAGCACTTACCCTGGAGGCTCTGGCGGATATGACCCCGAGTACGAAGCCCAGGTTCAGCAATGGCAGAGCGCCTACATGAGCAGGGATACTACTGGCGGCACTACCGCTCCCACACCTAAACCTGCGCCAGGAAACACTACAACTAGTGCTTCTACTCCACGCGCCGAACCTACGCCGCAGACTGACGATGTTCCGAAAACAGTCCATCGATCGGGCGGAGGCACCACATGGACTGATCAGACCCTGTTAGAATGGGATCCAGCCCACTTCCGCATTTTCGTCGGCAATCTAGCAGGTGAAGTCACCGATGAATCCCTCCTTAAAGCATTTTCGCAATATCCCTCGGTTCAAAAGGCCCGTGTGATACGAGACAAGCGGACGACCAAATCCAAAGGGTACGGTTTCGTGAGTTTTGCCAATGGTGACGACTACTTTCGTGCCGCAAGAGAGCAGAACGGGAAGTATGTGGGCAGTCATCCGATCGTGGTGAAGAAGGCAATGACGGACGTCAGAGCATCGACGCTGAAGCCCAACAACCACAAGGGAAAAGGTGGTTCTGGTGGGCATGACAAAGTCCAGCATGGCGGTATCAGCAAGAAGCAGCCAAAGACGAAAGGAGGATTGAAAGTTTTGGGATAATGGTGGCCAAGGCCTCGGGTGGAAAGGGAGAACGTACAGTATGTATTGTTCAATGTCATGCTCGCAAATAACCTATCTTTGCCTAAGAGATGGTCTCAAGCCCATCCTACAATATGTCAATGTCCGTCTGATGAATGCCTTAGTTCAATGTCGCGTTCGTCTTCAACTCCGCATCCATCGTCTTCCCTGTCATCGTCCACCCGATTCCTTCGTACGAACAGAGTTGTTCCATAACTTTGCATGTCCGCTTGTACCCTTCTCCCACAGTCAGTCTTATTGACTGTCATGGAGTATTCCGAGCACTTTTTACCCTTCAGCTTATGGACGCGTCTGGGATGATGGCTGAAGTCGATCATGTGTGTGAATGACAGGGCCGCACATTCAAAAATAATGTCCAGTATCTTCGGGATCATCTAACTTATCCTGCTGAATACGTGTTCACATTTGATATATGCATCACCATCATCACCCTACGGGACTTCGCAGATATCGCGCCTGGAAACTGGAAGTAGAAATCCCTTGCACAAAGTTCGTGACCACGCGCAGTCCAGCCACAAACTGCTAGAACCCCTTCTTCTCCCCGCCCTCGTGGCTGCTGACATCCTCGTCAGGAACGACGACGAGGTTGTCCGAACGGAATGGATCAACCTTGACGGTCTTGAATTTGCGAGCAGAAACGTGGTTTTCGAACAGCACATCGAGCTCAGCATAGGTGAGTCCCTAAGCAGCACATGTCAGACAAAATACACGTTCTCAAAGCAAGAATACCGGACCGACAAGACATACCTTTGGCTCAGGGAGACGGAAATAGGTCCACACGAAACCAAGGAGGTTGAGGCCGCCCCAGAAGAAGCAGGTTTTCCCACGCCAGTTCCATGCAGTCGGGTTCATCATCCGAGGCTGCAAAGTGCCAATAACGATACCCATGATGTTGTAGACATTCCGGGCCAGCACGACCGTCTTGATCCGCAAACGGGTCGATGGAATTTCCGCAACCAGAGAATAGCAGACCGGTCCGACGGTAAAGTCATAGATGAAGGTCAAAATGAGGATCAATGCGCCCGAAGCCCAGCCGACCGACGTGGATAAGCTCGGGACACCCAACCCACCGATGATCATCAATATAATAAACATGCCACATTGACCCCAGAGGTACAGGGTGCGTCGGCCAAAGTGTGGCATCAAGAACCACGATAGCACAGTGCCGCAAAAGCCCATGGCACTTTGTCCGACCCCCAGAGAGTATGCGTTGCCCTCGGCGAGACCGGCTTGAATCATGAAATAAGTACCCCATCCGATCATGGGAGAGCCCGAGGTCTGTTGAATGAGCCAGGTGAAACAGGTGACTTCGGTGCGTCGCAGATCGACTCCCTTGAAGCAATCAAAGTACGAAGTACCGGCCGTCTGTTGGATTTCTAGCTCATTGGTGTGGATCATCATCGCAAGAGTGTCTTCCACGTTGAATTCGCTATTCTTCTTCGAAGTAAGCTTGAACAGGGCCCGACGAGCCTCATCAAGCTTCCCGTGACGTACCAACCACCATGGGGATTCGGGAGCGAGGAAGGCAGCGGTGGCGATAGGGATGGGCCAGATCCATTGAATCGCATAAGGTACACGATAGGCCCATTCTGAAGAGGAGCTGACAAAGCCCTTCAAGATACCGGCGGCAAGGAGTTGGCCAATGACCCAGCACAGGTTGACATAGGTGGTCAGGTATGGTCTGAGAGGCACGGGGCAGACCTCTGCCGCATACGTGGTTGTGAGGGTCTGGAAGACACCCCATGGAAGACCAGACAAGACATAGCCGGCCAGCAACATTCGGACGTTGACAGCGAAGAAGGTAATGAAGATGACTGCAATCAGAAATATCAAGGCTCCAATCATTGTCCAACGATACCCAATCCTCTCCGAGATGATGCCGTTGAGCATGAGTCCGATGATTTGGGCGGCAGCGGTGCCGTTTTGGAGAGCAGATTGCCATGATGCAGATACTTGATATGTCTGGACCCCATCTTTGATCCCCGCGGGTTCACCGTATTTGCGAGCGAAAGTGGTCAGACCAAAGAAGTTGCCCAGAAGATAGGTGTCATAGCCTTCCATGATAACAGCCAGCGACAAGCAAAACGAAAACATAATGGCCTTGGGATAGAGTCTGCATCCCTCACGAAAGCCCATCTTGTGTTCCAGATCCGCGGCCGCTTGGGCATCGGCAGTAAGTTCAGCCAGGTTTGGGACAGCCACGGACATCTTGCGAAGAGTGTCATCTCTCTGGTTGAAGACGACTGCATCTTGTTGCGCCCCGACTGCCGCAGCGGGCATAACGGAAGACCTGCGTCGAGTGTTGTCATAAGTCGGCGCTCCCATGTTATTGAAATAGTTGGAGACGCTCATATGACGTCCAGAGCGGCCGGCGCCGCCCTCCTCGTCGTGAGTGAAATTCATGTTGAAGCCCAGTGGATGGATGATTCAGGACTATACAAGGAAAGAAAGACGTTGGTACTTGCAGTCCCCCGGAAGAGTGTTGGGAAATCTGTAGCAGACGCTCCAGGACGGTGGCAGGAGAACCATACCTCACGGCCACAGGTATCAACGCTTTATAGGTGGGTGGCTGTTCGTGGTGATTGCTCCCCCCGGTCGTGCCAAAACTCAAATGACGCAGTCCTCCTTGAGAGACTACAGCAGCTTCCTATCCGAAAGCAATTGGAGCCAATAGGATCGTTCAACAAGGCTAATCTGTGCGAGGCAGTCGGGCCTTTTCCTGCGGTCTGCTATTCTCGTGGCCATCATTCAAAGCTCCACTAAGTTCACGCGGAGAAACCAAGTGTCAGACTCGGCCAAACCGCATTGTGGCTTAAAGAGGGGTGTCAGTGCAGCTTAGGCGAAGAGTGAAAGGGTCGGACTGGTCAGACATTTCCAGTCGCGCAGTCACCGACCAGAATGGTGCATGTCAAAGTGTTGAAAGATGCCGAAGCTATGGATAGGTGTACTGATGTAAAGCGAAGCAAAACAAGACGAGCAAATCTGTTTGGCTAGCAGACACCCCTGAGTGATGCACTGAGGCTGGCAATCGAGAAGCACAAGGGAGTTGATCGATGAGAGCCTCGCTTACCATGCATCTCTTTTTCTCCATTCGGGTCCCTAGGAGCTGTCAGCGCCTTGATCCAGTCGCCGACGAGAACTTCCATCGATCAGGAATGCCTCCAGGTGCGGATCAGTTGAGGACCCCGCACGCATGCTGGGCTTGAGAGAGTCGAGATCTGCTCCACTTCCTGCTGAACGGCTCGCTACAGCAACAATTGCATGGGTCATCCGGCCGAGGAAAATCCCACTTCCTCCTCGGACGGCAATGCATCAGTGGAATCACTGTGCCCTCGCAGGCACGATGATGATCTGGGGTTGAGTGGACCTGTCAGGATGATCCTTTTCGTGGGGAAAGTGTAAAGCGGAGTCCTGATAAGACCCAAGAGTACGTAGTCACTCCCTGTCGGTGTGCCACTTTTCACTAACAAGACAGCAGGCCTGCTTGCCCTTGCAACAATTGCGTTCCTTGGGAGGCATACTTGGAGGGTCTGACTACCTTAGTGTATCGCAAGACTGTGACGTCGCTCCGAAAGGACAATGAGGGTGCACTGCAGCCATCGCAATGGAGGGCGGTTCTTGTTAGCTCTGTCCTTTGATCGAACCTTGTGTTGCCGAGTTCAGCCTCGAGCAGAATCGCTAGGTAGAGCCTTTGGGTTTAACGTCCAAAACGAAGTCAACAGGATATCTTCAAGATAGCTTCGTCCAACAGGGCCTGTTCTGGTATAGTGATCATGCCTATTGTTGAATGAGCCCGCGTCCACCAATTCATCGAGTGTACAATAGACATAGTCATCGTCAAATGTAGGTATGCTCCGTACAGGGCGAAGGAGGCGTTCGAGTGTACATACTATTGCGTCGGTGGCGTGAACCTTGTCTGTCGGCAGACCCTGTGACCTACTCCAACTCCTTGTGCGTCTCTCGGCAAGCCAGTTCCATGGACAAGTGTACTCTGTACAACTAATAGAGTCCATGACGTTTCGGTCTTGTTGTTTCGCCGTTACTCGTAGGGTGCTGAATGGACGGAGGATGGTTGAAGGGGGCCGGGCGGCGATTGCGGGTGGTCAACCACGGACTGTGAGGTGTCAACAGCCCCATGCCAGTCACCAGACTAGGGAAGCCTCCGAACCTAACGCGATTTGAGTGGATAGAGGCACGGTACGGAGGACAGTAGGATGTCTGGTTCGACAAGACAGGTTCGCGGTAACATGCAGTGGCCTTGGGCTTCTCTTTTCGCCCTTCAAGTTAGGCTCGGGATGGAAGAACAATAATGCGGCCGAGAATTTCGCCGCAGTCAAAGGGTGGAACCAGCTCCAGACTCCAGAGAGACCATGGAGTTGTCCATGTTATATTACAATGAAGATGGAGATTGAGATAGAAGGAAATCGTGTTTTCCCACGGTGATGGTGGTTGGGTCGAGGCACTAACACCCTTCCTACCTACCTAAGGTATTGTTGTGCTGCCTTGTGCGCAGCTGGTCTTTCTCTTTCGGTCCTACTCGTTGACCTGAACAAAGACAGCCACAGCCGCCGTACTTCCAGCCCGATGAAACATCGACTCTGAAAAGTCCCGGATCTTGAAATCCTGCACCCTGTATTTTCATGAAGCGTTACCGTTGATCTCTAGTTTTGAGATGGCCTCTTCCGCGTTCTTGCCGACCTCGACCTCTTCCTTGCCTTTACCTTCCACTGATCCGTCGGGATTGGTCTTGACTGGGCCAGCACCAGGATGTCTCGACCCTCTCTGCTTGGGCTGTTTCTTTTTCTTTACAGGCTCCGCTGGAGGATAGGCCTGCTTCTCAATCTCCTGCCATTCTGGTGATGCCTGGAACTCGGCTTGGATAGGAGCCAACAAGTCGGTTAAAGCAGCGGTCGCGGCCGCCTTGAGCAATTGCGGCGTCAATTTGTCGGCCTTGTAATCCTCCTTCAACGTCTCAATATCGTAGTAGACCAGCGGCTCCCCCTCTCCCTCTCTTCTTTCGCACACGAACCGACCTTTGTGATCTGGGTCTTTCAGAGCGCTGATGGGCAACAAGACATATTCCACAAAAGAAATGATGCCGTTTCCTTCAACCTCTCCTGCGGCTGCGTAGGCTTTGCGTAGCTTCTTCTTCACCACTTCGGCTGTGTCGAGGATGTCGATTTTGGAATCCGGATCAGAAGCAGACATTTTACCGCCGGCCAAGCCCGGTACCATAGGGTTCATAAGGTGTACTCGTTCTTTGTAGCCAATTCTCGGCAGCGTTTCTTGTGCAAGGGCGAAGATCTTCCGCTGGTCGACTCCTCCAAACTGCACGTCGACCCCGAGGTGTTCCTCGTCCAATGCTTGCATAAGGGGGTAGATCAGGCCCGATAGTGGAGCATTTTCAACCTGTTTGACCACTTCCGCACCGGCCTTCTTCGCATCGTGCTCGGTGACTACACTGCTAAGTCGGAAGAGATCCATGGTGTATGCTGCACTCAATTGGTACGATGAACCAAGGACGAATTCCAACTTGTCCAAGCTTACGCCCACCGCTCGGAGGAGTGCTTGAATAATGAACTTGTAGTACTCTGCTCGGAACTTGACCAGTTCGATGGGCGCTTTGAGATTGTCGAGGAAGCCATGAATATCAGCGAGCAGAATCTTGACTCGGCAGCCGGCTCGCAAGAAGTGTGCAATTTTCATCATCGGAACAAAGTAGCCGCAGTGAGGCCTTCCCGTGGTGGCTGTTCCCCAGTAAATGACCGGTGGTCTCTGCTCTTTAAGGACGATGTTTTCCAGGACTTCCTTGTGCAAAACTTCCTGTAATTGATCTGTAATGAGCGACAGTTTTTCCTGCGGGGATAACTCTCGACCCGCCATATCGGCGACAAGGTAGACGGCAGGTCGTGAGGAAGTGTGGATATGGATGTTGCAGCGACAGATTCGTGGGCCGACGAAGACGATGCAAGACAGTGAAATTGGGAGGGAAGAGCTAAGCGTCGACCGGGCCCTCTACTTCCTTGGTGTTATTGGTATTTGCTCTTCAAATGGTCGAGATGAGATGCGCAGTGAGCAGTGAGTCAATGGGGAAAATATGTCCGTAGAATTGACGATTGCATCCCACTTGGATCTTGGCCCAGAGCCTTCACCGCTTCCACCAATCAAACGCGTCGGTCACGGCTAAATAAACATTGCATACTATTCTCAACCCTCTTATTTAGTTTACCACCACCTTTTCGCCGACTTCGCAGCAGATTCTGACTCTTGTGCATATCTTGCGGATGCCTGTGTATTCCGATACTAACCAATAGGTCCTCCTTGCCCACGCTTTTCCTGGCATTGCCACTCGCGTGCTGCCCGGCCTCTAACTGCTGTGAACCCCTTTTGCCGCTGTCCGCTTCCCGCCTCGCACTTCCTACGCTTGTGTACCGGCTGAACGACTTTCACAAAGCATTTTTCCATGAGAAGCGAGCAGTAACAGTACCAAGATGGAAAACTATCAGAAGATTGAAAAGATTGGAGAAGGTTAGACTGCGTCATCAACTCGAAAGGGGAAACTCGCTAAAATGCTTGCAAATTCAGGAACATATGGAGTTGTTTACAAGGCCCGTGATCTCTCCAACGGCGGTCGGATTGTTGCTCTCAAGAAGATTCGCTTAGAGGCTGAAGATGAAGGTGTGCCTAGCACGGCCATCCGAGAGATCTCTTTGTTGAAGGAGATGAACGACCCCAACATCGTGCGCCTGCTCAACATTGTCCATGCGGATGGCCACAAGTTGTACCTTGTCTGTGAATTTCTCGAGATGGACCTGAAGAAATACATGGAAGCCCTCCCAGTGTCGGAAGGAGGTCGAGGCAAGGCTCTCCCAGAAGGATCAACATTGGACATGCAGAGACTCGGGCTGGGCAAGGACATGGTCAAGAAATTCATGGCGCAGCTGGTCGAAGGTGTCCGCTATTGTCACAGTCACCGTGTTCTGCACCGCGACTTGAAACCGCAGAACCTGTTGATTGACCGAGAAGGCAATTTGAAACTGGCTGATTTTGGTCTGGCTCGAGCATTCGGGGTCCCTCTTCGAACATACACCCACGAGGTTGGTCCACTGATGACCTTGCTACGGCTTTGTGCTGATGTTGTATACAGGTGGTCACGCTATGGTACCGTGCTCCAGAGATTCTCCTCGGCGGACGACAATACTCGACAGGCGTTGACATGTGGTCGGTTGGAGCCATCTTTGCAGAGATGTGCACACGCAAGCCCCTTTTCCCAGGTGACTCTGAGATCGATGAGATCTTCAAAATCTTCAAGTACGCTTAGCATGCTTCCGCTCTCAAGATTGAATTGCTGACCATCACTTCAGGCTACTAGGCACACCTGACGAATCCAATTGGCCTGGTGTGACTTCTTTCCCAGATTTCAAGACTACGTTCCCTAAATGGCGCCGGGAACCGACCAGCAAACTTGTGCCCAGCCTTGAACCAGCTGGATTGGAGCTCCTGGAAGCCATGCTCGAGTATGACCCTGCACACCGCATCTCCGCTAAAGCAGCTTGCAACCACCCTTATTTTGCGGCCGGATCCGCCGCCTATTCACAACGCACGACAAGTGCTACTAGGACGAACGGGTACCATTGAAAAGAGCAGCGATCCTCCGAGGAGAACTCTCGCTGGCCTTGGAATCACAGTTAGCATTGACCGACTGCGACACTCGGTGAGCCAGAGAGTGAGTGGGAGGCCACTATCCACGGATTGGGTGGCATCAGGTTGGGACAAAGGTTTTATGCATTTGGCTGGGGTTGGGCTAGACGAACAGGCAAATGACAGTAACGGGATTGACGCGGTGTTCACGAGGGTGGAAGGTCGGGCTTGTTCTCTCTCCCCATCTTTTCTCTTTTAAGCAGAGAACGTTGGGCACAGGAGTTGTTGGCGACAGTGTCGGGGTTTCCTTCTGTCGATTCACTGCATTGCAGTGGCATGGAGTCCTGAGGGCGGGTCCTGAATGAAGCGTCCATAATGCCGTGTGCCTCCCTGCTGAAGAGCCAGAGCCTGGCAGATATGTGTTGTGCACCTCGGGATTGAATGCATCGTTGTCTCTAAGGAGGATCGAAGCACATTAGCACTCTAGGACTAAATTCCAACTGTTTTACCCTGCTGGCTTGGGTAACGTCGAGGTGTGATCCTATAAGCAGTTCCCACGGCGTGAAGGTGGACAAGTTGAACTGCGGATGTTCCGAATCTGCACTCAACAGCCGTGTCACTCAGTAGAACTGGTTAGGACTAGAGTTCAGCTATAGAAGTCTCTATATGGACTCAGAGATCAATTGTGGACGTTGTAGATCTACTGTCGCCGGCTCCTGGGAACTTGGTCGTAGTATAGAGTATCAGAGCTGCTCCCACCACTCCGACTTGAAGTTCTTCTATCCAGCAATGGTAAATCTGCTCGCAGCTCCGGGCGCCCTCACCCAGCCGCCGCCGCTTTTAAAACCACGGGCTCACGACTCACCCTCCTCTCACCTCTCGCTCACCCTTCGACTCGCGCTTTATAAGTGGGGAATAATCCTCGCATCCCAGCGATTTTAGGAATTTCGCGAGTATGCACCACCACATAGAAATTACTCACATATCCCCATGTAGTTTCTGAAAAGGTTGTGTAGATTATTTCGACGGTGTTTCCGAAGTATCTTCACCGAAATATCTTCACCGAAGTATCCGTACGTGTAGTGAAACAATGATGGCGCCATGATGGCGCGGGGGCAGCTGCTGATGTCATCAGTCTTGCGCCAAGGAGCAAATTTGTGATACATGTATTGAAATTTGCCGAAATCATCCACAAGTTCAGCAGGATGACTTGGCTGGTCGCTTAGCTCAGTTGGTTAGAGCGTGGTGCTAATATCAAACACATCTGTGTCTGGGTAAACGCCAAGGTCGCGAGTTCGACCCTCGTAGTGACCATATTGATTTTTTTTTCACTTCTTAGTCCACTTGAAGTGTTTACCGTGTCACGGAGTAAATGGTCCTCGAACAATTAGAAATACTAGGACGGTACGCAGAGCGTCCTGGATAGAGGAACTCTCGGCTAGAAGGTCCAATCAACAACGCTGACTGGTCCCGTCCTCGTCGTTCCCATGCGTCACAGTCACTCCATTCAAATCCGGCCGTAGCGGCGCGATAAAATATAGCGTTGTTAAGCCCTCGGCGCACTTTCCTGTTTTGTGCTTAACGCACCTTCTCTGTCGAGAGATAGCATGGTTACTAGATCTTCTCTTTCTGCGTTACTTAAGGTAACTTGTATCCTTACAACACCTAACAGATAGCAATACAACTCCTTACAAGCCTCGTTTTCTTGTCTCTGAACCACAGGCCCCTCAGCGTCCTTGGCGGGTGAGTCCAGGGTGACGGCTCACCTGACTCGCGTGAGCCCAGGGTGAGTACAGGGCGGCATCACCCTAGTCTCGAAGCAGGGTGAGCGGCGAGCAGATTTACCAGACCTTAGCAGCGCCGGCAAAAGTTGAACCAGACTCGCCTCGATCTTCTCGTTCACCTCGTTCACGATATATAGCACGGTACATGTCGCCTTTACACTGCAAACTCACCCTGGCCGCTCTCTAAGATCCGAAGCCTATGTACAAAGGCGAGAGTGCTGTATCCTGCAATCCACCAGTTCATCGATCAGTCAACCAGTCAACCGCCCGACACCCGGCCCAGGCTTCCTTCGCATCCCACCTGTTATCCGACCTCGCCTTTTCCTCTTGCGATTTCTGAGGGTAGTCGACTTCAGGCTGCCCTTTCGATCGCCTATACTTCCCATCTCTTGCTTGCTAAACTCAATCAATACCAAATCGTCAGCCCCCGCGGTGCCTGCGTTGTGCACACTTCGGCGCGTGCTTTGACCATTTCATTTGCCTCAATCTATTCTCACAAAGACAGATAAAGGCACTATTGGATGAGACATTAAAGAGCTGGAAACATACAAACCACTTGGTGGAAGGGCTTGCCAGGCTGGCGCAAGCCAGGAGAGGATTGCAGCAGGTGTGGCGGCTCCCTTTGCACCTTTTCACTTCTTTGTATGCGCCTATCCTAGTCAGACGCCGGGCGACCAGCTGGGATATATTTCCCTCGCTTTAAAAGTTGCATCTTCATCCTCCATGCCGCTGCAGCCTCCGTAGTTTGACAAGAATGGAAACGCGGGAAATCGCTACTAGGGACGAACTGTGGCGCATTCAAGAGACGCTGCACGAGCTCTCCGCAACCCAAGCTCTCCATTCTGAGAGAATCATGCGCTTAGAGCAGAAGAGTCAGAACGCCGATGGAAGCAGGTCGAGGAATGTCTGGGGTCCAGCGTCTCCATTTCCGATGGTCCTCAGCTCTTCGCATCACGGTAAGCCAGTGTCTCAGTGCGTCAGGCCTGATAGCTGATGCATCCACCAGCAGAATCCACGCTCAACCCGGCGGCTGAAGCCTTCCGAAATTTCGACGTCGATCCTGGCAATAGCATGATGAGCTCACTGACCTTGGACACCAACGACGATTCCAGAAGAGTAGCAGCGTCGCGGGCCAATTCGGTACGGTTCGATGAGAGCGCAAACAACCACTATGCTCCATCTAGGCAGTCGATGGAACTTCCGACACGGACAGGGAGTGGTCTTGGTGGTCATGCTCTTTCCGAACGCTCTCTGTCGCATCGATCTGACGGGAGACCAAGCGCTTTTGGGTTTGGTCGAACCAACAGCTTTGGTCTAGAGCAAAGTCGCCTCCTTGCCTCCATTCACAACTCACCGCGAGTGTCCAGCAACCCTCCGCCAGGATTTTTCGTCCTAGGACCATGCCCGTCTATCATTCGTTGCTGGCTGACTGAGACATTCACCAATGATTCGCTGCTCTATGCCGCCGTTTGCACTGGCTCATCAGCATCCTGGGTGAGCGCAGCCCTCGTAGACAAACTCGAATTGACCGACACGATAGTGGATGAGGCAGATTCTCGTGCAATCCGCCTACCAGTGTACTTGACAGAAGCAAAGATTCAGTCTCCGGCCATGAGGTCTGTGAGCCCGGTGCCTCACATTCCTACCCTGACAGTCAAGTTCATCATCGACGAGCAACCCGTGACCGATCCATCGATACAGATCATTCTGGGCAGTGACGTCTTGAGATCGCATAGTGGTGATATCCTCTTCTCCCAGGACAAGTTGGTGATCTTTGACGAGGAGCGAAATCAAGTTTCCATTCCACTGGTCCGACCTGAAGACGACGCCTCGTACAAGGATCTGTGCACATCTTCCCGCCTGCGGTCCTCCTCAGTCGACGCAGCCTTACCGCCCCCGGCATCTCCTGTTGGAGTGATAGGCCGGCCCGGGAGATTGAGTTCGACTCAAGGAGCTGGATCTCCCACAGTCGCGCCTACAAGTAGTATAGCATCTGCCCCGACGTCGGAGCCGGGAGACAGCCGCAGACCAGACCGTCATGATACATCAACGAGACCCAGTCTCGACCTCAGCCATTCCAGGGCCGGCGAAGATTCGAAATCCACAACCGGGAGTGAGAAATCATTCAGTACTCCAATGTCCAAGTCGGGATCTGGGGTCTGGGCCAATTCGTGGCGGACAGTTTCATCGGGTGGGCCCAACGAACCCGGGACGAAAACCCCTTCTAGCTATGCACGCCCCAGCAGTTCAAGGCCCATGAAAATTCTTCGACCGGGGAAGACGATGGCCAGTGCCTCCCGAAATGTTTCCTCTGCCACTAACGCGAATGGAGTGGACAGTACCCCTACCAAGTCGAATGAAGCCGGCGGCAAAGCCAGTTCGACTGATCTGGCAGGCGAGACGAAAGGCTCTCAATCTTCGTCCACGGCAAAGACGAATCCAGTAGGCTCAGGAACGGCTTTTGGATGGCTCAACTCGGGGCCTCAGCGGAGGACGACGGCGAATGGTTGACGGCAGCCCGTTGAATGAAAATGAATGGCAAGGTTGGCGGAGCGTGGACTCAGGGGATCAACAGCGATGGCGACGGAGGATCAGGGACTGGAACAGGAGGAACTGCTGGGCCTCTTTGCCATGATGTGTATTCTAGGTCGGTTTTCCATGCATCCGGCATTACAACGGGGTAAGACAAAAGGCCAGAAAGAGAGCCTCAGGGCGCAATGAAATAAATGCAAGACCAACTCAGGTTAGCCAACGCGTCCTAGTCAGTCTTGTAGTCCATCTTATAGCTCTCATGCGTCGTGCGGCATAAACAGACGACGGCAATGAGACATACAGTAGTATCTCGCATCTAGATGTGTTTCCTTCTCCCCACACGGCTTTGACTCCGGCCCCGTCTCCCCGCTGGCCCGACATTCTCCGCCAGGTCCTATAATTACAGTATGTGATTATGTACCTTAATATAAATACCTACCTACCTACCTACCTATTCCTCGCGCGTCTCTGGGACTTCCACTTCGACTTATGCTCAGATCTCCCTTCAATTCCACTTCCAACCGGCTCGTGATCCGCCTACTAAGAGACCGCTGTTCGGCACCAGCGTCGATCCCGCGGTCCAACCGTTCGGTTTCTAGCTCGAGGCCAATATCCAATTCGGCAGCTATGGCAGCATCGACGAGGAGAATCGGTAAGGCAAGCCCCGTACCTTCCCCTCCTCCCCTTATCCTCCGTGGCCGTCCACTGTCCTCGACGGGAACGAACAAATATGCTAACATGCGCGGGGTTGTGCCGGCAAACAGAGAACCCGGTGCTGTTGTACGTATTTTGTTTGTCATTTCTCTTTCCACTTCTCTAGTGATGTCAAAAATGAAAGAGAAAAAAAAAGAGAATCTGCCAGAGTGCTCAGTGCATGGCTGGGCTGGCGGATGCAGAAACAAATCGGCTGATGGGGTTTCCTGCCTTTCTACAGTCTCTGCGATATCCAGGAGAAGTTCCGCTCCGCGATCTGGGAGTTTCCCAAAGTGTAGGTTACATACCTCGACCTCTGCCTCTGTTCCTTTTGTCGGGGAGTGTCGTCTTCTCAACTCCTTCTGAGCCCATTCGGCATTTCCGCTACTAGTCTGTCCTCTAGGGATGGGCGTTCCTACGAACCTCCGAGGCACTGAGCAATGAGGGTCTATGCACCAGTGACTTCCGACCTACATTCTACAGAGCCTCTCACTCCTTCGTCTCTTCCTTTCGAGCAGCCTTCTATACAATACTGACAGTACCCCGCTTCGCTGTTATACAGGATTGCGACGAGCCAGAAAATGGTCAAAGCCGGTACGCTCAATCACCCATACATCCTCTGACCACTTCCACACCGCTCTTCGATTCACGCGGCGTCACTACCCAACGCCGGTGGCTGGCCTGGCCTGGCCAGAGGACTGTTCAGGAACTGACAAAGATGCTATGCTATGCGTGCCACAGCCAAGATCCTTGACATCCCCATCTACACCACGACCCAGAACGCGGCGCGGCTTGGCGCAACCGTCTCCGAACTCAGCTCACTCCTGCCCACGTCGACGGAGAGCGCGGCCGCGACCATTGAGGTGGACAAAACAGCATTCAGCATGCTGGTGCCCGACCTCACCACGCAGCTCGCACGGCAGAAGGGCCGGCTGAGCGTGATCATCGTCGGCATCGAGACACACATCTGCGTGACGCAGACAGCGCTGGATCTGTTGGCTCAGGGCCACCGTGTGTACGTGCTCCAGGATGGCGTGTCGAGCTGCAATGAGGGCGAGCGGCCCGTCGCGCTGGCCCGACTCGCGAGGGAAGGATGCGTCGTCACCACCAGCGAGAGTCTCCTCTTTGAGATCCTGGGAGATGCAAACAATCCGAGGTTCAAGGCGATTTCAGGCCTGGTCAAGGAGACCAAGGACGACACGAGGCTTGCTGTCGACACGTTTTGTAAATTGTGACCAGTGACCCGGGTATGTCGGCAGGTCTTGAGGAACGATAAGAAGGAGATGAAGGTGAAGATGAAGGAGAACGATAAGAAGAGGGTGGGGGTGAAGGTGGAGGTGGAGGTGAAGTCCTATACTTTCTGATAGCTGTCGATACAGTACAAGCCGTCTCAGGGTGTGGTGGAGACTAGTAGCTGTCTATACAGTACAAGCCGTCTCCGGACGTGGTAGAGAGTTTCTCAGCCAGCCCGGGCGGGACATGAATACAGATGAATCAAAGATTCAAGGATCTAGAGTAGGCCTGCCCTTTAGGAAGGAGTCGTATACTCTACGTACTATATATAGTCTAGACTCATATGGGCACAACTATAATGGAGGAGTCCCTGTCTTCGCTGCTCTTACGTTGCGTCTATTATGGTCTACTGGTCACCATACTGTAGGTTAAGTAAGGCTCTTAAGGCTCAGGCTTAGGCCCTGCCAGTCATTCCTGGAAGCTGGAGAAGTCTATATATATATACCTGGCTGGTCTCACTAAGCGTCGCGTGCCGACTAGGTATTACAATGTCTGCGCTGTCTGAGTTTAGGAATAGACTCTGCCTAGATCATATATCCGAGTTACGAAAGATTTGGGCTTCAGCTGCACAATTCTTGAGAAGGAAAGGAAGAGAGGCGTGTTGAAAGCCAACCCGACCAAGGAATCACAGACAGCCTTGATCGGCATAGGAGAAATAACTGAGGGCCCTGATATGTCCCATTTGATATTATTCCCATGCGCTACGGCAGCTCGATTGCTTTTACAAGCCAAAAAAGATCGCTTGATGCAAGTCTGAAATGAGAAAAGCATACTAAATCAAAAGGGTCTCGCTGCTGCCACACTGGATTGTTGCTGTTGCTGTTGCGGTGACAGGTAACGGGGATTTGAATGTAAACGGAAGAGATAACAAGGATTGTGTTTCTTGGAAAGCAGGGTAATTAAGGTATTGGGTTCCCTATCGATACCAGATATAAGAGACAATGACAGGGACGACGACGATGGCGGCTAACAACACCGGACTGGTTGAGATCAGGTTAGCAGAAACCCAGAATGCCGGAAAACTAGAAGATACTCACTTTTGCGCATACCACGACTGGGAGGTCTTTTTCAATTCAGACTGGACATTTCCGGGGACAGAGACGGCCGATATCTTTTCATTGCTGGTGTCCAGGGCAGATGGTGCCGCTTGAGGAGGCGAAGATGCAGGAACAGCATGATGCTCTTCGTATGGCGGAGGCGCAACGTCTGGGATTGTGTCTTCCTTGGCTGCGTCAAAGTTTTCGACGATTGTCTCCGGGGTGACGGGGACGGCAGATGTTGGAGGTTCATGTTCGGGAGGAACGACGGTAGATTCATCCGCCTCACTCAAGTTCGAAATCTGTGTATCTCCTGCACTGCCCGGGGTCACGGACACTTCCGGCTCCCGTCCAGCGGGTGCCTCTGCAGGAAGTCCGGTTTCTTCGGGCTTGACGGTCAGGAGGTTGTTGAGATTTCCGGCACCATCGTTCACTGATCCAATGTTAGTCTCGAAGCCTCCTACTATTCGAGCTCCAGATCAGAGGGGCATCACAGACCTGTTGGCGTGGATTCATCAAGAACCCACCAGTCCCCGGGCCCCAGTCGAAACTTGTACTGGTACTCGCCTGGCTCAAGATCGAACGTGTAGGAGAAGTGGCTCTCAAGGGCTCCGTCCTTTTCGATTGTTTCGTGGTTCATCTGCTTTGGTGACCAATCTGTAAAGACTCCTGCAACATAGACAGGAGGCTGTATGCCAGCTTGGTCGAAGGTGATGGTAGCGGCGACCATTTTGCAGTCTGCAGCTTTTTTTGGTGGGGAGGGGGGATTTTTTTGGGAGTTTTGTTTTGAAGAATGCGGACCCAGGTGAGGGAGTGTGTGAGGCAAGTTGAGTTGTTCGAGTCAAATGACACCGTTTAGAGCACCAGGCGAAACGTTGTGTGGTTTGAGTGAGGGTGGTTGTTGGGATCCAAGAGTCTATGATTTCCCATCGTCAGCATGTCTTAAGTGATGATGAGAATGCAGTCGACATGGCAAACATATCCGCAGGCAAAATATGGCGGTTGGCACTCGCCATTCGACTTCGGCGGTGACGCTGGTACTGGTTCTGGCACTGGCACTTCCAGAACCGTTCCAGCAAAGGTCCACGCAACCATCCTCTTTTCATCATCCCTCTCCAGTGATGCTTCTCTCAATAAACATGCATGGAACCAGCAGCCCACGAAGCGAGGGCTCCGACTTTGGCTGTGACTAGCTGAACGTTCGCACCGCCCACTCCTCTTGCCATGCATCACTTTTCTAACCTCAAGAACGCAGCACCGTTCTCCCGCAACCTGCACACCCAATGGGCAAACTTGGCCCCGCCAGGACAAATAAAACATGGGAGGAGTCTGCAGATGCAGCGGCCTTACCTCGAGAATCGAAGAGATATTACCGGAATATCTCACTCAGATCAAGAAACCAAAAGATGACCAATTCTAACTGTCTCGAACTATCTTGTGCCACAAGTTCCTGTCTCCAGAGAGGGACAACTATTGAAAAAGCTGGAGGCCTGAGGGAAAGAATCAGCGGCATGGACATAAAACCATGGCAATCAAGACTTAGTCGCATGGCTAAAGGCGGGGTGATATCGACACATACCAGTTCTCACCAGAGTGATGCGCAAGCTGTGGTTCCTGGTCAACACAAGGATGAACCCCGGAACTGAGGAAGGGAAAGATCAATTGATGCCGGAACCCGGAGAGGATGTTATAAAGCCGAGTTGTGCTTGAGGACAGTGGTCAGAGCTCCCAAAATACACAACAAAGTATGCCAAAAGCTGTAGACCAGACGTGAATCTTTGATCGAGTTTATCGATCTGTCAGGCTGTCTGTCACACCACAGGAAGCCGGCTCCCGAGGCCTTTTATCAATGTTGCTTGGACCTCCATCTCCACGCAAATCCCCAGTGTTTGGTGGGACACGGCCTGCCGTGCTTGACAGTGGACTCGGCTACGGCAGTCATCAGCTCCTGGACTGATATGCATAAGTGCGAAGCATTCCATCATTCCCAGGCCTCTTGATGCATGAAAATCTCCATCTCGCCAGAATTCTGACATTGCCTATTGGTGGGGGCAAGGAGGCTATCCGGAACAACATGTGAAAGAACCAACATGGTGCGTTTGTTGGGACGTCACTCGACCGCCGTCGGTTGGCATTGCTGCATGGCCAGCTTAGCATCCACACCATTACGATAAGGGCAAAATTCGGTGGACGACGCTGGTGTGCCGCTATTGTGCGCCACAGGTGGCGTTGCGCTTCCCTTGACAGCAAGGACCGGCCCTTTCGGATCTTACATGCCTAGCAACAGATTCACCGTGTCCTGTCTTTGAAATAGGTGGCTGCGGCCGGCCGTGTCTGAACAAGATTGGCATCTCGATCAGGTAAGCCTGAAGAACAATATCAGTGATACCATCATTACAAAACCAGAAGCATGACAATGCCAATAGCTAAACATTCTGACGTCTATGGTGAGGAACCTCATGAGGTGGGAGATCTCACAGGAATATCTTTTGGTCAACTCTGCATACATCTTGAGTGTTGCAGAAGGAGCCTGTATGCATCGAGAGAGCGCCGAGAACTTGACGTTACTGTATATTGAGCACCATATTTATGACTACCTATGTAGTTAGGTATCTCGAATCTGCCACTTCCCGTTCCCTGGCATCAGGAGGCTAGCGATTCAATCCTGCTATGGTTTTGTTAATGGCCATAGCTTGTTCCCTAATCTTGGGACAGAAATGTTTCCTCAACAGCTCCATCTCCCAGACTCCACTCCCGGTTGCAAGCACATTCGTCCCCTCAATGCTCTCGCTCTCTCCTCTAAATACTCCGTCGCCTTTTCTCTCATCGCTGTACCATAGTGCTTCAATCTTCCGGCCGTATTTATCCGCAATCTTGGCTAGAAGGCTCAACACTGCCAAAGCTGATTTCTCGGGCAGTTGCAGCGACACAGTCAAGAGACGTTTGAAGAATGAGGCGGTGCTAAATGTGGGTGGCGGTTGAGAAGGTGTCAGGAGGATAGAGGCCAAGACCCTTGTCAAGAGCAGAATGGGAGTCGAGACGTTGACTCTGTTGCTGGGTTTCTCCGAGTCTTTCGCGGAATGCGGATCGGGCAAGCGAAGAGACTTGGGCCCTAACTCAATGTCGGCGTCCAGACCCAGTGGATACAGCGAGCGGTATGTATGAGACGTGAAGAATGACAGGTCTAGGTGTAGACTCGAGGCGGCCTTTGAGACTTCTTGACCTGACAAGAGGGTGAACGCCGTCTGTGTGGCAAGCAGGCTCTCTCGTGTTCTGTTCCGGACTGTCTCCCCATCAAGCTCGTGCGAGGTAGGAGTGTCTTCGTCCTGGAGTTCCAATTCACCCTTGGATGCGGCATCTGCCTGGTTGATGATGTCCTTCAGCGCCTCCAGGATATCGCCGAAAAAGTCCTGATTAATGAGATGGGCGTATTTGGCTAGGCCTTCCAGCACAGCACCCATTAGTTCAGGGATCCTGGCCTTCAGGATACGGAAGTATGCGATAAACACCAGTTTGAGGGTCTCAGACTGGATTTTCTCCCGCTCTTCGTAGTTCACCAGTGCGTTCGCTTCGCGCATATCCTTTTCCACCGCTTTCCGTTCTTTGGCCAGCTTCCTCTCTTTCTTAGATCGATATTCGAACTTTTCCTTTTTCACCTTCTTTCCATGTAGCTTGGAAATATCGTCTGACCTTTCGGATCTGGTCGATGCTTGAGGTGAGAGCTCGGACAGGAGCCGAAGGTGGAAGAAGGTATTCAAGACTTCTTCCCTAATTCGATAGCCCTTCACTTTCAACATCTTCGTCAGAAGGCCTACCGCCTCCAGGGACGGTGCGCCGTCCTCGTCCTCGGCAAAGAATCTCTCCAAAGTTTCGATACATTTCACAAAGTCGGGCGTGGCCTCTCTGCTGGCAAATTCGTGAACCAAGACGTTCAACAGCTCAGTGCGAAAGTTGAAATGTGGCACAGAGAGTAGCAGCGTGCAGGTGCAACTGATTGCGACACTTCGTAGGGCCAAAGTGTCCTGGTCTCCTTTCCTGACCTTCGATAGACTGCTTAATCGTTTGACATACGCTTGGTACCCCGTCACCAAAGCATGTTCATATTGCCTAGTTTGCCGAACATCTCTCGATACTTTGGTCCCAAGATCCTCGTCTTTGTATAGCCTGATCCTGTAGCCAGGTATGACATCTTTGTAGACAGCCGCTTGGGCGGCAAGAGACAGTTTTTGGACAGCAACGGGCGAGTCGGGCCCGCCAATCTGTGCCAGTTTTTTGAATGAACCTGCATGTTCTTCAGGGTCCTCGTTAAGAAACCCCGCCAGACGGGCAATTTCTTCTTTCGCAATTAGAATCTGTTGTTTTAGCGGTATCTGCACAACTGGTTCTGCGTCTGTCGGAGGTGTTTCGGTGGTTTCGCTGGCCTCTTCACCATCGGAGCCTGAACCCAAAAAGCTGTCGGAGTCGTCTTCAAATCCAGCGGCATTTTCTTGGACCCGTTGGATCCTGCCCTCCGCGGTCTTTATGGGCAGCCTGGTGGACTCCTTATTTTTCTTGCCTCGTGATCTCTGTTCATATTTTTGCTCAAGATCCCAGTCAGCAGCTCGGGCGAAGAGTTCGGAGGACTTGACGGTCTCGGAGGTGAGGCTGTCGTCAATCGGCGGCGTAAGACGCCTTCGTTTGGCTGGACGCCCGTGAGGCATCGTTTCGAAAAGTATGGCTTGCACAGTGCTGAAGGTTCTGTTGTTTATTCGAGCCTCCGCTGCAGTACATCTCACAAAAATTCTCGAGCATCTCGGAAATAAAGTGTGCCCAGCCGGAGATAATAGACTCGGTCTCCAACTGGCTGTGGTGACCGCGACTCCAACTGCACCTGGAACTTTTGATCGCCGACATTTTTTTTCCGGCTGCGTCTCTGACCTGGTGCTCAAGTACATCGACCGCCGACAAGACACTCTTAACCCTCTACCGTTGCAGAATAGTCGAAATGAGAGCTCTTACTGACGTGGAGACGCAAACTCTCTTCAGCAAACTTGCAAACTACACTGGCCGTTCGCTGACTCAACTGATCGCCCCAAGCGATTCTACCGGCGACGACGACGACCGCCACGTCTTCCGCCTGCACGAGTCCCGAGTCTACTATGTCCGGCTATCGATCGCAAACCTGGCGACATCCATCGCCCGTGACCATCTCCTGTCTCTCGGCACTTGCGTAGGCAAGTTCACCAAAACTGGCAAGTTTAGACTGCATATTACTGCGCTGGATGTGATTGCGCCGCACGCCAGATATAAGCTGTGGATCAAACCGAATGGCGAAATGCCGTTTCTATATGGTGGCAATGTTGTGAAGGCACATGTTGGCAGGTGGAGTGAGGATTGTCCTGAACATTCGGGTGTGGTAATACTGGCAATGGATGATACACCGCTTGGCTTCGGGGTCACTGCTAGATCAACTGCTGAAGCAAGGAAGTTGGAACCGACTTCGGTCGTGGCATTCCGGCAGGCGGATGTGGGCGAATATCTTCGAGAAGAGGATACTCTGTTCACCACTTGAAATCGAGGAACTCCGAAATCAATGGCATGAGACGCAGGGTGCTGGCCGTGACGGAAGAAGATGTTATCCTCCCGCTACGGCAACATGACACCGGCTGGGACGCCGCTGACATCTTCCACTTCGATATGAGCATATTTGAGGCTGCTCTGCCATTTCAACCCGCATGCGCACTGGCAGACGATGGTAGCCGACGAGCCCAAGGGTTTCGACCCGGAAGTCCTCCAAGGAACCCAAACGGATCGGGATATCACATACTAGGGCGACTGAGGTATTTATGTTCGCAAAGACCCTGCTCGCCAAAGAGCATCGCCCGGCACGCCAAACAGGATCAGTCACAGCGGTACTCCGAGGCATTCTCGACCTGAGATCCGTCCAGCAGACGGAGTACTACAAAAACAACCGCCACCTCTGCCGCCGACTGGCGACAGGGAGATTTCTTGCAACGAGAAGACTTCCCACGAACTTGTCTTGGAAGGGGTTAATGATAACTACATCTCTTCCTGTTATCCTGCCATTTTGCCAGGAATGGGAATGTAAGCCCACAACTTCTCCTGAAGTTGCATAATGATGAGACATATTCAGTGACAGGGTTCTTTAGGTATATCTGTAATTAGGTATTTGAAGTATCCGTACACTAGAGTATCCGTATACCTGATGTTGTATTCAGCGTCTACTATTAATATAGGTTAGAACAAGTAAACCCACTAGCCAGAAGACATGCAGGGACTCTTCTCACGATGTCAAGGTCAGACCCTATTCTAGAGTGTGCAAGTCCTCGAGTCCGGAGGTATTCGGTACAGATTAAGTTATACGAGCTGCTCTCGATGTTAAACCCGCGTAACACTGCCAACTTAGATTGAAGATGCATGCTCACCACAGTGGCAGACGGCAGTATCCGTGACGGTACGGAGTGGATGGCAGCGCCTTGTGACTCGTAAAGTGAAGGCTAAGGCTCAATGAGGGGTGGTTAGACTAGACACGTGTTCGGCTAGCATAAGGTCCCCACACAATCATCGTCAACTAGATTGATGAATTAAAGTCTCCAAAATTTCACCAACAATCAATCTCCCAATCCACATTGGTGTAATGGTAACATCGCCGGTTTTCATTAGGAAACCTACTGCCCGGCGTAAGTTGAAAACAACTCTACATATCCAAGACCATCATCTAACAATAAGTAGAGCTCGGGGTTCAATTCCCCGATGTGGAGATAATTACTTTTTTGTTTCTTTTTCTTGTTCTTCCTATTCTTTTTTGTTGTTTCTTGTGTTCTGTGTTGCCCAGGGAAAGTGACGGAGCTATAAGTGGTCTTTGTGGAAGGGGTGGGAGAAACTCGATCAAGTCATGTCTCGAGCGAAGGTACCTACCTAGGAAGGTAGCGTACTAGTAGCAAGTCTGCTAATTAAGTACCTTACCTATTAGGACGTTTGCGCGTTCGGGCGGTGACTGACTTACATACCTAGGTACCTAGGTACCTACCTACCTACTTACCTTAGGTGCCTAGACTAATTACACTGCCTCTGCCTCTACCTTTACCTCTATATCTCTCTCTATTATCTCGGGACAGGTACAGGGACACTCGCCTCTATTTATTCCAAGGAACAGAGAACAAAGAACCCGCGGAAAAGCAGCGCAGTGCAGCACCGCTTCGAGCATCGACTGACTGACTGACTGGCTGGCTGGCTGGCTGGCTGGCCTGGCGTTGGGATTGCGATTCCTGTACAAACAGAGAGCAGAGTGCGAGTCACGTCACAAAGCGGTTTCTAGGTCTCGAGCTGATTACTTTGGGGACTGCTACTGGTCTTTTGCTCGCTGGGGAAGATCAGAGCAAGAGCAAGAACAAGAGGATCGTCTTAGAACTGCAGACGTAAAGGCGGGGGCCGACTGTCAGAACACAGAAGCCTCTGAATCGAACAAGGGCCACCCCGACTGTAAGTCCAATTTACTTTTACTTGATCATAATCTTAGGTACATATACCTATCCACTGCTACAGGAGAGCAATGGCTTCCTCCAAGGATCCCATCATCGTCGTCGGAGCAGGCGTCATAGGTCTGTCGGTCGCGACGCTGCTTCAATCCTGCTACCGAGACGCACCCATCACCATCATCGCCGCGGAAACACCAACCACCCCGTCTCCGTCGGCGGATTATGCGTCAATGTGGGCAGGAGCACACTATCGCCCTGTCCCAGGTTCGACGCCACAGCTGAAGCAAGAAGCGCAGATGGCGTTGCGCACCGCGGAAAGGATGGAACGGATTGCAGACGAAAGTCCCGAAGCTGGTGTGGCCTTCTCTATGGGCGTTGAGTACCTCGAAGACCCACCAAAAGAGGTGGCAGGCTTAAAGACTGGCGATGTCTATGCTTCGCCGAACGATGGGTTCCGGGTCCTCGACCAGACCGAACTGCCTGCAGGCGCGAAATGGGGCTGCGAATACCGCGCCTATTGCGTCAACGTCCAGCCGTATTGCCGATGGCTCCTAGACCGCTTTATTTCGAAAGGCGGGCAGGTTATTCTACACCGACTGTCGAGCGCGGCGGACGCCTTTGACTTTGCCCGGCAAAGAGGGCTCGGTAGGGTCAAGACGGTCGTCAATTGTTCCGGCCGCAACTTCGACCAGGACCCAAAAGTGAAGATCATCCGAGGTCAGACTGTACTGGTAAAGCAGCAATATGACAAGACAGTGACACGGCAAAATCGCGACGGAAGTTGGGCCTTCCTCATCCCGCGCCCGCGTGGCGGAGGTACAATCGTAGGCGGAACAAAAGAGATAGGTGATCCGGAGACACACCCCCGACCAGAAACACGACAGAAATTGCTTCAGCAAGCTGTCGACGCATACCCGGATTTCGTGGACTCGGTCGATAAATTCAAGATCTTGAAAGACAATGTCGGACGGAGACCATGGCGGGAAGGCGGCTTCCGCATTGAGACCGAATTCATCTCTCCCGAAAGGAGAATCGTCCATGGTTACGGTGCTGGTGGACGCGGGTATGAACTGAGCTGGGGCACGGCTGAGAGAGTCGTAGAGCTCGTCAACGCATCTCCAGCAGCCAAACCCCGGTTATAGATGTCGACTGGGCAATCCAAGACCCTTCGGAGGGGACCCTGAGCGCATGTAGTGTCAATATTTTTCCACACTTCACTTCTTCTTGACAGGCTTTCCTTCGGTTTTCTCTAATTCCTGTAGCTTTGCTTCCGCTTTGACGAGTTTGTCCTTTTCCTCCCCAATCAGCTTTTGAACCGTTTTTACCGCCTCAGTCAACCGATCTAGCTCTTTGCTTTCCTCTTCTCTGCTGAACTTGTTGCCTGGAGTGCTTTTTAAGGGAATCTCGGCTGTTGGCGGAGCTTTGATTATGCCCTTGCTACCCTTGGCCCCCTTTGACTTGACCGCTTGCGCACCTCCTGTCAAGATCTTGTAGAAGGCTTCAACAGGTTCGTTGAATAGAACCTCTTCGTAACACAGGCTAGAGATCATAGCCCGGTCCCTCTTTTGTTGTTCGATATCGCCCGAGTATGGATGCAGCTTGAGGCCATGCCAGATCTGTTGCGGCTTCTCGTTGCTTTCGGGGACAAAGTAGAACTTGATCGCAATTTCGAATTCACCCCATCCCGTCTCTTCCACCTCAAAAGGCGGACTTTCGATCATCCGCACGCTATTCGCGTAAGTGTCGTGAAGTTTGAACTGTACCTTCCTCAGCCAATATGAGATATCCTCGTTGTTGACTCCGCGGACAAAGACCTTCCATTTATGTGTATGATCGGGTGGCGCATCTTTGGGACGGTTCTCTGGATCGAAGGGGATGGCCTCGGTACCGTAGATGAAGGGACGATAAGCTTGGACACCGCGCACGCGTTTGGTCCCAGTCGGGGCAGGCATCTGGGGCGAATTGGGCTGGCGGCTTGCCTCGAGAGAATGCCGGCCTCGGAAGACAGTGAGTTAATGGTTTGAAGGCTACTTCAAGGCGTTGGTCCTCGTGTTTGGTGTTACTGGGTATCTCGGTCAGTCCGACGCCTTCCGCAGTGTTATGGCGGCGAGTCTGGATGGAAGGATCGATCGATCGCTCATGTCGTGACAACCTTTGGTAGTGGGATCGCAGTCAAAAGTCTAGAATCCCGCCACTGACACTCACAGCACACTGCACATCTCCAACTCCGCAGCCTTGGCGTGTTACACCCTGTTACGGTCACTGCTCAACAATACCTATAACGACGGCATTATTACTCTACACATGATCAAACCATAGCCCAAGCACTAGACCGGGAGAGCGTGAACGGGCAAAGCGTAAGGGTTCCAGAAATCCTTCTACATATACATATAAGTACATATGTACCTACTTCATTCTGTAGATGACATCCAGTCGCTACCTGGCAAGCTGAATCAGGACGTTGTCTTGGCTCCAAGGACGGGACAGAAGGCACAAACCTCCTATTACTGAACGGGTCGAACGCTCAAGAATTTGTTTCCATTACTGTTCAGCATGGACCTTTCTGCATACCCCTCCCTTCTGGCCTGCCAGTTACTAGTTGCTATACCCGTGAATATATCTATATCTATAAACCAACGTACTCCACCCTCTCTCTATCCAGTGTCCACCCTCTATATACTCTAGCTCTCTCTAGCTCTCTCTAGATCTATAGCTGCTCCCAACTCACCCTCCGTTCACCTTTCTTCCTTGCCATTTTCAGTTTTCAATTTTCCCGGTTTCGCATACGTAGAATGAAGGGATGCAAGATCAAGATCCTTCGCAATCAAAGGTCGGCTTGTGATTGTTCTGAGAGTATGGTCACAGAGTACACACACGAGACACCTTGCTTCCCGTATGCAGTCGAACTTGATGCCAACCCCAACCCTTTTTAAACAGCGTTGCATAACCAGCCTTATAGCCGCACCATCGGGAAACTGGCCTGAACAGCCCCTTCAGCGCTTTCGTCAACAGCAGCGATACTCAAGTATCCCCCGTACAGCTGCAACACACCCTGGTCTTGGACCCTACAGTTCAAGGAACTCGATTCATCAATCCAACAGTTCACCAAAGTACTGGTAACGGTCGGGCGTTGAGCTGGATCCGAGATATATATGTAGTGGAAGGGTACAAATTCACCGGGTTGGTCGATGACGTAACTTTGTTGTCCCGTAATGTCGAACCCTGTCAGGACGCATTGGCCGGAGGTAGCATCGACCGCAAAAGAGAATCGTTGAGCAAGTGTGGCGTCGTAAGTATTGAAGCTGATCAAGGACTGGGAGGCGGTAGGATTCGACAAGGTTGCCCACTTCAGATCGACGCCCTCTTGGATCAAATATGTATTTGCCGTAGGACAACTGTTAAAGGTCGATGCAGTAGTAGTTGTCGTTGTTGTGGAACTCGAGGTCGTACTAGACGAGGTAATCGGCGCAGCTGTAGTGGTTGTAGTGGTTGTAGTGGAAGTAGTAGAAATAGTGGAAGTAGTGGAAGTAGTGGAAGTAGTGGCAGTAGTGGCAGTAGTGGAAGCGGTGGTGGTGGTAGTAGTGGTCGTAGTGGTCGTAGTGGGCGTGGCGGTGGAGGTGGTGGTGGAAGTAGAAGTAATGGTCGTGCTGGGCGTGGTAGTAGAAGTTATACTTGATACCGTGCTGATGAACGAGCTGCTTGTCGAAGCGATGCTGGTTGAGCTGCTGGTAGAATTTGCCCAGTATCGTGTGGAACTCGAGCTGGGCGAATTTGGACCGACACTCGAATGGTGCTGAGTAGTCGGGCTCTCACTTGAAGAACTCTTGGTGCTATGTGTATGTGTGCCTGTAACGTGCCCGCTCCATCCAGAGGTCCAGCTACTAGTTTTCCCAGGGGTTATTCCCACTATGCTGGAAGTCTCGCAAGGGCACACATAGTGGGTGTTGGTCTGCGTAACAACGACGGTCTCATCTTTCCAGGCCTGAGCAGAAACAAGGCAAGTGGCAGCGCAAGCAACAAGAAACGAGTGGACGAAGTACATGGCTTCTGCAACGAAATGAGCGTGGGGGAGTTGGACGTACTGTAGCTAGCAAGCAAAGTAAAGGTGAAGAAGGGCAGAGACGTCCAAAGGAGCGGGAAGGGACAGCTACAAACAAATAGTATCCGTACAGCTTCGGCATTCATTTTGCTTGATCTCGACCGCCAATTTGCCATGTCGCCGTGGGAGGTGGGATCGGCTTATCCGTTAGCGAAGGTCGACGGCGACGCTTCGTTAGACCTTTTCTGCTTCCTAAGGGTAAAAGAGTTGAAGAGCATTGCTGCTTCTAGCAGGGCCAGCCAGATATAGCGGCCCTGTACGGAGTACTACTCCAGATACGCGTGGGAACAAGCGAACGTGGTAAGCTAGACCTATTCGTAGTCTGTCCGGTGGAGTTTCATGATGGCGGAGGTGAAGTGGCTTGCGTAGCTGAGTCGACTAATACCGAATAGTAGTAAATACTGACCAGAGCCTCTTTGACGCAATTTCGTCTAGTAGTGATGGTGGTGAAGGTGGGTTCTCAGGGTCACTATAAGAGTAAGATTTTGTAGTTACTAGTTGGTGCTAGTTAGTAGTAGTAGGTACCTATGTAGTATATCAGGTACATAGTATCCCCGGTCACGTGCTTACCTAGGAGGTGCCTAGTAGTAGTCAGCCGCACGTGATGAGAACTACAGCAAGTCAGGCTGCTTTAACTACGTAGGTATTCTCGCCGAGGACAAGCAAAAAGCGGCATCACAACCATCCCAAAGAAGAGTGGGCTTGATGCTACTTTAAAGCTACATCTCTTGGCACATTCACTGCTCATGAACTTCAATCTTGACCTCGTTTAATACCAGCAGGCAAAGGCGGTTCTGTCACCAAGCTGCTTGTCTCAACTTGAATGCTGCAATCCTCCATTTAATGCAGTTCCAACCCTGTGAGCAGGAGCGCTTGGCTGGGAGAACTCCGCCGCAAGCGCTGGTTGGGAGCCCGAAGTATGAAGCCAATTGTCCACCATGCAGTCTATCTCGAGCCATTTCGAAGAATTCGAAACATCTCCCTGTGCCCACTGGCTCCGTACGTCTGCAACAGCCGCAAATGGTGGTCACATTCGGCAACAAGTAGGGCCAAAAAGCTGCCTACCTATTACAAACCATCTACGAGCTCGTTAAGTCTGCTCGGTGTCTTGACAGGGCCCGACACATCCCACTACTACATTACCGCCGATCTTGCCCGGAGTTTGCGCCAATTAGGATTTCAGTCGGTCCATACGGTAGTAAGATTGGTAAATTCTCACCGGACGGAACTCCAGGGCCACAAGTGTGCACCTAACGCAGCGGTGAGGCTCGCGACCACTAGCCAGCGTACGAGAGGAACTGCCCTCACCCTCACCCTCTCTCTTCGAAAGGATGGCCTACTAACAAGATGATCTGCTAGAATGGCAACGCGTGTACGAATCGACCCTCACTTCTGCAGAGGTAAATCTTCTGCGTGACCCTGAAATACTACGCCAGGTATTCCATGCCTTGGGTAAGGCCGACCTCCATTTCCAAAACATCAGGAAAATGGCGCACTCGGGCATTTATGCGTTACAGGTCGCCTTTGATGCTGGAGACAGTGAAGCTGCCATTGACACTGCCTTGGCCGAAGTCAAATCCAGCCCTGGGCTCCGTCGGACGACGTATGAATACATCAAGGAGATGGCGTTGGCCAGAGCGGATTGGCGGGCCATGACCATCTATCTGTGGCACATGTTGCAGACGGCCCAGAAGAAGCCGGTCACGCAAGAAAATTATCTGCTGGCCAAAGACCTGTACCGCATGATGGAACCTAGTCAGAAGCAGGACAACAAACTGCCATTTCTGCAGAGTTTCGAGCTCCCTTGGAAACTGCTGCACGACGCGGCAGACCATCACCTCTACCATCTGGACGACGGTCCCGAGTCGGATGCGGTGCAGGAGGATCTCGATATGGCGCTCCGGGAAGGGGTCTCGAAATGGAGTGACCCTCGCGCCGCCGAGATGATCCTCAATCAGATTGGGGAGGTCGAGAAGCATAGTCCGCGATGGGTGTCGCTCATGACCCAGTCCGCAATGGGTGGTAATGCGGACTCATGCCTCGAGCTGGCCATGTACCATCTCCAGAAAGATGGATGGTACCCCAAGCGATCCGACACGAACAACAAAACCAAAAACTGGATCGGGATTGAATGGCTCGCGCTCAGTGCAGCACTGTCCACTTCTGACGCAAGGGTAATGGTGAGAAGGTATCTAGCCCTGGCACACATTCTTCGAGAGAGCGGCTGCGCAAAAGAAGGATATGCGTGGTTGCCTACTGCAAAGGAAAATGTCTACGAGGCTGGCCTGGATTCGACCGGCGAAATGATCAAATATCTGGACGGATTCCAGCGTCACTGGTTCGACGACAAAGTTATGGTTGCTACGTCCGACGAGTTTCTTGACCTTACGGATGGCCGAGTCTGAAGCATGTCTCGCGGGGACGACATTTGACCTGTCGTCTGGTTGGCCGGCCTCAAAGGTGTGAATGAAGCCCGAGATCGTCTAGATGACCGTGCTTATTCACGGTATCTCTGGCGTATGGTTCTCAATTCGCGGACGATCGTTTGACACGTGGCCGCTGTGAGGTGGTGCGCCAGACAGATCTTCTTACCATCGGGCAAGTCTCGTGAAGCTGGTGGCGACTCTACCTTGACAGGCCCATGACCTTCACTCTGTCAGGTCCGGATTCCCGTTTTCCTGGGAAGTTTTGGACACTCCTGCGACCGCAGAAAGCCTCAGGATGGGCATGGTCAGATAAAAAAATTGAAACATGTTAAGGAGCTCTGGTAGAAGCTTCTTGGTCAGAAGGGCCAGCACAGCTGTGTCTCTAGATACGGCCCGTTCCGCCCGAGCGACATCTTCCTAGGCTCTGGTAGAAGAGCTTCTGGTTCTGGTTTGGACGATTACTACAGCTACGTAGGCTTTCCGCAAGTCTTTTTTGCTTCTGAAGGAGTAAGAACATCATCAGGAGCCAAAGATAGGGCAGAAAATTGCCCGGTCAGGATTCCGAAGATAGAAGACAGCATGTGCTGAGGGCAGAAGCCCATGTGTATATTTCCAAGATATATTGGCTATTCGATCACCGACGCTCACGGCGAGTCAGTACCTATATCGATCTCTTAGAAGGGCTTAGGCTTCGAAGTCCGTTTGCCCCGAGAACCGAGTATGCAGAGGCGCGCAAGGAATACTCGACAAGTCTTTGCGTCGCGGCCGGCTCCTCTACCACCAACCGACATTTCCATTTCCATCCGGCGGTTGCAAATATGGCACCGCGCCGTGGAGATTTGCGTTCCAGAAGATAGCACGAACTTGGCGGAGAAGATGGGAAAGAAAAGACCGATCTCGCCATCTGCTGATCTGCATTTGGTGCTCGGACCACCAATTAGCCTGGCGCCGGTCCACTTCTGCCGGGCTGATCAGACGACAAACTCCTGGTGCTCCCTAATCAAAATCTGCTTCTCACGCGCCCGAAGATGCGCTGAGAGCGTAAGGCTTTCGTCTGATGCCGCTATGGCAAGAGCATCTCTCCACATCATCACTGAGCCCCTTAAGCGAAGCAAGGCCGGCCGACCCTCACGTGTGTTGCACGCTGCTTGTTGCCGAAGACCCAGCCATGGCTACAGGCTCACCGGGCCCATCTACTCCGTGTGTGTACGGATACTGTGCACGGTGTTGGAAGCGAGAACGAACCCGATTCCAACCTGCTGATGTCAGAAGATGAAATCAGGATACAGAGTACTCGTACTCGTACGGAGTCCTCCGTTCAGGATCAGCGTCGTCCCAGACCGCTAAGAAGAGAAGCGAGCCCCAAACCTGACATTTCCGAAACACCGAGCTTACTTCCCAGCCCTCGCTTGGGTGATCCCTCGGACCAAGACAACGATGCATCTAGGCGGTGAGACTGGATTGCAAGATTACCTGGAAAGATTGACAGTTTGCGAGACGTGGTCAGTCAGCTAGACTTGTCCCATCCCATGAGTGGACGCGTGTGCCGTGATTCCCGGCGCACTTGAAAACAGGAGACAACGAACCTGCCCGGTCTCTAGCAGGAGTCAGACTTTTGTCGCTCTGTGGAGCGAGTGCTGGCGAGACCGCGAGACTTCAACCGGGGCAAGTCGAAGCCTATTTGGTACCGAGAAGGATATGCAGTGTGCACCCACTCCTCCATCCAGTTCGGGGCGATTGCAGATACGATACCGGTAGGAAGACAAGAGCAGTATTTCGACAGGTGAGTGAAAGATTGGCATATGAGATGCTACGGCAGTTTGGAAGCGGCTCGGTGAGGGCGTGGCTGACTCCTGACTCCCCATATACCCCCGGAGATGAGCCCTAGGCCCTTAGCACATGGTCCAGTCAGTACACAAGAAGGGTTAATTAGTGAGGCGGCCACTCATCCACTCCAACCCCAGCTAGGCGCCTCCCAACTTCTCACCGGGTCAGTGCTGAAGGTTAACTTAGCCAATTCAGCCTCGGAAGCTATTAGGAATCAAATTGGGCGGCTTCTGGTTGAAGACTTGGGGACGAGAGACCACGAGACCAAGAAACCACGAACCCAACACGCAGAGAGTTCGTTTGGGTAATTATAGCATGGGAAAATGAGAGGGAAAAACGACAATGACCACGACCAGACTCTCAAAGGCGCATGATCCGAAGACGAATCTGTGTCAGAAATCAGGCAGGCAGGCAGGACAGGGATTGTCCTCCAACTGCTCAAGTGTTCCGGTCGCTTGTAGCCGAGGACATGTTCCGAATCGTCCCCTGGTTTTGGGTACATGCTACATGCTACATGCTACATGCTACATAGTACATGCTGCATGGCCCTATGAGACCCAATCTAAGCCACGATCCCTGCCAACCTTGTGCATTGGTCGGCATTGGTTTCGTTGAACTGAACATACGCCTGTGTGGCTCTGGGTATGGACAGATCTGCGGAGCATGTGTACGGAGTACATGAACATGAATGATGATAGTACTGTGCCTACGAGTGTTGTTCTTGTCGGTCTCTTTTCTTGGTTGAGGCACATGCCCATCGTATCGACGTGACTGGCAAGACCGTACGTACACATGCTGTTTTGAGTTCTCCATAGTCGTAGGAGTAGGAGTAGTAGTCGTGGTGCTAAAGCAGTACTCAGTATCCACAGCAGACCGACCATTTCCTACCCGACAGAGAGACATTCCAAGTTTCCGACCTGCGACAAGGATCCGTTCGAGCAGGTGGATAGCTTGACTCTATTTTCTAAGAATATTTTCTATTTTCTCGGTTCGATTTTCTCGGTTCGATTTTCTCGGTTATGTGAGTTTGGGTTTGACGAGTGACGAGACGGTCTTGACCCTTCTGTTGGACGTTGCAACCCAACCCAACGCACCACACCACACCATTCCACACCATACATACCATACCACAACCACCAAATGGCTCATGGATGCTTCGGGCTATATGACCTCCACTCCACGTGCGTGTGTGTGTGTGTGTGTGTGTGTGGTCACTAATTATCACCTAGACTCTCGAAGCGAGGCGAAGTGAAGCGAGCCAGACCAGGACCGATATACGAACCAGCATATATGTACGTAGTAGTATTCGGCAGTGATTAGTACGTACTGGAGTATCCGTATGTGGACCAAGTAGGGGGTCCATCCCATCGTCTATCTTCGCGAGTCATCGACTGCTTTATACGGTGGGCTCGTCGAGTCACCTCTTTCAGTTCAAGTTCTGGCATTCGGGAGTGAGGGAATCACAGACAAAAGGGTGGTCTGTCACTTAGGTAGGTATCTACAGAGGTCTCCGTAGTCAGTAATTAATTACCTATTGACAACAATGCCCTCGACATAGCCACACACACAGCAAATATCCACGACGCATATACTATACTATACACTATGCTCGTAGCAAACCGCAGAAACAAAGTCTATTTCGCACTTCTGGGTTATCGTGATCCCAATACAACAACAACAACCGACGTACATACCTACCTAAGGTACCTACCTACCTACCTACCTGCCTTAGTCCTTCGTAGGGCTGTAAGGTGAGATACAGAGTACCGCGTTAGTACTGCGTTATTACCTATACAGACTGCCTCAAAGCGTCCGTCAAATCATCCGTACAGCAAGGTAGGTACTGAGTATCCGTACAGCACACACCACATAGACAGACAGTTCGGAGACCTTTGTACACCACACACCACACATACCAGTATCCGTACAGACTATTTTATGGACTACTCGTACCTACCTGACGTAGCTACACCCACACTGGCAGCAGTAATGATAGTACATACGTACATAGTACATACCACCTTCACCCTCACCTTCACCTTCGCTCGGCACTGGTTTCCGGCAGGCTGATTTGACATAATAATAACAATCGAATTCCGAGAGAAATCGAGACGAGACCGAGAGGAGACCGAGAGAAAGAGCAAGAACCGAGACCAAGACTAAGAACAAGAACCAAGACCGAAGAACCAAGACCGAGAACCAAGAACCAAGAACCAAGACCGAGACCAGCATCAAGAACCAAAACCGAGACTAAAGCTTGAACTCTGACTCCGACTCCGCTATAGTATTACACACAGAAGGAGCGGGAAGGTCCAGTCCTGTTCCCTCAGTACTCCGTACCTTACTTAGGCACGTTATTATTATGCTGCAGATCTGTGAATCCGAATCCGAATCCGTGACTATCCTGGATGAATTAACCGAAGGAGAAGGAGAGTTAGCGACCGGGCACGTGGTTTTTGATTTCTGGTTTTTGATTTCTGAATTTGATTTCGATTGATTTTATTATATTTTTTGGGTTTAGGTTTTAGGGGAGCTAACAAGAGACCGTTACGGGTTGGGTTCAACTCAACTCGACATCGACACGACATGTTTTTTTTTTCACGAGACACGAGACAATTCTCGGTTCAACTCAACTCAACTCGACATGTTTCTTCACGAGACACGAAACGATTCTCGGTTCACGGTTAGGTTGGGTTCGGCGGCTCGCTTACTGCTTGACAGTGGACAGTGGAGGGATTAAACCCACACAAGTAGGTAAATACCCAAAACCCAGAACCCAGAACCCAGAATCCAGATGCAAGGCGCCTGGAACGGCGCGGGAGGGATCTAGGCCCTGATGGCCGGGGCTTAGCCTAAGGCCTTGGGCCAGTCCCTGTGGTGCCTGCAAAAGAACCGGGGCTAAGTACCTACCCTAAGGCTTGGGGGCCTGGGCCCAAGGCCTAAGCCCACAGAGGTAGTGTGAGTCGTGGCGAGTGGCCCGTGACCCTGGCCAGTGACCCGTAGCCCGCCCAGACCCCACTACACGCTACGCGTTATAGTGGGTGCGGGTTATGCTCTGTATGGAATAGTATGTCCCTAACGGTACTAGTACCACCTATCACCTGCCACCTAGGGCGTAGTCAGTAGGACCAGAGGAGAGGAGCTTAGGTACGTATAGGTAACCTGACTCTGTAAAGAGTCCTCCGTAAGGCACACAGTATGTGTATGTGTACTCCGTACACTGTCAGTGTATGGCAATTTCGTATACCTTTAGGTACCTGCCCGTGTGTAAGGTACGAGGTCCTTTGTAAGGTAGCACGCAGTATCCGTACACACATCTCTGTATTGGAGTACGCACATCTCTGTAATAGCCAGCGGATAAATCTCTCGTCTCACAACCACCAGCCTGCGACGCGCCACATGTCTCTGCGCGTTACCTAGAGGCCTAGGGCTCCTAGGGCCACCATTTAACCTCTCTCCTCCCTCCTAATCCCTACTTCCCTCTCTTCCCCTGCATGACCGTGCCGAGCTGAGATGCGAATTCGACTTTCCTGGTATAGATCTGCATTCTCCTTGGAAAACCCCCGGTTCTCGCCTGTCTCATTGAGACGCTGGCAGGTACCTATGCTGTTAGGTGACTGTTTCCCTCTGCTTACCATGCCATACCACCCGTCCCATCCGGTACTCGGTATTGGACCTGCTTTTCGCCTTTGGAATTTCCCTCAACCTTTCATCCCCGATTTCCGGTTTCAGGGTCTACTTGCTTCATCGTCGATGGCGCGCTGTCCCGCGTCCTCCTCCCTGTCTCTTGTCTCCTTCTTCCCCAACCAAAAGGCCATTTCTTCATGGTCATTTTAGATTGACTTTGCCTAGGCGACGCCTGTGCGTTGAACTCGAGTCCCAAGCCGGCCAGCATTTGCCAATCAGCATCGACAACAGCTCTGACCCGAGCCATCCTCTCCTTGCGGATCCATCGTGGCGCTTGATAGCTCGGCGTCTCAACACTTCTTCAGATGCAGAGTCCGTCATCGACGCCACCGAGTAGGTTGACGGCTCTGATCACCGCCCAACCCTCTCCTCCCTCAAGAGCACTAGGCCTTGGACTATTCATACCCCGGCAGGAGTCACTCAAATGGAAAGAAACATCACAAGTGTCGGTTCCGAGTGTCGTACCGAGTTTACAAGACATTGACAGAAGAGGTGGCTATTCTGGATTGCACATCAGTCTCAACTGTCTCTCTCGTTTCGCCGTGCCGTGTGTTAATCTGTCCCCTGGCACCATGATGAGACATCGGCTCACGTCGGGGCAGGGGTATGGAAATCGCACCAACTTCGTGATGGTGGCGCGCGCAGTGTCGCGTCTGGTGGGTCGTGCTTCTCGTGAAATTCGCTCCCGAGTCCTCACTCATAGTTGTCGTCAAGATTCGAGTCGTCGTCACTGTCCTGCTCAGACTGGCGCCTCCTGCGCCTTTGTCCTTCCCGTGTGCCCTTTTTCAATTTCAACGGAAAACCTGCGCCCCGTTCCAATAATCCCCTGACCAAATTGGTGCTAGGTTGAACTTGATCAAAGTCTTTGGCATTGACCACTCTGAACACCTGGCTGACTGCTCGGTCGGTATGTGGCACACACTCCCCCGGCACCAGCTTGCCGGTTGCTAGCTTCATGAGCACGAAGCTGAGGCGGTATTCGCCAGCTTTGCGCACCGAAAGATCTGCAAAGATGAAGAATGCCCCCGGAATTTGATGAGGCTCTCTTTGTGCTCTGTTGGTGGAGCGCGCCGCGGCAGGCAGAAACCTTAATGACGGGCTCGGAGGCGGCACTGGTTTGGTGATCGGATGGGGAGGCATCGTAGCAGGATCGGGATCGTCCGTGGTCGGAGTCACGTTGGCCACATGCGTCCCCAGCAACAGCCGTTGCAGCTCCGTTCGACCATCTTCGGTGACATGCGATATAGTGGTCACGTTCACGTCCGGATTGCGCGCAGATACTAGGTTACAAAACACAACCCACCATTGACTTTGCAGCCCGGCGACGTCCTCCTCTGAATCGGGGTCAAAGTCGTCCATCATCAGCTGCAAGATGGGGGGTGGGTCGATGACTCTTGAAATCAATCAGCCCTGACTTGGAGAATGTGACATTGTCGCGGGGGATGGGGGAAGCACCTTCTGTCCTTTCCATCGGGCCCAGCACGCGCGGCTCTTGGCTGCTGTCTAATGTGCAGATGGAATCGGTTGGGTTTATCACGCTTACTCGACAGTGCTGTCGGAGCTTCCACCGGTGCTGATTCTGTGGCCGAAAACGTAGAGTGGCCGCCGAAGTTTGTCGACGTGTCTGAAAACGAACTTCGACTGCTCGACAGAGGATATGGTGGCGGATCAGGAAGCCTCCCAACAATGGTTCCAAATGGCGGTACACCAAATGCGGGTCTAGAACATATCAATAGCTGGGCAGCAAAAATACATGACCTCCATACCTGGACAGTGTTGGCACTGGACCCTCTGAAGACTGTACCAGAGAGTCTGGTAACGGTCGGGGTGCTGAAGGTATGGCGGCTTCACATAGCGAGTTAAACCCTGGGAGTGCCTGTGCTTGAGGTTGTGGTATAGACAGTGCAGCCGGCCAGGAACTTGTCCCAGAGGGCCGGTGCTGATGCGAGGCAGCTGGTGCTGTTACCGTGTTCGTAGACGATCGGTTGACATCGTTACCCTGGTCCGCACGAGTCTGAGGTGCAAAACGATGGGGTTGCATCACCAGGTGCGTAGAATCATCAGGCTTAAGAAAGTATGGCAGACGGTCTGTCGAATGGAAGGCTGAACTGGCAAAGGGGGTCGAATGCACAGCAGCAACCATGGCCATCCAGTTCTGGAAATGTTTGCTGGGTTCACGCACATCTACATGAACACTGGAGAACCCGGCAGCTTGTCAATAAAATCATGGGACTTTATAACAACGAGAGCTCAGGATGTCTCCAGATCCATGCTTGGCATCACCACCGGGCTGCCAGCGTCCTTTAGCGAGGGATGAGCTGGCGCGATCTGGTGTAGGAGGGCGCCACAGACACAGAATCTGGGCACTGGCAAAAGCTGGAACCGATGCTAAGTGGCGTGACGGAAATGACAGCGGGAACAGACCGGGGAGCTGCCGCTTAGAAGCTGTGCATTTGATGGGAAACTGAAAGATGGTAGATCTCGTGGGGGGAGGGGGGGAGGGTCTAGGAAAAAGAAAGCGATCACCGAGATTCGGGGCAGGAGAGGGAATGGTGGAACTGAGGGTTTGTGATGTGTGAGTTCGGCTGTGTCCCAGGTATCCCAATCTGTGACCCGCTCAGGCTGGCTGGCTCACCAGCTTGATGGCCACTAGCCAGCGGCAGATTTTGCACCTACTGCACTGCAGGGCCTGGAAAAGGTCTGGTGAGCGTACGGATGTACTCCATACGTATGTGCAGGGGGGGTTGCTGTAGACCTACGGTACTCCGTTCTCGGGTTGCGTCCATCGAAGATTCCCAACCCGACAACTGTCGGAAATGTCAAGGCTGCGAACAAACTTCAAAAGTCAGCATGTCTTGGATCAAAGCATGATCTGAAAGCAGTCTATTGATCATCCTCTTCGGGCAAGAATCGCCGTCTGTGACCGCAGTCTATAACCCGTCAGAGTCAGCAGCAGAGCCCGAAGGAGACGAGGCCCGCAGATCACGGGCTGGAACAGGTTATCTTGGGAAGCTACTAATTCCCGGTTTCTCCGAGTCCTGGTTGACTATTCCATCAGCTCCAGATCGACCGTGTTGTCGCACTCGGAGAAGCGCATGGCGTCTGCCCAGCAGCTGGTCAAGGCGATCGGAGAGGGAGTTCGATGGTCAAGGCGGACAGCAGAGAAAGAGGCGGGTGGTAATTGGGGGACGGCGCATGCTGCGTAACAAGCTTGCTGGCAGGCGCTGAGCTGAGTAGGCAGCGGTAAACGACGCCAGATTGCGGTAAACGGGGTACGATGGGACGTGGACTGACAGATGTGACGTGAGAAGACAAGGCAGGGGAACTGACCGTGGTACCTGGCACCTAGCACCGCCCAAGACGCCGTTTCGCAGATGAGTAGCCCAGTCACAACCTGCGCCGGCGCCGGAGCCACGGTTTTTAGCGATCCGATCAGACCCATGGCAGGCGGGACGGAGACGATCGACAACGGGCCAGACGTGACTTGATTATTAGTAGGTCGGCTATACTGGAGCCAGACCGAGCAGAAGAAGAGCGGTGGGAGGGACACATAAGGTTCCATGCTGCCTTTGCCAATTTCAGGACTGCCAGTAGGTGCCAGGAATCCTCTTGAGGGCCAAAGCTTACCTATCCAACAGCTACGGCTGCGTACCACCGCGTTCAGACCCAAGCGAAAGAACATTCTGCAAGCCTAATGCGGCTTGCAGGGGGGACGAATCAGGTACCCAGTAGATTACAATGACGCCACCAAGTGCAGTCAAAGCTGATGCTGTGAAGCTGACAGTGGCCTCAGGTAAAGGCCGGTGGCCTTTTGCAGCGCAGTTTGCAATGCAAGGAAGTTGGGGTGCAGGGTGCAGGCATTGTGCCAACCTGGCAACCTGCGCCTTGTGGTGTAGTGGGGCTGAGAAAGCTTCGATCCGCGCAGCAAATGTAGTGCTTGCCTTGAGCCACGGCGCCTGTTGCAATCTTGAGCATAAACTTCCACTCGCAATGGTAGGAGCAGCAAGCGGTGAGCTCCTCTGAGGAGAATGTTCGGCACTGAGTCTAGTAGCCTGTAGGAAAATTCTGACCTCACGAGTTCTTGTGACCCGGTGCCGACACCACGAGAAAGGGCGCCTTTGCCGCGAACATCCTACGAAACAGGATCACAGGCTGTGAAAAAATTGGACTATCACTTGCGGAGGTTTGACGCCATTCACGGGCTGGTACGGTCACGATGCCCTCGCATTACATATTACATCCTTTCCTCGTTGCCATCTCTGGGACGGTTCAAGTCTTCATGAAGTCTATCGATCGACAGAGTGGGGGAAGTAGACGCACCCATCTCCATCTGGGGAGACGACTGCGTGTGGAACTTGATCGGAAAACGATCTGGTTTCTGCTGGCAAGCGACACGGAGCTGGTTTAAAGACGCATGGACTACAGTGGACACTGGACACAGCGGAAGAGAAGCGGAAGAGACGGCTTAGGGCTACGTACTCGGAGTCTTGATCTCGGCTATCTGCCTCGATCGCAGAGGACGGCAGATTGTGCGCAGAGCTGGTGACAGGCACCTGATAGGGCTAGGATGGACATATCAGCGCAACAGCGACACAGACCATGCAGATATGCAGACCGGCTATGCACAGTCCTTGAACGTACAGTATGTGAAGAAGTGCCAGTGGTTCTTCTGCAGTGTTTACGACTGCTGTCCAACCCCAACCCCCAACCCCGATCGTAGCAGAGCCAGAGCCAGTGCATCGTGGAGAGCTCGGAAGGCCAACCTGTGTCTAGAGGGGCGTTTCAGATCTGCTTTGCACTTTATTACAGCATATACTACAGAGTATGTCAGATCGTCCAGTTCCTTCAACTCTCACCGTGACACTGCAGTTGGGGATGCTTGTCAGTGCCTGGTCCCTAGGTAGAGGTACCTAGGTACCTGCTGGGTAAGGTACTAGGGACGGTGGTGATATTATCGGTGTCTGACAGATGGTTTCACTCGGTCAGACCCCTTTGCTGCCCTCACTTGTCCGTGTGTCTTACCCCGCACAAGTCAATCAGTTATCATGTCTGACGAACTTTTTAGCGAAGCAGGAATATCAATAAGCCGTACTTCGTCACTACTACGGCATGGACAGAGTCGCCCTTCTTCTCGTCGGCACAACCTTCCTCCAACCTGTGTCAGACAGAACCTACTGTGCTGTCATCAACGACCTGATGTAGCTCCCACAATCACCCAGACTCAAACTCGAACTCAACCAGAGTGAAGTGTCCATAGTCACGAATCGAAAGAGAAGCGAACCTTAGGGGTGAACCTAGTAATGGTGCACCGCCGGGATAACAGAAGCTTGTCCTCCGACCCAAACCCTTTCGATGTTACTCCTACTATCCTCCTGTTGTCATCTGTCTCATTCGTCTCAGGGCCAGCTTCTTGATTCAGCCAACAGTTAATCTACCTACTTGTTTGCTAAGGGATCATTTGACAGACCACATGGGTATGTCCAAACTCTGCCTCTACATATGGGGTCCGCTCTTCACCGACCTCCCTCTCGCTCTACGATTGGCCTAGCAGTTCACCATCAGTGGCGAGTGGATTACAACCCTATCCATGTCGTTGGGAGGACCACCATGCTCTTCTCCCATATCTTTCACCCAGAGATTGACTGCATATGCCTCACTTCCTCCGTCATACGTGAGCCACACCAAGCTTTCAGCAAGTCTGCCCTGTGGTCAACTCTGATCCCCGATCTGAATCCAACGCATTTTCTCTCAGAATCGTCAGGAGCTGTGACCCATTTGGTTTGATAACCTGCACGCCGGTAAGTGGCGGAGTCAGCATAGGAAGCAAACCCACCAAAAGGATGGGGAAGATAGTTCATGCGCGTTCTTACTCGATCAGGTTTCCATCGGGGTCGCGGATGTAGACGCTCCGTAGCTGACCTTGGGCTCCAGTCCTTGCTACCACCTGACCGCCTTCAAGGACTGTGATCCCTTTCTCTAGAAGCCTTTCTAACACCTGATCCACACTGTCTTCCACCAGGAAACAGAAGTCCCCGCTCCCAGGTTGGACATGTTGAGCCTTAGGCTCGAATTCTTTGCCGCTCAAGTGCAGGTTGATCTTCTGTCGTCCAAAATGGAGTGCATGCCGAGTGATGCTGGGATCCTTGGGATCAGCAAACGAGCTATGTTCCATCCCTAGAATGTCCTGATAGAATTTGACGGTCGAACCGATGTCTCTGACCGTCAAGACGAGGTGGTCAAGTGACTTGACTCGAGACATTGGATTCATTCTTGGCTTGATGCCCGTTCCAGTTGCCTGCGAAGTCTCCGAGACGGTTGAGTCGAAGCGCCGGTAGATGTAGACCTCACACAATCAAGATGCTGGCCAAACGCCGCGATCCATGACATCAGTTGCTAATCCCGATTCAAGGTACCACCAGGTACTCGTACGACAACTGCAGTAGACGAGGAGATAAGAGGAGATGAGATGAGATGAGATCCGAAAACACAACAGATGAGATAACCTTAGATTAGATTAGACCGGATTAGATTAGATGGGGCTGGATTAGTGATTAGTGCATCTTCACCCTTTTGTAGTTCACCTCATTCACCTTCTTGTTACCATTCCTACTAATTAGGTGATTCTAGCCACGCGTCGTAGCTGGGCTCCAACGTCGAAACCATCGTTCGACCTTTTGACTTGCGCCGTCCCGAGATCTGATATAGCATCTCTTTGCAAAGCCAACCCTCGACTTTCTCGCAACATGGTAACAACAAGAGCCCAAGAAAAGAAGATCCATGAGACTCCCAAGTCGTCTGCTTCACAGAATGGCTCCTTAGTCGTCACAGCTACGCCGGTGCCATCGGGTGACAGTCCAGGGTATTTCACACCAGCGACTTCGAAACCTGCCCGCATTGTTACCCAACCCACATTGTTGGAACAGCTCGAAAATGATGGCAATGAGGCGATGCAAGAGGCTCCAACTCCCCAAGCTTCACAAGGCGATGACTCGCAGTTAGTTGTTGAGATTCGGAGTCAACCACCGTCGGAAGAGGAAAACTCGGCTGGTGGCGATGTTCCTTCCAAGGCTTGGCCGACCGACGAGGAGAAAATCCCTTCTGTTTCGGACGGAGAGCCAGCTTCTGACATCAACACTGAGCTGCCTCAGCGTCCAAAGGCGCCCGAGTTGTACTTCACCCCAATGACGACCAGTAAACGCAAGCGTTTTGACGGCGATGGCGCAGATGACTCGACACTTGAGCCTGAATCTCTGCAGGAGCAAACTCCTAATCAGCCTGGCAGGGAGGATTCGGAGATACCAGAAACCGAAGATGAAGACGATGCTCCTGAGGTGTTGAGCAGCAAGGCTGCCGCGCAACAGGCTCTATCGACACCTATTCCGCCCTCTCGGAGCTCAACTAGGAAGAGGAAGAAGACGAGCGTCAACGCTGACGCTGGGGTAGCAACCTCGACGCTAGGAAACGACTCCACGCCTAAACAAGTAGGCACAGAGAGAGATTTCGCCAGCCTTTCCCAGCCTTTGGAGGCGGCGCCACGAGGACAGTCCGACGAAACCCCTATTGAAATGCCTGCGGAACTCATCTCCACGAGCTCGCATGGTGCGCTTGAGAATCCACCAGCGCCGCTTACACCTGGCGAAGTTCCTGCTCCTCTGTTCGGGACACACCAAGAGAACACAGATGCAGCTACAGCGTCGAGCTCGATCGATACTGCTCAGGTAGACCAGGCCGCTCCCGTCAAGGCACTGTCAGATGTCCAGGAAGAGATGCCGTCAGCGGTGTCCGGGGATCCCATCCCTGATCCTGAAATAGTAGACGCCGACGTTCGAATGGACGATTGGCAAGGCAGTCAAGATGTCAATGATGGATCTGCAGTTGCCGGTAGTAACGCGCAGATCAAATCCGACGACGTCCACATCCCCTCGTACACACCAACCACGTCAAGTCAGCAGAAGGAGAAGGACGTCGTCCCAGACCTGGAAATTGCTACGGACGTTGCAATGCCAACAGTACAGGCCGAATCTGCGAGCAGTGCATCAGGCCGAGATCGATTCGCATCACAAACGAGACCGAAACCACGACCGTCTCGGCTCCCGGCACCGCAAGCAAAGGCGACTTCGCTCCAGAACTACCGAGAGAGCCTTCTGAACCGGCACCCACGGACAACAAAGTGGGGTCCGCGCAGAGCCAGGTTTGTGGGTGTCTGAAACAAAACGACAGAGACTCGTTCCTGTTGGAATCAGATGCGACAACACGCTGGAGGTGCGAAGAGAACACAACAACACACTGGCGGTGCGAAGAGAACAGACAACACGCTGGAGGCGCGAACAGAACACGACAACACACTGGAGGCGCGAACAGAACACAAGAAAAAAGCAGCCAAGAGGCAAGAGGCAAGAGCCCCATGTTTGCAAAACACATTACATCACATACCTATCAAACACCTAGGAGATGACTGTGACTGAGACTGAGACTGTTCTTGATTGATTGACACACAACGACGGAAGAACCTGCTCAATCTGTCTCAACCTAATTGTCTGCCTATGGAGGGCCGACGTATCGTCTCGACCTAATTGTCTGCCTAACCAGGGCCGATGTATCGTCTGTGTGAGTGTCTGCCTAATTAGGGCTGATGGATCTTCTGTGTGAGTTACAGCACAGCACAGCCCTAAGCTGTACTGTACAGCTGAACCGACCGACGGCCCCAGACTTGACGCGACGAGGCATGCATGCATTGTGTTTGTGAGATGGACAGACTTGACGCGACGAGGCCTGCATGCATTGTGTTTGTGGATGTGAGATGGACAGACTTGACATAGAATACACGGGAACATAAAAGTTGTTGTTGTTGTTGTCTTTACGGAGTACTTGGATGTGTTGTGTTGTCTTTACTTGGTTGGATGCATGGCGAACACACGGACACGGAAAATAGATCTGGATAACTAAGGTGCCTGAGGTACCTGAGGTAAAACTGAATTGTACACCATGTCCACGAGGTACGGAGTACTTCGCCTTCGCCTTCCCATCACTGTCTGCGTCCTCCGTCCCCATTAAAGTCTTCACTACTCTACTACGGACCTCGAGCTCCAAACGGTTCAATCGCACGTCAAGAAACGTCAGTCGTAGTTGATGCTCATTTGAATTGCTCGAAACCGCCAAAGTAAAGTCCTGGCTTCATGGTGACGATCGTCATTGTTATTGTTATTCGTATGCTTTGTAGATTGCTCTTGTTGAAGTACAAAGGGACAAGTACTCGGTACAGGAACAAGACAGTCTGATACCTTGGAACTCCGAGTTCACTGCCTCGTCAGTCCAGGTGCACCAGACCCGACTACATAGGCGGCTATCCTGCATTTCTCGAAAAGGGGAGGGGGAGAGAAGAGGAAACAAGAGATGAAAAGGTAAAATATCAGCCCTTGTGTCTGCATGGATCCTCCTTGCCATATGCCATCTCCGGTTTAGTGTGGGCCAAAAGATGGGAACAACAGCAGAGCAGTGTCAATGACGGTGTTTCAACAGGCCCCGTTTCTCCCTGTGACCGCTCTCACGGCTAGCGCTTCGATGCGCCGGGCGTACAGGTCCATTGCGTGAGCAAGAGGATCACCGAAGATGACTTGTCGCAGCTGCTCATCCTTGACGATAGAGGCTGTCACGTCAGACTCTTTGCCGCCGTCCGGCACGCGGAGAACTATCAGACGGCCAGCATTCGATAGGGTCGCGGGTGGGACTTCCCACCACAGCTTCCGGGTCGGTAAGGATGGCTTTGATTTCGGCTGCTTCGCCTTCGGTTTCTTCGTAGGGTTCAGGGACAGGTCGAGTCGAGATATTGAAGCTCCTAGCATGTTCAGGGGAGCAGTGGAAGGACACGTCGTAATGGCCTCGATCTTGGCCTTGGTGTCAGTTTTGGTCTTGTTGGCGGGGAAAGACGGAATCGGGCGGGCAAGAAGATCGACTAGACTCTTGACATATGCCCTTTCAGCACGCACAACTGGGTCACCTTCGTTGATGAAAGAGTGGAACAGACATTTGCGCAGTCGCCCGTCAGCACTGTCGGGTTTCTGGAGGGCCAGGAGACTGACAGGCGGCGCGCCAAACGCGATGCAGTGAACCCTCTTGAAACAGCCCGTCAAGACATTGAGTTCCGACTCTACCGTCTCGGCGAGCATGTGGGCGTACAGAAGGCTGGCCACCGCGCCCCCAGCACTGTGACCCGTGATTAAGAGAGAGCAGCTGGTCCGATTGGGGTTCTCTTCCAGGAGATGCCGCAGCCTTGCCGCGATAGGCCTGACCATTGCTTTGGCGACTTTCAAAAACCCCGAATGGCACAGGTTGCCTGCGTCATCGAGAAAGCCTGCTGGCGATACTGGCTCGGTACTCAGATTGACTCCCCAGTCACGAATGCTGAGCATGCTGGTCCCACGGATCGCGAACACAATCGTCTTTTTGTCGTCGCATGGTATCGACTTGATCACCATTGCCTTGGTGCCGAGTCGACTGTCGGCCGACACAAAGTCCTTGCGTTCCGCCGTCGAGCGCGGCGAGTAATAGGCCGACGCGGAACACTGTGCTGCGAGGCACAGGAGTGGGTATGTCGGCATGTACACTCGCAGAGGAGGCAGTGAAGCAGGTAGTCGCGAATTCATATATAGGTCGACCTTGGAGAATACATTGACCTCCTTCTCTTGACCTGCTGGTTTCGGCGGCGGTTGAGCCTTCTCCTGCCTTACCAACGCCCTCCGCGACTGTTGAGCCGCAGAGTATATTCCACCATCATCCCCACTGCCAGATTCCTGTAGTGTAATAGCAAGCTCTTCTGAAGAACCTGAAAATGCTTCTTCGTCAATCAGCGATATCACGTCACCCAGTTTGTCTCCAATCTTCTCTTGCAATCCATAGCCAGCAAGCCGTGGTGGGCCAGAATGTGCATGGATTGTCTGCGACTGGGGCCAGGTATGCTGAGGTTGCAAAGATGCCGTACTGCAATCTACTTGTCCGTTACAGTTCGGTGGCAGGGAGACGGTCGAGCCACCGTAAGGCTGAGGTACTGGGCCGACATAGTGACCCTGCGGCTGAGGCCATAGAGGCGGTTGCTGCTGATACACGGCCGTCGGTGTGCTCAATGGGTAAGGAAGAGGACTCGATGCGATGAACACAGGAGCTGTTCCGCCCGTACGGTCCCCATTCTTCTGTCGCTTAGATGCTTCACTGAAGAAGAGAGGCATGGTCTCTTCTGGCTTCAATGGGGGCGCCGCATCGCAGTCGACCGCCCGGTGTTGACATAACTTGGATGATGTTGGTCACCCTTTGCGTCGCTGGATGGTCTTAAAGATGGAATACGCCCCAATACTCGTGGAGCCTCGCCTTCCGCCTTGCCGCCTGTTAGTAGCTTAGCAGCTCCAAGTTGTCAACATCGAGGTTACTCGGCTCACTGGGTGCACCTCCGGCGTCTGCGCCACGATCGGCGTCCAATCACGTTTCAAGGACGGCGTCTTCCTAGGCGGAGTACGGAGTACCGTGCAGCTCGATTGTTTTAATCCCCCTCGCTGTATAGTGTATAGTGTACAGTATCCAGTGTACTCCGTATGGATACCTTACAGTACTAAGGCCAAGTGTCTTGTAGTAGCAATTCACGTCTGTGTGGACATGGTACGGGTACTGCAACTTCAAGGGTTTCACAAGGCTCGGATGTCTCTTACGATCTTAGAAGCCTGGGCTCAAGCTTCTACGCCACGTTGGTCCCTACGCGGCCCACGATGGAACGATATTGTGCCTGTGTGAATCAAGTGTCTTCCATCCAAAAGCTACCAGGTATAAAGTCGAGCATTCGGCTCTGCATTGCATTTACGTGGTCAGAACCCAGAACCCAAAACAAACCCATAGCAGTAACCATCGGCCGGCGCGCTCAGATCGCTGTCCCCCTCTCAAAACTCTCCCGGATATCAGTGGTGTATCGATCATAAAACCGGGCCAACTTCAAGTTGAACTGCTTGTTCTTGTCGTTGATGTAAGTGACATCGCCTTCGTCGGCCTCCCGTCCGCGGTCACGGCGTTTCTTGAACCTTGCTTCCTCTGCCTTTTTCAAGTCATTCACCAGACGGTCAACATTCTCGCGTTTCGGCTTCTGTTCCACAAAGCCTGTACTTTCGTTGTTCGCATAGAATCGCCCATCTTTATCAATGGCAACCAGTTCCCCGTTGTCCATTTCCACAATCTCCAGTCCTCCTGTTCGCGCTGCATTTTCCAATATCTCGGCTTTCTGCCGCTCATAATCCTCTCGGTGCTTGCCACCGTCTTTCCGAGCGTTCTTCTCCAATTCACGGATCTGCCGATCGTACATTTTGCTGGCTTCCGCGCTGTAGTCCTTGAAAGCGTTGTTTTCTCGGTTGCCTTTCTTTTGTTGCATACGCTCATCCCATCTTTCGCTCTCTTCAATGGTATAATCCCAAGCACGCTTGCGTTCGAATGCCCCTTGACCTTCGTCCTCCTCCGTATCTGCTTTCAGTATGTTGTGGGATGCAATTGCCGCTTTCCTGTTGAGGCTCGCGAGCAGCTCGGGGTCCACGGCGGCGCGGTTGGCTTCCGCTTTCGCTTCGGCAAGATTCGACTTTGCGGACGCCGTTGCTCGCGATTTCAAAGCCGCAAAGCGCGCTAATCTATCTGCGGTAGAATCCTTGGTAGAGGTAAATCCTACCGCTGCTCCTTGGGCGTCGGCTGATTCAGCCGCAACATTGCTCTCATCTTTCTGCACGCCTTTTTCCTCTTGGGAGTCTTTCTTGACCTCTGGATTTGGGGATGAGGCTTCGTCAGGTAGCGGGCTGAGTTTGCGCCGCTTTGCGGGAGGCATGGCGAGTCAGAGGTAGAACGTATTGCAACAGGGGTAAAATCAGCTTAGCAGGGAGACTTCGTTGATTTTGATTACATAGGCTGCCAATTTGAGATTGTTGTACGGAGTGCTCGATGTCAAACACTGCCAGCAGAGTGCGGAAAAGGCTGGCTCGCCGCACCTTCCTCTTGGGGAGGGCGAATCGATGACGTTAAAAGTTGCCCAAAAAGTTACCCGACGATGAGTCCACATGGTGGTATATAACAGGAGTAGATCTTTGAGAAGACCTGGACAGCTTCAACCAGACGATCCCTGCAGATGGCCCAGGCGGCTAAGAAAAAACTAGTTGTCGCTGGTGGAAATGGATTCTTGGGGACTCGCATCTGCAAATCTGCGGTCGCTCGAGGTTGGGATGTCACCTCTATAAGGTATCCAGCTTATATATCCTCCTGCGAGCACTGCTAATCGCAGCCTAGTCGCTCTGGCGAACCCAGATGGTCTTCAGTCACATCGGAATCGACTCCTCCTCCATGGTCAACTTCTGTAACCTGGGCCCAAGGTGACATCCTGAAACCAGCCACCTATACTTCGCACCTGAAAGACGCTGAGGCCGTTGTACACACGATGGGAATATTGCTGGAGGCAGATTATAAAGGAGTCATCTCCGGAAAGGAAGGTATACTGTCCGGATTGTCGAGGGCATTCAGCACAGCAAAGGCCGGCAGCTCGAACAACCCCTTAGACCGCCAACCTGGAGGAGAGCTAGGAAAAGGCGAGAAGGATGGCCAAATCACATACGAGCTCATGAACAGAGACTCTGCCATTGCCTTGGCACAGGAAGCTGAGAGATCGGGAGCAAAGACTTATGTCTACATCTCAGCCGCAGCCGGGGCACCCGTGCTCCCTAACAGATACATCACCACTAAGCGCGAGGCCGAGAGTACCATTGCAAACAAGATGGTCAATCTCCGAAACCTATTCTTCCGGCCAGGATTTCTGTATGATGAGAGCCGAAAGTTTACCCTCCCGATAGCCGCCTCCGGCATGGTTGGTAGCACAGTCAACAGCATGGTAGGAGGCAGTTTGACCCGCATTTTCGGTGCTGCAGTAGAAAAGCCGCTCAAAGCAGACCTGGTTGCAGAAGCAGTGGTGGAAGCCATCGCTGACGAGTCTGCCCAAGGGGTGGTGGATACAAAGCTGATCGAGGCTTTGGCGGCAAAAGCCTGGCGAAGGACGATGCTCTGATCCGGGGGACTATTCAGTGCATTTGTTGTATATTCTAGTAAAAGAGTTCGGCATTGTTTTACTACCATTGACGGCGGACTGGGGAATTGTGATACACTCTGTATAGGCTATGGAATGAATGGAGGCGCAACTCCATTTCACCCAACCGACCTAAGTTCGTACCACAGATCTGCGAACTCGGTGTAAGGGCCACAACATGCGACCAGACACCCACTCTCTCACGTGTTGTATGAAGCAAAGCCTGCAAGGAAGCTGACCCCGGCTTGAACGATGTTGGAATTCAGTTCTGGTAACCTAGTCTTCGTCACTCCGCCATAAGTGTCAAGCCTGTAGCATACCTCGAGCCCCCTGAGCAGGGGGTCCGAGAGCTCTATCATACAGACTGAATCCCTGAACGCCCTGTACTTGTTCCCAACCCGCTATGCTTTCCCACATCCCAGAGTGAGGATCATTTATTAGACACATCAATTGGTCGAAAGGTTGTCCTTCATAACCAGCAGAAAGGTCCGCGAAAGAATTGCAGTTTTATACAGAGGGTGTACCCAGACGAGGCCGCCGCTATTTCGTCGATCATGAGACAACTGCACCTGCCTGCCTTGCCGACATGGTCAGGCGGTTAAAGACTTGCTGTAGTAGAAGCCTGCTCCTCAGGAGGCTCGAAGAGAACTTTGCGGGTTAACTACAGGATATGTTAGCGGAGATCATCTTGTCACATACTAGAAGTCGACTTACGGCCCAAGTTCCCGCCAGTGAGGCAACAATGCCGCCAGAAATGAACATTGGTTTCAGCCCTCTTGTGCATTTGAAGATGGCGCCGCTGAATGCGCCCGCCAAAATACTGTTCGTGGCATCATGCTTCCCTCTGTAATAATCAAGTGTTGAGTTGATGCCGTTGTACATCATCGCAACCACACCAGCCGAGTTCCCGAGGAAAGGTCCTCGCCGGGTGATGCTGTTCAAGACGCTGTTCAACCGTAGCTTGGGAGGCGCCGACGCAGGTGTTCGATTCAGACCTTCTATCAGACCCCATGCTCCTCCCGTAGTTAAAGCTGTGAGATAGACGAGCCCTGTCCCGTAACACAAATCATCCGACCAACCGCGAGAAGGTAATATTGATCTGGAGCCCGGGAGCTGTGACAGTTGCGATTCGTCTAAGGTAAGGTAGTCCAGAGTTTGTTGGTTCAAACCGGCGAGAGGATGGAGTTTCGATGCATCTGGAAGAGAGGAGCTACCGAGAAACGATGATACATCTGTTGGGGCGGTAGGATCGAAGGAGGGTGCTTGCGCGAAGCCCCCAGCCGACGGCGCAGGCTCTGCATGCTGGGGCTCCGCACTTTGTCTGGATGATTTCCTGCCGGTGAAGGCGTCCCAGATTGACATGTTGAAAGGGGCTTCGCGAATCAAACACAGAGAGGAAAAGAAATCGAACCAAATCGAATTGGCCGGTAGGATCGTGCTCAAAATCGAAGTGAAGGACCAAACTTGTCGAAGAAAATGTTCGAGATAGAGCGAAAGGCCGTAATTCCGAGCTTGACCCGATCGGGACATACCCGCGATACAGAGAAATACCAGCAGTAAAAAATATGTATACTCCGTACCTAGGATCTATTATCTATTTTTCACTACACTCTCCGGACATTAGGACGATGGACTGTCTCAGAGGGCCATGCCTCTCTGGCAATGGCCGGTGACACTAGAGATGACCTGCACTTTCCAATTGCTCATCCTCCTATCCACTCCCTCTGCTCGATGTCGCTGGAGCGACCCAGGGTAACGATTATGGAAATAATCAATGAGGCACTGGCGACAGATGTCCCCCTTCCAATCCGAATCCTGTCGGAACTGGGCAAAGGATCTTTGCAGAACTTTTTCCGCAATACTCCCGAGGCATCTGAGCCCTCTCGGCTGTTCGCCCTCTGGCGCAAACTCGTTCTTACCACAACCAGCCCTCAGGTGGTCAACACCCATATCACCGCTGCCTGCAATGCCCTATGCGTATACCTGAACGGGGGCTCCTCAAGCGCGCTTGCTGAGATCCGGGATTTCGTCCACTCTGAAGAGACGTGGTTCGATGCTTTTCAATGTTGCCACAAAGCCTTCGGCGATGGAAAAACAAAACCGGCCTTTCAAGTCCTGGAGAGTCTCTGCCACCTGCTCAAGGATATAGACCAAGACACCACCGCAACAATCTTGAAAAGAGCCGCGCTTCCGTTGATCAGGGTTGTTCTTCTGTCGTCCCCACGGTCAGATCTCAAAAAGGCCTGCCTCATTTTGACCTGTTTTGTTCGAAAAACACCAATACTGGGCCAGTTGGAACCACTCGTCAGACAATGCACGGAACTACATTATTTGGTTTGGATGCGACTCCTGGCAAGATATAATATTCCTCTCGAACAGATATCCCAACTCGGTGGGGGCAGTATCACAGATCTTTTCCTTGCGTTAACCTTTGCCATGACCGACCATGATACAAGAACTTCGGCTCTCAAGTTACGCTCAACTCTATGCAGTAGCGACTCCAAGCTGGAGATCTTGGCTCAGAGTGTTGTAGAGTTATACCTTGAGAGCAATCAATCCGCACTGGGTGATTTTGCAGAAAATGTCTTGCCCACCATCCTCAATACCAAAGAAAAGCTCATGGGTTTTGTCGAGCCGTACGTCAGCTCCGGGTTCGAGGATGAGACGATGATGGCAGTGTTTCTCGCTGTTTTGAAGGTTGGACGGCTTCAGGGTCTTCTCTCCGAACAAGGTACGTGCCGTTCCTCCGCCACACCACTCGCTATGTATATTTGCTAACAACAAGTTAGAGATACTGGAAATATTCCGCGTCAGGCCTACCCGACTCTCCGACAATGGGCCTGACTACTCTCGCTTCAAGCGTTTGATGGCCACCGCCAGCCCTGAAATACGAATTCTCGCCTATAACCTTCTCACCTCATCACCGTCAGGAAACGCCCCCGTCCCCTCGGGTGTCCTGAACTGCATTTTGTCGAGTCTGGACTATCTGCATGATGATGCTGATGCGCATGAGAGGAGCGAAATACTGAGCACCACGCGGAGGCTGTTGAAAAGAATTCAATCCAGTTTCTTATCCCTTCGTAAATCAGCCACCTCACGTGCTGGTCTTAGCGAAAGCAAGACAATTGAAGCAGAATACAAATCATTTGAATGTCGTTTGTACAATTTCTTGAAGGCTGAACTTCGGGCTGGTGTCTCCTACCCGCGCCACAGTCTGAGCCTGCGCTCTTTGCAATACTTCTTCGACACGACAATCGCGCCGGATGTCTTCGAAAATGACAGAGAACTGGCCAAATCTCTGTGCTGTCTTGTTCTCGACCCATTTGAGGAAGTGCGAAGCACTGCCTCAACCCTGCTCCAGTTTCTCGCCGTCCAAGTTCCAGACTTGGTGTCTGGGGCTATCAGCGCTGCAGCTTTGAATAGGATCGGGGTCGTGGCAGCTAAAACTATCAGGGGTGATCATGCAGATGGATTGGGGAGGCTTTGGGCTGTGTCCGGTCTCTCGCACAAATCCACGTTGCTGTCCTCCCCGATCGGACACGAGACTGCAGCTTATACAGGCCTGTCGCAACTTATATCACTATTGAAACAACTAACGTCGACGTCCGGAGATCTGAGGCCTGGGTCCAAGCATCCCATTCACGCCTATTTGCTGGCAGTCCATTATCGACTAAGGGATCTACAGGCTCATGGGGATGAACAGATGGATAATAACTCTGTCCCAATCTTGAATATTTGTGTCAAAGTCTGGGACCACGTGCGGACTCAACTTTGTGTTGACTCGCCGGAGACTTCATCAGAGCCGGAGGATGAAGACACTAATGAAGGGCCTAAGGATCTTCTGGCTTACTCGTGGCGAGCACTGCGAGACTCTAGGTACCACTTCGTCTTCTAGACCTCATGTCCTCCGCTAACGCAATCAGTCTTGTCATACAGTCCTTGATCATCGCTACAAAGCCTAGCAGGGTGCTGTATTCGGCAATCGGTGATCTTTGTATGGATCAGCTAATTTCCCTGCGGCATCGAGGAGCGTTTTCCACCGTTGCTCAGACCTTCACATTGTGCTGCGACAAAGTTCGCGCAAGTCCGGACGCTGCTACGCGTGAGCTCATAGAAGCGTGGTACACAGTAAGTACAGCCCCCCAGAACAGCATGAAGCGTTGCTGACCCACAACAGATTGCACTGCATCAGATTGATGAACAATCCGATCGTCTCACCCGTCGCTCTGCGGGCCTCCCTGCGATGATGGTGGCCCTGCTCAGTCCTGCTGACAACACGTTCTTCTCTGTCGCAATTTCTGATCTCATGGACGTTGCTAAACGACCAACTGGTGACGGGGATTCTGACGCGGGCAACATGAAACTACCGCAGGTCCATGCACTAAATTGCCTGAAAGAAGTCATGACCAACTCACGATTTTCGGCTGTTGTTGTTCAGTATCTTTCTGGAATACTTGCATTGGCGGCCAACTGTCTCTCTTCCAGGATTTGGGCCATCCGAAACTGTGGATTGATGCTGCTAAGGGCATGCATAAATCGCCTCGATTCGACAAGCGTAAACGAGGCCTCTAATCACGTCGACCAACTTGCCAACCGCGAAGCCAGCACTGGCAATCCGTTTATGATCGCGGTCCGTCTGCTAGGATCAGCTACAGACAGTGCCAACAACCCAGATTCCGCCACGGAACATGTCTTTGCTGCATTAGACCTGATTGGTCATGTGCATCCTGATGAAGCGATGGCGGATGAGACAAACAATATCATCCTGCGGCAACTGTCTAACTCAACGTGGGCTGTCAGGGATCATGCGGCGTCCCTGCTGGCCACTCGACTATCTGGCCTGCAACCATCATTCGCAATGAAGAAGCTTATCGGAGAACCTCGACTGAGTAGACATGAGAATGAAGCTCATGGCATGCTACTCTGTTGCAAATACATCCTGACATTGGCTGGTGGAGCAACCACCGAGCCTGAAGTCAAGTCGGTCGTCGATGTCCTTTTGAAAAGCACTTCAAGAGAAGAAATAGGTGGACGCTCGCCTTATGTCAGAGCTGCTTTCCTCGATGTACTGAACGAGACTGCTGCGCTCATTTTGAGCAACAGCTGGGATCCTAGCAGTCTCGAGAACGCTTTCTCATTCGAATCCTTCCAGTCTTCAGCAGTGTGTAATTCAGTTCACTGGCCCTATCTCCTGCGCCGGATCCTTCTGTACCGGACATACCTCTACATGCTCCGAGACGTTTCATCCTCTTTTCCAGATCAAGAAGAGAGCTCATTGATCACTTCATTCCTTGCCGCACCGGATTCGCTGCGTTATTTGCTGGATGTCATCAAGGCCAAGCATTGCAAAGCACCCGCACGCGCCATGATCAGGTTCCTTGTCATTCTCATACACCAGGGCTACGACGAGTTGTGCTCCCAGCCGGATATCCTTCATCAAGCATTTTCATGCTTAGCTCACAGCCTAGAGCATGCAAGAGACATTCCTGTCGGCGTCCTGCAGCAGATCAGTGGCAATATCGGCCTCGATCAGCTGGCATCCACTCGCGAGCTTGGAAACATGGCGATAGAGCTAGAAGCATTTCTATTGGGCATAGAGCCACCAAGTCATGGAGGTACTGAGGCTGCTTCACGAACCAAACAGTGGTTATCACGGGTCGAGTTCGCAGCAGCCGACCTGTTGGATTTTCCAACCAGACTCAGTGCAGCAAGAGCACTGTCAAGATATGCCGGGAGTTCCAAAGGCCTGCAAGGCCTTGGTTCGACGCATGAAATTACCCTTCGTTTGCTGCTGGTGTTGTATGATTTGTTGAACGATGACGATGAAGAGGTTCGCTTCGAGGCTGTTCAAGCTACGCGTGAGTTCCAGCTACGCCGATCTCCTGCGATGGAGAATCTGGGACTGTGCGCTTTTGCTGCAAGGGAACTGCTGCTCAATGAGATAAACCAGCGGTATCTAGGAACAGAAGCATTGAGCTATGCTGCTATCACGAAGTTAATGAAGGTCGGGCAAAATGGGGAGGGTCCAGTTGACATGGACGTGATCACCGCCCCTTTTCAGACCCCAGTTGCGTCAAGCCTGCGTGTTATCTTCAAGGGGAAGGACGATTTGTTTGCAGAGGAAAGACAAAACCTCTACATCGACGACCTTCGTGAGATCAATGTCTGGACCCAAATCTTGTATCTGGGGGGGCTGCGGTTCCTGACTCCAGAACAAACCGAAGAAGCGATTCAATGGACCTTGGAGGGAGTGAAGCAAATCCTGCGTATTCTTCAGATGGAGCAAAGGTCCTCGACCCTGGCCTCAAATTCGGAGCAGCACGACGCTGAAGAGATGGACAAAGACTCTACGTTTTCCCACCCTCTGGGAGCGACCTATGACCATGAAATCATGGTAGTCTTCTTGCGAGTTGTCAGTCTTGCACGCATCCTTCTCGCTGATGGGATTTCCACAGTCGTCTTCGACGACTTACGGGAACAGCTAGAGCGGGTGCGGGTGAAATGTTTAGATGCGCAGGTGAATGAGGTCCTTCTAGGAGCGGTCAACCTTGCGCTCGTCGATCAGTGAACTTAACAATGCTTGGACCGGGCAGAAGAATTCACACAATCGTCCTCTGCAATAACTTGACCGTATCCAAAGCGCAAGTGGGCATCTGATTACATTCACATCACATCGGTCCCCCACAGCACAGCATCGACCCCAGTCGGCCCAAGCGAAGTTCTAAAAGTCTTTCAAAAACTGCTAAAACAAGGCACAGTAGGTCAACAACCACTCCAGAGGTTCGTGATGGCTAACTCTGGAAACAGTCTTGTACCTAAGCTGAAGAACAGCCACAGCCACAAGCCACGAGCCACCACAATGAAAGCCGGTCTGACCGTTCTGGTCTGCTTCCTCGTCATCACCCCAGCCTGTACATGGATAGCCTGGAAGCTCTGGATACCAATGATACAAGACCACTTGCAGATGATGGAAGAGGGAGAAGCACGGGCAGCTGCTGGTGAACCAGAGACAGGAAATGCAGCCACAACGGAATGAAGGAGCATCTGAAGGCTTCCGTGGTCCAGAAGCTTGGAGAAGCACATCGTCACAGTGGGAACTGAGTGTCTGGCAGTGAATTGTATATGGTTAGATGGTTGTCAAGACGATGAGCTTGAGTTGCCATTGAGTCTCAGATGAAGCTTGAGTGTCGTTAAGTCTCAGATGGATAGACCTGGAAACTTGGACATTCAAATTTCATTCACATCTTGGATGCTTAACCACAGCCCCGACACCTCTACTGCCAGTGGTAGTCTTGTCTTGTGTCTCTCTCTCTCAATCACACGTAGCAACGCTACTGCCTCTTCAGCGTACAGAATTCTGAGCAATCATAATGTCTTTCGCAACCGAAACAGTTACAGCAACGACCACTGACTTGATCCCATCAACTACGCTTGAGGATGTAACAATCACCGTCACATCTCACTTGCATACGACCCTTTCGGCAACACACGGTCAAACGATCACCATCTTCTCTCCTTCACTAGTCCCGCCCTCTTCGCCGACCACAAAATACACCCCGGGGGTAATCACCACAACAGAAACATCAACAGCCACGGTCACCGAGCTCGATGTGTATTTGCAGAATGCTCGAGGAAGCCTATACTCCACATGGGTTATCTCTTTGTCGGCCCCCGCTGGGTCGGCCACATCGTCCACGCCTTTGATCCCATGGGTCTACGTGGTAGAGCCGCAAGATGGCGGTTGGAACAGCTGGTCCAAGGGTGCAAAGGCAGGATTGATTGTCGGGGTAGTTCTGGCAGCTATGCTGCTCGTTGCGATACTCCTCTGCTGCTGTAAGAAACGGAACATATGGTTTGTTCACGGATGGCCAGGGTCAGCTCAAGTCGACGTCGCCCCTCCGCCCAATCCAGGTCCTTCGATTGTACAGCCCACGATTGTGAACGGCCCGCTCATGCCCTACCCCCCTGGTCAGCTTAACTATGGCCATGGATATGCACAAGGTATGAGAGGCGGAGGCGGGTCTAGAAGGTACTTTACCCAGAGCTACAAAGAATGGTTTGGGAAGAAGCAGGGACAGAGAAAGGATTGATCCAACATACAGTGATTGAGCAAGCAATCCGTTCAAGCCAGGATGGAGCGGACCACGTCGGGACGCGTCTGGATTGAAGTTACTAGGGGGGAACTTAGGGAAGCACCAGGGCGATGACAGTTTAGCTGGTCGAAAGTTGCCATCGTGCCCTACCGTGTCATCATTGAAAAGGATACTATTACCAGCGTCAAGACGGGACTGGGTCATGGAGTAACAGAACTCATAGATCCATGTACAAGAGAGGTTGCTTGCCGAGGGGTGGTGTGGAAATGGGCTGGAGATACAACAGTTCAAGGCTGTGGCAAACCCAGACATATGAGCCAGACGGGGCTCTTGCTGAGCTGAACAATACCTCCGAAGGGCCTAAATAGTATGCAAAACGACGATTTCGCCATCCCGGCCTGGTACAGTGTCCTTGTAGCATCTCTCGCACTACTCCGTACGTACCTTGCAATTACATGAAGCGGTGCTGTCAAAGCGCAGCCGTTAGAGCGACCAATGACGTGAGGGCCCCGGCGCGGGCAGGTTCCAGGCATTGGAGGTGTGACTTCTGCTACTCTTCTGCGAATACACATATCAACTCTAGCACAACGGACCTCGAACAAGACGTTTATCTCACCAGGACTTGGCCTTGTGTTCATCTATCAACTGCCTCTACAGACAGCGACGGGGCTACATGTCGAGATGTGGCAGGACGATGAGGACAACAACCCATATGGCTCGTTCGACAACCAGAGCGCTGAACCGAGGAATCCGGCTCTGAGTGCTTCTTGTATGCCCAAGCGAACGCCCGGACTGGCGAATTGCTAACTTTGAGACCTAGATTCAAATCAGTCATCTCCTCCTTCCTCACATTCCTCTCCGGATCAGCCGCCGCAGTTCTTGTCGCGGCCCGACAATCTGAGCGACGAAGACGAAGACTATGACAGGAGCCTGGAACCAGCCCCTACGCCTCCAAAGGGTGGCTATGACAGCCGAGTCCAGCAGATCCTATATGAGAACCCAGACTTGGAGATCATCATAACCGATGCAGGCAAGAGTTCGGATGGCGGGTACATTGTTTACAAGATTCGGACCGGTGTACGCAAGCATACCTCGAATGAAGACTTTCCACTTACACATTTCAGGATATTGAGGTGACTAGACGGTATTCTGAATTCAGCTCCCTGCGAGCTGCCCTCGTCAACCTTCACCCCACTCTGGTCATTCCACCTATACCCGAGAAGCACACCATGGCTGACTACGCTGCGAAACCTACCAAAGCGAAGGAAGACATTGGGATCATTGATCTGCGGAAGCGCATGCTAGGTGTGTTCTTGAACCGTTGCCGTAGAATGAAGGATGTGGTCGAGGACGGTGTGTGGTGGCGGTTCTTGGATCCTAATTCCAGCTGGGTATGGACTTCTCTACCCGTAACTATCCGTTCACTCTGACAGTCTCCAGAACGAAGTTTTGCATGCTCATCCAATCTCATCTATACCGAAAAACAACCTGAAAGCACCACCTCTGGACCCTGCGAACCCTAGTCCTGCCCACAACTGGTTACCAGTACCTTCTTCCTCCGCCAAAATCAAATCTGCCGGACTAACCTCAAGCACTGGGACACCGATATCTCCCCCAGATCAAACGTACCCCTCAACTGCGTCACATACGATTCCTGGCCCACAGGTCTTTGGACGCTTCCCCGTGGCTACGGATAAATTGAGCGAAACAGACCTGGATCCATACTTTATCAATTTCGAGGCCTCTACCCGTGAGCTCGAACTGTTGCTGCAAGGGAGCATCGAGAAGGTGAATCGTCGAACACTTGAACATCTAACCAAACTCTCAGCAGACCTCGCGGAGTTGGGTGCGCGCTACAATGGCTTTTCCCTCTCGGAGCAATCCCCGACTGTGGCGGCCGCAATCGAGAGGATAGGTCAGGCTGTCGACAGCACATATATTTCCACGGAGGAGCTTGCGTTGGGCTTGGGGGCCACTTTTGCCGAGCCCATGCGGGAGAGTGCACAATTCGCCGGGGTCGTGCGCAATGTATTGAGGTACAGAGTCCTCAAGAGAGTGCAGCAAGACATGACGAGGGATGACCTGGAGAAGAAGCGCAGTCTTCTCGATTCCCTGGAGCGCAGTGAAGCCGAAGCGAAAAGGATCGATGCTTATCTTTCGGGTAGCACAACACTCTCAAGTCCGCCACGTCGATCTGTCTCCAGTTCTTCTGCCCGAGGTCCCCTTGAGCGGCAGGGTGGATCTGGAAGGGAAGGACACGAAGAAACCGAGTCTGTTGACTCCGACTTTCCACCCACTCATGGTGAAACGCCCTCTTCACCCCCCTCAGCAGCGCAGGGCCATCCAAATCCACAACCAGACCCAACTTCGCCAATGTCACATAAGAAGTCCCCAAGTGGCAATTTTGTGACCAACAAGATCTTTGGCAGTTTCAGGCACGCGGTCAATGGGTTTGTTGACGTTGATCCTGAAAGGACGAGGCGTGATCAGATTGGGAAAACGAGGGAAAGCTTGACCCAGTTGGAGCAGGCACTTGAAGTGTCCGAAAAAGACGTTAAAGATGCAACACATGGCGTCATGCGAGATCTGAAAAGATTCCAGAAGGAAAAGGAAGATGACTTTCAGAGATACATGGTAAATATTGACTTTCCTACACAGAAGAAGAGCCGATACTAACACCTGCCAGATCGCCTATGCCAGATGTCATATCGAATGGGCTCGGAAGAATCTGGAGACTTGGTCTGAGGCGAGGGATGAAGTTGACAAGATCGTTGCGAGATAATCTCGCCCAGGCATCCGGCTGATCGCCGGAGAGATGGAGTTGCTGGTTGACCACTGCGACATGATGGATCTGGAATTTTCCATGGACAGCCTTGCTCACGGAAGGCAACCAACCATCGACTACAGAGTAGCTGTAGCGCCGAGCTGAAGCTCGACCGCAAGGTCTGAAAGGCTTGTGCCACTCAGGCACGATACGCTTCTAACTATATAAATGCCATAGATGTTGAGTCCTTCCCTGCCCGAGTTATTCGCGGCGGCAATGGAAAGGTGGTTGTGCAAGACAACGACAGGGGAGGAAAGTGACGAGGTGGGAAATCGGTAGGTAACTGAACAATCGTGGCCTAAGCCCCGGCTGGCAAGATCGCTGGGCAAGATCTCCAAACTCGCCCCGGCGTGAACAAGGCAAAACGCAGTCAAGCAAACGGCCGCAATCCCAGTGTAAGAGAGGACAAACTATTTCTGCTCTAGATTCTTAGGTTTATTTTGCTTGCCTCTTCCCTGTTCCGACCTTTTGCACAAACCACGGGTTGGTGAACAGCCTGGCCACGACTGCCATCGCGCCTACGCTCATTGACTGCGCTGTAGCGAAGAAGGCCCACCTCGCATTTCGCCTCAAATTCAGTCCCTCAACTTTTCAACGTTCATTCTCAGGTCTCCGTCGCCCTCGCAGTCCATGGTTCTGGCATAGACTCCAGGCCTCATCCTTACCTTATCCTTCGAGCAATCCCATTCGGGACATGCCAGCGTCCCAAAACAAACCATTTCCGCAACCGAAGGATGATTCTGGCAGGCATCTGAGATCCGCATCTCCAGCTGTGAAGAGACCGGCGTCAGATATGGGGGCCCAGGATAGAGAAGCATACTCCAGCGACGTCGAGATGGGTGAAGGGCAATCTTCCGAGTTGACCACCGTCAACTCAGACGCGGCGCCGAATTCAGACACAAAAGCAAAGCAACAAGACCTTGGACTGAGACATCGCGACAAAGCAGCCGGCCTCAGCCTGACGCAAGCGAGTGATCCTCGAACAGTCCAGCAGCAGCCTACGTCCGACAACAACGGTAGTTCGGCCTCAGAATCCCTCATCCCTAGTCCCTCAAACCAGTCCACCGCCGCTACTTCGTTGAACACCGACGTCCCCCCAACTGCCACCTCCATGCCGTCCATCGATGAGCAAATTGTCAAAGTCACACAACTGGCACAGCAAGAACTCCACAGCGGGCAAAAGGGGTATGTTATATCTGCAAAATGGCTTCAAAGAGTGCAGGCGCGAAGTTCGCAACTTGGCGAGGCTGGGAAAGTTGAAAAGTCAGCAACAGAAGGTGACATTGGGCCAATCGACAATTCGGACCTGGCCATGGTGGTCGAAGAGTCGACTAGGCTGGTAGACGAAGCAGGAGAGCCATATGTGCCGTTACGTCCTGGCCTGACTCTCGGCGAAGACTACGAAATCTTCCCTCAAGAAGCCTGGGATTTGATTGTTTCCTGGTATGGCATTGCGAAGGACTCACCAACACTCACGAGATACGCTCATGACTGGAGCGAACCGGGTGCCATTCCCAGCGTCTCCTGGGAGTTGAACCCACCTATTTTTTCCTTCCTCAAAATCCCCAGTGAACATACAGCCCAAACGCAACGCGAAAGGGACCTGCCACCCCAGCGTTTGCTAGCAAGCAAGAAGAAGTCTTTCACAGAATGGCTGAAGGCAGGCAAAAGACTACTGAACATTGATATCAACACAAGAGTCCGAGTCTGGAGGGTGCTGGGCGGTCTGAAGAGCTCCACTGCTTCAGGCATCCTTACCCCCGTGGCTTCGCGAAGTGCGTCCCCGGCCCCAGGTGCGGAAATCATTGCGAGTGCCGGCGACCGGATGCTCCTGGATGTCAATACATTTGTTCACCTACAGATCGGTGAGCAGCGGGAACTACTCAACGTCGTAGATCACACAGCGAATCCCAACTACGATGGCAAATCGACCCTCGGTACTTTCGGTCTTGGTAGAGACGACGTGATTGTCCTAGAAGAGCGAAAACCCGGCAAAGACGAGTGGCCAAGTGAGAACCCTAAACTCACCTTGGGCAAAGGACTAAAGACCGTGCCGAAGAATCTTACTTCAAGTGGCAGATCCAGTCCAGCTCCTGGAATGATGACGCGAGGTCGACAAAAAAGAGATACGAGACCACGCGGCATCACTGGATTGAGCAATTTGGGCAACACTTGTTACATGAATTCCGCCTTGCAAAGCCTCCGAAGCGTAGAAGAACTGACCCAATACTTTCTGCACGACCAGTGGAAGCAAGACCTTAATGTGGATAACGCTCTGGGCCATCATGGAGAGGTTGCTAGGGCCTACGCCAACTTGCTCCATCAGATCTACGACGAAAGCACTTCTTCGACAAATCCTTCTCGATTCAAGACTACCATCGGAAAGTATGGGCCAAGTTTCCAGGGCTTCGCACAGCAGGACTCACAGGAGTTTTTACTCTTCCTGCTTGACGGCTTACAGGAAGATCTGAACCGCATCCACAAGAAGCCTTACATTGAGAAGCCTGATTCGACGGATGACATGGTTCATGATACTGCAGCTCTCAGGGCCTTTGCCGATAAGAATTGGGAAATTTACAAGGCGAGAAATGACTCTGTTGTCACAGACTTATTTGCCGGGATGTACAAATCAACCCTGACCTGCCCGGTGTGTGACAAAGTCAGCATCATTTTCGACCCGTTCAACAACCTCACCTTGCAGCTTCCAATCGAAAATAACTTTCAAAAAGAAATCTTGTACTTTCCTCTTCATAAGCGTCCGATCCGAATCGACGTTGAAATCAACAAGCATGCTACTTTCAAAGACCTGAAGGAGTACATCGTCACCAGGACACATGCTGACGTTGATCGGTTGCTGGTTGCGGAGTCCTACAAGAACAAGATTTATAAGATCTTTGACAACAACATGATCATCTCCGAGCTTACCATCCATGAATCAGACATCATCTGTGCGTACGAGTTGGAATCGGTCCCTACGAACTACAACCCAAACAAGGCTAAAAAGTTCTCCCCCCACACGATTGGGCGGGATGCCGAAGACGAATTAGTGGCTCAAGACAGCCCCGAAGCCGACCGGCTACTCGTTCCCATGTACCATAGGCTCGTCAAAGCGCCAGCATCACGAGTAGGGTCCAAACCCTTCTTTGGTCTACCAACATATCTCGTCTTGACTCGAGAGGATCGTGCGACGTATGAGGGTATACTCAAAAAGATCCTCGGCAATGTTGCAGGAATGACCACGAGAAAGATCTTTGAAGAAGGGGACAATGCATCCGACGATGGGGTAGCAACTCCCGAAGACTCTGATACTATGGTGGTGACGGACGACATGTCGAGTTCAGGATCGAACTTGCCCACTGCAGTCTCTGCCCGAGGGGAGGACGGTACTCTAGACGTCTCGATGCGTGATGTCAGCCAAGTTTCTGAGACGCCGTCCCAATCACCCGTCTCTGCCGACGCGAGCTTATCATACCTTCATTCACACTCTTCTATTCCTCGCCAGCTTCGAGGCCTCTTCACCGTCCATGTTGCGTCAACGGGCGAGGGCATTCCCACGGGATGGAATCAAATCTCAGAAGCCCAAGACTACGAAGATATCAGCAATCGTGTTCCAAGAACCGTGCCTCACCGTACTAAGAAAGGGGTCGGGGCATCAGACGCTGCTAATGGTGACAGCGGTTCCGCAACGAGTGAAGACGAGCTTGCTGATATCGAGCATGATGATGCCACTATTGGCAGCAACGACTCGGGTTCAGAGTCGAATGCCAGTCCACCACTACCTTCTGGACCGGATTCTGACACCGAGTTTCCGGATGTGCAGGAAGTGCTGAGACGTCCCATGTCCAAAAAGGCTCAGAGATACAAGAATCGAGGCAAGAAATACGGAAGGCGCAATTTGCGTCGGACTCCTCTGTCTCCGCCGCCTCCCCAACCATTGCCCAAGGTCAAAACTGGAAATCTGGTTAGACCTGGTGAAGCTATTATTCTTGATTGGACTCAGGATGCATGGGACGCCTTGTTTGGAGGATCAGAGCGAGAACCTGCGGAACTGCGGGGTGCGCCGACCTGGAAGAGCGTCCCACTATTTCATGATGAAGAGTTATTGGCCAGGCGTGCCCAGCGAACGCGTCGCACGAAGAATGGGATTAGTCTAGAGGACTGTTTGAATGAATTTGGCAAGTCTGAGACCTTGTCTGAAACAAATGCATGGTACTGCCCTCGATGCAAAGAGCATCGCCGCGCCGAGAAGATGTTTGAATTGTGGAAGGCGCCTGACATTCTCATCATGCATTTCAAGCGTTTCAGCAATAACCGAAACTTTAGAGACAAGCTTGAGGTGAAGGTTGACTATCCTGTTGAGGGGCTCGATCTGTCTGGCATGGTTAGGGACCAGCAGGACGGCAGGAGCTTGATTTATGATCTGATAGCCGTCGACAACCACTATGGTGGTCTGGGAGGAGGTCACTACACCGCCTACGCGAAGAATTTCTTCAACAACAGTTGGTACGAATACAATGGTGAGTGCTCGGATCCAGCCCCTTGTTGGACCACTAACCTAACCGAGGTCCAGACTCCCATGTTTCGTCCAAAACAGATCCACGATCAGTGGTCACTAGCGCGGCGTACCTCTTGTTCTATCGCAGACGGTCAGACCACCCTTTAGGCGGACCGAAACTGCAGGAGCTGTTGGAGTCGAGCAGCCATACAGAAGCCGACTCTGAGGTACCAGCAGAGTCTCCTGATTCCTCGCCGGTTACGGGGGAAGGTCGGCGACTCGGCGACTCCTCCCACAATGGGTTGTCGAGCGCTTACACAGCCGGTCAAGGTCACCGCGTGGGAGCGGGTGGCTCAGCAGCGGAAGAAGGAAGTCAGGATCAAGATCTACTAGTCGGAGACGAGAGTCCACCGAGACTGCTCGGGCCTCCAGCCGATGATGAACTACCTCCGTACCAAGTTGCTCTGACTGATGACGAAGGGGTTGTCATGGAAGAGAATGTCCCTCTGTGGCAACAAACCTGGGGGTTTGACGGTCTGGCGTCGGGCTCTCGTGTGCCAGCGCCTTCGGAGGACGGCGGCATGTTTGGTGACAAGGACAGTTCCAACGACAGTACCAGAGTGGAGGGCAATGTTGGGAGTCCAGCACACAGCTTACTGGACCTTGATGTTGCTGAGGACATGAATGACCCCATCTACAGTGAGCCCATCACGCATGAAGACTATGGCCGGCGCATTGTGAGGGAGAGCGCGCCTCCTCCGGAGGTGCCTGATATGATGAATGACGACGAGGACGATCCTCCTGTGATGGAGCTCCAGGCAGATCCGGCGAACAACGACGAGCTCGTCTTCAATCCGGTGACCAAGTGAGGGAATAGACGTCCGAAGAGAGCCTCCGAATTTACCTGGCGTCATTGCGTTTGCTTGGCAGGGGACTGGTTGTTGGAGGCAGTTTCTTTCAGACTACCAGGGACAGGCCGAGCTCCAGATCTGGACCGGGGTCAACCAAAACCATATGATGGATTACAGGTAGAGTGCGTGCTAGGATGACGAGTATCGGCAGCCAAAAACAGCATAGGGATTATGTGCATTGCCGTGAAAGAATAGAGGCCACGAAAGCTTGTCGTCTGGGTGGACGGCAGTCTGAGGTGGATGGTAGTGTGGAGGCGACTTGATGCTCAGAGTTCAGAGGTAGTTTTCGTGCTATGTGTAGAATGAGAGAACAGCAGCTGAGGGTAAAGCCGGGCACGGAGGAGAAGTGAGTTAGTTGCGCCTCGGACGACGTTCAGGTGACCAAACAGTGGCAGGTCAGGAACAATACATTAGGTAGGTACACGGTACACAGTACACAGTACTCCGTACATGCTCTACCAAGGTAGGAGGTACCTTGTCTCAAAGTGCAGTCAACTATTACTATACAGCCCAGTGGCATGCAGTGAGACAGGGCTTGGCATCTTGCCCGTCGCGTGGAATCCGCAAATTGAGGTGCCAGTCAGTGACCGCAGCGTCAACTGCTACGCATTTTCACCCACTCACTCACCCAGCGATGAAGCTGGCGCCGACTGGAATCTGAGACTGAGTCTGATTTCTTCACGTCTGGCTGCGAGGCTCCTGTGCAATGGCGACCGCGTTGACCTCACGAGACGAGCCTAAGACGGCCGAATACGCTGGAGGTACGAGATTCACCTGCACCATTGAGACATATCCTAGGCAGCGCAGTGCTGGATTTGTGATTTGGTTGATTCTGCCGCCGATGCTAATCTTGGATGGCTTTTAGACGAGGTTTCTGCCCTGGTGCTCGATCCTGGCTTCTCCAGCGTGCGGGCCGGCTTTGCAGGCGAAGACACCCCCAAATCCATTGTTCCTTCATTCTACGCGTCAACCAGCTCCGGGCGGTACTTTGGGGACCATGTGATTGATGTTCCGCGCGAGGATGTGGAGATCAAAAACCCCATCAACAGAGACGGCATTGTTGAGGACTGGGATGCGGCCGAAGCGCTGTGGAAACATTCCTTTGCGCACAAACTCACGGGGGTGCGGCCGAACAAGGCTCTGACGGAGTGGCTCAATGATCCGAAGTCAGTGCCCGACCTACAAAAGGCGATGGCGGATGCGGAGGACACGGAGCGCTGTTTAGAAGAGCATCCTCTGTTCATGACGGAGCCGGCATGGAACACTGCCAAAAACCGGGAGAAATGCGCGGAGATCGCGCTGGAGTCGTGGGCCGCGCCAGCATTCTACCTAGGACGGACGGGCGTGATGGGCGCATTTGCAGCGGGCCGCCCGACGGCGCTGGTGTTGGACTTTGGGGCGACGCAGGTATCAGTGACCCCGGTGCATGACGGGATGATTTTGAAGAAGGGGGTGATGCGGTCGAATATTGGAGGCAACTACATGTCATCGCAGGTGCGCAACTTGCTGGCTGCGAACGAGCCGGATCGCATCACGATCACGCCGCATTACTTGGTACAATCGAAACAACCGGTGGATGCGGGACAACCAGCCAACTTTGTCCCGCGCAAGTTCCCCGAAGCATTCACGGCGCCGCAACCATCGTTCCGTCGGTACCAGGAGGAAAAGGTGATATTGGAATTCAAGGAGACCGTGCTCCAGGCGTGGACCAACCCGAACACACCGTTCCGCGGCCAGGGTGAAGTGATGGCGCGCGAACAACAATATGCGCACCCGTTTGAGTTTCCGGACGGCTACAACCAGCCGTTCTCGACGGAAGGGTTTAGGCTGGTGGAATCTATGTTCGATGGGCAGTGCTACTATCCTCCGCCGCCTGGGTCGGAGGAAGGAGCACTGTACCCGGCCCCTGAGCCGCAGGGAACGATCCCGGGACTGGTGAAGGCCAGTCTGAGCCAAGTGGACGTGGACATTCGACCGTTCTTGCTGGGCAATGTGGTGATCACGGGGTCGGGGTCGTTGATCCGCGGGCTGCCCGAGCGCATCCAGCTGGAATTGAGCAAGATGTATCCCAGCACGCGAGTGCGGATCCAGGCGTCGGGCATGGCGGTGGAACGCAAGTTTGGGAGCTGGATCGGAGGCAGCATCGTGGCGAGTCTGGGGACGTTTCACCAGATGTGGATTTCCAAGAAGGAGTACGAGGAGCATGGGGCGAGCATCGTAGAGAAGCGGTGCAAGTGAGGGAGCAGACCCAGGGAGCGACGGCGACACCAACGACGATGCTAGACGGAAAAAACAGGAAATGGATGCACCGGATGGGTGAGGCGTGAGGCGGCCGGAAAACCAGGCACGGGGCTTAAGGCGTCGATTTCAATTGCAATGCTGATCGGGCTGGAGAAGATACTGGCTTTGGGAAGGGAACAATGGGAACAGCTTTCGGCATTCCATAGCTGAGATGCAATTAGTGCAATGCAGAAAGAAGAAAGCTTCATACAAAGCACCTACAACAGGTAGCCAGTATTGTAGAGAGTAGAGAGTACAGTGTTCAGTGTTCAGTGTTCAGTGTACAGTGTCCACAGCCCGACCCGACCTGCTGGGTCATGCATTATTGATGTTTCCAACGCCTGATGGTTGCCTGCTGCCTGGCGCCCGTCTAGGTGCCTGTCAGCTGCGCCTGCACCTGCGCCTGCAACTAACTGGGCCTGCGCTTGCACCTGCGCCCGTTCCTCGTTACCCCTCCATCTCGACCGGCATCGTCGCTCTTCTCTTCTCTCCTCTCCTCTCCCACTCTCCTCTCGACTGTCCAGTACATCTCATCATCTCATCTCATCTCCTCAACTCTCCTCCTCGTCGCTCGCTACCATGGATCGGTAAAGACTGAATCACTGGCGAGTGGATGATTGTCGAATGTCGGTTGTCGATTGTCCCCCCTCACCTGCTTGCGCCATCACATCCTAGCTACTCACGTCAAGAATCGACCAACTAGTCCTAGTTCCTGGTCCCTGATGGCCCGATCGCTGCCTCTGCTCTGCCGCCCTCGCCTTCGCCCTCGCCCTCCGCCTTTTTCTCTATCCTCCTGCTTCCCGCCCTTCCTCCGTTGCCACCGCTCATTCCCCCTCCCAGCGGACACAAGCCACAAAATTTTCAGAAAGTGATCTGGACTAGGTCTTTTTCTTGTCGACCCCCCGATCGTTTGGTTGGCGTTGCATTGCAGGATGCTTTGACCACACAGGGCGCCGCCCACCGCCCACCGCCCACTGCTCCTCAACAGTACTCCATACTCTCCCGTTAACTTGCCGCCCGCGACATCCGCCCAAGACAGCCTAACGATCGAGTCTCAACGATCCCTAACACTAGCAGCTAGTCCTTCATCCTAGTCGGCCTGCCCTGCTCCCTCCCTCTCTCAGCCTTCTGCCGGTGTCCGCTCCCTCGGGTCCAGGGCAAGTCACCTACCTAGATACCTAGAGAGTCGAGCCAGTCTCCATCTGCGCCTCTCTGACTGACTGCTCGTACTGTATCATCAGCCCACTGTCTCCTCCCACATACTAGTCGCCCGGCACCTCGCCGTACTCTTCGCCGTACTCTACTCCGTACGCTACTCCGTACACAGTACATCTACTAACGCCCCTCCTCGTCCTCCTCGATATCTTCTTCCATCTAGACCTGACCGAGCATTCCCTCTCCCTTCTAGCCGCCCAACGCCCCGACCGACAGTGGTGTCTGTTTCAGGATCACGTCTCTCCCTGCGGCCCCTTGCCTACCCCCTCCATCCTTTCAATGCTCTTCGCCACCCATCACCGCCGCCTCCATTTCCATTTTCTTCATCAACCATGTCTGGCTCAGTCACACCGATGCCCACCCTCAAAACAATTCTGACTGTCGATTCCCCGCTGGTACCCGACTCCGACTCGACTCTGTCCTCCGACGATGGAGAGACGAGATCGCTGACCGAGAGCGTCACCGACTACCCGATGTACTGGGGGCGAAGATATCATCGATACAAGGAAGGAACCTATCTCTTTCCCAACGACGAAAATGAGAACGACCGTCTCAATGATCAGCACGAAATCCTTAACCAACTCCATGGTCGTTTGTATTTTGCCCCCCTCAACCCCAACCAGGTTCGCAACGTTCTCGACCTGGGGACCGGCACCGGCGTCTGGCCCATCGAGTTGGCCGACTCGGAACAACTGCCCCACGCCACTATCACGGGAGTCGATCTGTCCGCCGTCCAGCCTCTCGAGGTGCCCGAAAACGTCCATTTCGAGATTCAGGACTGTTCTGAGGAAGATTGGGTTCGCCCGTATGGCAGTGTGGATTACTGCCATGTCCGCTTCATGGCCGGCGCTCTCACTTCGTACCAAGACCTCATTCGCAACACTCGGAAGTATCTCCGTCCCGGAACCGGCTGGCTCGAGTGTCAAGAACTGCATCCACAGCCAGTCTCCGACGACAACACCATTCCCAAAGACTGGGGAATGAAACGCTGGGATGAGCACCTGGAATACGCTTCCACTCAGTCCCTCTACCCTGCCCGACCGGTCCGAATCGCTGCCGACATCAAGACCTGGATGGAAGCGGCCGGCTACGTTGATATTCATGAACACATCTCCAAAATCCCACTGGGACCATGGCCGAAAGACAAGCGACTCAAGAAGGTCGGTGGCTTTTGGCTGAACAATTGGCTGGCCGGTCTACCAGGTTTCACCTACAAATTGTTCGGCAGTGAAGGGTTGAGGTGGAGCCGTGAAGAAATCGAGGTCATGTTGGCCGAAGTCAGACAGGCCGCTGCTATGAAGGATGTTCATGCTTATCAAAGGCATTTTGTGGTCTATGGCAGGAGACCTACGAGGGATGAAGAAGAAACCATGCTATACCAAGGCCCAGGTTGAACCGCGGCCACGGCAGAGATATTTGTCCCGCCGAATCGCAAGAGGGCATTATGCCGCCGCAACAGTCACGACGCCGACGCCGACGCCGATCAAGATCGAGTTCCGTCTTGATTTTAGATCGACCTGAACATGGCCGGCCGAGGCTCCATCCGCATAATCTGCCTATGCCCGGCTTGTGCTTAATATTGGCTATCGGAGCCTGACCACGACCCTGGCTCGATCAACATTCTGTACCGAGTTCCATACTATCCCTCTGGACAGGTTATGGCACAACTCTACCTGCTGCAACTGCGACAGCTTGGTCCACCATTCGGAATCACTTGCCGCAAAGCCGTGGCCTTAGTGGTCCAATGGCTTCCGCCTCCGACTCGGACAGTGAGGGATGTCGATCATGGACCAAGACCGTATCACCGGGTCGGGTGCTGGTCGAGCAGCATGTCCGGCCATGCTAACTGGGCACGGCTATGGTATGTCTACCAGGTCAAGAGCGTCACCGGGTCATTTCATGCAACGCAGTCTGCAAATAAAGATGAAATCCAATCGTCCGTTATACCTCCCCGAGGGAGACCAGCGTGTCGATGGTCTGGTCCTTGATGCAGTCAAGCCAGAGGAAAGAGGATAGAAGAGATAGAGACTGCTACATAAGCATATCAGGAGCCATGACCTCGCACTGCTTGAAATATAGAGGATGACGAGTATAACGAGATTATGAGGAGCAGAGTTGAACAACGTATGATTCTACCTCACGCCCAATCACATTGCATTGCATAGCGTCACGGTCACGGTCACCTGGTGCGGTCTCTGTTACCGTTGACTAGGCATGGCAGAACAAAGAGACTTGGAGTCCTTGTATGGAGTACTGTTGCCTACATACATAGTACCTCGTCTCTCCCTCCGTCCCTGTGATCAATCAGTAGTTTGGGTATTGTTAGGAGAGTATGCGACTGACTCGTTAGCACTGACCTGCTTGACCTGCTTGACTTGCCGATCCTAATCCTAATGCATGGGCTAAGGGCGTTGTCCTACCTAGCTAGCCTTGCCGGAAACGCAGGCCTTAGCCTTAGCGGCCGCCAGCTCCGAGCCGCCACTCGAGGAGCCGACGGCCGCTCTAACGGATGATAGTCAAGACCTTGAGGCTTGAGCAGACTATGTGTACGGAGTAAGGTCCAAGGGCTAAGTGGCTAAGGAGGGTCCCTAATCCTAATGCCAATGCTAAGGCCAATACTAAGGCTAAGGCTAAGGCCTAAGGTCTGACCAGCCACCACGGCTAAGAAACTACCTACCTACGCACTGTACGGCACCTATACGGAGTACTGTACGGAGTACCTACCTACCTACCTGACCTATCTACCGAGGTAGGGACTAATTACTCCAGGACTGCTGACAGAGTACGGATACGGATACTCCGTAGTATGTTGTAATATCCGTACTGTTACTGCGTACAGTATATATTAGATATGTACGGAGGGAGGACGGAATACGTGATCAAGATTCAAGGAAAGGGCCTCTATCAATGACAAGAATCTACTTAAGATATCCCGGATGTCCGTATCCAGATTTTATTTTATTAATGATGAAGAATCAATCGACACAAGCAAAGAATCTCTTTCCTAGGGACGCAAATGCTGCATTCGGAGAGTGACTGACTGTTTGGTTCGATGATCCATCTGTTTGGTTCGATCGGACCGTCTTGATTGATTGTGATTACATTAATGCTAGCAACTGAAACGGTGAACCCCCTCCCCCGAATCTCCCTATCATCACGTCGTCCTCACCACATACTAGTAGCAATCTAGTAACCTAGAGGTAGAGAGGCGGGTAGAAGAAGACTTGATTCCTCGCGCTTCCAGAAGCTCGGACAACCTGGTGACCAGCAACCGTTCGTTCAGTCTCGCACCACGCGTTGGAACCGATTCGAAGCTCTGCTTGCTCAATTCTCCCCGTGGCCGAAATCCTCGCCAAATCAATCGCGCTTGTTCAGCTCCCTGGTTTCTGCTGTCCTGGCAAAAAAGCTCAAGAACTCTGTTGGCTTGATGATACGCCCAAGCGCCATGCATTCATTGTATTTTCCCCTAAAGCACTGAAATCCCCTCCTGTTCCCTTGCAGGAAGTTAGACCGAAAAAAAAGACTGTCCCATGTCTCGCCGTCTATACACAATACACCGTCAAATAGAGCCCCGTTCTGGGTATCAAGTTGGAAGAAGAGAAACTTTCAACCGACCGACCTATATCGATCAATCTCCAGGTACAAAGAAGAAGGCCGTAGCATTTCATAACATAAGTCGTAGGTATCGTGGCATCGTTTCCTTTTGTTGCCCATCCGTATGATTTTCAGAATCGTATCGTTATCTGTTCGTGTCACACTGTAGGTGCACCAGGTTGCTTGGAACCAAGATGACCCAATAGTGCTTCCGGAGGTACACGATGAATATTTGAATTCTTGTCGGCATAGGGAACGCTTGGCACGGTCTTGTATCCCGCTCGTCGTCGTTGGATACGGTTCAGGATGATGCCGAGTAGTATGATCAGGAAAACCGTTCCCAGTGCTGCACACAGTGCAACAAGGACGGTGATGCCTTTGGAATGGCCACGATCTAAAACCATCGTTAGTTGATTGAAACAAGAGAGACGAGACCGAAACACTTACGACTTGACTTGAGGTTGTTTGTTTTAGATGTGAACACCTGGCTGATGCTACCAGGATTTCCATCCAACGTGGAAGCCAGAATCAACGGCGTCATATCGGTGCCATTGTACAGTGCTGCGGCGGCATTGCCGAAATCGGTGATGTTCAGTTGACCGGTGACCAGTAAAGCTCGATCATCATCCAAGAGTGGAGTGGACTTGTGATCTTTGGACAGGGGCATGATCTGCAACCCATGAATGGTTGTCCCCGTGCTGAACGCGTTTACAACCGGTCGTGTATTGTCTCCGTCGATCTCAAGCAGGAAAGTTGAGCCATTGTTGGCCGTGCCTGCAACCCACATGTGATCTGCATTGTCCGTTGCAGGACAGAAGGCTGTCACAGGTCCTGGAATGCCGGGATTGGAAACCGCAGTCCACGTCTGATGGTGCGTGTCGTACTTGGCAAGAAAAGTCTGATTGTTGGCAACAGACAAATTTCCTGCAGCGAGTAGAGTCGAGCTGGAAGTCCAGAATAATGCCGACACATTACCTTGAAGTTCTGTTCCGACTGTGTTCCACTGGCTTGTGGCGGTGTCATACATACAGACGCATGGACAAGGAAGCCCCTGAGAGGTTTGGTCGAAAGCGCCGCCAACGTAAACCGCAGACGTACCTGACAGCGGCGTAACAGCATTGACCACGACGTTGGGACCTTCTAGGGATGCTGGCTGAATTGCCCGAAACTCTGCGGCGTTCATGTCGTACAAGACCAAGCCGTTGATGTTCGTGTCGCCAACACGACCAGTAATCTGTCCGCCGGCCAACAGCAAATCCCCAGAAAGGGCGATGGACTTTATGGTTGAGTTCGAATCCAGTCCTGGAGGTGCACCGATGACAAGGTTATTGTTGGAACCGTTCAAAAACATAAGATTTTCAATAGTTGACCCGTTGGTGGCCGTCGCGCTAAAATGACCTGCAAATACCGTCACGTTCTGTCCGTGGGAACTGTAGTACGCTCCAGTGTTGACCCCGGTCAGGTCCTGCGCGGCTGTCACGGCGCGCTTCCTGGAAGAAGTTGAAGAAGTAGACACAGAGTTCGGCGTGATGGTAATGGGCAATTGTTGCAGGGCGACTTGTCCTGACTGAGAGCGCACACCAGCCGCGCCGCTCATTGCTAATCCGAGTGAACCTAGCGTGCCAGCCCCGAGCCAGGTGTTGTTTGGTAGGAATGTCGCCGCATAGAGCTGTCCAACCAACGCTTCCTTGGGGATGTTGAGGCTCTGAAGCCACGCGTTCTTGGACGGTACCCAGATGGCTAAACCGTTTGCTCGCTCGGCGGGAGCAGAACCAGACCGTTGAATCTGAGTAAAAGAACCACTGAAGGCGACGACTGTTTCGCTGCTACTCTGAGAGATGTTCATTTTCAAGGGCACGACGGCTTCAACTGGCCCGTCCAGTCCAGCGCCAAGTGAAACCCAGGCATTTTTCGAGAACTGATATGCGGCCACATTGTTTAATCCATCAACCCCGCCTTGGTTGGTATCGGTGAAGTTCCCTCCAACGTAGAGAAAATCATCCAAGCTGTAAAGGGCATTGACGGGTGCATTGAGACCGCCACCAGGCAAAGAAGTAGCATTGTTTTTGTGGAACGCCATGATGTTTTCGAAAGTGTCATCAGAGAAGCGGCCCGCCGCGTAAATGGTATCATCCTGAGTTGTTAATGCTAGTACGTGCGCATTTGAATGAAGCTCCGTCCCGGCATTGTTGATGGCAGATTGGGAAAAATCCATGTCGACCAGGTCACTGTTCGGATTATAGTCGAACAAGCCATTGAGACCTCCAGTAGATGAGATGAGACCGAACCGCAGGCGGGATGCCACGATGAGTTGGTCGGTCTGTAGTCCGGACGGGGTGATGGTTACCGACGGCCGGAACGAGGAGCTTGCCGCGTCGACATGTCCTTGATATACCTGGTCATATTTGTCGAAATTGTTGGTCTGGAATAGCTGGGTGTCGAATGCTTGATTGCCACCCTCCGTCAGTGTGCCACTAACGTTGACGATTGCGCGTGCCGAGCAAGAGCTATCTTGTATACATCCAGGAGTGTAGACGATGATCGAATAATTCCCACTTTTCTGCACGTCCGGCTCGAACACAATCGAGGTAGTGTTTACCGTGGTGGGACCAACAACGACAGTAAGATAGTCTGAGACGCTTTGCCTGGATGGCGTCGTGTACCATGGACCTGTAGCAGTTGCCTCGGATCGTACGTCGGACGTTTCACAGGTTGGTTCGTTGAATGCTTCAATGGCATATGCAAAAATGTCGTTTTGAAAAAGCTCGATGCCGTCAAAGCCAGCTCCGTCGCCGTACCATTCTGACACATCAATGGTAAAACTGTTCATGCCCACGAGGTTGACAAAGTAAAAGTCCTGGTATGGCTGGGATGCGTTTTGGGCCAACGGGCATCTGGCATCGCAATACGCTGTATCTCCAGTTTCGGGATCGGTGTACGTCAAGTTCATGATCCCGTCAATGGGCAGAGCTGTGAACCGCCATGTTTTGGTACCGCGCCCATCCTGATTTGTGTTCCACAACCGGAGTTTTGTAGGTTCAAACCCAAAGGCCAGATCGGCACGCCAGGAGCCTGGAGTGTTGTCGGCAAACAGGAAGGTCGAGGTTCCATCTGAACTGTTGGATGGACAAACGACATTTCTCGGGTCGCCCAGACCAGCGCTGGTAGTGTTGCCTTGTGCTGAGATACTGGCGCTGGCAAGGTTGATGACTTGAGTTTGCGCATTGTGCACAGAGGTGGACGTTACATTGCCCAGACCAGTAAAGGAGCCACCAAAAACGATGTGTCCATTCGGAGCCTTTGTGATAGAAGTCACAGGGGCATCAAACCCTGCGAACGGAAGACTTGACCAACTGCCCGACTTGTACGCGATTGCATTTGTGGAATTTCCCGCCTCAAAGGCACCTCCCACATAGACCGTTTCCGTCTCCTGATCACAATAGAGTGCCGAAACGGTTCCTTGTAATCCAGAAAGAGCCTCAATCTGCCGTGTTGTGACATTCAACATTGCGCAGGATCGTGCTGCGACACCTCCAATGCTTGTGAAATTCCCACCCACAACAAGTCCGGAAATCGTGCCATCCTGCAGCACAAGCGGACACATAGCCTGTATGCTGGCATCGGTCGACCACAGATAGTCAAACGCGCCGGTGGGTAATTGTGACAATATTGACTGTGTGCCATTACTGCTGTGTCCTTGTTGCTGTCCAAGCGACGAATAAACCGAGATGGCGTCGAAGTCACCTGCGAGCGTGACCTCCCCGAGAGAATTGAGGTCTAAATTAGGTGCAGGAACGGTCTGGGACACTCCTTGCGTTGCAAGCAATATTAGGGCGGTCGACACCCGTGGGCCGAACCGTGACAACAGATGCATGATATAGATGCGTCTGCGCCGTAGCGACGGACAAAAGGTGTTGTCACTGCCTCAATGTTTGTAGAGGCATCAGGCAAAGACAGTCGGTCGGCGCTCGTACGGTTCTAAAACAGGATTCAGAGTTGGGTTCGCGCGATGGATTTTAGAGGATGACGGATACGCGTGGACGTGGACGGGAGTTCCAGTGAGCAGGGATCTGTTGAAACGATATTCGTGGCGGGACCCTTAAGGTGCTGATGCTGATGCTGGTGCTGGTACCCCGGGGGATGTCGAGGTCGAGGTCGAGGTCGAGGAGGGAGGTGAGGAGGGAGTGAATTGTGGACGACGAACAGGAAAGAGCGACAGTCGTAAGGTCAAAGTGAAGATCCGGAGCACGAGCGAGCTTGAGGAACTGCAGGTGACGAAGGAAATTGTCCGTAGCGGGAGGAGAAGCAGTCAAGCTTGCAGTGCAGAGGTGTGGCTTGCATCTAAACCCAGACTGCGCTTGGTACGTAGGTCGAGCAAGATCTGGTGCGGAAACAAGACTCGCTGGTGGTGTTTTGTCCACATCCACACCCACACCACGCCGCAAACCTTCAAGCCAGCCATGCAGCCACCTCTACGCGATTGCAGGGCACTGGACACCTGCTACGCTTCATGACAGGCCCAGGAACCGTCGCCAGGCTCTCATGGCCAGCCTAAACAGCCATCATTCCATCCCTGTCCCCCCGGTTGCAACCCACTCCAAGGCCTGGTTGCCCGAGTGGCCGCCGGTCATCCAGTCAACGCGCAAGAATGCCCCAGATGTCAATCTTGATCACCTCCACCACCCCTTGCGCCTCCAATGACCGTGCAGAAGCACCTTGCGAACCAACTCTGCAGAGATCAGCTCCGACACAGTTGGACAACGAACGGCCACGGAATCTTCTACGCATCTTACAGAAGAAATCATCCAGTCCACGAGCGAACTCTCAATATACACACTGTTTGATCTCGGATGATTTGTGGATGGGTTGAAAGGCCAGCAACAGCCAGGATTGCGTGGAACACGGCTAAGCTCTGACATTGCTGGTGTGCAATTTCCCGATAGGAGACAGTTCCCGCCCACGAAGCCAGGCGGTGGCTGGATTTCGCCTACAGCACCACAGGACAAAATGAAAATGCATACGGATATTCGGTCAGGCGTGGTTGTGTACGGCTAAGCCGTGTTACGCCGCGCTCTCACAAACAACATGCACGCAGTTCCCGCTTCTCTCGGCGTTCAATGGCATTCTGAGCATCTCTTTCGCACTCACTGTCTGGACTGGTGTGCAAGAGACATCAAACTCTCTCTCCTTATTCCTAGAACTGTTCAAACCAACCTGACAGAAGTTGAGTCCGTCAAGATTCAGGGGGTCCCCAACGATTACACGTCTACTTTCGACTGACATGGACTCGTGGGTTAAGCTCCGTAGCAGTATAGTAATGAACAGTTTCTTCTGAAACCGAGTGACGCGTGGTCCACCAGTCTCGACTAGGTATACCCTATACGCTTCCTCAATGGCATGGTCTCCTGTTTTGTATATTCCATACTTCGTTCCAGAACTGTTTCATGCGCTTCATTTGCGTCGTTGCCGTTTTACCCGCTCACTGCTATTCATGACCAATTCTTCAACCTTCACCACTACATTCCGTTCATCCTGTTCGAGCTCTCGCTTCACGGCAACCCGCCGTACAGTCTGCTGTTGGCGGACTTCAGGCTCGGCTGACGGGCGAGTATCTCCTTTGATGCTGACCTCGGCTTTCGTCGTCAAGCGCTCCGCAAAGGCTCTCAGGTCGGCGGTGAAAAGAACACTGTGCGCCCAACCAGCCTCTTTCCCCCATAGCTTCCGAAAGTGGTTGGCTACAGCATCGTAGGTTGCTTTGGTCAGGCTGCTATGCTTGCCTCGGCCAAACTTGTAGTCGCGCTGGGCTATTTGCCACACATGTGTATCTACCGGGACAGCCTCACCCCAGCCCAACCCCATCAAGCAAACGCAGTCCGCGACCTTGGGCCCCACGCCCTGTAGATCCAGCAGTTTCTCGTGAGCTTCGCGGTAGCCGTCCCGACCTTCAGGCTTCATCTGACCACCAGGTGACACGGTGCGGCCGTAGGCGGGGCTTTCCGGATTGCGCAGTCCGTCGAGCCAGCCATGTTCGCGCTCTTCGGCCACCATCTTGGCCGTCCGAGAGATATATTTCGCTCGATATCCGAAGCCCAGTTCTCTCAAGTGCGCCTCGACGTCTTTGCCGGTGAGCGCGTCCGGTTCTGGAAAATCGTGGTATGGTCGACCGTCCAGCGTCGCGATATATCTCCCGTAATGTGTGCACAATTTGTCCACCATCTGCGAGATGCGCACGATGTTGTTGTTGCTGCTGCAGATAAAGCCGATCAGCGCCTCCCAGGCATCCTGCCGCAAAATCCTGACGCCCGTGAACTTGGGCGCTTTTTTCTTGAAGTTTGGGTCTGAGGCGGACCATTGCGCATAAAGCGTCTCAAGATCCGGCTCGAGATTGAGATAATGCATGATCAGGCTTTTCGTGTCGTCGGTTTCACTGTCTTCGTCGACTGTAGGTGGGATAGACGAGGGAGGGGTGGGAGGAGCCTCGCAGGCGCTCGGCCATATTGATCGATAACGCAGATGCGACTTGTCCTGCGTCAGTTGTACAATGCGGCCGCGAAGTGTACACGTCCACGTCTGGTCGTCGGATTGCCGCCAGCGGAATGACTGGCCACAGCAAAGGGTGGTTGCGATACAGAGTTCGTTCAATGAGACCGGTAGCTTACGCCACTCTGTTATCCTGGACATTTTTGGTCCTTCGAGTCTGTAGTTGAGGCACACCAGTCTGCTTGCACAGAGCTTAGCAGAGTCGGACCTAGTGACCAGCGTTGAGACTGCAGCGGCAGTGTTGGATGGGGCACTTGTTGAAGATTCCTCTAAATGTGTATCCGTACAGAGCACTCCAATAAACGACCCCTTTGCCTCAAGACTAGATCGCGACGCGTCTGCGCAGTAGCGCGTAAAGTGGTTCTAAACTATCCTGGGGGGAACATTGCCGCTCTAACACATGTTAGGAACATCTATTTTCAATATGGCATGTGATTAATTACATCGCCATCGTGAATTGAATAACAGGACGAAAAACGACGTTGTCTTACCCAAGCTCAGGTTTGGCTATTTACTATTCAGCGTCCATCTCTCATTCCCGTGGTTCAAAGACAACGCTCTACGCTACTCTGGGCCAGCTCAAGACCCGACCGGTTTCTCTGTCTTAGGCTGCCCAAATGTAGCTGCTATCTCCCTGCCAGTGAGCACAGCATCGCCATGGTAGACGACATTCTCATCGAGAACAGTGTTGGTAAAAATCAAGTATTCGTGTCTCCCCTTGAGGATCCAGTAGGCACCCCCCAGGAGCACCACTCCCGCAAGGATGGCTATCGCCCAATTCATGTTCGCGATGTCCCCGGCCACTGGCACATATTGCGGGAAAACGTAGAACAGGACGACAACAATACTCCAGAGTAAGGAGGCTATGTTGACAGCATAACCCCATCGACCAAGATCAAAGTGCGGGCGGGGAGGCAGGTGCTGTCGGCCCTTCAAGACTACGCACAGAATCGGGACGCAGTAGGAGACTTGCAGGGTGACGCCGCCGCCGGAGATGATTGCGTAGAAGGCTAGATCACTTCCTAGAACAATTAGGCCAACGAGCAGGTTAACCACAATAAAGGCGATCATGGCCCGGAGCGGCATCATAAAATGCTGATTGACTTGTGCAAAGTAGTCGGAGAAAGGGAAGGCTCGGTCGCGAGCCATTGACCATGTCAGTCGGGAGCCAGCAGCGTTGATGTTGACGATAATCAAATACTGAGATGTTGTCAGCTTACTTATCTAGATGGAATTTTCACACTCACGTTCAACCCCATCATCATGATCGCGCACCAAATGCCACCGCCGTACGTCGAGTCCAAGGCGTCCATGAACCATGCCTGGACACGGTCAGTATGTCGAGACATTTCATTCCGATCGTTGAGTAGCACTTACCACATAGGAAGAGGTGGCCTCCAAGTAGTCTTCCCAGTTCGGTCCGACCGTGTAACACATGACAATCATTGAAAGCCAGGCTGTGACACCGGACCAAAGCATCGACCACATCATGACTCGCTGTATTTGATGAGCAAACACATTAAGAGTCATTTAATCCGACTTACAGGAGCGTCACGAGAAGCGTTCTTCATCTCTTCGACCACTAAAACATCAGTCAGTTTCAGGCCTAGCGAATGGTAGGCTAGATCAACGCGCTCACAATGCATCACTCCGTCGGTCCCGTAGAGACCATAAATCGGGACATACATGCTGAGGATAAAGACCCAGCCCCTAGATGTCCAGCCGGAGGTGTTGAGAAACTCGGTAAAAACAAACTTGGAACTGTTCTTATCGGCCATGACAAGAAAAACGATGGCCCATATGAGGCCATTGCTGATGTTGAAAAACGCCCCAAATAGTTGCAGTTTTGGAAGATACTTGGGCATCAAGTTCGATACAGCCGGTGCGATCAGAAAACCGGTGTAGATTAACCAGGTCATCCAAGCCTAGAAGAGAATCAGTGGCCGAGGGCAACACGATAGATCCTGGAAGATTGAATGGGGAGGGCCCTTACATGCCAATGGACTTCGGGGTGTATGATTTCAACCAGGGCAGCTACGATCTCTGCGCTATTCAATGCACAGCTGCTTGTTGTGGAAATCTCGCCCACCAGCACGCACCAACCCACCACGTAGGACAAGAATCGGCGGTATTTCTCTGGGGCAACGATCTGCCTTCCGGTCAGTCATTGTAGTGTACCTGATGGTGGAAGGTTTACCTGTGTATAGAATTGTTGGCCGCCAGCCGAGGGCCAGAGGGAACAGTATTCGGCCAGCGAAGCCATGACCAACAGCTGACCAAGTGTAACGAGAACCCTTTATGCGTTTCAGGTAGGTCAGCGGTGGGCTTGTTGCAGGTTTGGTGTATCCATATGTGTACTCACGTTCCCCAGACCAGACAGACAGGCCCTCCGAGAGTGAATATGTAGTAGAACATGACAATATTACAACTCCAGGAACAGAGAATTGTGGTCTGGTATGCCATTACTATAGGGTTTAGATCAGCCTTGTCATGACTTGGGTGATGGTCAGGTCTTACAGCTCCAAAAGCCATATGTTCGCTTGAGCTCCGGCTTGACGCCGAGGCTGATGAGCTTGATGGCATCGCTGTCAGCGCTGGCTGAGTCCTGCTGGTCAGAACCCATCTTGGCCCCCATGATACTTCAGCTGCTGGAAAAGAAGTGCTTCGTGCCGGGGAGCAGCGAGCAAGCTTGTTTCAACACATGGAATGGGACATTTATGTCTCTCCTCCTAGGAGAGATTCAACGCCCCAAGGTGCGTGTATGAGGCTGTATAAGTAGGATAGAAAAGAGACAAGAAATATCAACTGCTTAGGATAGACTGATGTGGATCGCGTTGGTGTTCAGGGTTCTCAATCTTGATACCCAAGAGGGATTAGCATACCGGGCTTAACCGCGGCTTGTTGGCACTCCACTGTTGGCCACGTTCGAATCCGGGCTCCCAACATTAGGGACAGGATGAGGTAGACTTGATTGGGGTGGGAGAGCAGCGGCCGGACATATTCATGTTATCGGCCTCCAGCACACTGCGGGGGAAGAGGGTGGGACGAATCAGGTGCTGGTTGTTGCTCTGATGTGCAGCCGGTTGAGTGCCGGTGGTCTGCTTGTTGTCTGAGCTTGCAGCAGGGGGCGTCTGTAGCCCCAGCGGCATCACCCGTCGTCTCTTCCCTGTGGCCATTTCTGTCATAGTTGTCCTGCGGTTTGCACATGCCTCTGCAAAATGCCCCAGGGTTCCGGCTCTTTTTGATTTCCCCCTGTCCTATGTAATCACTAATGCCAGCAACACCCTTTGAGGACGGAAGAAGTGCATCCGTACATTCGTCGTACTAGTTAGTGTATAAATCTCAGGGATCGGATCTTTCGGGGGATGTTGCTCCCTGCACTGCCCGGTTTTCTGAGGGTGGAACACCGGAGGCAGTAGGTGTTGGAGGAGGGAGGAGGGAGGAGGGAGGACCTTGCCAATCGGCACGTACTCTGTAGTCTGTAAGAGTTTATCATCTCTAGGGGACGAGGGGCTCTTGCTTTTGAGGGCCGTGGCTCTGTCACAGGTGTTGACGCTCGTCTGCATTTTCCGGAACTTCGACAGCGTCACTCAGGCTTGTGACCTCAACACCCCTCTTCGTGGAAGGTCACGTGCAGCGGTTTCACTCTGTGGCGTGCGCTGCTTACTCCTGCCTACTCCTGCCTACTACTACTGCCTACTACTGCCTACTAACGGAGTTCCATACGCTTGGGTGATAAGCCGCTGCTCCTCTCTCCGTAGTCTCCGTTGCCACTTCATGCGCTTGTCGTCCGCCCCGGATATCGTCAGTCTCATGGGTCCGGCATCCATCTCAATATGACGATCGGCCTCGTGCAATAGCAGCCACTATGGCGGCTCCCGCGGCTCCATCTCAGCTCGGTGTTGAGGTGAAGGCGTCTCCCCAGGCCTCACCCGCTATCGGGACACAAGGTGCAATCGCGCAGCCCACATTATTAATCATCAGGCTGACCATCTAGAAGACTGTCCTACTTGTGTACGCCGGAGGATTCGCTGCGACCGCACTCTCCCAAAGTGCGCCAAATGTTCGAAGAAAGGCCTCACCTGTCCTGGTTATGGCCCTCGATTGAGGTGGGCCAATGGAATAGCTGTTCGTGGCCATCTCAAAGGTCGCACGACGCCGTATATCGACAAGCCGGTAAAAGCGAGTGCCTCGTCCAAGGCCGCCAAATCCCCGAAGACTGAAAGCGCCCCTCCCCCGTCGACCTCCATCATCGATCCTCTAGAGAAGTCGTTTCCCGATTTTCCAGACCCGGCCACCAGGTCTCGACTGCTGGAGCATTACGACAAGAATATTGCCGGCCTCATGGTCTGGATAGACTCTGACAAGAATGAGTACCGCCGCTTGGTTCTCCCACTCGCCAACCGTCAGCCAGTGCTACTCCTCGCAATCCTTGCCATCTCTGCACAGCATCTTGCAGTCACCACCAACGTCGAGTCGAACTTCTCCGCTCGCGCCCGTGATGCAGCGGTCAGCATGATATCAAGCCAAATCCGTCAGGTCACAGGTCGTCTTGCTGCTGGGTTCGACCTGGGAAGCGAAATAGATGTCGACACGGCCGTCTGGATGCTCGCCTCGATGCTAACGCTTGCCAATTATGAGATGGCAGAGTCAGAATTAGGGGCAATAGCGGCGGACTCTCATCGGCAGGCCGCCCGCACATTGGTGAATGCTCTTGCTACCACAAAGCATGAGAACAACGACCTGTTTAATTTTCTCAGGAACCAGTTATCGATTTACGACATACTGGCCTCCACCACCGCCTTTGAACCGATGAGCTTTGGGGGAGCGATTCTGCCCGCTCCCGACCATTCCGATCATATATTCTCGGAGTATCTGTTCCTTTTGCAGCATATCACGGGGACATGCCGCCAGCATTGTGAAAAGGGGTCAGCTGCGGGCTCGAGCGTCCCTTCCTTATCGCCTGCCGATGTCAGGTCTCGGTTCGAATTGGCTCGAGGGTCAACTCTGATGGCCGCCGGCTTGCTGGAATTAATTTGGGATGCCAAGCGGCGGGATTTCATCCGGATCGTCGACATATATCATCATGCCGCTCTGCTCTATACTTACAGATGCCTCTTCCAAGGTCATGTCGATGACTCTTGTGTCAGTGCTTCCGCCACAGCATTATTCGAGCGGTTGAGTCAGCTTGAAGATCATGCCAGTTGCAGGCAGAACTTGCCGTGGCCGGCGTTCATCGCTGGAACCGAATGCCAAGGCATTCGACAAAGAGAAATGTTCATAGCCGACATGTACGAAGACATTGCCCGATATATGGGCTTCAAGCACTACTTGGAGGTTCTTCACTTTTTGAAGGATCTTTGGTCGTCTAAGAATCCAGATTGGCTTGCGTTGGCGCGCCACTATAGCGCTAACGGAAAGACAATCCTTGCAGTTTGAGACAAGTTGACTGTGGATTGGGTCAAGAGTTGGGTACGGGTCCGGCCTCGCATATACATTTGGTCATCTTCTCCTTGCCGAACACGGTATCGTCGCCTCGACCGTTGAAACACAACGATGGTCGAGCAAAGTATGGCTTCGTTGGCAGCTAGCGTCGAGCACATCTAGGTCGGTTCTTACACGACTGGCCGTGGCTCCCGACACCACTCTGTGACCGAACACAAGGACCAGAACGCCAGTTATGTTTTGGTACAGCTTGGGAGACAGGGCACATGTGGCCCTCTCGCGGCCCAGCACCGATGCTGCAGAGGGATGCTCCACTTAGGATTAGGAGTTGGCAGTCATCTCCGGGAGCTGGGAGCTGGGAGCCCGGCATGTGCGGCCTTGACCAATTGCGCGAAGCGGTGACGACTGCAACAACTGGCCAGGAGAGCGGGGATTTCTGTTATGGTCGCAACACCTTCGTAGATAAGGCGTCAATGGTCTCTGGGTTCGATTGGCAGTGCTAGGAAACCTAGTTTTCTGCGAAATGCCTTGCGGCATCTCTCCGTTCGCCAACAACGCTAGTATTGTATGTCCGAATGGTGAACCGCGTCCAAGCACTAGGGTAAGGAGGGTAAGTGAGCAATCATTTCTGCTGTCGGAGGGCCCTATATTCCGGGGAAAGCTTTCGAGGCTCAATAGGACGTCACCGACGAAGTGAAGCTGTCTTGAAGGTGTGGTAGGGTGACTTGGCTTCCTTTCACAGAGGCCTGGAGAGTTGAGCAGAGCCGACGGCCTGCGTGCGACTACAATGACCTTTCAACGGTAAATGCTGGGTTGGGGGTATGCTGTCAAGGGAGGGGACGATTGCTGCAAACACGAGCAGGGCGGAGATTGGCAGGCATGGTTTATTGATATACGGGCTCAATGATAATGCAACCATGATGAAAATGAAAACAACACCACGGAGTACACATAATTACTCTGTTGACGTATTAGTTAATTATAATTATATATACCAAGTATACCAAGTATACATCCGAAGCAGCAGAGAAGCCGAGCCCTAGAGCCATCCAATCACACAGCCCCAACCTTCGAGGCCAAAGGACAAGGCTATGCCGCAACGGGGCATTCGGTAGAGAGAAGCTGGACGTCCTGCGTCTTGCGGTCTTGCCTCTTTCCTGTCCACCACGAAGTGGGTATCGTACGTCCCAGCAGCGTGGTGAGTGGTAAGCCAGTGACACGGGGCGGCCAGCTGCTTCATTGGGCGCATCAAGAGAGAACTGGGCAACTCCTTAGCATTGGATGCAGACTCGATGGATAAGAGCACTCGATCGAGCATAAGGTCCGCGACAGCCACACCCACACCCTCACTCTCGCGGCATTACTACCTTGAAATGCCCGTTTCCGCGTCGGATCGGCCGATATTATTCTCGAATTCGAAGTCGACTTCTCCACCATTGCGGTGGCAAGACCAGTGGCCGTGCCAGGCTTATTAGGAGTCAACCCACACTGCACATTGGCAGGCGAAGAGAATGCTTGCTGGAGGTCGACCGAGCACGGGCGCGTCGACCAAACTTCCCCTGGGTAGCTTATTGACTCGAGACTCGAGCTGCGTCTGCGAGAGAACCTTGTGGCAGTAAGTACCTACCTAGGTAGTAGGGGTTGTCTTTTCCACCTGTACCTGTCCTAGCCACAGCCAGCAGCCAGCCTTGCGGGATCTGTCAAGATCAAAGACGAGACACACAGCCCTTTATATATTATATATATATATATAACCCCGCGTCCGAGTCCAAGTCCGCGTCCGCGGCGCCCAAGGCACAAGCAAGGCCCAAGCCTGAGCCCAGGCCTGAGCCCAAGGACTCAATTTGCCCTTGAGACAGACTGCGTTGCGGACAGGTGCCTGAGGCTACGGCGCGCGACCATCGTCCGGGACCATGGTCTTGAACCGGCGTTTTCATCAGCCGCCGATGATGCACCCCCGGCGGCGGGCGGACATCAGCAAGAGGAATGTCGACACTCTCTTCCAGTCAGCAGACTTCCAGCATGGCGTGGCCCGGCGTTTAGCAGGGGCGGTGCAGATCCCGACCGTCACCTACGACGGCATGGGCCCTGTGGGCCAAGATGCGCGATGGGAGATTTTCTATGAGTTTTCCGCCTACTTGAAGGAGACGTTTCCCAAGCTGTGAGGGTTTGCGCCCGCCCCATCGGTCGGTTGAGCTGTCTGCTAAACAAACTGCTCCCAGATATCGAGCACTCGTCGTCGAGACCGTCAACGAGCATGGCTTGTTATATTCCTGGCATGGGTCGGAGAGAGAGTTGAAGCCTCTGCTGTTCATGGCACACTCCGATGTAGGTGTATTGGATTGCATTGCGCAGACTGGCTTATTCCAGACTGAGTAATGGTTCTGGACTCCATATGTGTTTGCCAGGCCTTGCCTTTCTGCCGCCTCCATCTGAGATCCGTGCTGACCTTCCTCGCATAGGTAGTACCGGCCGGAAAAGCAAACTCCAACGAGTGGACGTATCCCCCCTTTTCCGGCCATTACGACGGAGAGTTCATCTGGGGTCGTGGCTCCGAGGACGACAAATCCAATCTGATCGCCATGCTGACAGCCGTCGAGTGTTTGCTGGACTGCGACTTCAAGCCCGATCGGACGCTGGTCATCGCGGTCGGCTTCGACGAGGAAGGTGGCGCCGATCAAAGCTACGGCGCGAGGTGCCTCGCAGAGAGGTTGATCAAGAGATATGGACAGAACGGCGTGGAAGTGATTGTACGTCGGTCATTGCAAGGGCCAAGGCCAGGGCCGAGAGAAGCTCGGGCGCTGACCGAGTTCTAGTTTGACGAAGGCATCGCGGGCATCGAACAGCGCTATGGCACAGAATTTGCCTTGCCGGCGACGGCGGAAAAGGGCTACGTCGATGTCGCCGTCACCGTCACCGTCCCTGGAGGGCATTCTTCTACGCCGCCCGATCATACTGCCAGTCCGTGCCCGCCTTCGACATGGGCTGCGAGAAAGCTGCTGACCGTGCCGTAGTTGGCTTCTTAGCCCAAGTCATTGCACGCATCGAGGGCAACCCCTTCAAGTCGCAGCTGATCCGGCAAAACCCAACCTTGACCTTTCTTCGCCAAGCGGCACTCTTGTCCAAGAACATGCCTGACGACTTGCGCGACGCCATACTGGAAACCCATTCTTCCAAGAAGCTCCTCGAGTACATGGATGCGGATCGCGAACGACGTGCTATGGTCAGAACATCCACAGCGGTGGATATGATCCAGGGCGGGGACAAAGGTAAGGGTCAAGGGCGGCCAACCTTCTCAAGTGTCGTGGTTGATGCCAGGCTGACCTGACCGTATCTCCACTGCAGTCAATTCGCTTCCCGAAAACGTGACTGCTCTCGTCAACCATCGCATTGCCATCCAGGACTCGGTTCAAGACGTGAAGGACCACTACATCCAGTTGCTTGCTCCTTGGGCGGAGAAGTGGAATTTCAACCTCGACGCCTTTGGTGAACGGAGACAGGCCAAGAACATTCCCTGCCGGTCCAGCGCTGTCACTGAGGGTGGAACCCTGACCCTGACTGCTCAGTACGAGCTTGAATCATCGCCGGTTTCAGAGTGGGAAGACCCTAGGTTCCGATGGCTCGCCAGCACCATTAAAGGTGTGTTTGGGGACAACGTGGTCGTCGCCCCAGAACTGCTCAGTGGTTAGTTTGTCTCATGGTCATGGGATTCCCGCCCGGTCTTGGTCTTGGGCCGCAGCAAGCTGAAGAAAATCCAGGCAACACCGACACGAGATACTATTGGAATCTGTCGCCGCAGATCTATCGCATGTCGCCGTGGCGTGCCAGTCATGACCCGCGGGGGACTCGTATGCACACGGTCGACGAAAGGATGCCGGTCAAGGGTCTTATGGAAATGGTCAGGTTCTACCATGAATTTATCCGAACCGTCGACGAGATGCGCGTGTGAGATATCTGAAATCTGCACATCCAGTTAGATGGTATATGTCCTTGACCAGCTCACCGATTTGTGCGGATCGATCCCGTGGGTGGTGAGATGCTTTGGGTTGTGTGCTGCTGGCTGGGACAGACCAACATTTCATCCTCTAACTATGCCTTTTGTTTTTTGTTTTTTCTTTGTTCTTCGTTCTTTCTTGAGCGATGTAAAGGCATCCGGCAATGCAGTTAATAAGTGGTGACTGGACAGGGTATGCAGTAGTTGTCCACCTAGCAGGAGGAGGCAATCACTTTCATCCTTGGAGCACCGCAGAGGACATTGTTCGCTGAGGGAAGGTTGACATTGAGAGGACATCATACTGCATACTCTATACAGAGTACTCCGCAGATGCTAATTAATGATGGATGCTGGATGCTGGTTACTGACTCTGGATAATACTATTAATTTGTTAAGTATGTAGACACTCGACGTGGACTCGGGCGCGGCGGCCTGAGCCAATCACCGGCGGCGGCGCCAACGCCAAAAATTGTGTCTTGAGCCAGAACCAAAAGTGGTCGAGCAGAGCAAGGTTGTTAAACAGTCTCATAGCAATAAATCGTTCAGTCCATCCCGCCTCCCTACAGCTTCACCCATCCGCCCGTTTGTCTCCTACGCCACCATTCGTCCATCACTGCATCGCATTCCGCACCGTCACCTCCGCACCGTCACTGGTTGTCGCGGGAACTGAGAACAAGAACTAGCAGCCTGCCAGTATTGCGTGCCTGCGCCCAAGCACAAGCACATTGCAAGATTCCGATCTTGCGCAGTCACCATGAACGGGGACAATTATTCTTCGAGAGGTAGGCCCGCCGTGAACTCCTGCGCTTCTCCTCGACCTCTAGCTGACCTTGTACAGAGTCGGGGCGACCCAGAGACCACCATGTACGCGTGGCCACCGCGAATCGATCTGAACAACGTACTGACAAGCCTCAGGGTTCGAGGTATGATCGCGACGACCGCAGAGACCGTGGAGACCGTGGAGACCGTGACCGAAACCGAGATCGAGGCGACCGGAGACGGTCGAGATCCCCGCACCATCGACCAGCGCGACGTGACTACGAGGGCGACACATATTCCTCAAGTCGAGACTATCGAGCGCGGGAGCGAGAAGACAGATATGGCTCTAGACGAGAGGATCGTGGCGACTGGGACAGAGAACGAGGGCCGAGACGTCGTGATGACGACCGGCCGCCGCGGAGGGATCGCGATCTCTTTGACGACAGAAGAGGAGGCGGCGGCGGCGGTGGTGGTGGCCGCGACCGGGGCGGACGAGAGGACCGCGATGAATTCGCCGCCCAAGCGCGCGGCCACAGGAACAGTCCCCCTCCCAAGAAGCGCGAACCCACCCCCGACCTCACCGATGTCGTGTCCATCCTGGAGCGCAAGAGAAGATTGACACAATGGGACATCAAGCCGCCGGGCTATGAGAATGTCACGGCGGAACAGGCCAAGATGTCGGGCATGTTCCCGCTGCCGGGGGCGCCTCGTCAACAGCAGATGGACCCGACTCGACTACAGGCGTTTATGAATCTCCCGTCGAGCGGTGCTAATAACACGGCGCTCAAACCATCCAACGCGCGACAGTCGAAGCGGCTGTTCGTCTACAACCTGCCTGCATCTGTTACCGAGGACGGTCTCGTGCAATTCTTCAACCTGCAGCTCAACGGCCTCAACGTGACCAAGAGCAGCGACCCTTGCGCCCAAGCCAATATTGCCGAGGACCGAAGTTTCGCTTTAGTCGAGTTCAAGAACGCGTCTGACGCGACACTTGCCGTGGCCCTGGACGGCATCACGATGGAGGAACACCATAGCGAGCTGAATGGCAATGGAAACGGAACCGCCGCGCCCAAGGGGTTGGAAATCCGCAGGCCGAAGGATTACATTGTTCCATCCGCCGATGACGACGCCTACACGGAGGGAGAAATCTCATCGGAAGTCCCCGACACTGCAAATAAACTGGCCGTCACCAATCTTCCTCCGTTTTTGACCGACGACCAGGTCATCGAACTGCTGAAGGCATTTGGAGAGTTGAAGGCGTTTGTTCTAGCTCGGGAGCCCGATACTCAGGAGTCAAGGGTAAGTTTTAACTGTTGATCGACTTGGACACTACTAACCAACTTTTGCAGGGCATTGCCTTCTGCGAGTACGCCGATCCAGCAGCCACCCCGGTTGCCATCGAAGGATTGAACGGCATGGATCTAGCCGGCAATCCGATCAAAGTGACCCGAGCCAGTATCGGCTACCAACAGGCCGCTGGCCTGGACATGGGCATCAACGCCATGTCCATGTTTGCCGGTACCACCTCCGACGGTCTTGAGGAGACCCGGGTTCTACAGTTGTTGAACATGGTAACTCCCGAGGATCTCATTGACAATGATGATTATGAAGGTGAGACACCGTTCTGCTGGGGCTGGTTTCAAACACAGACCTCTGCCCCCTTTTCCTTCGCGCTGAGTGGCTCGAGTCTGTACTAACCGGTCATGTGTGTGTGGTTAGAAATCTGCGAAGACGTCATGGAAGAATGCTCGAAATACGGCAAGATTTTGGCAATGAAGATCCCGCGCCCCTCGGGCGGCAGTCGACAATCCGCGGGCGTGGGCAAGATCTTCCTGAAATACGAGGATGCCGAGTCTGCGAAGAAGGCGTTGCAAGCTTTAGCCGGGAGGAAGTTTGCCGATCGGACTGTCGTGACTACTTATTTCGACGAGGTATGTGTACACCCCCAGCCAAGATTGGTTGTCAACGCCGGTGCTTGAAGGAATGGTTCACTGACTATCAATCATCATCATAGGCAAGCTTCGACGTCAATGCGTGGTGAGGGTGGGGAGGTTTTTTGGCCGTTGTCGGTGCGGTGGGAAAGGATATGTCCACTGACGGCGCGACGAGGACGAGGACGAGAAACGCCTGGCCCGCTACGGTGCTCCAGCACCAACCTTAACTTGGCGAACGTCCGGGGGGTAGGGGAATGCCAGAACCCACCTACGACGACCTCGCATCGGTTTCGTTTCGATGAGCACGGTTGCCTGGTTGGTGATTGAATTCTACTGCGCTCGGTACGACAGCCCGCGTGATGCAATCGTCAGCACTGGCGACTTTGACGACCACGCCATCTCGCATAAGGGAGGAGGAGGGAGGGAGGCAGGGAGAGGGGTTTGCGGTTTGCTTGTATGGTTCAGTGCCTCAAGGCCGGCCTACCCTGGCGAGGTCGCGAGGTGCCCTGCCGCACCGACCGTCCGTCTACCATGGCCATGGCCAGGGCCAGCATGCCAATCGTACCTCGATCTGACAAGTCTTGCAGTCGACATGGGCCAAGGGACGTGCTACGGGCTGATTTTGGCCACTGCCACGGCCACTGGCACTACTACTGGACAAGACGAGCCAAGAATACTACTTACTGTACCTGTACTTGCAGCTAGCAGCGGACAACTGGCACCATCGCATCGCATTGCATTGTCGGACCCGGAAATGTGGTCTTGTATATGTAACTTTACCTAGCTAGCCCTTTTTAAAAAATTCAAGGAATCCGAGCTTCTGCTGCTCGGTCTACTTTTCTTCCTCATCTATCTACACTATGTCTTTGTCGTTCTCCAGGGCGATAGATCCGTAGATAGATACATAGATGGTCTGGGTCGCATTCCATCCCATCCCAGCCCAGTCTACTACACGGATTATTGCGTTGTGTTCTCTAAGTGTGGCTTGTCTAACTTGAACGTGACGGCAGCAAATGTGCGTATTCCATGCCGCAGGTCAACCACGTTCAATCAATCAGTAAAAGTTGATCCATCGTCCGTGGTTCGAGAGCTGACAAGGTGAAAAGGTCAAAAGGTCAAAAGATGTGAGAGAGCGTGTCAATGCCGTTCATTCATTGCCACCTATATACCATTTGACAAGCCATCATCCACCCGTCTCCAAGCCTCCAACTTGTCCGTGTCCGTGTACGTGATGCCACCGTCTATCTCTCTTTTCTGGTTGCACATGTCCTGGGTTGATTTGTCTTGCCAGTCAGCCAGATGGTCATGCCTGCCACTCAATGCCGTCGCCGTCGCGTATTCATAATGGTCGTGTCCCCCCTTGTTCTTTTATGGTCGTGCTTCGCTCAATTCCCAATGCCGACCCAAGGGTTCTTGTAACAGAAACCAACCGTAATGCAATGAAGCTGGATTTACTCATCTAGGATCAACTTGGTGATCTTGCCGACGGCGATTGTCTGGCCTTGGTCTCGAAGCGTGAATCGGCCAAGCTGGGGATGATCTTCGAACCGCTCGACGCAAATCTTACCTCCGCCACTCGTCACCTGGAGCCGGGCGATGATGTTCTGACCCTTGGCCGCAAATGGCGGAGGCTTTTTGCTCTTGCGCCCGGTCTTGGGTTCAAGCTTATGCAAGAGCGACGCGAAGGTGACTTCTTCCGTTGCGGCGTGGACGTGGATGACGCAGTTGAAGCCGGCCGACAGAATAGACTTGAGGTCAACAATGCTGATTTGTGCTTCGAACTCGTTGACACAGTGCACAAGACGTTTCGGCGAACACAACACAAACCCTGGCATGATATCTTCTTCTTCGATGCCTCGCAGACGCATGCGCACTTGCTCGCCGGTCATCGCATACGGGATCTCTTCCTCGGTCTCACCATAGAGTGCCGCAATGGCGACTTCCTCTCTGTTTGGCATCATAATGTAATTCGAGTTCTTTTGGACCACGCCAGCCTCGATTCGCCCTTCGATCATGGTGCCCATATCTCGGTATTTGGCACCCACCGGCATCATGAACGGAGCATTGACGTTTCGTTGGATTTGCGGGAGGTTGTCTAGGTATTCAAGCAACGACGGGCCATTGTACCAATTGGCAACTGTAGCGGGGATTCGGTCCTTGACGCCGACACCTGTCTGCGCCGAGATGGGCATGAAGGTCGAGTCTAGGCCGATTCTTTTCTTGAGATACGGTTTCAACTTGCCCACGATTTCGTCGTACCTTTCCTTCGACCAGTTGACTGTGACATCGTCCATTTTGTTGACCGCCACAACCAGTTCTTTGGCGCCTGTTGTCTTGATCAGCATGGCGTGCTCTTGTGTCTGCCCGCCCTTTTCGAATCCGGTTTCAAATTCACCCTTTCTGGCGGAAATGACCAGGATTGCCACATCTGCCTGTGCCGCACCACTCAACATGTTCGGCACGTATGTCTTATGGCCAGGGGCATCGAGAATGGTGTATCGCCGCCTTTCGGTTTCGAAGAAGCCTCGCCCAACTTCCACAGTCTTTCCCTTTGCTCGTTCTTCTTTGTTCAAATCCAACACCCAGGAGATATACCAGGTTTCTCGACCGGCATCTTTTGCGTCCCGCTTGTACTTGTCCAAGGTACGGTCGTCCACCATACCAGTCTGGATGAGCACCTGGCCACCCAACGTCGATTTTCCAGCGTCGACATGCCCGATGAAAATGATGTTGACATGTTCTTTCCCGTACATTTCCTCTAGAACTGACGCTTCAACGTCGGCCGTCTGTTCTTGAGCAACTTCTTCTGCTGTTCGTATCTTCTTGGACTCAGCCGGCGTAGGGGATGATTTGCCGGAGGAAGGTGCTGGAGAGGTTTTCCCCGTCACCTTTTCACCAGTCTTCTCGACGGCCTTTGCTGCAATAACCTTGGATCCTGCTTCTGCCTTTGCTTCAGCCTTTGATGGTTCTTTGGTCGTGGGAGAGGCAGGTTTCTTGGGCGATGATGTCGATGTGGGGATACCAATGGACAAGACTTTAGCCTTGGGGGGTGCCGCGGCTGGCTGTGCTTTGGGTGCCGAGGGGGTGGCAGCAGAGGTAGCAGCGGGAGCCGGCGCTGGTTGAGTTGTGGATTTCGGTGCGGGCGCTGCTGATGGTTGGGGGTCTGATTTTTTGGCAATGCTTATAGGGGCCCCTTGTCGTGGTTGAAAGCCTCCAGGCGTCTGATTATAAGCGGCGAATTGGCCACTGCTGTAGCCTTGATTGTAGCCCAGATTTGGCTGTTGTTGTTGCTGCTGCTGCTGCTGCTGCTGATACTGGGGATATTGACCGTAGCCTTGGCCTTGGCCATACTGAGGGTACTGGTTGTAGCCCTGCTGTTGGCCGTAACCATAATTCTGGTAGCCATTCTGCGGGAAAGGCTGGCCGGGTTGGAAGGAGGAAGCACCAGGCTGAAAAGAAGAGGCTCCGGGCCTGAAAGTGTTGGCATTCAAATTCAGGTTTTGTGTCTGCTTTGAAAGGTCTTCATCCTGTGCCGCAGCGTCTTCCCAGGAATCGTAATTGCCCGACATTGCAAGGATCGAGGCTCGAACTGAGGGGAGGATCTGTCTGGGGAGCGGAACAAAAGAGGCGTGTCAATGACTGCAGGCTGGGAGTCGAGAGGTGGGAGCGCAGCTGCGTTGGGCGTCTACGGAGCAGTCATGCGGTGGAGGGGTCTGTGATTCTTTTGATATTTGACGGCCACTTTCCACCCGCCAAAACTGCCAGAACTGGAGTGGCGCAGGGGCTAAGCCTGATTGGGAACTCTGCTTGGCAGGACTTTCGAATGACGTCGAATGACCGCGTATTTCTGTTTGCGTGTTGTTCACGGCATATCAGCCACAGCCAACTGGGATGATGAGGCTGCTGCGGGAAAAGAATGTACATGTATCACATTCACTTCACGCGGCACTCTCCACCCGTCCGAGATTTTGCGTGTATTGGGCCCTTTGCGGAGCAGCAGCAACAGCAGCAGCGAAATGTTCAGGCGATAACTATGCCGAACAGGGCATTGAGGTAGAATCCACGTCTCCTTCAAGATGGATATCTTCTTGTCCAAGGTGACTCAACAGGCAATGAATTATGCCATCCGCTCTGGAGTCACCTTGACAGCTTCGTACGCGATCAGACAGTCTACAAAACTCCTCAACAGCGCCCCCAAGAGCAATGTGCGGGATGAACTCTTCGCTCTCCAGCAACGTCTCCAGCACAAGATTCGCATCGTTTCCCCCGCAATTGATATGATAGAATTGATTGCAGCTCGGGGCAACACTTCACTGGAGTCGGCGGTGGCGTTGACGAAAGAGCTGCGCCTGGAGATCCAGTCTCTCGGTCAACGATTGGCCAGGGCTGCTGATGCCTCTGAGAAAGCAAATCGGAAGAACAGAGCCGGCAGGCAGGCCGACCCCCAGAGCGAACTTGAGTTGAAACTCATTGTAAGCGACATCAAAAAGCTGATCGAACGGATCGAAGATGCGGTTCCTCTCATTAATCTCGCCATTACTACCTCCGGCGCAAGCCTGTCTACGTCGCTACCCCATACAGTGTCCCCCTCCCGACTGTTGCAAGCTAGTACATTTCTCACCGCTGGGGACACTGAGTATCAAATGTCCCCGCAACATGCTGTCCAAATCGGTCCCACATTCACCCTCACAGTCTACATGCTCTTTGCGGGTCATGACCGCCCACAAGACGAGGAGGACATCCGAGAAACGACCTGGAAAGAGGTCATTCACAAGGCCAGGGTCAAGTTGCGGCGAGTTCCGCTTGATGTGGTGACAGGGACGGGATCGGGGTCGGATGCAATACCGTCTGTGGAGATCTCATCTTCTACTCCCATTTCAAGTGCCGATACTGGTAATATCATACCTGCCGATGCCCGTGCAGATGAATTTGCATACCAAATGATGATCATAGAGGATTTTGACGACGATCGCGTCCACGATTTTGAAGCAGATCAGCCTTCCCCAGGCCCATTTGACGATGTGAGACTTGCGGGCATCCGTGAGATGATTCCCATCCACGAAATCTCCAAGATATTTTACGCCGACACGAGCAAGGTTCTCAACATCGGTTCAGACGCAGAAAGCAACCATCCGGTGTTACTCCTGAAGCGGGACCCGAATGCCGTGCCTCCAAGAAGAATGATGGAAAGGGACGATCTCGTCGACCAAGAACATGAAGAGGCCACAGAAGCCACGACACAGCAACAGCAGCATCTCGCCGATGACTTTCACCAGAGGGAGCGAGATCCCTGGCGCTTCCCACCTTCTCTGGATCCCGAGTGGATTGCCATCGAAGTCTACACCGAATCCGAGTCGGACGACTCTGAATCCGAGATCGAAGACCCCGATTCTTCTCGCTCGGACTTTGATGTTGAAGCCTCCCAACTCGCCAACTCAGTGTCCAGCATGCATATCGCCTCGCCTGGGTTTCGGACCGAACTTCGCACCAAGCAGTCCCCGCCTTGGGTGAACGCGATCAAGACATCCCTGTCACTGTTAGAGCTCCTTCTCCGCCTGACCTCCCTGCAACAATTCCAGCAACAGTCCCACCTCTCTATTCCCGATGAACTGCTCAATTTTTTCCTCGAGGAGAGCGCCTCCACCGGCGCAGGCGGCGATGAGAACTACAGGCAGGCCCTCCGCGCAGAGGCGCGGCGCCGAGTTGGGTGGGACCCATACGACGAGAGTCCTATGAAGAAACGCGGCGAGGATTACCAGTACTACAGCCCCAGCCCGCAGCCGAGTCCGGGCAACTCTGCACCGCATGACGTGACCAGTCCCTGGAGCCCGCGTGATGCGCAGATGAGGTCGAGTACTGCCGTTGCGGATTTCCAGTCATCGCCGTCGCCGAGAGCGTCGCCCCTTCCGGGGGATCGGGGTCGCGGGAGTCGCGCTTCTTGGTTGAAGAGGAAAGATGAGAGAAAGGGAAGCCCTCTCAGGCCGCGGACAGCTGTCTCTGACGAGGGAATTGGGACGAGCCCGGCCAGCGGAGTAGACAAAGTGTGAGTCTACTGGGAACATTGAAATTACCTGCGAGAAAGACATAAATGGCGAGGAACGGAATGAGTCATGACTGGTCGCCAATAGAATTGATACCCCTAATTGTTTTACACGACGGTGAGAAATTGATCAAGCCATCAAAGAAGAGATAGCTTCTCGTTCACCACCAAAATAAGTTCACACAATTGGATCCTGTTCTCCCCCGAGCAGCGTCAACTCCAAGGCCTACTAGCAACCCGGCCCGTGACGCTGCTCTCGCTCTGCTTCTCGCCATATTGACTGCCAGTGTAAGGTTGTTACGTTGAGCAAGCGGGCCGTGCCACCCGTTTGGTGCTGCCAAAATGCAAGTTTCGCATGTCTCTCGATATAACCTGTGCACAACTAGGTCCATAGGTTGAGGAATTGGGTCATAAGATCCCCGGTTTGTATTTCAGTCATTCAGAAGCTGGCGTCGATGTGCGACAACAGTGGCAGTCGAGAGTAGAAGCCGAAGAATGATCCAGGTCGAGTGACGTGCACTTAGAGCGAGATAAAGGGCTTTCAACTGAAACTCCGCATACGGAAGAATCAGCGTGTAGATGGAGTAATTGTAAGTCTCATCCTGATTTTCATCTGACTCCCATTTGCGCTCTGATCTGCATGATTTGTGCCCTCTCAGTCGGCGAGAACGAATCTATCGTTCTTTGATCCATGGCCAATACTTGTTGGATCATCTCTTGTTGGGTCAGAGTGGGTTGTAGCGCGGCCGGTTGTGGTTGCTGCGTCGGTGTGGGTGTGTAGGGCTGAGCCGGTCTAGGAGGCATTTGTCCAGGAACGACGGGATATCCAGGGTATTGTTGTAGGTTTGATTGCGGAGGAGGGATGTTTGTAGGTTGAGGCGGTCTAGCGGCTTGCTCAACCACTTGCGCTAAGACTTTGGGATCAACGAGATTCATCAGAATGAGAGCTTGAAATATGGCAAACGACAGCTGCGGCGCGGCTTTCAGAAGGGACGTTGCTTTGGCAGGGTCGGAGATGGCTAGTGCTTTCATCTGCGTGAGGACATCGAGTAGTTGCGGCGGTGGGACGGTCGAGAGCGTCTGTGAGATAGCATCGGTGCATCTGAGATTAGGAGGCAAGTCGACGCCTGTTGGCAGAGGGGCAAGTGTGCCGGCTCCGGCAGCCTGCAAGCCGTCGCCGCCCGGAGCGTTTGACTGATCATAATTTGTAGGCACAGAATCCTTCTCGTTATTGTGAGGCCAGTCCACTCGAATCTTACGGCCGTCGATCTCAAAATCGTTCAAATTCCTGACCGCGTTTGCTGCGGAGTCCGCGTCTTGAAAGTCTGCAAACCCGAAACCTTTGGATTTGCCAGTTTCTGGATTTGTCATGAGTCTGAACTTGACCACAGTTCCCGCATAGCTCAGGATCTTGACTATGTTTTCCTCGCTCAAATCTACAGCGGGTCAGTAAGACTGATGAGGACGGTTGGGAAGAGAGGCAGGCGGCTTACTGAATGGGATGTTGCCCACAAAGACACTGCGGCTTTGGCCCGGCGCCATGCTTGAGAGGTGCGGAGGTGCGGAGCTGAGGGACTCTGAGGAACTCTGAGGGACTCTTGAGGAAATCTGGTAGTTTGAGGTGAAATATGGAATGGAAATCTGGTAGGTAGAAGTGAAATACAGAATATAGAGAATCAAGACATAACTGACTAGATGATGGACCCAAATACTACGGTTTACTACATAGCACATATACGAAGTACGGAGGAGTACGGAGTACTGGAGGTAGTATGGAGTAGTAGGACGGAGTACAACGCCGTGCCGTGCAGTGATGGGATTCACTAAACTGCTCCGAACTCCATCCCGTTTGGGAATGGGGTGATGCCGCCCTTTGCTCACCCTTACTATTGCTTCGCTTGCTCATTTCTTCGACCATCTCAGCAGAGCGCACCGATATCGATCAACACGTGTGGAGCGACATGTTAACATCTGTACGGAGCAGGTCTACAGCGTTTGCAAACTCACCAATGATGTGGATCCTTAACTTGAACCAACGAGTCGATGGTCTTCAAGGTTTGTCAGCGACCAGCTCCGATATGCTTCCGCGGAGGCTCTTTCAACTGGCTCTAGTTCTTAGTTCTTCGACAAAGCCCAAACCGCTTTGATTCGGAAGCGAACAGGAACATGATCTGTTATACTCCGCACAGCAAAGCAAGTAAGAGCGCCGTTTACCTTCTCGTTGAGCTTGATCAACACCCAGTACCACTAGAGCTACAATGGAGGGCTCGAAGACTCCGAGAAAGGTATGTTCTACGAACACTGCCATTCATTCTACTTTGTAGACCCTCTAGTTAATGAGTATAATACAACAGTCATGTGACTTCTGCTACCGGCGCAAGATCAAGTGCGATGGACACAAGCCTCGTTGTTCACACTGTATCACGTATAAAACAGATTGTACCTATACAGCACCAAGTCGCAAGTCCAGACCGAAGAAAAGACGGAGCTGTGCACAGATCGAGGATGGCACCAGCATCAGCAATACCCAAGGTCGATTGCAGCACCTAGAAGCTCTACTGGAGCAACTTACTGAGCGTGTAAAAGTCGCTGAAAAGCACAATGAGGTTCAGGCTCAGATACGACTCCAGGAAGAGAGACCAATCGACACGGCAACGCTGTCAACGACCACGACAACGACAGCGACAAGCAAAGGCGGCGATGCAGACCATGACAACAATCCTCCTAAATTGATGTTTCTCCCTCCTCTACAGCAAGTCTTGCACATCGTCGAAATCTTCCTCCAGAAGTTTAACGCAGTACTACCGCTATTTGATGCCAAAACCCTTCTGCGTCTAATCCACGACTTCTACAGTCTTGGACCCCAACAACGAGATCCGGTAGCATGGGCTGCGATCAACGTGGTGCTAGCTCTCGCACACCAGAAGGCCCTAGTGGGCAGTAGTAGTCCCAACTGCTCAGTCGAGTATCTCAGCAGAGCGGAGTCAGTGCTCTCGGAGGTGGTGCTGGGCGATATACAGTTGCTCAACATCCAGGTTCTCGTGGGCATGGTGATGCTACTTCAGGCCTCGCTAGATCTCCGGTCATCGCTGATCTTAATCGCTACAACGATGCGTCTCGCACACAGTATTGGCCTGCATGACCGTACCTCCTCAGCACACCTGGATCCCACCCACGCGAGACAGCGAGCTTGCGTCTTCTGGATGGCGTATATCCTCGACAAGGATCTCAGCATGCGCTCGAAACAGGCATCGGTCCAGCTTGATGACGACATCGACCTCGACCTGCCTTCACTTGAAATCGCCGGTTATCAGATCAATGCTAGGGGTGAAATCGCTGACGACAGCATCGGTGCCGGTTATGTCACCACCGTGGACGGAACTGTGAAGATGAATTACTTTGTGACCCGCATCCAGCTGGCTGTTATTGAAGGCGGCGTGTATGATTATCTGTTCTCCACACGCTCTCAGAAACGGAGTAGGGAGGAGCGTTCCCGCGCACTGGAGAGCGTAGCTTGCGCTCTTGAAAAGTGGAAAGCTTCCATCCCGCCCGAGTTCAGCACCGCTATGGCCTTGAGAAGAGTCCGTCCTGGCATGCTCCGTTTCCTTGTGGTGTTGCACTCCACCAGTCTGATGTGCACAACTCTCCTAAATCAGGCGAATGCCTGGAACGCTCAGTGGGTGGACAGTATACGCAGGTATGCGAGAGAAGGCACCATACCACTGCTACCACCTCAGTGGGAGGCGTTGGTGGATGAGGCGCGTGATTTGATGGTCTTATTTGGGGCTTTGCCCGTACCAGATCGATGGAACTTCTGGTAAGTACCTTATCCACATCAGCATCGCTAGGTACGAGATGGTAGCAGCGTCCATTCGTTCTCACTTGTATACTTCACACGGATCCCGATCCCTGCTCGATGAGGCTGATCAAAAATGATATTATATTAGCATGACGGGGTGCTCTCAAATAACAGCCATGATGCTGTTGACGGCCAACAGCATGCAGAGATCCCAATACGATCAGCTGTCCTTGGATGGCCAACTTGTTGAAGCTGGTTTGCGAACACTTGACAAAATGGCCGAGGAGACCCGGAGTGAAGTATTACTGTCCTTGCGGGACACTTGCGCCGAGTTGAATCAGGACGCCCAGCGAAGACGCGTTGAAGACGCGTTGAAGCCACCATGATGGCTGATACCGCCGACTTCTCCATGTGTTTTGGAGATTCTCAGGGAGGACCTGGGGGAGATGGGCTTCATGGATATGACAATGATAGTTTCTAAAGTAGAAACACCAACACCATGCGCGTATTGTAATGGCCTAGATCGGTATAGGATTGAACTATCCTGCTGCAACGACGAGAGGCTTGAATCACTCAAATACATGACATGAGTCTGAGCAATATTTCCAATGTGGTATCACTACCATCATAACCATCACCACTGGTCACTTATACTTATACTAGAATGATTTAGTTACAGAATACAGATCTTCGATTGACTAAGCAAGAGGCCGCGGAGGCTCTTCCGATTCCGTCTACTTTGAGCGGATATCCTATCCGTGCGGTTTTTCCCCAGCGCTTTGTAAGTTCCTATCCAATGTCTGTCAGTATGATTAGGTCGACAGTCCGCTTGTGGGACCAAAATATGATGCCCAGTGGCAATATTCGACATGTTCCTTGCCACCATCTTGCTAGAAGGTCTGGTCTGATTTCGGACCGTTTAGCTGCCAAGGTAGTTAGATATAGAATGTTAGCACGCGTGTACAAAGTATAAGTAATCTCGATTCTCCAGGGCCACCAGTCGAGGGAAATTCTCTGCTTCTTCTTGGAACAGATAAAGATATAGACTGATCAATCACTTTGTGCCCTGAAAGTTTCTTGGAATTGGACGAACCTGGAAGCAATCGATATACAGACAATCCAATATCCCTTGTCAACGCAGTTCACCTCGACCAACGCAACGATGGGTAGCAACGCGAAGCTTTATCCAGGAAATCAATTCTTCAAATCCTTTACCAAGACATGGCACAACAAGTCTTACCCCCAAATTTCTCCCGCCCGGCCCGAGCTAGGGACCCCTGGCAGAGTCGTCTTCATTACGGGCGGCGGTAGCGGCATCGGCAAGGCCACTGCAATCGCCTTCGCGCAGGCTGGTGCCAAAGTCGTCGTTATCTTCGGGCGTCGTGTCGACAGACTGCGATCGGCTGCCGAAGAAATCCGCAAGGCCAACCCCAATGGGACAACCAGCGTGATTTTTGAGGGGGTTGATTTGAGCCAGCGTGTCGCCGTCGACGCCGCCTTCGCCAATGCTGTCAAGCAGGCTGGCGGAGCTAAGATTGACGTCTTCATCCACAACGCCGGTATTCTCCAGACACTCGGCCCGGTCGCCGGCTACGACGAGAAGGAGTACCGCACAGGTCTGGAGTTGAACATGATGGGCGCGTTCAACACGGTCCAGGCCATGTTGCCCCTGCTGGCACCCAAAGCCAAGGTGTTCAACGTCTCGTCGTGCATTGCACATGTCCTTCCCATGCCTGGTTCCTGGGCCTACGCAGCAACCAAGGCGGCAAACACGAAGATGTTTGACTACCTGCAGGCTGAGAATCCGGATTTCCATATTGTCAACGTCCAGCCCGGCGTCGTGGACACCGATATCAACGCCGGAACGGAGGCGGCAGGGGTGGGGCAAGATGATGGTAAGCAGATGTTCGGTTTCTTTTTCTTTGGCTTTTCTTCCCACTTCTTCCATCTCTATGCGTCTCCATTGTTCAATTGTCTGTCTGTATTGCGGTGGCTGATTGCTATTTGTAGTTGAACTCCCTGCTCACTTCCACGTTTGGCTTGCATCCCGTGAAGCCGAATTTCTCAAAGGAAAGTTCGTCTGGGTTAACTGGGATGTGGATGAACTGAAGGCTCGTGCCGACGAGATCAAGAACTCGCTACTCTTGAGAGTGTTGTTGAACGGTGTGCCATTGTAGTACTGAAATGGCAGAAGAGGATGATTCATTATTCCCTCGTCGAGGTTGATTCTGTGTAAAGCATAGAGTCGAATAACCATATTCAAGGCACTGCTCGGTAATTCGAGCGTTGACATGGAAAACCACCATTAGTAACGTGTAAACAACTAAGGTCAGCATGGAAATATTCTAAACAATCGGAAAGGTGACAATGTCTAGCATGCAGTACTCTGTACGGATACTACACAGCGCTTAGAAAGTCTCTCATCGCTCACTCGCAACACGCGCGTTGTCCGTAAATACCGACCCCGCCCTCTCGGTGTTCCTCGACATACATCGATCCAGACCTCCGAGAGAGAAGATATGCAGTCGAACATAAAGTTGAAGGGGTGCAGACGGGGTGAGTAGAGGTGAGGTTAGAGGGTGAGGATGAGTCGCGAGCAGAGGACCGCCGGCCGTTAAAGCGGCACTGTCGCCAAGCCTTCCGAGCCTGCTATCTCCGCAAACTTCGGCGCAGAGAAACTCGGGGCGGCGGTTCACATTATTAGCTTAGTAGCACCACTAGTCGTAGGAAATCGAGGTCGTCACGGTCATCAAAGTTGTCCGCCTACAAGCCGCACTTGTGCTCCTCCTTCAAACCCTTTCCATTCTCCTTCAAGGTCAGCACTCGCCAATCATGTCGTACGATCCGAGGGAGCATTTTCAGCAGATCCAGCGAACTCTGCAGCAGCGAAGCGGCCGGGGCTTCGGTGGTGTACCCGGAGGCGGCGGTGCCGCAGGCAGAGGTCTTCTAGCATTGATTGGCGCCGGTGTCGCTGGGGTGGTCATCTCAAATTCCATATTTAACGGTAAGCAGCGTCACCGCAAAAGCTCCTGCAGGTACTGACCGGACGTAGTCGACGGTGGCCATCGCGCCATCAAATACACAAGAATAGGTGGAGTGGCCAAGGACATCTACAATGAAGGCATGAACATACACCGACACCAACGCGGAGAGGGGTATCTCTAACATCTGGCAGGAACACATCTCCGCATTCCTTGGTTCGAGACGCCAATCGACTACGACGTGCGAGCGAAGCCGCGAAATGTTGCCTCGTTGACAGGAACCAAGGATCTCCAGATGGTCAACATTACATGCCGTGTCCTTTCCAAACCTCGGATCGAGGCATTGCCTCAGATTTACCGCACACTGGGTACTGATTACGATGAACGAGTTCTGCCGTCTATTGTCAATGAGGTCCTCAAGAGTGTGGTGGCTCAATTCAACGCCAGCCAGCTCATCACACAGCGAGAGAGTGTGGCAAGATTAGTCAGAGACAACCTCACAAGAAGAGCTGCGCGATTCAATATCTTGCTTGATGATGTGTCTTTGACGCATCTCTCCTTCTCTCCCGAGTTCACGGCTGCGGTCGAGGCGAAGCAGGTTGCACAGCAGGAAGCACAGAGAGCTGCATTTGTCGTGGACAAAGCGAGACAGGAAAAGCAGGCCACCGTCGTTCGTGCGCAGGGTGAAGCCAGGTCTGCCGAGTTGATTGGTGATGCGATCAAGAAGAGCCGAAGCTATGTGGAGCTCAGACAAATCGAGAATGCTCGAAACATTGCGACCATCCTGCAGGAATCTGGGGGAAAGAACAAATTGTACCTGGATGCGCAAGGCCTTGGGCTGAATGTCAACGCTGGGGAGGATCCAGCAGCAAGAAAATAGGGGACAGTTTTGCGGGAGCAACGCTAGGTGTAATGTAGCTGCACATGGTCCTATGGCCTCTTTGTTGGTATATATCCATTAGCGATCAGTGTTCAAAATGTAACAATTCTTCACTCGGACCCAGTTCACTTCCCATTGATGCTCATGTTAGATCAGCACATCTTCGTGCTGTATGACTGGTTCTCCGCTCGTGCTTCCTACGACTCAAACTCTTCCTATCAATTTTGTGTTCATGACTGGCGACTTCTGGTTACGGCCTCCATCCCGGCGGCCATAGCTTTCGCGGCAATTCTCATAGTATGTTCTGCTTGAGGGAATGATGTAGTATACATCTGAGCCGTCTCAAGACTGTGTCTTAACAATGCGCCTCCGGCAATGTGGTGTGATGGTAATGCTTGAATATAAATGTCGTAACTGGCCCAATGTTCTCCCTCAACAATCGATATCGAAATGCCCCCGAGTCGTCTCCAGACACACTTGTCTGAAATCCCATCCGAGCAGCGAGTAGGTTTGCCACGAGTGTCAGTTATGTCCTAGATCCTCCCGAGTGAAAGTGTAGGGACGCTTCACCAGTCAATCAGATCAGACTCGACCTAGCACCACCCTCCTAGAACGACGGTGCGTCTCAACGCAATTTGTTCAATGCACTTTGAACATGCTAAGTCTGGCAGGTAGCAAAGTCAGCGTCAATAGAAGAGTAGCTGAAAGCTCAATAATAAGTCCACGTCCTCATCCTCCGAGGCACCACAAACTGCGGTTATATGGCACGCTTCGTTAAGAAGCTGTTCCACACTCGCAGCACTGCATAGGTGTCTTAGCCCGTATGTACTTGGAGGTTCTATCCAGGTACGTGTTTGCGGGCAAGAACTTCCGGGCGACCAAAGCAAGCATGATCTGTCCACCGTCCACCAGTATTTCGCCGCTTCAGATGGTCTGCAGCGTAGAAGTTCCACGTAAGCGCGACCCCGTCCTCAAACAATGTGCCGCGATGCAGGATCTGCGTTCTGCTCTATCTGGATGGGGCGCCCCCGGAACAGCGTCATCAGCGTCATCAGCGTCATCAGCGTCATCAGCGTCATCAGAGGCCATACTTAGGACTGTCGCAGAGGCGATGTGGCTGACGAGGCTGACGAGGCTGCAGAGGTTTGCTTAAGCTCTTGCCAAGGCAATCCACCACAGACTTGGGCCAATGGCAGAGAACTTCAACCAACGACTTTGTTTGTGTCTGCCAGTAGCAGTCGATTGTCAGTCTATGTATCGCCAATACCGATGGATTCGTTGTCGCTTGGCCAGAATGGCTCACCTAGACATGGCTTCTCTGCTTCTGGACCCTCGCCCACCGTGGCATGTGCAGTTGGTCCTGAGGCCGCGAGCAATCGACCTCGGTCTCTTAACGGGCAGACGAACCCAGAGATGCCAAATGACCGATTTGAATGGAAGCAGTCAGCCATCTGCCAAATGTCTCCATCTGAGAAGTTTTTCCTCCTCTTCCGGCGACACCGAGGTTCTCAAGAAAAATATTCAGCCCTGGACTCCCAGTTTAGCTGGCTCTGCGTATCTGGTATCCTGCACGTCTCGACCTCGCTCCTACATCATATAGGACAGGGATGTGGTTGCTGCCAGGTGCTCTTTCTCCTTTGGCAGTATGGCTGTTAGCTATGTCAGCCACTGGATCACTCACCTTCTGGATGCGCCGCGAACTCAAAGGCTTGTACACCACGGGCCCGATATCTCCACGTTCGGGAGATTGGCAGCGATAATGAAGCGCGTATCTCAACGGAACCATAGGCGCGAAGCCTGGCCATTATGAGCGACTTGAGATCATGGCAACAAGGCTTTTTGCGCCTCCTTTACCACACAAAGATGGACTATGGAATCCCAAGCTCTCGCCATAGCAGGCTGTCCACGCTGGGATATGGTGTATGGCAATTCAAGAACGGCTCGAACCGTTGATCGCGTTGATAGAGAATTTGGCTTCTGCTGTCCTCAGGACATCAGCCCTGCATGTGCTGGCTGTATCACTGGGAAATGTGGGCCATTCGAGACCCTGAGTGCTTCGCTGCACACAGCCAGAAGCTAGCAGTCAAAGGAATCCAGCTCTAATGCTTGAGCCTTGGGCAGATTGGGAATATCAAATTCATGTCTTTGTCAAGAGGATCATGAATATGGTTTGCTGGCTGACGGATGTGGTGAGACCGAAGTAAAGGGAACAAACCATCTGTACAAGAGGCTACGCCCCAAGACAGACGTTCAAGAATGGATTCACTAGTTCATTCGCACAAGTTTGTGCTATGGAGGATGCACGAAGTCTTTGCTTGGCCGGCTAAGCCGCACTCTTCGTTGTTGTCAGCCGCACCACCAGCCGCGAGGCTCGCACCCCTTTCGTCTCTAATTTTCAAACCCAAGGTCAAAACAACTCTCCTCCATCACCACCACAAAGAACAAACAGAATTCTTTCTTGGTCTTGATACGATTCATCCTACTTCTCAGAGTCTTCATCAAGCCCTTCTCATAGAGCGTGGGATCATCCTATGGCCTAGAGGCTTGTGGCAGTCTCTTTTTTTCTCTTTGTCAATTTCAAATCCCCCGAAATAAAGATCGACTGTGCCAAAGGGCGAAACTCCTACAACCCCAGACCCTTCGCACCTGGATCTTGATCTTTCGAAAAGGTTCCTCTCTTTTGAGGCACGTAACTTCTCCTTCATTAACTTCGATCGGCTACACGCGTCAGTCTACCGCCTCAAATCAGTGCAAATTGTTCGCGCCAAACACCACATCCCTGTTCGCGCTTTTTGGAAGCCTTTGGATGCTCACGTTGGCCCAATATCCTTTGGAACTCAGAAGGATACATGCGAGAGACTCAGATCGCCTACTAGCGATATCACTACTGTAAGTCTCCCTTCCCCATCATCAATTTTCTCTAAATTGACCTGACCTGATCGCAGTCCACAGCCTCCTGCTGCCACGTGGAATCACCTTCAGCGGTTCAGCCATCCATTTAAAGAATTGATATTAAGTGACCGATCAAGATGGTGAAGAAGAGCGTTGCGAAGACACCGGCGTCGGGCTCTGCCTCTAAGTCTACTGCAAAAACACCGTCAAAATCAAGAAAGACAGAAACAGAATACTTTGACGATGTTTTTCTTGCACGTCCATCCGCAACTAGACCGATAACCGTTGACGTACGTCTTCGTACTAGCAAACCCGCAATACGACCGGGGCCAGACAAACGAGTGTATCGAAAGTTTGTGATCAAGCCCGATCCCGATTCCAACAACTCTACAGGTAAACAGAAGGAAGTTGAACAAGGCTCAGAATTGGAGGCATTCAAGACTCTCCTGCAGCTTTGTACCACGCTCGACACCCCGTCAGCCGACCTACTTGCGACAGCACTTGGCCAAGAGCCCGAGGATCGAGAGTGCATATCTCTTCCCGACATAGATGACGCGAATGCGGACGATGCGGACGATGCAGACAGTGCGACCGATGAACAAAGTGGCTGGTCATGCCACAACGGCCTTGACCTTGCTGCTCCTCCCCTGTCAGACATCCATGAAATATTCCGCTCTCTAGTCAAGACTGGTAAGAAACACGGTCTCCTGGACGCCATAGCGCCATTCGTGGACCAAAGCCTACGAGTTTTCACCATGTGCTCTGGTACCGAAAGCCCCATTATCGCCCTCAACCTTATTCAGCAGGCACTGGAGTTTGATGGGCCGGACCCCTTCCACCACCAACACCTGGCAAGTGCGGAGATCGAGCCGCAAAAGCAGGCGTTCATCGAGAGAAACTTCCGCCCTCCTATCCTCTTCCGCGACGTGACCGAATTCGACGCCTACGCCAAAAACATGGACAAAGAGGAGTGCAGACCATACACCGCATATGGCAGGCGTGCAGACCCCCCCAAAGGAGTTCATCTGTTGATTGCTGGCTCGTCCTGTGTGGATTATTCGCTGTTGAACAACAAGAGGAATGTCAAGGATGGCGAATCGGCCACAACCTTCCAAGGTGTTGCCGCTTACGCAAAGGCTCACAAACCTAACATGGTCATCTTGGAAAATGTCGGCACTGCTCCATGGGACGAAATGCTGGAATCCTGGGAGGATTACTGTGGCATGGCAGTGCTGGTGAACTCTCTCAACTACTATGTGCCGCAGACCCGGAATCGAGGTTACTGTCTGCTGATCCAGAAGGACCATGCTGAGAGTGTCGGGCTCGACCTGGAGGAAGCCGACAAAGAGTTTATCCGCTGCATGGCACTCTTCCAGCGTCGGGCATCATCACCCTACACTGACTTCATTCTGAAAGAGGATGATGCCCGCCTTCAATTGGCAAAGACCAATCCCAATGACTTTAACGTCCGAGACCAGTTGCGGGACTGGGTTCAGTGTCGGAAGCGACACTTGAATGTGCGTGGGCAGCTGCAGCTGGGATTGTTGACTCCTTATACCAGACGGCAGAACCACGCTCAGTGCAAACTGGACGATGGTGCCTGGCAGCGCTGGGCCCTCACTCAGGCGGAAAGAGTGCACGACACGCTCGACATCAATCAACTCCGATACGTGTCCGAGCGAGATTATGATATGCGATTCAAGTACCGAAATTTCAATTTCTCGCAGAATGTCGACCGCGACGAGGATAGCCGGCAGTGGGGAGTGGTCGGATGCATCACACCCAAAGGCGGCCTCTTCCATACCGCCCGCGGAGGTCCCCTGGCTGGTCTGGAGGTCTTCGCACTACAAGGGATGCCCATTGAGGATCTGAACTTGAACAAAGATACGTCGAGGGAGCTACAAGATCTGGCGGGAAATGCCATGACCACCACTGTCATCGGCGCCGCCATCATGAGTGCCCTCATTGCGTGTCACAGGGCGACGAACCCCCAAGATGGCTCTGACTCTGGCCGGCCAACAAGCCTCTTTGATAAGTATACAGACGAATTCGGGAGCGGAGGAGCGGACAAAGACAGTGCTAGTGCCAGTGCTTTGACCCGTCAATTGATGGGCGAAGAGGAACTGATCACCCAGCTCCACAAATTCCCTCTCCAGAGCGCGAACAGCAACTTCTCCTTTGATGGCATTCCCCCCATTGAGGATCTCATCGTGGGCGCACTGGCATCTCAGCCACTGTGCCGCTGTGAAGGCCTGGGCCAGCATGCGACGGACCTAAAGATCTGCCCGTGGTGTTTCTACACCACCTGCAGATCATGCAGTCGCGACCCGCACCAGGGCCTACAAGAACTGTCGGTGCAGCCAACGGCTCGTCGTTCACTACGAAGCTTTATTGAAACCATGGTTCAGTCACTTCCTCCAATCCTGATGTTGCAAGGATACTCTACCGGTGACACCAGACCGACAGTGATCACGAGCGCCATCCAGGACCCTCTGTATTTCCAGGGAGTCAAGTTCGACGGTTCTGGTTCTTGGAAGGCCACTTTCGAGTCAGACCACGCGGTGCTGCAACTTGACTTCATGCCCGCCTACTCCCCACCCTCCGCGGCCGCGACGAATGAGTTGGAGGCTTCTGACTACTTCTCCGTCGAGCCTACCTGGCTCCTCTTCAAGAAGGTTCCCAAGACAGCGCCGGCGGAAAGCCCACGTCGAGCTCTTCTGCGACACCCAGTGGCTAGAATGCGCCCGACCAATCACTTGATGTCAGGGCTCTGGATGCTGTGGGACGGCGCCAACAAGCCTCAGAAGGTACAGATCTCCGGCCACGGCATCAAAGTGCCGGCATGGGAACAGAACATTGGACTGAAAGCATCCCCATTCAACAAGTTGAGTGTGTTTCCAGAGCTAGAGATCCAAATTGCTCCCGGTCTGGACGGCGATGAAGCTCTGAAGATGCAACAGATCACTGGCCGGTACGAAGTGCTCCAGAATTGTCCAGCAGCCAGTGGAACATTGCACAGACAGATTGTGGCGTCTCAGCCTGACGCCAGCCCCTTATTTCTCTTCTTGGATGCCCAGCCCCTAGGAGACGCTCACCTGGATCGGATGGTGTTTGCTACGCAGCCCCCTCGCGGCAATTTGCTCGACGAACGCACCATTCTGGCCAAACTCCCCGCCTCATGGCGACCGGCGTTGTTGACAGACTCTCCGCAGGGCGACGTGGTTGGTTGCGAGCTGCTCAGCCGATGGACCAAATGCCCCGGGTTGCAACTCGCCGTGCCGGACGAGGGACGCCAGATCCGCAAGTGGTATCAGACAACCGACTTTGGCGCCGTGTCAGATCCTTCCTGCCGCAACACTCCTTCCACTCTCCTGGCCCTCGAGCTCCGGTTGAATCGGGACCAGCAGACCAGATTCCCGCCGGGCCGGGTCATCGACATCGCCCTCGAAAACAAGCCCGACGCCTTGCACGGTTTTGGTTGGATCTTGTCTCACGCCTCGAAGGTTCCCCATTTAGATGCAGGCTGGCAGCCAGGGCCGATGCCGGTGCCGGATACTCAGGCTTCACCTTCACCTTGCCGCGAATGCCTGCCCGAACCACCCAAACTCCGGTGGCTCATGAAAGCCGTGGGCAAGAGAAACATTATCAAGCCCTTTGAGGACCCGGAAGAAGCAGCCGTGTACGAAGATGCATTGAAGCATCGGCCGAAGCCGGCGATGGCCACGATGCATTGCCATGGAGAAAAGGCCTTGTTGGACATCAAGGTCAATCTCTCAACCTTGATCCATCGCGCACAGACTCAATTCTATTCCAGGACTGGCTCCTTCACCCAGGGGCTGGCCTCCAGCTGGCGGTTGGCACGCCATGCCCCCTTCGCAGCTCCCCCGGCATTTGGTCCGTTGCAGCTGCTCTCAAATGCTTCGGAATCGCCCATAGCGACCACGACGATCCGGGGCCGCACTCTCTGGATCTCACAGCGCAAGACTCTGGCTTGGATGCAGAAACAAGAGCAGCAGCCGCCGGTTTGGCAGGAAATGGCGCTGGTCGAGTCTTGCTTGCCTGCGCTGGGATGGCGTCTCGAAGCTCAAGCAACCGTCGACACGCTCGTGCGAGGCGGGATCATCGCAGACGACGTCGGCGCCGGCAAAACCACTACGTCGTTGTGCTTGGTAGACTTGGATTACCAGAACCAGAGCGGCGCTTCACCCAGCTCCAGCTCGTTGTCGTCCATTCCAGCAACCGACTCCTCACGTACCCAATCTAGAGCGTCTCTCGTTCTCATGCCACGAAACATCCTCAAACAATGGCAGACGGAAACCGACGCGTGCCTAGGCTGGAAGCAGTTCAAGCCCAACCTCGGAACCACCACCTCCATCCCTCAACCACCTTACTACTTGGTCGTTGGGTCCGTCAAAGACGTGCTCCAGTTCTCATCGTCGGCCATCGAGTCAGCTTCTCTCATCCTGGCGCCCTGGGACCTGTTCGAAGATGACAAGTATTGGAATCTTCTCCGCAAGAGCGCCTGTGCCCCGAACACGCCCACTGATCCTGGCCGCGCCTTCTCAGAATGGCTTGAAACCGCGCTCCAAACCTTCGGAGATGCAAAACAAGCATCGCAAGGCGACAACACCCGATTCTGGAGCAGATGGGACCAGATCAGAGCCTCAAGCCTCAGCTACGACCGCTTCCAGGGGTTCAAGACTCGGGCAAGCAGTAAAGCAGAGCGTGCCGAGAAAGCAAAGACTACCAAGGCTGCAAAGGCTGCTGCTGCTGCTACTGCTACTACTGCCACTGCTGGTACTGCTTCTACAGCTACTGCTGGTACTGCTTCTACTGCTACTGCTGGTACTGCTTCTACTGCTACTGCCTCTGCTGGTACTGCCTCTACTGCTACTGCCTCTACTGCTACTGCTTCTACTGCTACTGCTTCTACTGCTACTGCTTCTACTGCTACTGCTTCTACTGCTACTGCTGCCACTGCTCTTGGCCAGATCGAAACTGGAGGACCATCAAAGACTGCCGGACACAAGAGAAAGCGAGCGGAATCTGAATCATCCGACAAGACAAAAGTCGACAAAATGGATGTAGACGCTGCTCCTCTGGCCGACGATCCTTTTGAGAAAGAGCTAGATGACTTCCGAGCGCAGTCCAGCATTCCCAGTCTCCTCCATATGTTCTCCTTCCGCAGAATCATCGTGGACGAGTTCACCTACATCTCAGGCAGGACCTTGATGGCTCTCCTCAAGATGGAGGCGGGATCGAAATGGTTGCTTTCTGGCACTCCTCCCATCCACAACTACGACAGCGTCAACACCATGGCCAAACTGTTGGGCACACGCATCTCGACCTACGACGAGGCAGGCGGCAAGTTTGGGTTCGGCAAAGACGGCTCCAAGATGGTCAGAGACCGATCAGACGCCCAGGAGTTCCAGTCCTACCAGAATCTGGTGTCTGCCGCATATGTCGGGACGTTGTATGACCATGCCACCGCCTTCTCCGCCATGTTCATCCGCAAGAACCAAGCCGATGGTAAACTGCCCAAGAAAGACGAGAAGTGTTGCCTGTTCGACCTCAGCCCCTCGGAGATGGTCACGTACATGGACATCGACCAGATGATAGAGGAACAGGACCTCAACTTCGGCCGAAAGGCCAAGCGAGCGACCACCAGCAGAGCCAAAGGCAAGGGCAAGGTCAACGGCAAGGGCAAACAAAAGGCCGATGAAGATGAAGATGAAGATGAGGATGAGGACGAGGTCGAGGTCGGCGATGATGCAATCGAGGCGGTTGAAGACCGAATGAAGACGGCAGTGGAGCAGAAGAGCGGGCCAGATCACGCACGCCTGTGTCCAGCACCAATTCTTGCCCAGATGTTGGCAGACGCTCCTCCCGATCAGATAAAAACCGAGGGCCAGGTCCTGCACTACCTGGTCAGCGCGAAGGAGGAGCTGCTGGTGGCCAGGGCCGCAGAGCTGCAGCGGCGCCTGCGGGAGCTGTGGCACTGCGCCATCAAGAACCCAGAGGCCGCCGCGCTCAACGCGCCGTTTGTCCACCTCATGCACGACGTCAAGAATGCCGCCCTGCCCGACGTAGACGTCCTGCCAATCGTCGACCGTCTGCTCTGGCATGCCAAAGCCAACCCGGCGCCTCTGTCGTTGGACAAGGCGCCAGCAGCGAAGAAGGCGAAGGTGGAGGCCGCCGCCCTGAAGGGTAACAAGCTTCAGAGCGCGATGAACGCCCGGACCGCCAGGGTCCACTCCCTGATCGAGGAGTTGGCGCGCGGCTTCTGTCGCCTTCGTCTGTTGCGGCTGGTTTTGGCGTTGGTGATGGAGGAGGAGGAGGACGGGCCGGTTGGGTTCTGTTCGGTCTGCGGCGATGCCGCACTGGCCTCAGACAGCCAGGGTTTGGAGATCTCGGTGCAATGTGGCCACATTGTGTCGTGCCCGCGGTGTCCGGCGATGCCGGCAGCGGAGGAGGAGGCGGAGGAGGAGGCGGAGGAGGAGGAGAGGGAGAAGTGGTGCTGCGGCAACTTCTCCCCTGACCAGGTCAAGCGGGCCAGCCAACTGGTGGCAGGCGGCGCGTGGGGGGCCCGAGGAGGCCAGGGCTCGCGGGTGGAGCGGGCCATGTCAATCATCGCGGGGTTCTCGGCCGCCGACGAGTTCGGACTGGTATTCGTCCAGTTCGAAGAAGACCGGGCCGCCTTTGTCGAGGCGTGCCGGGCGGCCGGGACCGGGGTGATTGACGGCTTCCGCGGGACCACCCCGACGGCCGTGGGCAGGTTCCAGAAGGGGCAAGCGCGTGTCTTGGTGCTCAAGACCGACAGCGCCGACGCCGCCGGATGGAACCTGCACATGGCCAGCCACGTGCTGTTCTTGTCGCCGTTGGTGGCAGGGTCGAGGGAGGAGAGGGACGCCACCCTCGAACAGGCGGTTGGTCGCTCCCGGCGCCCACGTCAACAGAAGGTGGTACATGTGTACCACCTGGCGGCCCGGGACACCGTCGAGGAGGAGATGGTGGCGTCTCTGGGTTTGTGAGGGAGGAGGGAGGAGGGAGGAGGGAGGAGGGGAGGCGGGGGATGTGGGAGTAGGGGGTGGAAAGGGGGGCGGCGTTGGGGAGTTCTCTTGCTGTTGTTGTATGAGTAATGCCCAAAAGTGATTTCTGCCTCTGTCTATCGTTCTTGTCCTTGTCCTTGTTCTTGTAGATGTCCACCCGTTTCAGTGTGGATTTCTGCCTCTGCCTCTCTTTCTATCGTTCTTGTCCTGTTCATGTCCTTGTAGACGTCCGCCCGCTTCAAAGTGTGAACTTCTGCCTCGCCTTTGCTGTCGTTGTCCTCGTCCTGACAGACGTCCGCCCGTTTCAAAGTGTGTGAATTCTGCCTCTGTCTTCTACCTCTATCGTTCTTGTGTATGTCCATGTCCTTGCAAACGTCCGCCCGTTTCAAAGTGTGAATTTCTACCCCTATCTTTATTGTCTACGTCCTTGTCCTTACCCTGACAGACGTCCGCCCGTTTTAAAGTATATGATTTCTATCTCTATCGTTCTTGTTCTTGTTCTTGTCTTTCTAGACGTCCACCTGTTTCAAAGTGTGTGATTGCAAACGTCTTATCATGTCGTGTCGAACATGCGGATGTAGATATAACAAGGTCTTCATGTCCAGGCGACCGCTGACTCCTTCGAGACCTATCCTTTCGCGGCGTACGTTGACTCCTTTGGGACTATTATATCTAGGGCGGCGATCGCTGAATACTTTAGGAGTATTATATCGACCTCTTTATAGTATACGCTGACTTCTTCGAGATTATTATATCTAGGGCGACGACCGCTAAATTCTTTAGGAGTATCACGTCGACTTCCTTACGGCGACCGCTATCTTCTTTAGGACTATTATGTCTATCCCTTCGCGGCGACCGCTGACTTCTTTAGGAGTATCATATCTATCCCTTCGCGGCGTACGCTGACTTCTTTAGGGTTATTATATCTAGGGCGGCGACCGCTAAATTCTTTAGTATTATCACGTTGATCGTTTCACAGCATACGCTGCCTTCAAGGTCTATCACTATAGACGTCTTGTCGTGTCGTGTCTATATCTAGAATGTGAATATGATTATATATTCAGACGACCGCTGGATCCTTTGGATTATCACGTTGATAGTTTCGCGGCGGATGCTGCCTCCAAGGTAGATCACTTCATGGGACTTATTGTCTTGTGTCCGTGTTAGTGTCTATGTCGGTGTCCATGTCTGTGTCCATGTCTATGTCCGTGTCTAGAATCTAAACGTTATCACGATAACGTTAGGCTAGCACGGTTCATAAAGACAAGGTCCAAATCAGGATGTGTTCTAACACGAGCCTCGGTGGTCAAGTGTCTCCATCAGGAGTATCTCTCTAGTGAACCAAATGAGTTAGGTCGAGGCCTATCGGGTGTGCATGAGCCATTGTCTTTTCCTTGTGAGTACACAATAGTGCGAAATGAGTGTCGAAATGGGTACCCGGAGACATTCCCCCCAACTTCCTCTCGATCAGGAGTGCCTGTATCACGGTGGCACAGCAACGAGCGAACGTGTATGCAGTTTGATGCTATCCTGATTTGGAACCCACAACCTATCCTGATACCATAGGCGGTCATCTCGTACAACACAGTCCGACATTGAGATATGATGCTTTGTCAAGAATGCCTTGAGTTCTGGTCGTAAGGGTGCGTTGTTGCTCAAGTGTTGCATAATCTCCGTCAAGTCGGCATCAGTCTTTGCCTGGTATAACTTCCCAATCTCCTCGGGGATTGTGTCATCTTCTTGAACGACTGTGGTGGCAAGGGCAGCAACCGCGGACAATCGGTCGGGTTTGAGTATACCCACACCTTTCCCGAGATTCTGTGATATCAGGAGAACCTGCTGTTGGTGGCGTACACGATCATCTTGATCATCTTGATCATCCGGTGGTTTGTACCCAGGTCGTCGAGTGAGGCTGTCAGGCTTGGTACCTTGCCGGCCGGGGCGGTACTCAATTTGAAAGTGAAATTTCGACAAGAACTCGCTCCACCGTGCTTGTCTGCGATTGAATTGTTTTCATATCATAAACTGCATACACGTTCGCTCGTTGCTGTGCCACCGTGATAGCCTGTTCGATGGTCTTGCTCGTCATTTGCAATGCCTGAGGCGTCCAGGTTAAGATCTTCATCATCTTCATCAGAGGTGTTATGGGAGCATTCCGAGTGATAGATAGAGTGGGAGGAGGTCCTATTAGACTCGGTAGTGATGGATATCGTGAGAGGAGGTCTCATCGGACTCGGTCGTGATGGATATATAGGAGGAGGTGGGACAATCGGGGAGGTGTGATAATGACCGGGTTACACAAGTGTGCCTGTCTGTGGAGAGACGTCTTAAAGCAGGGTGTATTGGTCTGTTATCTCTTTCGACAGACTGTGTGGGAGTGTCTTGTTCTTGCTCTTGAGAGATCGATGAACCAAGGACGTCTTGACTTTGGGTAGCACGGACTGTGCCTTGTTGTAGATTCTTGGTTGATCGCGTCCACGCGATCTCCACGATCAAGCTGGGACTGCTCAATTTCTTAGTTGTCTAGAGTAGGTGTCTTGTTTGGTGATTTGGATGATTCCGCTATGAAGCTGCTTCAGGAGAGACACGATCGCTAACTTCGACTTGGCCGACCACAAGCATGTTATCGGGAGGCGCCAAATCGAGGCATCCAATACCCACGCTGAGAGCATGGTACTTTGTCAGCATGTATGCGCAGTTGTAAGCTTGTTTGACAATTCGAGTGAAAGCTTGTGCCTTGATTGGTGCCCAGTCGAGTCCTGCTTCTTCGTCCTGGCCATTGTCGATAGCCAGTCAGGAGGGAAGGAGGAAAGGATGGATTGGTTGTTGATCTGTCATGTCGACACCGATCCAAGCGACCTGACTTCACCAGTAACCTTTGGGATTACGGCCTTGAATTACTGCTCGGGGACCCTAAGCTGTACCGGAGGACATCCAGTGAGTCTAACAACAAGGATTTACCACCAGCATGTATGGAATGAAGTCAAGTGCTCTTCTCAATGTTGTGAAGGAGGAAGAGGAGGTTTGTATGACAAGTTCCAAGCTCTTGAGTGTGTGTGGTATGATCTTGTGTGTGTAACTCCAGGCTCTTGAAGTATGATCCAATCATGCTCTGGTTGATCGAGGTTTTGGCAACCAAGAGGAGAAGGCCTCAACGATGACTGCTGACTCGAAATTGATATGATTGCAATGCAATTCAGTTGGTCAGGTTGATGCCTTCGAGGACAAGGTCAAGTTGTTGAATCGGCTGTTCTGTCTGCAACTCTTTAAATTGATACGGATCGCAATGAGAGAGCATCGAGACAGAGGTCGATTCTGAGAAGCGGTCTTAGTAAGTATATGATAAATAATTGCATGACACCTTCACTCGTTGCTTGTGCCACCGTGATATAGGCGACCAGTAGATTCTTAGGACATCATCACGGAGCACTGCTATAGATGCGTAGAAACTAGATGCCGAATATATGACAGATTCCAAGCTCTTGTTTGTATGATTGTGAATGTCCAAACCCAAATGTGTGGTATGTGGTATGATCCAATCTCTTTGCTTTTGTCAACCTTGCTCAACCTATGTTGTAATCCTGATGTTTTAGAAGATGAAGGATGGAAGGATGGAAGAAGAGGAGCCGTCGTGGCAAGTAAAGTTCAAGTTTGTAGAGTTGAAGAAGGACAAAGAGGATCAGAGGGTGTAAAGGTTTTACTTGCTAGTTGGATTCACAGCTCAGCAGTAATGAATATACTGCCGGTGAGGGTTTGACAGCAACGAATGCCTCAGGTCGAGATCGGTTGATGAGGTTTCTATGATAGGATTGATGAATCTGTCAATTCAAGCAAGGTGCAGGCTAGGTGTGCAGATAATCATAGTAACGGCCAGGCGGTATGGCTAGATGGGACACTTTTTCCTGTTTAGACTTAGGTATTCATTGCCATAATGACCGCTGTCTGCTGTATCATTTTCTCACCGTCCCTTGATCCTTGATATTGTCACCGTGAGTCGTGACTGTCGACTTTTCCCAAGCCTGCATTGCCTTTACACAGCTAGACCCAAGACAAATCCTTACTGTATTCCTCTCAGGCCGTCGCTGACCACCAACACACTGTACCAGTACCCAATGGCACGGAGGAACCCTAACCCTAATCCTAACCGCAACACTCAACCCGCAGCATATTTGGAGAGAGCGCGCAGCCGGGCACCGAAGAACCAGAAGATAAAGGGGGCGGGAATGCCGATACCGATACTGACAAAGGCCAGCACACTGGTGCCCCAGCCATAGTCCAAGGCCTGGTACATGTAGGGGGCGAAGAGTGGGAAGCCGAAGCCGCCGAGGCTGCGCAGGATGGCGACGGCGGCCATGGCGCTGGCGGCGTAGCGGGTGTAGCTGTCGACCGTGTAGGTCTGCATGCTCTGCAAGCAGGCCATGGTGCCGGCAGAGAAGAAGACGACGCCGAGGTTGGGCATGATCCAGTGCGCGTGGCCCTGCACGCTCCAGCCGTACCAGAACAGCCCGATGGTGACGAGCACGGAGCCGACGAACATGGACGGCACGCGGAACTCGGGCCTGCCCACCCCCCCGTTCTTCTCCTTGAGTTGTAGGTACAGCCGGTCGATGTAGTGGAAGTTGGCCAGCAGGCCCAGGAATGAGCCGATAGCGATCGAGATGTAGTTGAGCCCGCCCACCCCAAGGCTCTCGCCGTACACGTCGCGCCACAGCACGGGGAACGTGGCCAGCAGCAGGTAGATGACCCCGAACAAATACGCCATGTACACCGCAATCACCTGCACAATCGGCTGCGTCGTGAACAGCCGCGCCGGCCGCACCAGCGCTACCCCCATGCGACCGAGCAGCGTCGATGGTTGGCCGGTACCCGTACCTGCCGCCTCGCTCTCAGTGTGCAGCTTGTCGTTGCCCGTCTCCTTGGCCAGCCGGTCGCGCTTCCTTTTCAGGAGGGTGGGCGCGTGCGACTCGCGCAGCCAGAATAGCCCGATCGCCTGGATTGCCCCCGTCAACGCGCTCGACGACCAGAACACCCACCGCCACGTTGTGTACTCCGCAATCCAGCCCCCGGCCAGGGGGCCCATCACCGGGCCGAGGACGGGCGTGAGCGTGTAGATCCCCATGGCTTTGCCGCGCTGCTCGGGCAGCCAGACGTCACTAAAAGTAGAAGAACGCCGCGTAGGTCAGCAAACAGAAACAGTAATGACGACGGCAGTAGGGGGTAGATGGTAGGAGGTAGGAAGTAGCAGGGAATGGCCGGGCCGAGTCGATGTGTGTGGTCTGTGGTGTGGTGTGTGGTATGTGGTGCGTGGCTTGTGAAGCCCGTCTTTCGCCGTCCCTTTCGCTCACCTTATCGCTCCTCCCCCGATAGCCATCGGAGCGCTTCCGCCGGCCCCGGCGAGGAAGCGGAAAATAAACATCTCGGTTTTGTTGGTGGCGAAGCCACAGGCCAAGTTCCAGGCCAGATACCACAGATTGCTGACCTGCAACAGCCGCACCCGCCCCCACATCTCGGAGGCGGGACCGAAGAAAAGGGGCCCGAAAGCGTATGCGAGGATGAAGATGGACAGCGACAGTTCCACTTCGATGTCGCTGTGAATGTTGAGGTCGCGGGCCAGCTGCGGCAGGGCCGGGGCGATCATGGACGACGAAATGGGCGACAGCACGGCGAAGAACGACACCGACACGGTATACGTCCATTTCGTCTTGAACGGCCAGTTCTTCGGGTTTGCAGGGTCGTCCGGCCCGTCCCAGGTGACGAGGTTGGGGTCTTTCCACTCATCCCCCGTCTCCACGGTGCCTGTCGTGGACACCTTGGCCGCCTCGACGTCTTCCTCTTCTTTGGAGTGGACGTCTGGCGCTTCGGTGGCTACTACGGCGGCCACAGCGTCGGCGGTGAGGATGGGCAGTGCAGGCCTAGGCCCCTCGCCTGGCTGCGTCGGATGGGCCATGGAAAGGGTGTCGTGATTGCGGGCTGGCCGTTCTGCTCAGCGAGCTTCCCCGCACCTCCGGGGCGGTCCATGGCTCTTTATACCATGGCTGCGTGTTGCGGGATGGAATCTCTCTCTCTGACGTTCCGGTTTGCTTCACGCAAGGCTGGAAACGTGCGGGACTGGCCAATCGGAGGCCAGTCTCTGCTCCGGGCCCGATGGATAAGCCCCGAAGCTTAGCCATTTGATTCCGAGACCATTATCCGAGCCGCAGAGGGCACATGGTCACTTTCCGCTTCCCTCTTCCCTGTACAGCACACAATGTGCAATGGACAATGTGCAGCGTACGGATGCCGGGCATATCCCCGTTGTATCTTGTGCTGGACCGGATGACGGGGTGTCCCTAACCCTGACAGTATTGACAGTATGCAAGCTCAGGCCCGGCCGCTGACTACCACCAACCTCGACCTCGACCCGCGCCATGACTCGGCGCGGCCTGAGCCCAGCGCGATGGCCTATGCCTGTCAACCCTGTGTACGCAGGAAAGTCAAATGCGACCGAGCCATTCCGATCTGCTCGAGCTGCAAGCAAAAGTTCGATTGTGTCTACCAGGCGCCGCCGCCGCGACAACCAAAGCGGAAACGCAGCGAGACCGTGTACGAGCGACTGGCGCGCTACGAGCGCACGCTACAGGAGAATGGCCTTCTGTCTAAAGCCGACTCAACCACGGTCGCTGCCAAGGAGACGATGAGGAGCGGCAAGCTGCTGTCGGGCGAGGGAAAGGCTCGATATATCGACGGCAGTCTCTGGCGCGATTTGGGAGAGAACGACATGTTGGAAATGTCGGAGGAAGAGGAGGACGACCCGCGCCCTCCCCCTCCTGTCGGCATCATCTCGCCCACTGCAACGACAGACTTGCTCTCCAGCGCGCTGCTTGGGACCCCGCAGGATCTGGTCGACTACCATCCCGGCCACGAGGACGCGATGAAGCTGTGGGCGGTGTATGTTGACAATGTCGAGCCTCTGTGCAAACTGCTGCATGTGCCGACCGTGGCGAGAATGGTCGAAAGAGTCTCACGCCAGCCGGGGACGGCGTCCAAAGCGCAGGAATGCCTGCTGTTTGCCATCTACCACTTTGCCGTCTTTTCGCTGGCCGACGGGGAGTGCGTGCGCGCGTTTGGACAGTCCCAGGCCGCATTGTTGGCCAAATACCAAAACGCCGTTCGAAAAGCACTCGTCAATGCATCCTGGCTCAAGACAACCGCAATGCCCGTCATGCAGGCATACGTGCTCTTTCTGACCGCCTTGCGCACCCAGATTGACCCTCACACCTTCTGGATCTTGACCGGGGTGGCAGTCCGCATCGCACAGCGCATGGGACTCCACCGTGACGGCGAGAGTCTTGGTCTGCCTCCGTTCGACGTTCAAATGCGACGGCGTCTCTTCTGGCAACTTCTCCCGCTCGACGGCTACGCTGGCCAGGTTTCGGGCACCGGCATTTCCACTCCTCCGACCAGCTGGGACACCAAACAGCCGTGCAACATTCACGACGATCAGATCTTCCCAGGCATGACACAGCAGCCGGAAGAGGAGAAGGGGGCCACCGAAATGATCTACTGTCTGTCCAGGTCGGAGCTGACCAAACTCTACACGCGCACCGGCGTGAAAATGAAGGAAGTCGGTGCCACGCTGCAACTCAGGGATACCGCCGAACTCGACCGGCTGATTGACGAGGTCGAGGGCACCATCGAGCTCAAGTATCTCCGCTACTGCGACATCGCCGACCCGCTCCACTTCCTGACCCTGGGGATGGTCAGGTCCGCGGCCAACATTGTGCGGCTACACAGCCGCATGTCGCGATTGATGAACAAAGGCCTCGACGACCATGAAAGGAGACAGCTCTGTGCCCTCGCCCACAAGATCCTCGACACCGACAGCGCGGCCTACAGCCACCCCAAGATGAACCGGTTTCATTGGTCTTTCCGGTCTTTTTTCCTGGGCGACGCCCTCATATGCCTCCTGACCAGCCTGGCAAAGGTCGGCTTCTTTTCCCGCCCTGAGCTGGATGCCACCTGGCACAAGATGGCACACGTCTATTCAAACCACCGAGAGTTTCTGGAGGCCAAGAGAGCCATCCACATTGCAGTCGGCAAAGTCACGCTCAAGGCCTGGAGGGCCAACCCGCCCACCCACTCGGGGCCCGAGCCGGATTTCATCGACACGCTGCGCTCCTCTCTGCCCAAGATCAACCCCGCCAAACGCCCGAATCCGAAGAAGACGCGCGACACCGTGGGCGGCCTTGATGCTCTTGATGGAGGTCCCGAGGCTATGTCCACGCTCTTCTCTTCTCCCAGCAGCGACGCTGGAGCCCTTTTTGGCGGTCTCGATGGCACGGACGTGAACTTGGACCAAAACTTCAATCTTGACGCTACCGACTGGATGTTTTGGGATCAATTGACGCGCGACTATGAGACTATGCCAACATAATCGTCCGTGGTGGCGGCAGCCGAAGTGGTCGCAGGAGGTAAGCAAGCATTCAATGATGGACTGGGCTGTGTTGCAGTTCATCGCATTGGTGGCTTCTGCTCCATCCTCGTTGTTGCCCGCGTGCTAGTTTTTGAGTGGGAGGTGTGACGAGTGACTCCTGGCATACCTGCATAGCAGTTCTGAAAACATTCGGTCAAGACACGTTGTTATCTAACGAGTCCTGGTATGGTAGTCACGTATACCTACATAGGTACCTACCTTGGTTTAATAATACCCATCCTTGATGATCACAGCAAAGGTGCATTCAGGCCACGTGACGATATGCTGGCTAAGACTTACAGAGTACATAAAGCGGCGTGAGGAGGCCAGTCAACCCACTGCACCCAAAGGCGGCAGAGGGTGAGGGTGATGGTGAGGATCAATCAGTTGGTTCGGGATATCCATGCACCCCTGGTATACTACACCAGGTAGGGGGGAGAAGATGATGATCATGTTGTTGATGACATGGACATGGTGTTGTTGAGTTGAGGGATGGAACAAAAGAGCAACTGCCATCATGGATGAAGCTATCTAGTATCCAGCATTACCTGGCGCCTGCGCTGTGGGCTGCCAGATTGCTGGGGCGCCCCAACGTCCAAATTTAGACTCCTGCTAATCTGACATCCTCCATTATTCGTCCATCTCTGCCCCCAAATCAGCCCGTTAAATTTTCAGGGATCGGGGCCAAAACTCGCCTGACCCCTTACTGATACGAGCTAGGACGACAAATGCCAGATCTCATATTATCCGTACGGAGACACTGGACAGACAGTCAACTGTCACTTCGGGCGTCACACCTCAGCCATGCCATCAGTCCTTCCCCCGTTGTCTACCAACCGCATACGAGTCTCATGTAATCCTTACATAGCTCGGTCGGAACCCCTTGCAGCCAAATCAATGGAACTGAAAAAGAGGTGTCAGGGGTGTCATAAGACAATAGATGCAACCACCTGCGGACTCCGAAATTAGTTTACGTTGGACCCAGGACTGCACCGGACTCCGCTTCGTGCGCCACATTGTTCAATATCGATATGGGAGTTCCTGCGAATCCCAGCCAAGGCTGAAAAAGACAACGAAGAATAATACTAGTGATAAGCGGACGCCGAATGCTGAATGCATAACACAAGTGAGAAGAGTACTACTAGTGAAATGGCTATACGGGTTACGAGCATCCGTCTGTGCGACCCGGGGAGTCTTCGGGGGCTGCTGCTGATGTGCCATGTCGTCCTTTTCCTTTCCCACTCGCGCGCTTTCGAGTTGTGGACAGACAGGGTTTTCCTTCTGACCGCCGGGTCACTCGGGAGACACAAGCTGCCGTATGTATTAGATAGCAGCCCTGGTCGCGAAAGAAGGTCGGAAGAAATTTGATGGCAGTTGAGCTCGCTCCTATGGGCAACATCCCGTCTGTTGGTGAGGCCTAAGCCCGACGTCATGCACCGGGGCTCTCAACAAACAAACTCCCTGCGTCCAAAATCTGTTGGAGTTGGGGTTGGGCTCGGGTTTGTGGTGAGGAACTGGAGTGGGCCGGCCGCATGCTGTTGTGTCTAATCAGCGACGCGATCGACCGCCTATGGAAAGCCTAAGCACGTCTAGCCCAATCACGCCCGGCGACCCCCCGGCTGGCTCCCCCGGCGGTGCCCTCCCAACTAAACCGCTGTCTCCCTCCACGCATCGACTGTGAGTACCGACACTCTGTAGTAAGCCGCCCCTATGCCCCCGAAAAAAGGGTTCCGGTCGTATTGCTGAAGGTGCCTGAAGCCCGGACAGCCCCTAAGCACTACTGTCCCTCAGTGGCGCATCTTCATCGTCAAACCCCTCGCCGTGATGATGATGGTTGGCCTGCTGGGCTGCGGCCCGCCTCTGCGATGCACTAAGCCCCTAAGCCCCTAAGCCCTTTCCACCCCCCGTCTCTCCAACAAGTGAGCGTTGCCGCGTTGCTGTTACTACTCTCAATTATTTTCAAATATAGCCTGCGCCTCCGTGTCTTGCTCCCGCTCCCATGTTGCTGACTTCACCACTCCCTGTTTTTCGCAATTCCTCTTGACTTCCTCTTACGACCTTTCTCCCGATCCGTTCGTTCCTTCTTCATCCCTAAAGCTTCAGTATAAACGTTCGGGGTCTGTGTCTGTGTTTGGGCCATCGGTTTTAATAGGCGTATCCCCGGTCTCCTATTCTTTTTGACACACCTACAACCCCCCTCCCGCGACTCTCGAGACCGTCAGAGAGAAAGGTTCTCAGGTGTATGAGATAGCCTCCAACCGACAGCCATGGCTCCCACCGTCAACGGTGCCAATGGCGTCAACGGAGCTCGCAAGTCATCGCTGGTGAATGGCACCACCAGCTCATGGCAGGCGAAGCACAAAATCGCTCCCCACTTCATTGGAGGAAACCGACTAGAGAATGCTCCTCCCAGCAGAGTCAAGGACTTTGTTCAAGAGAACGATGGTCACTCCGTCATCACCTCAGTGAGTTCTCTTCCCTGCCCAAACTTTCGATGCCGGGGCGAAGCTAACGCCTCCCGTCTAGGTGCTCATCGCAAACAACGGTATTGCCGCGGTCAAAGAGATCCGCTCCGTACGAAAATGGGCATACGAGACTTTTGGCGATGAGCGCGCCATCCAATTCACCGTCATGGCCACTCCAGAAGACTTGCAAGCAAATGCAGACTACATTCGTATGGCTGATCAATATGTTGAGGTACGCAACCAAGAGCAACCACAGTATGAGAAGAGGAATGTCGGCTGACGATCAGGATACAGGTACCCGGAGGCACCAATAACAACAATTACGCAAACGTCGAGCTGATTGTTGATATCGCCGAGCGCATGAACGTCCACGCTGTCTGGGCGGGTTGGGGTCATGCTTCGGAAAATCCGAAATTGCCAGAGTCCCTAGCAGCCTCGCCCAAGAAGATCATCTTTATTGGACCTCCGGGATCCGCCATGCGGTCTCTCGGTGACAAGATCTCCTCGACAATCGTCGCACAACACGCAAAAGTACCCTGCATTCCCTGGTCCGGAGAAGGCGTGGACGAGGTGGAAATCGATCAGCACGGTATCGTCACCGTCAAAGACGAGGTCTACGAGCTGGGGTGTGTACACTCTCCCCAGGAAGGTCTGGAAGCCGCGAAGAAAATCGGCTTCCCTGTGATGGTCAAGGCTTCCGAAGGAGGCGGCGGCAAAGGTATCCGAAAAGTCGAGAACGAAGAAGAGTTTGTCCCTCTGTACAATGCTGCTGCGAGCGAAATTCCCGGCTCCCCCATCTTCATCATGAAACTGGCCGGCAATGCCCGACATCTGGAGGTGCAGCTGTTGGCAGACCAGTACGGCAACAACATCTCTCTCTTTGGCAGAGATTGCTCGGTGCAGCGGAGACATCAGAAAATCATCGAAGAAGCTCCAGTCACGATCGCCAGCCCAGAGACTTTCCACTCCATGGAACAAGCAGCCGTCCGGTTGGGCGAGTTGGTCGGGTACGTCTCGGCTGGCACGGTAGAATACCTCTACTCCCACGCGGACAACAAATTTTATTTCCTCGAGTTGAATCCACGTCTCCAGGTGGAACACCCTACCACCGAGATGGTCAGCGGTGTGAACCTGCCAGCCGCCCAGCTTCAGATTGCCATGGGTATTCCTCTCCACCGCATCCGTGACATTCGTTTGTTGTACGGCGTGGATCCACACACGGCGACTGAGATTGACTTCCACTTCAAGAACGAGGCAAGCTTGAAAACTCAACGACGACCGCGGCCAAAGGGACATACGACCGCCTGCCGCATCACCTCCGAAGACCCTGGCGAGGGCTTCAAACCTTCCAGCGGTACCATGCACGACCTGAACTTCCGCTCGAGTTCCAATGTCTGGGGCTATTTCTCCGTCTCCTCAAATTCCAGCATCCACAGCTTTTCCGACAGCCAATTCGGTCACATTTTCGCGTATGGTGAAAACCGTTCCGCGTCTCGGAAGCACATGGTTGTCGCTCTGAAGGAATTGAGCATTCGGGGTGACTTCCGAACGACCATTGAATATCTTATCAAACTGCTGGAAACTCCTGCTTTTGAAGCCAATACCATCACCACCGGCTGGCTCGATGAGCTGATCTCGAAGAAGTTGACTGCCGAGCGCCCTGATCAAATGCTGGCCGTCGTTGCTGGCGCGCTTACTAAAGCCCACATTGCAAGCGAGGCCTGCATTGCCGAATACCGCAAGGGCTTGGAGAAGGGTCAAGTGCCCCCCAAAGATCTGCTCAAGACGGTCTTCCCCGTCGACTTCATTTACGAGGGCCAAAGATTCAAGTTCACCGCAACCCGAGCCAGTCTTGACAGCTATCATATCTTTATCAACGGCTCCAAATGTTCCGTGGGGGTTCGGACTCTTGCCGATGGTGGTTTGTTGATGCTTTTGAATGGCCGATCGCATAGCATCTACTGGAAAGAAGAAGCCACAGCCATCCGCCTCAGTGTTGACAGCAAGACTTGCCTGCTCGAGCAGGAGAATGACCCCACTCAGCTTCGTACGCCATCGCCGGGTAAACTCGTCAAGTATACGGTCGAAAATGGCGCTCACGTCAAAGCTGGCCAGCCCTTCGCCGAAGTTGAGGTTATGAAAATGTACATGCCCCTCATCGCGCAGGAAGACGGCATCGTCCAATTCATCAAACAGCCTGGATCCACTCTGGAGGCTGGCGATATTCTGGGGATTTTGGCACTCGACGACCCGTCACGAGTCAAGACTGCGGAGACGTTTACTGGGCAGCTCCCTGACCTGGGCCCGCCTCAGGTTGTTGGCAACAAGCCCCATCAGCGCTTTGCTCTCCTTGTCGGCATTTTGCAGAACATCCTTATGGGCTTTGACAACCAAGTTATCATGGCTTCGACAATCAAAGAATTGGTGTCCGTTTTGAGAGATCTCGAGCTGCCGTATGGCGAGTGGGTGGCCAGAACATCGGCCCTACATTCAAGAACTCCGCAAAAGCTGGATGCGCAGCTGGAACATATCGTGGAACGGGCACACTCGCGAAGAGCTGAATTCCCCGCGAAGCAGCTGCAGAAAGCCATCAACCGCTATGTTGAGGAAAACATGTCCCCCGCCGATGGGGCGACGCTCCGCGGTACTCTGGCACCTCTCGAAGAGGTGATTGCCAGATACCAGGAAGGATTAAAGGTTCACGAATTTTCCGTCTTCACTGGCCTGCTCGACCAATATTACCAAGTGGAGAGGCTGTTTGCTTCGGGCACCCACCGAGACGAGGACGTCATTTTGAGGCTCCGAGAAGAGAACAAGGCCGATCTGTCCACAGTTGTTTGGACAGTCTTGTCGCATGCTCGCGTTTCGGCAAAGAATAACCTCGTCATCGCTATCTTGGACATGTACCGACCCAATCAACCCAACGTCGGCAATGTTGCCAAGTATTTCAGATCATCCCTCCGCAAGCTCACCGAGCTGGAGTCGCGTGCCACGGCCAAGGTTGCGCTGAAAGCGCGTGAGTTGTTAATCCTTAGCGCTCTGCCCTCACTCGAGGAGAGAGCCTCGCAGATGGAGCACATTCTCAAATCTTCGGTTGTCGAATCAAAGTACGGCGAGACCGGCTGGGAGCACCGGGATCCCGACCTCAATGTCCTGAAAGAGGTGGTTGACTCTCGTTATACTGTCTTCGATGTTCTCCCTTTGTTCTTCGCTCACCACGACCCCTGGGTGGGCATTGCTGCGCTCGAAGTGTATATTCGCCATGCTTACCGTGCCTACACCATCAAAGAGATTCAATACCACAATGACCTCGAGCCACCATTCTTCCTGTCCTGGGACTTCGTCCTGCGAAAGGTCGGACAATCCGAGTTTGGCTTGCCGTTGGCTTCCTCTTTCCCCTCTGGACAAGCAACTCCCTCGCAGCAGGGCGGCAACCCCTTCAAACGCATCACTTCGGTGAGTGATCTGTCGTACCTTAATAGGGTACAAGGAGACGACGAGCCTGCCCGGAAGGGTGTGATCGGGCCTTGCCATTACTTGGATGAGGTGGATGAGACACTTGCTCGTGCCCTCGACGCCTTTCCCAAGATTTCCAAAGAGAAACGTCCCAGCCAGCCGCTTCTCATGCCCACGCTCGACAACCAGAGAAGACCACCACCACAACAGAAGCCGGAGGTGGCTGACGACGAACTGTCCAACGTCGTCAACATTGCTATCCGTGACATCGAATCTCTGGACGATGACGAGATCCTGAGCCGTTTGCACAGTTTGATTGCCGAGTACAAGTCAGAGCTCCTTGCCCGCAAGGTACGACGGATTACTTTCATCTGTGGCCACACAGAGGGAACTTACCCCGGATACTTTACTTTCCGCGGCCCAAGTTATGAAGAAGATATGGATATTCGGCACAACGAGCCTGCTCTTGCCTTCCAGCTCGAGCTTGGGAGATTGTCGAGGTTCAAGATCAAGCCTGTCTTCACCCAAAACAGGAACATACAAGTTTACGAGGCCATTGGCAAGGGCGAAGAAAGAGACAAGGTGGTTGACAAGCGCTACTTTACTCGTGCCGTCGTCCGTCCTGGTCGCCTGAAGGATGAGATTCCTACAGCGGATTATTTGATCTCGGAGACAGACCGTTTAGTCAATGACATCTGCGACGCTCTCGAGATCATCGGCAACAACAATTCCGACTTAAATCACATCTTCATCAACTTTGCACCGACCTTCAACTTGCAACCCAAAGATGTCGAAGAGCAAATTGCTGGCTTCTTAGAGCGGTTCTCCCGCAGATTCCTGCGTCTTAGAATCACTGGAGCAGAGATCAGGATTCTGTGCACTGATCCCGAGACAGGACTGCCATATCCTCTTCGTGTTATGATCACGAACACCTCTGGCTACGTTGTGCAGGTTGAGTCGTACGTCGAGAAGAAGTCTCGCACAGGCGATTGGGTCTTTGAGAGTATTGGTGGCAGCACTAACAAGGTCGGCGCCATGCATCTTCGACCCGTCTCCACCCCGTACCCTACCAAGGAATGGCTGCAACCCAAGCGATACAAGGCTCATTTGATGGGCACGCAATATGTCTACGACTTCCCCGAGTTATTCAGACAAGCCATTCAGAACAGCTGGGCCAAAGCCATTGCCAGGCATGCTCCCCTTGCCGAGACGAGACCAGAACTCGGAACATGCCTCGACTACAACGAACTCATCCTCGACGACAATGACGACATCACCGAGGTGTCGCGCGAGCCTGGTACCAACAGCCGCGGCATGGTTGCCTGGCTTTTGACGGCCAAAACGCCGGAATACCCTAGAGGCAGACGGTTTGTGATAATTGCCAACGATATCACCTACCAAATCGGATCCTTCGGACCGGTTGAGGATAAGTTCTTCTTCAAGTGCTCCGAATTCGCTCGAAAACTAGGTATCCCCCGTATCTATCTCTCTGCCAATTCAGGTGCCCGTATCGGCATGGCCGAGGAACTCATCCCTCACTTTTCGGTGGCATGGAATGACGAAGACCACCCCGAGGCTGGCTTCAAGTATCTCTACCTGACTCCGGAGAAGAGAAAGCAGCTGAGCACCAAGGAAGTTATCACTGAACAAACTGTCGAGGATGGGGAGGAAAGACACAAGATCACCACCATCGTCGGCGCCAAGGATGGATTGGGAGTGGAATGCTTGCGGGGCTCTGGTCTCATTGCCGGTGCCACCTCCAAGGCTTATGAGGATATCTTCACCATCACTCTCGTCACTTGTCGCTCGGTCGGTATTGGTGCCTACCTCGTCCGTCTCGGTCAACGCGCCATTCAGATCGAAGGTCAGCCCATCATCCTCACCGGCGCCCCTGCCCTCAACAAAGTGTTGGGCAAGGAAGTCTACACTTCCAACTTGCAGCTTGGTGGTACTCAGATCATGTACAAGAATGGGGTCTCCCACATGACTGCCAGCGATGACTTCCAGGGTGTTGAAAAGATCGTCGATTGGATGTCCTTTATTCCCGACAAGAAGGGTCAGCCAGTCCCAGTCAGCCCCTCGGCTGATCCGTGGGATCGTGATACCGGCTTCTATCCTCCGCGACAGCCTTATGATGTCAGACATCTCATTGGTGGCAAGCAAGATGAGGAAGGCTTCTTGCCTGGTCTGTTTGACAAGGATTCTTTCCAGGAGGCTCTCGGTGGTTGGGCACGCACCGTTGTTATCGGTCGTGCTCGTCTGGGTGGCATCCCTATGGGTGTCATTGCGGTCGAGACCCGCACTGTCGAGAACGTCATTCCCGCCGATCCTGCCAATGCCGACTCGATGGAGCAGGTTGTTCAGGAAGCTGGCGGTGTCTGGTACCCCAATTCCGCCTTCAAGACTGCACAAGCTCTCAAAGACTTCAACTATGGCGAGCAACTTCCAGTGATGATTCTGGCCAACTGGCGTGGGTTCTCTGGTGGTCAACGAGACATGTACAACGAGGTGCTCAAGTACGGATCATACATTGTGGATGCCCTCGTCAAATATGAGCAGCCGGTTTTCGTCTACATTCCTCCATTCGGTGAACTCCGAGGTGGATCATGGGTAAGTCTCAAAACGCTGCCTGATTTTCGGCACTCACTAACATGTTTCTAGGTCGTCGTCGACCCTACCATCAACCCTGAACAAATGGAGATGTACGCTGACGAGGAATCTCGTGGTGGTGTCCTGGAGCCAGAAGGTATTGTTGGTATCAAGTATCGTCGCGAGAAGCAGCTTGAGACCATAGCTCGCCTGGATCCCACTTATGGAGAGCTGAAAACCCAATCGCTTCGCAAGGATCTCACTCCTGAACAACTGAATGAGATCAAGGCCAAGATGACGGAACGCGAGCAACTTCTTGGGCCTGTCTACCAGCAAATTGCTCTGCAATTTGCCGACCTTCACGATCGTGCTGGACGCATGAAAGCCAAGGGTACGATCCGCATGCCATTGAAATGGCAGAATGCGCGACGATTCTTTTACTGGCGTCTCCGAAGAAGGCTATCTGAAGAAGTCCTACTCAAGAAGCTCGGCAGCAGTGTCGCGGCTGGTGGCGCCTCTGTCCCTACCAACCCCTTGTCTACGAGGGAGCATAACCTGGCCTTGCTGAAACACTGGTCTGGCCTGCTGGATGTGGAATTTGAGAACGATGACCGCAAGGTGGCAGAGTGGTATGAGAGCCACAGAAAGGAGGTGTATGCCAAGATTGATGCGGTCAAGAGCGACGCTACCAGCAAGAAGGTTGCTGAATTGTTGATGGGTAACAAGGAAGGAGGGTTGAAGGGGGTGCGAGAGGTATTGAGCCTTGTGCCCACCAGCGAGAGGGAACAGCTGGTCAAGTACTTGACCGGTGCATGAGGAAGTCAAGGATAATCAATGGTGCGGCGACCGGGGGTTCCCTATCATGCCTCTGATACTCGACGGTTCATGAGGGTATTGAGTTTTGGGATTCGTCTTTGGAACAGATGGGCTTGTCTCAGCATACTGGGGGGCGTGTGTTGTCTTTTGGCACGTTCGTTTCTTTTTCTCTCTATATCCTTTTAGTTGTGCAGCGTATAAAAAGCCGAATTAATACCAGATGTTTGTTTTCCCATTTGCTATGCAGCAGCGAGACGCTGGCATGTGCTCCATGCTCGGGATTTGGTCTTGCAAATTAAGGGGGATTACGAGGCTGTACTTAAAAAGGGGCTAAGGCTTAGGCCTGCCCAAAGGGGGTAAGGTTTGTAGAATCTAATACTGGTGGGCTCCCTATCTACCTAATATCCGTGGCCATATACGTAGCCGTACTGGCAAATGGGCTACTCATATGGATGCAGATGCGCCCTCCTCAGGTAGAACAAGGAGAAGATGGACCTATGTTCGTATATGGCGTAAAAGATTGACCTGGGACATGGGACACGCCCCACCGGCCCAATCAGCGTTCAGTCGGAGGAAACTGGGCCAAGATCTTCTTGACCGAGGGCCTGGCCAGCAAGACATGCAGCCAGCGGGAGTAGGCGGCGTACTTGCCGGCCTCGAAGAGCTTTCCGTTCCTCGAGACGGCGGAGGTGTGGAGCACGGCGTTGGCGTAGGGCACGAAGCTGAGGTCGGCGTAGGTGAGTTTCTGGCCGACCAAGAACGGGTGCGACTGGAGCCAGGAGTCCAGCACGGCGGTGACGCGCTCGACCTCGTTGATGTACCGCTCCTGCGCGCTGGGCAGCGGCTCCGGGTGGAAGTACAGAAACCACCAGGCCTGGCCGAAGTACGGGCCCTGGCCGGAGACCTGGAACTGCAGCCACTGGTTGAGCTGGTATTTCTCCGGCACGGTCGTGGTCGAGATCCGGCCGTCGCCGTCGTACCGCTCGACCAGGTACTGGATGATGGCGCCGGACTCCCACAGCGAGATGCCGGTGTTGGGGTCCTCGATGGCCGGCACCCGGCCGTTCGGGTTGATGGTCGTGTACGGCTCCTGCTTCAGCTCGGCCGAGCTGAGGTTCACAATCTTGTATGGGACCGACAGTTCCTCGAGAATGATGGCCACTTTGAGCGGACTAGATGGAAAAGAAAGAAGATAGCTTCGGTTAGTTTCAGGTTCAGAACAAGCGAAATGGTTTCTCCCTCTCTTCTTCTCTCTCTCCCTCTCTCTCTTCCTCTCTCTCTGTGTGTGTGCAAATAGGTGTGGTCACTTACTTGGGACTCCCACCGTGGGCGTAGAGAGTGATTGGTTGCAGAGAGGACGACATTTTGGGAGGTTGCTCGGTCAGGGATTCAATGTTGTCGAGTTAAGCTGAAGCTGGCGGAAATAGAAGGCAGTTATAGGTGTCGGTTAAAACTGTAGAAGCGGAAGTTGGTCGATTCTGTTTGTTCAGCTTTGCTTGTCACTTCCGGAAGAAACCTGGGTGGCCTTGAGCGGGTTTATGTATATTCGTCATTGCGACAGCAATTTCTAAGCATTGGACCCAGGGCCCCAACTTGCTGTCTGTCGCCATTGTCCTCTGCCAAAGCTTCGAAGCCTAATGGTGTCGAGGCTCCTCAACGCCGGCCGAGAAGGACGACAAGCGATCACGTAACTGTTACTGGGAGAGCGCGGCAGCCAATCAACAGCAACAGACCACACTCTGACCACGTGATATTGATGAAGTCACGTGAAAGAGGCATCTCTCCTGGCCATGTAAGGTACGATCGAGTATCGTGTCTCCTTCTCGGCCGCTCTCAAGCTCTGGCTGCCAAGGGAGCGGCTGGTCCTTGACGTTGGAGTTTGGTCCGATTCACGCGTAGGAGGCGGGTACCACGAGATGGAGCAGCTGACCGAGGACCCCAGATTGACGGATGCATCAAGTACCGAGTGTACGGCGGGGTGTTGACCTAGGAGTGAGTCAAGCCAGTGAGGCTCTCTTCTTCTAGAGGCTGCAAGCTCAATAGGATTGGTGCACTCTGTAATTTGTTTGTTTCCACCCACGGAAGATTGGTAATTAAGGTAGGTCGAGATGGTCAGGATGGTGAGGTTGCCTGGCACTGGACGGAATCGGTGTGAGACAGAATACCGGAATTGCAACACAAAGGTGCAAAGATCCGTCAGACCGGCACCTGTAACTTCAGATTGAGTGCAGTGCAGCTTAATATTGACGTCTTTACAAACATTACCGGCTCTTTGGTACATGCGGCTTGGCCCGAGATCCTTTACGGTTATCTTGAGCTAGGTACCTACCTAACGTACGTAAGGTACCTTATCTACTACCAAGGTAATATTACTCAGGTACTGTATCAGGCTGCAGCGTTGCCGCCCATTCTCTCGTCTTCTCATATTTCCACAGAAGACTACGGGCTCCTAGTAGACTGCAACCATGGTCTATCATCTATCAATCTGAACTGTGATCCCTCCTACTCGAGATTCTTACTCCATCTCCCATCTGCATGTCGAAGGTTAGAAGATGAAGATCAAAGGCAAACCATCGACACCACGCAGCCGCTTCTTGGAGCTTCCTGTAGAAGTGCGGCAGATCATCCTCACATATGTGCTGCTCCCGCTGGATCGTTACATCTATCTCAGCCCGAAGCAATCATGGGTAGAACTGGACCGGGCAAAGACGCTCGCCTGCTCGCCTGTCTTGCTCGTGTGTCGGAAAGTCCACGCCGAAGCAGTGCAACTCATGTATCTGCGGGCCACCATCGTTCTCTATGCTCAACCGGGCTTCTTGGTACTGCCATCACGGCTTCCGCACCGAAAGCTCGTTCGCCGTCTTGACATCGGTATCCCCATGGCAGAGCAGCAATCCGGCCTTTCGTCTGCCCGCCTCAAGGCCAAGATTTACCTTCCTGCTGCTCCGGACCGGCTGCTGTCACAACTTCAATCCGTATTCCCTCAAGCTCGAGACATTTCCCTCACTCTCTGCGCAATTCCTCCGAGAGCAGTCCCGTACATGTCGTCCCTGTCAGGGGCCACTGTTTGTGATCTACGTGCTCTCCTCCTCCATTCACTCCTGAGCCACAAAATAACCAGACTGCGCTACCAGCTGACTGACAAACTGTCCTACGAGCTGTTTGATCTGGGCCAACATGGCTCTCAAGAAGTGCTGAAGGAACGGGTCGGACGCGCAGGCGAACTGCCCAATTTGAAACAAGTCGAATTCTACTTCACCACGCCATTGTCCAAGCCGACACACAACAGGCCGATCATGTGGGCTGCGAGGACGGCCCCGGTGTCAAGTACGACCATACTACACCGAAGCCTTCGACAAGAGCGGGGCAGGATGAGATCCCTTGGGGAGGTGTTGCCAGGTGTGTTTCCCCAGGTCGAGAGCTTGAGACTCTGTCGGATGTTATATTGGCGTGGCAATATCTCGTATGAGCTCATCGACATGAGAGAACCTGAGGATTTGGTGGTGCCAAAGCTGCTGAGAAGAAGAACCATTGGTGCTGACAGTGCAGAACATGGGCACGCCAGATTTCGGGCGTGAGCACCGAGCACGTAACCCATGAGACTGAAGATAGTGATGAATTGATTAATGACCACCCATCACGCATCCTACATAAATAGCTTTCACGATATGATTGCAAGTCCAGCTTCCATCATGTGTATCTCAGATTGGAGCTTCTCCGAAATACGACGATCCATCCGGGTGTTAAAGCAGCAGCATATATGTCTTGCACTAACTCATTATGGACACCTGTTATCGATAAGACACCAGAAACTTTTTCGCAGTTTGTCTTCCTGCGGTCCTGCGGATGTTCAAGTTTGAATTCAATTGTTCCAACAGCAAGAATACCAGCGACGCCGGCGCTGTCGAAGCGTGGAGGACGTTAGTAAAGACACGGTCCCTGTGGCTCTCCAGGCTGTGGTTGCAATAGGGTGACTGATTCCTCCGCCTCCGCCATGTCGTCCACCACGACTCAGACCAGCACAAAATGGTCGGTGGAGTACGATACGGTGCGACGACACAAACTCTTCCGAAACACGCCCAAAGATCGCAGCGCCTTCCCAGCCCTTCAGGCTGCTGTGAAACCACACATCGAGTCGTTCAATGCACTCTGGGACGAGAAATTGATCGACGCAGGATTGAAGGATATCGGTGTGCACACGGTTGTGGATGGAGACCTTCGAAATCCCAGCCGCACCATCCGCCGGAACAAGCTGGATTTGAGAGTGACCGAGGTCATCCTTGACAAAGCCGTGCTGCCGGCGTCCAACAAATTCAGCCTCCAAGATCGAAACATCTATCCCTCTGAGTGTCGAGAACGACATGCCACCTACCGAGGGAAGCTCAGAGCGAGGCTGCAATACAGGATCAACAATGGAGACTGGAAAGAGTCGGTGCGCGATGTCGGGCAGATGCCCATCATGCTACGATCAAACAAATGTCATCTGGAAAAATTCTCTCCTGCAGAGATGGTTCGCCATAAAGAGGAATCGGAAGAATTGGGTGGCTACTTCATCGTGAATGGAAATGAGAAGCTGATACGCATGTTGATTGCGTCCAGGCGAAACTATCCCATGGCCATTGCTCGGAATGCCTTCACTGGAAGAGGCCCGACCTTTTCCAAATTCGGCATTCAGATTCGCTCTGTCCGTCCCGACCAGACCTCGCAAACCAATGTTCTTCACTACTTGACCGACGGGAACGTCACCTTCCGGTTTTCGTGGAGGAAAAATGAGTTTCTGGTTCCAGTGGTCATGATTCTCAAGGCCTTGGTCGACACAAATGACCGGGAGATCGCCGAAGGCATCATCGGCTCGTCGTCTGGGCCTACCACCCCCAGTTCCTTTGTCTCCGACCGAACCGAGCTTCTTCTGCGGACGTACAAGGCATATAACTTGAAGACAAGAGCCCAAACACTGGCCTATCTGGGCGACAAGTTCCGGCCTGTTCTCGGCAATCCCATAACCGTGCCAGACGAAAAAGTGGGCGAAGATTTCCTGAGGAAGATTGTGCTCCCGCATCTCGGCAATGTCGACGTGACCCCGGCTCAGAATAATGACAAGTTTCAGCTGATTCTGTTCATGATCAGAAAGCTGTATGCTCTGGCGGCAGGCGACTGTGCCCTTGACAACCCCGACGCCGTGTCAAATCAGGAAATTCTGCTCGGAGGTTTCCTCTATGGAATGATCCTTAAGGAGAGCATACACGATTGGCTGATGGCTGTTGGAGGAGCTGCTCGAGAGTGGCTCAGGACGAAAAATGGCGCAACATTTGCAGATGCCAGCTTTGATGCCGACTTTCTTCCCAAAATCGTGCGGAGGTCAAATGAAAATCTGGCCGGCAGGCTAGAATATTTTCTGTCCACCGGCAACTTGGTCAGTCAGACCGGGCTCGACCTGTCCCAAACATCGGGCTTCACGATCGTCGCTGAAAAGATTAACTTCTATCGATTCATCAGCCATTTCAGATGTATTCACCGAGGAACCTTCTTTGCACAGTTGAAGACAACTACGGTGCGCAAACTACTACCCGAAAGCTGGGGCTTTCTTTGTCCGGTCCATACCCCAGATGGTTCCCCATGCGGACTATTAAATCACCTAGCCCATCAATGTCAGGTCCAAATTAAGAGAATCGACACGTCTGGCATCGAGAAGGCGATCAGTCAATTTGGTCTTTCGTCTGTGCCTGCGATGGATGTCGAGAATAGCCTGTCGGTTCAGTTGGACGGCCGCATCTTGGGTTACTCCCCTGCAAAGCGGGCAAAGGAGATTTCCCAACTCCTGCGGCATTGGAAGGTCGGTGGCGAACACAACATTCCTACGGAGCTCGAAATTGGCTATGTACCGACCTCGAATGGAGGTCTTTACCCTGGGCTGTACCTATTCACCGACCCGTCACGCATGCTCCGTCCCGTCAAATATATCCCCTCCGACAAGCTCGACTATGTCGGGCCGTTCGAACAACAATACATGAACATTGCCTGTGTGGACGCAGATATCATCCCGAACTTGACTACGCACATCGAATTTAAGCCTACCAACATCCTATCCATCCTGGCCAATATGACGCCATTCTCCGATTTCAACCAGTCTCCCCGAAACATGTACCAGTGCCAAATGAGCAAGCAAGCCATGGGTACGCCTTCATCTAACATGATGTGCCGGACAGATAACAAAGCCTACCTTTTACAAACCGGACAGACCCCAGTGGTCAGGCCGCCACTTTACAACGAGTATGGATTGGACAGTTTCCCCAATGGAATGAATGCGGTGGTGGCTGTGATTTCTTATACTGGGTATGACATGGATGACGCCATGATCATCAATAAATCCGCTCACGAGCGAGGTTTTGGGGATGGTGTCATCTATAAGACGAAGGTTTATGAATTGAACGAAAAGTCACGGAGCAGTCGATCCAAAACTGAGATCAAGTCTCTGTTCGGGTTTGCTGAAGGCGACCCCAACCCGTCCGAGGAAGCTCTTTCAAGTCTCGACCCGGATGGCCTGCCTCCTGTCGGGACCAAAGTCGGCGAAGGCTCGATAGTGCTAGCATATCACAACGTCATGTTCGATCCGTCGGAAGGCAAGCTGAAGAATCTGGATGGCAACACCAAATATTTCAAGTACAAGGACTCCGAAGAAGCATACATCGACCAAATCAGACTCATTGGCTCCGAGACCGGCGATCAGCCGTGTCAAGCCATCAGCATCAAATACCGAATTCCGCGAAGGCCGATCATCGGGGACAAGTTCTCGTCGCGGCACGGCCAAAAGGGTGTGTGTTCGATGCTGTGGCCCAGTGAAGACATGCCGTTCAGCGAATCCGGGATCCAACCCGATGTCATCATCAACCCGCACGCGTTCCCGTCCCGAATGACGATCGGCATGTTTGTCGAGTCACTTGCGGGCAAATCGGGCGCGCTGCACGGCCTCGCGCAGGATTGTACACCCTTCTCCTTTGACGAGGACAACACGGCAGGCGACTTCTTTGGCGACCAGCTCCGGCAGGCCGGGTACAACTTCTACGGCAACGAGCCCATGTACAGCGGCATCACGGGCAAGCAGTTTGCGGCCGACATCTACATCGGCGTCGTGTATTACCAGCGGCTGCGGCACATGGTCAGCGACAAGTTCCAGGTGCGGACGACCGGGCCGGTCAATGCGCTGCACGGGCAGCCCATCAAGGGCCGGAGCAAAGGCGGCGGTATCCGTGTGGGCGAAATGGAGCGCGACTCGCTCATCGCCCACGGCTGCGCGTACCTGCTCCAGGACCGGCTGATGGATTGCAGCGACAAGCAGCGTGCCTGGGTCTGTCGCTCGTGCGGCAGTTTCTTGAGCACCATGATGGTCCCCAACCAATTCACCCTCGGCCGGAAGGGCGGTCGCGTCGAGCCCAGCGGCATGGTGCGCTGTCGCGCCTGTGCTCGCCCGGCCGTTTTTGCTGACAGCAAGATGCTCGTCTGGGAGGATGGCGCCGGGCGCAAGTTCGTCGGCGGCGACAACACCACCGTCGTCAATGTCCCAGGCGTCTTGCGCTATCTCGATGTCGAGCTCGCCGCCATGGGCGTGCGCACCACGTTTCAGATCGAGGGTTAGCTAGCTAGCTAGCTATGCAACTGTAGATAGATAAATAGATAGCCACCCAGCCGACTTGTACAGCTACTGTCTTAATGGACCAGCGATCACTCATTTCATGTAGAGGAGATGGCAAAATCAATATCGTCTCTTCATATTTCATTTTCCCCCCCTCTCCTCCTTCTCTTGCCTTTATGTGCTATTAGGTGCCTTTCTGCTCCTCCTTCCCTTGCCTCTAGGTGTGACGGTCATATACACCAAGTGGCCAATTCACGAGTGAATTAGTTACTTCGTCCTTTTTGCGGCTGTCGTGGTGTGACAATTTAGGTGAACCGTGACATTAGGTGTCATTAGGTACCTTTCCCCCTCTCCTCCTTCCCTTGCCTTTAGGTGCCATTAGGTGCTTTTCTTCTAATTTTAGTTATACCTATAGTGTTGTATGAACATCGTTACTGTGAAATATCGTCACTGTGAAGCACTACTAGTGGGGTAGTCATACGGTATGTAGGAGCGACATTGACTATGACTATGACTATGACTATGACTATGACTATAGGAGCATATGATATGGATATGGATATGGATATGGATATGGATATGGATATGGATATGGATATGGACATGGATATGGATATGGATATAGACCATCTCCGGGCCAGACGACAGTATTGAAGCGCTGGAGACTGGAGACAAACACGAATATTCAATTACATACAATACAAAATACGAAACAGCCTCAGGCTTAGGCGATGGAAACAGCCTCTGGTTTAGGTGATGGGAACATGAAAGTACCGTACATACCTACATACGTACGTACGTATAGCTCAGGGCTCTATAAAACGAGGCCGTGGCTGGCTTAGGCTGTCATCTGTACAGATAGTGCATGGAAAGAAGGCAGTGAGTTTGCACAGCACATAATCGCTTTTCTGCCGTGTTGGATTGTAGATAGATGGAGTCTGTCCCTGTCCAGCTCACGAACGAATAGGTGCCAGAGGTCAGATATCATGTCCCTCAACATTCAATCCGCTTCAACCCTCGTCGCCATGGTTATCCTTGACTACATCATCTGCGTCACTGTCGCCGTCGTCGCCGTCGTCAACACCACCGCCACCGCCAACGTCAGCTGCAACAAGTGCATGCTCGGCTTTGCTTCCCTCCGCTTCTTCCGCCTTCACCCGAGTCTTTGTGGCTTCAATGCCACCGGACGTGACGAAAAGGAAGGTCTCGTTGGGGAAGGCGTCGACATGGTTGAAAAAGTTGCCAAAGACGTTCTCCTTTTCTTCGTCGCGGTACATACGTTCGTAAATTTGCTCCTGCTTGAACCGATCCATTTCGGCCTTGAACTTGTCGAAATCAATCGGCTCCTTGCCCAGGTCGCCCTTGGCTCGTTTATTGTACGAGTCAAACACGGGCCTCTCCAACAACAGGCCCAGACTCGGCGCTTTGGGGATGGAGATGTTCGCCGGTCCCAGGGCCTCATAGATGCGATGAGGGTCACAGCCGCAACGAACCACCAAAGCAACCATTGCCACCATCTTGCGGATCTGGTGCATCATGAAACTCTGCCCGTGGACCTTCATGGAAAGCCACTCGGTGCCATTGATGAGAATGGGCTTTTGGTTGACCACAAAAGACTTGATCACTCGTTTGGCTGACGGGTCTGTAAATGTCTTTTGGATGGTGAAGTTGTGGTAGTTTTTCGTCCCGACGTAGTGGTTCAGGGCTTCTTGGATTCGAACGAGCCGCGACGCTGGAATGCGATAGGACCGTTTCGCGTCAATATAAGCTTGTCGAAGACGTTTTGTTGCTTCGGTGAGAATGGCCGACCGTGACAGTTTGGGCTGGGCTTGAGTCGTGTTGTCCGTTCCAGGATTGTTGCTTGCGTCTGCTTGGGGTCCAGTCACTCTTTCCGTCGCTTCAACTTGGTCGACTTCTTTAGCTTGGTCTCCTGAAACTGCGGTATCGGCTTCTGGCTCCACCGCTTCAGGCGTGTTTCGAGGGGGTTTGCTGTCAACATCTGGCTCAACATCTGTCAAGTCTTTCCCATCGGCAGTGTCGGCATCAAGGTCGCCGCCTTTCAACCAGAGTGATTTCTCCAAGATATCCCTGACGTCTTGATCGTATTCTGCAAGGATAGGCTTGATTATTTGCTCGTCCACCGTCTCCCAGAACCCCAAGACCTCTTCTTGTCGTTTCTTATAGGCTTCCACGTCCCCCTTTTTCTCCGCCCACTCCTCGAGTTTTCTCCCCAGGAAGCTACTTGGATGTGGCGGGAGAAAGCTGTGGGTTGGAATCAGGTACTCGTAGATCCTCGAGTCCACTGCCTGGTAGGAGCTGAAGCTGTTGTTGGTCCTCTCAAAGCCCCAGATCCGGATCTGGGGGGTTAGATTATCGTTGATCTTCTTGACAATATCTGGATCCTCAATGATCAATTTCAGCGAGATGATGTTGCCGGCGGCATGGACACCTTTGTCTGTACGGGCACATCGTACAAACGAGGACTTCTTGGGGTCGTCGGCATTGGCTTTGGAGATGGCGCCTGCTGCGACAAAGGCTTTGAACAGGTCGCCCTCGATGGTCTTTTTATCGTGTGTTCTACCCCAAGTTAGGAATCTCTTCAGTCAATATCCGGAGTGTCGGACTCACAGTTGCATGCCATGATATCCCGTCCCCGCATACCCGATCAGAACTGCGACCTTCTTTTTGGGCCTTCTTTCTTCGGCTGCTAAGTCCTCCTCGCTGAACTTGGTGGCGTAGATGGGCAATTCGGCATTTCCCTCATCTAGACGTCGCCGTTTCGCCGCCTGTTCGTCATCATTCCGTTTCCGCTTGTCTACTTTGGTCTTACTTAGCAAGTCAGTCCGGTAACTCAATTACGCAGCCATGTTTTCAACGTGTGCAAAAAGATAGGCATGCTGCTGAAGGCACTCGGAGTACTCACGCCCAATCTGCCCTCCCCAGATCTCTCCTCTTGCCCGAACGACCTCCTCTACCACCTCGGCCGGCGCCGCGTGAAAAATCCTTCGCAGCTGGTTTTCTCTCGTGCGCACCGCGTCTGACGTCTTGAGGAATTCCCTCGGCGGTGGTCTCGGTTCGGGGGCCTGAGGCAGGATGGGCAGTCGACGACGGCGTTGACGCGCCTCCCGCCGGGACAGTCGAAGAGCTAGGTTCCATACTGGCGACCTGTGGAACATGGAGCACGGGGTGTCTTGCCCGAACCTGAGGTGGTATCTTGAACCCAAAGTTCTGCACCTCACCTCTCCGGAGAAATAAAATATTCAGAGCTAAGAACGGGACCTAAACGGGATCCCCCACATTGCGGAAGAGAACTTTATGATCCGCGGTATCAATGTACGGTACAGTGTACACCGTAGTGCGCGAAGTACAACGGTGGAGTATCAGACCCCCGTCCGCCATCCTATCCTACCCCAAACTCAACGACGGAGATAATACATGGAACGCGTCCCTACACACCTTGCCACGAGCAGGATGTTGCAAAGTCTGCCCAAGACCATGGCTATACAGTCAGTAATGCTACTCCGTACAGGAGGGCGTATCCTACAGGCTACAGGAAAACAGCCGTGTCAATTGATTTTATTCGATTCAGCACTATGCTAAGCTCATTTGTCAGTTGATTTCAAGCTCGCTCGCTGATTGTCCCCCGTCAACCGATCTCAGGCTGACCGGATCGTACATCTAACATCTATGAGCACTTTTGCGCTCCTGTGTGCGTGGGGGTTTCACTGTTTTTCGCTGTTTCTCGTCACCGTGGGGTGCCCTTCCATCTCGGGAGCCTTTCGCTTTCGTTTCGTAATCCAACATCATCAAGTCATAGCTCATTCGAATACCCCGAAGAAGTATTGACCCATCCATTGCTGTGGCCATTTGTCGATCAAACACCACAATGTTTCGAGGCCGTGCTGGGCGCGTTTGCTGCCGGCTCATCCCTAGAAGCGAGACATGATATTCAACCAGCCAGTCTTCGCCGTCTGTTGGAAATTCGGGAAGATGATTCGGCTTGTGTCATGGTTCTGCTCGACTGCCGGCTGCTTTGCCTGAACCCAATCAATCATTTTCAACAAGCAATCCGTCCAGTGCTTCATTACGTATTGGTCTGCCGCCTCCGGCGTACTCGGAGTATATGCAGCATAGAACCATTCGAAGCCATATCCTTGGTGAAACGCTTCCGACTTCTTTTGAAGGAGCTCTCTCGCTTCGTTCAGATATTTGTTCGCAATGTCCGCCATCCCTTGCGAACTGCAGCTGTTGACTATTTCGCAAAACGTGACGACCGAGAGTGCCGAGACGTGCATATCAAGAGGGTCGAAGCGGTAGTTCTCAGCAGATGCTGCGGCCTCGGTTGCGAGAGCGTCCACCATTCCAGCGCCCGCCTTAAGGATGTTCAGCTCAAGAAGCCCACGATCAACGCGAACAAGCAGTGAATCGACGAAACATCCGACTTTCTGCACAGTCGGGTTGTCGTCACCCAGTTCGGGGAATCTGTCAATGACTTCTTGGAGACCAGGCCTAATGAAGGTATGGATGAATTCTAAGCCCATGTCCAAGCCGAACCCATCGGTTGCCGGTAAGAGACTGACGGAGTAACCGACTATTTTGGATGACTCCGCTATGAAGGCTGCTTCAGGAGAGACATGATCGGTGACTTCGACTTGGCCGACCACGAGCATGTCACCGTGAGGCGCCAAATCGAGGTATCCAATACCCACGCTTAGAGCATGGTATTTTGTCAGCATGCATGCGCAGTTGTAAGCTTGTTTGACCATTTGAGTGAACCCGGCCCGATCATTGTTTGCGCGACCTGAACGCAGATGGCGAAGGGTGCGCAGACTGTATTCAAGTAGTTGTGACTTGGACATAGGCTCCTTCTCCATAGTTCTGATATCGTTCTCGCTCCCCAATGCCAGCAGTAAGAATGTCCAGAGGCATGCCAGGTTTTCGTCATCAGTGCGGTCTGTTGGGTCTTCTTTCATTTGCTCAACCAAGTATGCGGCCAGCTCGGTGTAGTTATGAAATAAGTCGGATGCGAGTGCGCGCTTCAGGCGACGACCAGACATCTCAGAGCTTGTGTTGGAAGAGCCATTGTCAAGGAGACCATTGGCGGCAACACCATTGTGGAAACTGGGCAACAGCTCGATGGCGACGCCGAAAGCATGTGAGAACTCTGGAGCCTGCGAAATGACCTCAAGGACAGTTTCGGAATCGGGAAGAAGTGGAAACAGATGCTCGACTTGGTCGTAATATCTGATCAGAAAGGTTGGTTGCATTTTGAATGGCTGTGAGTTTGCAGTAAGTTCGAGTCGCCGGCGTTTCGGTGGTGGTGAAGGCTCAGCTTCTGGCCAGTCTGGATCCACGGCCTCAAAAACCTGAGTGCTCTCCGGGGGAATGGGTTGATCAGGTGCGATAGCAAGGCTCCCACGCGTGCGATTGCGAACCCCAGGAGCAGTAGATGAATGGACGCCCCAAGTACCAGAACTTGGGATTCTATCACGCTGAAAGTCCGAGGGTGCAAATGGGCGAATTTCGTTGAAGGAAAGTGTGCGCTTTGTGGCAGAACTGGCGGGGTCTGGCAGTATTGTCTCGGCATACGGTGCAAATGCGGCAGCTGCATCAAGAGATTGGCGCATTGCCTGCTTTTGCACAAGTTCAACTTGTTCGACGCGCTCTGATAATTCACGGATGTATCTGTCACAAGATTAGTTGAACACGAACGCGACAAACCTGGGGGCAAGATTTACCCTCTAGATGGTCCCCGTTTCATCGGTTTGCGCTCGAACTCACAAAACACGCCAGCCTTCTTGCAGTTGGAACAAGTCTTTGGAGTCCCGTCAGGTTCAGTTGGGGCATCGCATCGGACCTAGAGCGAGTTGAATAAGCGACATGACTGACAAAGACAGACTAGACATACCTTCTTTCGCCGACATTCGTCGCACGCGCGTGAAGTCTTTGATCTCTTTCTCTTATCACCAGTCTGTGGAGCCTGTGCCCGTTCAGACGAGTCGCCAACACTTGCGCGCAACGAAGTAGGTAAAGGGGGCAACGAAGCGGGGGGCGCAAATTGAGGAGGGTGTTGGTTAGGAGGCTGCGGCATGGTTATTGCGGGATCGGTAGTCGCTGCGCTGGGACTTGCACCCGGGTGATTCAGAGGCGTATTAGTGACTGTCCCGTTGCCAGTAATCTCAGCATTTGATCCGGCATCTTCAAGTTGTCGCCGATACTGTGGCACTGGATAGTTGGAGGTCACGGTCAGCTCGGCGTCGATGGGGAAAGGATAGGACGGCTGAGGAAACTGTGAGGCACTGGGGTCGGAGAAGTTAGGCTTCGGATCGCCAGTAGGCTGGTCGCGGCCGTTCACACTCCCGGCCATGGCTTGTAGAGCCTTGATGGGACGGGGGAAGGTGATGGCCGTGGTCCCGGAAGAGGAGAGGTTATGAGAGGCACGTCGCGCGATCAACCAACTGATACATGTAAGTTGAGATACAGGTGAACTCGACGGAATAACCTAAATCCGCGCAGTCGAATGACAGGTAAATACGATTACGATTATGGCTTAGCGCCACCGCAGTTGCCCGCTTGGCGGTGTCTGCGTTAAGAAAAGATGTCACCCACCGTACAGTACGGTACGGAGGAGTACAGTACGGAGGAATTTTATGAACAGCGTGACGCCTATCACCATCACTATCGCAGTCAGTCCTAAGTACCGCTGGAGCGCCTGTCTTCCGACTGTCACAGAGTAAATCACTTGCCGTCCGTCCTCTCCTGTCTTTGTCGTGCAAAGAGCCTCCTCTCCCTATACTGGCAGGGTTGTAGACGCTGTCCAACTCTCAGAGCTAGCTATCGGTGCAATGTACATTAAGAGTCCCGATTGCCCATCCCCATTCCTACGGACCACATTTTAAGAACTTGCTGAGGGATCAAGTGTACACTACGTAATATGGTCGAGAAGGGTTCACGGACAATAGACAATAGACAATAGACAATAGACAATAGACAATAGACAATAGACAATAGACAATAGACAATAGACAATAGACAATAGACAATAGACGGTAGACGGTAGACGGTAGACGGAAAGCCACAAAAGCAAGCACACACACACAGAGAGAGTATCCCTCCAGTAATATGGGAAGCACGCACACCTATAATACGTGGTTAATTTTCTTCTGCTTATAGACGGAATACGGATACTCTGTACGGGAGTCTGGCGGGATATCAGATTGCTTCTAAGTTCTCACGCCGCTGCGCTGCGCAGCGTCCTATGTACTCTTTCTATTAGCGGTTTGCCATATGCTTGGATGTGTTGTTGAACATCAGTGATAGTGGTCCATCCAGCGCCATCAACCATGTGCTATCAGGCCCCATCACCCACGAAGCTCCGCCGTGCAGGAAGGAGTGCAGTCAACCACCAGTGCGGAGTACGGAGTGTGACCGTATAAAGGAGCCAATGCCAAAATCGCCGACCATGACATGAGGGCGCGACCACGGCAGGCCGGCAGACAGTCAAACTTTACTGTTGAAAGTGCATGCATGAAGCCCCTTAGCCCCTAAGCCCTGCCTTTTCAGCCACACCTATCACATCGGCCTGCGCCATGCTCGACTTTATAACTGGTCGAGATAAGATCTATGCATGCACATGGACGTGGACGCGCTTTTTGCTTTTGCCCTCCTCCCTTCCAGCCTTAACCCAAACCCAAACCTGTTATCCTGGTCAGCTGCTGAAATATTCATGTGCATGATGGTGCACTGCATGCTTCATTTGGCCGAGCCAAGGCCCGATCAGTGGCGTCTTGGAGGTTGGGTGCAGTGCTGGTTGCTATCATCGCGCTCCCCAGCACACCCCCTGAGTCCTCGGGGCATTTCCCATGGTCCTCGAAATCTCGATCGGCGCGTTGCAGTGGTCGCCGCATGAGGTCAGAGTGACCCAGTCCAGCGAGACTGTGGCGCTTGGGTGGAGGTTCCTTGTCACCCTGCCAGGCTTTTTTGGCGAGCGGGCCCGCCAGTAGTAGTGGAGGGCCAAGGGCTCGGGGGCTCACAAACTTGAAGTTGAGGCGTGTAACCCTCGAGAGGGGTTGCCTCCCTTTCCTTCTTTCATCAGTCCAATCTGGCTGTGATCCCCACGTCCATCCTGCACGTTTTCCCTTGGGATAACCAAGAAGCGTGTGGAAGCGATTGGCCCTCAGCAGATACCAGGAGACCAGGATATCAGTCGCAAGCGGGAGGCACCTCCTAGCTCTATCAACACTCGTCTTTACAGGGCGCTGTTGCTTTACTCAAGATTCGTCGGTTATTTCTTCGGCCTGCCGTGGCCGTTCCCCAAATAATTGCTCGGAAGGGATCACCAGGATTGTTCTACTGTCCTCGTCACCGCTTCCGAGACCTTGCCGACGTGCGCTGCGTATATGGGGATTTTCTTTTTTTCCCTGTCACGTCCGTCGTTGGCTCGGGGGCGGGCGGAGACGTGTGCGGTAATTTTACGGACTGGCTGACAGAAAATAATGTCTCAGTCATGCTCGGCTCGGAAGTCCTGGGCCGCGCATATTTCTCCTAGGAACGGCGACCACAGGTGCTTGTGTTAGTAGAAAGGGTAGTGGGAAGCTTGGGTGGTGACCCCCCTTCCCACCCCCCCGATCAGAGAGGACTTGACCCTAGAGTCCCTAGTCCCAGCCTGTGACTAGGAAGCCCGGCCGCGCTCAAGATTTAATTATCGAAAATCCAGCTGGAATCGCTTCCACTTCCCGCCCATGACTCCGCAGCGGGGGCATCCGCGACGCATCGGCGCGAGTCCTGGTTGGACGGTGACCACAGGACTGCTGATGATCTGTCCAACACAGTCGCTGCAGACGCCACAGATACACTCGGTGCAGGCAAAGGCGTTTTTGAGCAGCCACGGCCGACCGCAGGACGCACAGTAGATCTCCAACACATCTGATTTGCTGCCAAACGACGAGGATTGGGAATGCTGGTAGGGGTGTGAGTAGTGTTGCAGCGGACTAGTGTTCTCGTTCGACGATGCCGACGTGGGCAGCCCGGATCCAGAGATGTGGAAATTCTGACCGGAGCCCGCGCTCTCCAGTGACTCGACCGATGGAAATGGCTCGGGATCGTTCGGTCCCAACTCGTCTGGAGGTGGTGGCGTCAGCGTGCGCTGCAGCGGAGATGCATTGTATTGTGCAGGCTGATGATGGAGATGGTGGCCGAGAGGACGGAAGCCCGGCGGCAGGGATGATCGCTTGTTTGCGCCTCCACTGGCACCGACACTGTCCGCCGCGGACAGTCTACGAGCGGCGGCGGTGGTAGTGGGAGCAGTAGTGATACTGGCCCCGGTGCTGCCGACAGCACTCGTGGAGGGCGGAAAGTTTGGCGACTGCGGCATCTGTGGTCGAACGCCAAGGGCGTGTTAGCAAGGTTGATTATGGCAGTCTAACGCAAAAAAGGCGAAAAAATAAGGAGGTTGGTGTACACATTAATTAGCTGAGGGTGCATAAACTTTTCCGTGACAGATAGACCCCCCGGCCTGTGTGGTCCGACCGCCCCAGATTTCGAGTCCGACCATCAATGTGGTCTGACCTGAGGGGAAAAAAAGAAGTTCAAACGCACAGGGGAGAACGGCTCTTTCTCGCACAATGCGCAACCCGGGGCAAGTCGTCGTCTCCAACTGATGTGGCCTTCGATCGACGTCGTCGGAGTCCTCGAAACCGTCAATCGTGACGATGTGACTGGCACCGTGAACCTCGTTTGACCAGGACCAGGACCAGGACCAAATAGGGGATCTTCCACTTGCCCGAGGCCGCACAATGTCGCTCGCTTTGGCCAGTTTCCCCTTGTGCGCGGTACAACATCAGGCCATAACAATCGTCGTCGTTTGGTTGTTTTGGTAATAGTAGTGACAGTAAAGTAGTACAACAAAGCGCTTCCCTCTGGGTGGGCTCTCCTTTCCTTGGGGGTACATCTACAAAATCTCGATCTCTTGACAGCAGCAAGTAAACAGAGGACAATCGAAAAATGTCGTCTGACTTACGGGAGTGAGATCACGATCATCATCCGCTTCGGTAGCAGTCGTTGCAGCCTCGATCAGATCTTCCCATCTCTTGCCCTGCACCCAAGCCGCCGTCGGCGGTTCAGCGGACAGAGCCTTTCGGCCCTCGACGCTCAACCTTCGGGAGAATTCCTTGGCCGAAAATTCCCTAGTTTTTCCGCGTTCGTGCTTGCCCTTGCGGGCGTTCTGCCCCATTGAAGGCTTGCGATCCCGCTGGAGTTTTTCGCGTCGTTGGACGGGTGGTAAGGACGAATAGCGGTTGCCAGGAGATTGCAAAACAGATGGTAATAGTTCGCGTGTACGCGAGGGCTGGAACGGTGGCAGGGTATCTTCATGAAACTGTGCACGCAATGACGGCAATTCAAGACCCGCGGCCACATCGCGTTTGTAGTCTGAGTCTGGGAACACATCCTGAGAGGCGAATGAGCACAGTCCTGGCTGCGACCGGAGCCGTCGGCCTGTCGATACTTACAAAATCAGAGTCCCAGTTATGTAGTTGTGCGAGCGCAACAGCGGCACTGGCCGTACGGGGGACCTGCCCGGTGCCTGCGAGTGATCCTGGCTGTTCCATTGAAGGACGGCCAACGACATCCGCTGCTGGATCTTAGTATGGGTATATAATGAGAACAACACAACGATCCAACATACAAGGGCCTTTTCGAGCGGGAGCCACGGCAGCAGGTTGGGGTTGTTGCGGGCGGTGTGAGGGTGGTGTGTTTATCATCAACTGGAAACTCTCCTCGGTGGCAGGGAGTTTAGGGATGTAATAGTCTGGATGAGCGCGTCGAATGTGTTCTTGCATCGACCTGTACCGCTTCTCCTGTTGCGTTGAAGTCAGTCAACCTGGAACGCGCTGGAATTGGGGTGTTGGGAAGGAACGTACTCCAAGGCACCTCTTCCGGCACAGCGAGCCATCTTGGTTTGCGAGAGGGCACACAACCTCATTTTCTGCATCTGTCGACACGAGAAAAGAGCCGGTGAGGGCAGCTTTGGGCGGCATGGCCTACCGCGCTGACCGCAGGAGGGAATTTAAGAGGAAGTGGCAGAGGTCGACGGCATCGATCGGACGGTCCTCTCACGCGTGGCTGCAAAGAGAAAGGAAAATCCCGGTAGACACAATGGGCCCTCTCACATGATTTGGTGAGGTGAGCGCAGGTCGATTATGTTTTTGCTGCACAAGAAGGCAACAAATACACAACAGAGACAATTGTACAGCCGGATGAGCGGTGGAGGATAAGGAGGACGGGTATCAGGCGGTGATGATGGTGATAATCGGGGTGGTTAGATGGGTTTTGGATGCTGGAGCATTGTGGAAGCGCGGCTTCGATGATGCTTGGGGGCATTGAGGGGCATTGGCATTATTGGGCAAAGCAATCAGCACCCGGAGCTGAGCCTGCGCCTGGCTGCGGCTGCGGGCTGCCGTGTGGGAAGAAGGAGAGAGCAGGCCTCCTTAGCCCAGCCTAGGGAGCTGCCAATTGGCCATGGGCCTTAGGCCAATGGGCCAGGGACACGGGAGCTGGAGCTCTCGGAACTTCTCTTCGAACGCTGTTACAGACGTGTCGCTCCCGAGGTCTTCACCGGCTGATGGGAGTGTCTACAACTGCATGATCTATGATTGATATCCTTTGTCTCCCACCACTTGCAGTGTAGAGCTTCTCGCCTCAAACTAAGCTCGTCCCTCGAAAAGATTCAATACTGAGTGTGTAGTGTGTACTGCTGGCTGCTCGGCGTCGCAGCTCACACCACCTAAGGTGGCTCGCCGCCAACCCAACTTCGATCGATGATGACAATCCTTCGGGTCTCCCTTACTTCTCACTGGTGCTTATCTCCCTCGGGCACTCAGGTACTGCGCCAATCGTGCCGACCTCCAGGCACCTCTCACACTCCACCGCACCTGCTCGAAAGTAGCCTCAAACGCGGCCCTGCGTCCATCCAGTCGCAAGCTCTGATTACATAGCTATCTACACTGTACAGAAGGTTCTCAAAAGCAAGGAAGTTCTTCCATCCACTGGCATGTGCATGTTGCTGCCTTCCGGTTCAAGCTGACCCCAAATAACCTTCGTCAAAACTCGCTTCAGACAGGCCTGTGCACCCTGAGGAAGCTGGGAGCTTGGGCCGAAGGAGCCCACACAAGCTGTCAAATCATCCGCAAACCAAACATCATTATGCAGAAGAGCACTCTAGTCAACACTGTCGTCTTCTCCTCACCCAAGCTTCGAGCATAACTGTTCTCTCTGGGCTCTTGGTTATCCACTCGTCATGCTCCCCAGCTGGCTAAATATTTCTGATGGGGCAACGGCACGTTTGATCGGCGATACGAAGTTCTGGCGAGAGAAGGCGTTGCATCATAATAATTTACCATGATAGGACGGTCTACTCCTATGGGCTCGAGAGGTACACCAGTACATCATGCATCTGTGCTTCGTCCGAGCTCCCTGCTGGCCCCATGGAATTCAGCTTTGTGTCGGACCACGGTTCGGCTCCCAAGAGCACACTGATATAGGTACTCATTAGTAGGTACTATGCTTCTGTCGATGCTGCTAAGTCAATTCCCGATGAAATTATGCCTAGGCTCGACCTTCGAGTGGCTTTTCTGTTTGAGAACGGGAAGATTCTTGGAGTATGTACGACCATATCATTGTCAGATGTCCCATGAGGGAGGCTTTCGGGTCATTCAACAAGGGTGCGGTTGTCGGCAACTTCATGTCGCGACGGTAGACAACAAAACACACCAGGAAGGATCTACCACTCCCTCGCGAATTTGACAACCTTTAGAACCCTTTGAGATACCTGTGAGCATGGGTGATCTCCATGACCTCGAACCGCATCCCGACCTTAACATCGCCTTCGTTCCGAGGACAACACAGCATGCCGAAACAGGGCTTGAATTTGATGCCCTCATCAATTCTTCGATAGCTCACTAAGAGATCCCACGGCTGATGCGGATTTTTCTCTGCCGTATCCGGATTCACATTCGGTACCGTGCACCGCGCACACCTGGCGACTACATCGAGGTCGAGAGCATTGCGATTTCCTCCTGTGATCGTGGTGAAAAGCGAGGAATCGCCATTGATGCGTACTGTTTTCCAGAAATCTTCGGACCACGGCTCACCGCCCTTGATTATGATGTTTGGCCGGAAACGCTCAACTGTGATCGCGCACTCGCTCAGCTCCCTCAGTCTCGCGTTCAGTTCCTCAAGTGATGATTCGGAAGCTATAAGAACAGGGAGTACATCGGGAAAGTTGACTTTCTCCACGCGACCTAGAAGTGTCGCATCACCATTACCGCGACAAATCCTCGGCTCTGGACCTTTGACCACCAATGCGACCGATTCCCCGAAGAATTCGGAGAACAATGACTTGATTTTCGGGTCTGTGTAAGCATACGCATCGGTAATGTTGTCCCATATGTCTACCGATACCAGTGTGGCGTTCGCGTCGAGCCATTCCTGGTCTGGATGGATGGGTACATTGACTTGCTTTCCATGATCATTACCAATCCTGATGACGAGACTACCAGACTCATGGTCGATTGAGGTGTTGATCAAGGTCATTTGTGGTTTGGAGCGAATTGTGACGAATTTATGGTCATTGTCGATGAACTATGATAAACAAGGCTTCAGCATTCCCCGATTGAAACCCATCAGACAATGGGCGAGAATTAGAATCACCCAGAACGAAAGGCTCGCTCACCATCCATCGTCTATCAAGCTCCAGCCCTTCCCGTGTGAGTCTTGCTGATTCCACGGAAATTCCACGACATGACTTGATGGGATAGATTCGCAAGTCGGTGATCTCAGAGATTGTGTATGTCATTTTTGCTTCGAGTTGCCCTGAAGGACACCTTCGTCAAATGAATAAAGAGTTTGGTTCTGTTGACATGCCAGAACCAAATATGGAGTAATCTGGCGTTTATCTTGGTCTTATTGTCTTGATTGATAAAGAGGGGTCAGGATGGTGGAACTCGGACCAGCCTTAACCTCGTCCATAGCGTCAATCCACCTGTATGAGAGGAAACGGTCAAAACAGCGACTTACAGTCCCTACCTCGCTACCTACCTCAACCAACCATCGGCTTCAACGCCCCATCCATGCAGGCACAGTTCTCCGTCAAATCCATAGGGAATAGTGAGCACTGAGCAATGTGGGGGGAGGTCATGGGTGGCTACATCATCACTGTTAGAACAGCGACAACCTCTATTGAAAGTGGCAATCATTGTTTTCAATACCATTCCTCTTTTAGGCATCAGCAGCGAGGTTCGATCGTCTTATCCTGCGGTTAATGCCCGACACCAAATGCGAGGGTTTTACATGCCTCGGGTGAGACCCTACAAGATAACAAGTACGTTATGGGGTGTAAACAGTCTGGAATTATGGAAAGTGCGGCGGTATACTCTGTAGTTAACTTGCTGATATGGTATTCACCTATGAACGGCTGGCATTGGTGAAGGCTCAGACACTGCTTGTGCAATGTCCGTCGAGATCTCAAAACATAAATTGTCTAAACAAGGCTTTTCGTCTCTTCAAATAAGCATCTCGCCATGGCTTTCTTTATTGGGGCTATCTAGCCCACTCTGGGACCTTGTCGTTCGCCTCACCCACGTCCAGTGCAACGAGGAATCGACTGACCATGTTATAGGTTGCAACCGTGGCGGTGATTTCGACTATTTCCTGCTCATTGAATCCTGCGGCCTTGACTTCATCGAAAAGACTTTGCGGAACTGACACGTCTCGGGTGACGGTATCTGCGTACCTCAAAACAGCCCACTGGCGGTCGTCAAGAGCCCCCTTTGCTGTTGGGTGCAGCTGTTTAACAACGTCCAGCTTCTCTTGCGTGAATCCGGGCGACTTGAGCAGGATCGGGGCGTGTGAGTTCCATTCGAACCAGGCACGGTTGATCAAGGCAGGGCGGCAAATGGCAATCTCGCGGATGTCGTCTGGTAAGGAGTTCTTTGTCCGTATAGCACCGAGGAGAGCATTCCAACCTGTACATCATGGGTGAGGGTCCTGTCATTGGAGGGCATGACGAGGAGTGCTTCACGTACCATCTGCCACTTTCGGCGCATGTAATAGTGTCAAGTCCAGGGGAATGAGGCCCTGCGCCCCGCGTCGGGCCTTGACTCGCTCCAGGACCTCTTGGTCCTCCGGTGAGAGGTCGGTTGGCGGGTTGGGGACGTAGTTGAGACGCATGGCTCTGAGACTGTTGCTTCTCCTTGCTCCGGCTTGCAATAGTAATGACCCCCCAAATATACCGGACAGGAATGCGGTCTCAAACAAGACTGATTGATCCAGCAGTTGAGGTGCGGGGAGATTCCTCTGTGTCTCATTTCGAGGGTTCAAACCTCATCTCCAACCGCGGAATCTGGGCGAGGCCTTTTCCTCATCGGTTGTTCTGATGGCCGGTGAGGGGCTCCTTCAGCACACACTCGCTGCTATGTGATCACCTCATACTACCTCGGAAGCGGGCTAGTGACTCTGGTCAGTTCTCCGAACTCTGTACGGATAGTCACAACTAATCGCTGCCAGTGCGGCATGCTAAGCCAGTTAACACAATAGTATGATTTATTAGGCTGCTTTTATTGCATGTCCAATCTCTTTGGAGGATGCCACATTCCCCGTCCGCTCCGGCTCCACGTGCAACGGCGACGGACGTCGGATGGAGAGGGATGACGAGCGCTTCTACTGGATGGTGAAACAAGAGAGGCTATCATGCTCAACGCCGTGTTTCACAATCAAGTTGAAGGTCATGAGGACCAGGCAGGGAGGGACCCCAAACTGCGCTGGCTGCTCGACCAACCCAGCAGCACCGGTGAAGCGCAGGCTTATCTTATCAACCCCGCCGTCGGGGCTTCCGGCGTTAGAGAAGGGCGCAGGTCAAACAAAGCAGGCACTTGGTCCGCAAGCCTCGCCATCTGATACGCGTCGAGGACCAGACTACACACGATGAGCAGGCGGCCTCGTGCCTACTTGCAATAAGCGAACCCGCCATTCGATGACTTATCTCCCATTCACGCAATGCTTCCGTGGCTCCGTGACTGCTGACTGCAAGTGACTGGTCCATCATTGAGGCCTTCCAGGCCTGCTACACCCCCCTCCAGATTACGTCCACCCTCACTCTCCCCTCGTCTTCCACTGTCACGAGACAAGTTTGCGCACAGTCCAAAGGTGATGTCGAAATGGATGGCGGGTTACAAGGCGTTCCTTTCCCATCAACTGGGTCACTACGGTGTACTTTCTCTAGATATGGAATCTGTACTCCGTAATTGTAATAGAAATAGAACCTTTACTCGACGCAGGCCACAGGGTATCTGTATATCAAGGGCAGGAAAGCTGAAGGTTTCGCTAACACTATCAGAGCAGTAGTCGAATAGACCGCCATTAATTCTGGCACCCACCCTAGGCCTCTCTATCTTGCCATCTCACTACTGTCTAAGCCATCGCTCTTGCGTCACCTTCGCTCTTCACCACCTTACCTTACCTTGCGTCCTTAGCAGCCAGTCCTCTAGTCGCTCACCTCTATCGTTCCGAACTGAGCCGCCTGTCTGCCTGCCCAGTAACTCGACCTATTTAAACCTGCTCTTCCCCAGACCCAGCGGAGCCCTTCTTAAGAGTCCACATGCCTGGAATTCGTACGTCTTCTCTGTGACTTCCCTTTCCTTCAATCCATCTCGGATCCTCCCTACAGCTACAACCTGTGGCACCACCACCTTCCACTCCACCCATCTTCTAATCCCAGTTTAATATACGCAGCCCTCGACGCAATGGACAAGCTCAAGGCTCTCTTCAAGCGGAAGAAGGATAAGGGCACCGCCGGTACAAAGACAGACACCAACGGCACTGCTGCCGCCGTCCCCAAGCCCACGCCGACAGACACCGCAGCCGCCCCATCCACGAGCGACCCCGCCGCCCCTCCAGCTGGTGAGTACTCCGTAAATGTGCCAACCGTGCAAGCGTCATGGTCATGCGGATGTGTCCTGGAGCTGACTATCTCACAGGCGCTGCTCCAGTCGAGACACCTGCGGCTGACAAGCCCGCTGAGCCTGCTCCGGCCGAACCCGCGAAGTAAAGACAAGATTGCAGTCGAAGTCGGTGCTTGATAGACGACATCTCGTGTCGCGTGAGTCTTTGTCGGATGGCCTCGGAACAATCGAGACCGCACGGACTCGAACGCCATGCAGATCGATAGGTGTCGCTCTTTTCAGCCTTGCCTCGACCTGTCTCACGCAAACCGCACAGCAGTCAGCAAGCTTCTTTTTCTGTTACTTGTCACCCCAGAGCGTCTAATCACCTTTGCAACCTATTGGCGCCATGCGAAGTCACTTATGATACCCGCCACTCCTTCCCGGCAAGTCAGCTACAGCACGATGGACGACGTACACATTCACTGTGGCCGGACGGATGCTGCGTTTGTTTTCACATTAATCAATTGAGATACCCCTATTCAGTGCTGCGGCAAAGCAAGGCGGTATGGCCCATACCCAGAGATACCCCCAAAGTCCTTCAGATAGTTGCCTTCCTTCTAGCATAGGAGCATAACTGATGCTTCTTCACAATACACACGATATTCTATTGAGAAGTCTTCTGCACGCTAGCAAGGCCGCTTCAGGCATGTTCGTATTCATGTCTCGACGGTACTACACTGAGAACACGGTATCAGGGCGGGTAGCATGGGCTACCAACACAATTCGGCTGTTCGGAAACACCAACATAAACTCCTCAGTAAAAGAGATCCGCCTTGCAGATTCAAACGCGCATTGCCCTCCACGATCGCCCTCGCCCTTGGACCACCTGTTATCCATCTAGATCGTAGTGTACAAAGATCCACGGCCGGCCGATCTCGCCTTCCCCATATGCGCGAAAACATGCACAGGGCAAAGCCTGTCTCCATTGCAACCAAAGACTTAGCGACCGAAACCCCAGTCCGCATTGTGTCCATCCAAATGTTGCATCAAATTCAAGGTGTAACGAGGGTGACTCTCCAGGAGTCACCCGGCGCGGCCAATCCCACTCCAATTCTGGCCGCGTATGGCGGGTCTGTAGTCAAGACCCATGGGTGGGAATCCTCCCGCATGCTGTATGACCTTAATATACATTATGCCTTGCGTTTGCTGTTATATAATGGCCAGGCCTCTTTTCTCCATCCTGTGCTGGAAGCTTCTCATTCAGGTTCTGTGGGACGAGGATAAGGAAGCGCAAACCCGAGTTGTGACTGGATTGCTGCTTCATTTGGCCAGTCAAGGCAAGTTCACATCGAGAGTGACAAGCACGGGCGAATCTTTGCTACCCGTCATGCTATTGAGTCCTCCGAAGGAAGTCTTGCTTCGCAAAGAATTGGCGTCCTTTGAAGAGGGCCGCGAGGCAGGATAGATCCGGATCGATCTTTTAGACTTGTCACCGGGGATCAGGGATAGGAGAATATCTTGGTGAGGGGAGGTGGGCGCGCCGTTATCAATTCCATTGAGCTGAGAGATCGACGACATGGCAAGGCTTCTGTGCTGATGAGGGAAGATCTCGACGATTTGACTAACACAGTCAGGTTAGAGAAGGAGTGTCTTTGGGGTAGGGGGTGGAACAGCGGAGTCGGAGACATAGAGTGTCTTTTGTCTGGGATGGACATACTCGCTTGCCCATCTCGTGATATTATCCAGAGCGTCTTGTTCACGCTGAACCTCCTCCGGACTCATGACATTTTGGGATGAAACAGTCGATGCGCCCCAGGTGCCGTAGCCGTGGGATGTGGGATAGTCATCGTAGAGAAGGCGGGTGCGATCAGCCTAGCCACACGGCGACTTCTGTCAGTATCATCTGTATCGAAGTAGCGGTGTCATTCAGCTGCGGCAGTGACTACGCCATAACATACCCCGTCGTCGCTGTGTCTGCGCAAGCCTAAGCAAGAAAGACATGTCCCCATCTCTGATCGAAGTCGAAGGAAACAGAACAGCACTGCGCTGCGCACTGGGCAGCAGCTCTATTCATGGGCAAACCCGGTCACAAGCTCATAAGCTCACGCGGCGACTATAAGACTATAATGCGGTGCGGACGGTTGACATGGTCGGGGCGAGCGAGAGTAGTGGATGTTGTGCAGTGAGCGCAGGAGAATGAGAAACTCGTTAAGGACAGGAATGAAGGAGTTGGGTGGTCGGCCAGTCATATGCGGAGTACCGTACATTGTACTCCGTACTGTCTGTACCACCAGGTACCTGCCTTGAAGGTATCTTATACGGAGAACTAGGTGGGTCAGGTACTGTACTGTATGTACAGTACTAGTACTGTATTACCTTACTTACTGCCACTGCGGTGCGTCATCTGCACTGCAACACCACACAAGCCTCACGGGAGATACGTGTCATCCGGTAGAGCTGGAGAGTTCCCACATATCAGTCCTATCCAGGTGGTTGTTTACTATTGCAGTATCCGTTCTGTGGTCTGATACCATGGTAGGTATTTCCACTTCGATCTGTACCCATTCTGGCAAGATCTTCTTGTCTTTGCTGTCCGCTGGTCGGATGTCGTTCTTTCAAGTCTCTACCTCCCGCCGAACTCGGTTCGGAAAGCTGGCCGTCTCTTCTGAGTCAGGATCGAGGAAAGAAATGGCTGTGGAGTTGCATTCTCCTCCGTCCTCGCGTCGCCCTCGTCTCTTCTCTTCCGTCGATGGCTGATGCCTTGGATCACCGCCAAACGTGTGACAGATGCCGCCGACAGCTTGAACGCCACCAGGAGCAAGAATTCAATATCTCTCCCAGCGGGAGCATGTTCTCCCCGTTCGGCATCATTCAAGCTTCTGATGAAACACCCCTCGCTGGCTATTCTGCTGTTGGAATGAGCTTTGTTCTATGTTTAAGAGCACCACTCTCATTAGCATCAGCGCCCTTGCATCCGCTGCTCCCCTGCCAAGCTAATTGATGGTGCCTTGCCCGCAAGGCTGTTCCCGATCCTGGCCTTTTCGTCACGCAAAGCTTGTCAAGGACATGCAAGACATTTGGCAATGGGAGTATGGGCCAAATTACTCTGAATCATCTTCCAAGGGCGGAGGACTGCTACTCCAGGTTCTCATTCTATATATTCCCTGTGCCTGTCCAACTGATCATGAATATCCCAACCAGTCCGTTCATTCATTCATTCGTTCATTCGTTCATTCGCTCCTGATCCCTCCTATTCATTCCTATTCATTCCCTTCGTCGCTCGTTTACCACGTCACTCTTTTGAACTGAGGCTTTCGGAAAGGAGTCCATCAAAATGCATTCTTCACTTCTTTCGCCCGTCCTGTGGTTGGCCTTGACCTCTTTGACTTCTGTCACGTCTGCGCAGCAGCCTCTCTCCTCCATGACTAGTGCCGCGAGCACTATCACGGAGACGACCAGCCTGGAGCCTGTTGCTACCGATGCAGCTCTTTTGGGTGCCGCAATATGGGCGGATTGGCTTCGATCGCACGGTTCGGGCTCGGGCAGCAGGAGCCTGACTACTAAGTCCGGGTTCCGCCATTCAACTTCTACCTGGGATTCGTCTACTGTCGTTGTCAGCGGCGTCAGTACTTTTTCCTCAACTGCTACCACCAGTGCCACCTCGACCACAACTGAGGGTGGCACTACGTCTACAGTTGAGCAACCAGTCTGGACCAGTTCACCTTCGTCCACATCATCTGCTGAGGCTGCTACCACCTCCGGGCCAGCTTGGTCTACTACAACTGTGGACGTGAGCCCCGTTTCCGAGTCAACCTCAAGCACGGCATGGACATCCGATGCCTCAACCTCGTCCAGTTCATCTGTGGAGCCGAATCCAACTTCTGGGCCAACATCAAGCACAACTGGTTCACCGGAAAATGGCAGTACCACCTCTTCTACTGGATCTCCCTCTCCTGCGTGCCCTTATTACCCCGGCCAAACCATTCCGAGTGAAACCGACTCTTGCGCCAGTTACACCTACATCTGCGGCCGTACCTACGGTGACAGCAGTTTCCGAGGCGATGCATTGACTCGAGCCAGCCCAGAGCTCTGTGTTCGTCGCTGTGACACCTTGAATCAGAACCAGGGCGCGGGCACCTGTCTCGGTATCGTCTTTGACCCTACATCCGCCGTTGACAACTGCAGGATTCTGCGCAGTACTCAAGGCCGGACGGACAACACACGTTATGTGGCTCTCCTTGTTTCTCGCGATCCAAACTGTGGTAGGGTTATCGATGACTCTTTCAGCACCACCTCGGAGACTACAACTTCCTTTGCAACGTCGACGGAGCCAGCCACAACTGAGTCTTCAAGCTCTTCTGATATGGTCACTTCTTCGACGACATCCTCGAGCACATCCAGTGTCTTCCAAGGTGGAGATGGAACCTCGACCACCATTTCATCGACTACCGGAACCGCCGAGTCCACCACCTTCACTCGCAGTCCATCGCATTCTCACAGCCACTCCCGTGGTAGCCGAACTTGGTCATCCTGGCAATCTTGGTCTACATCGAGTGGCAATGTCACGGTGGGGGCTACATCGACTATCTCGAATGCGAATACCACTGCTTCTACTACTGCTACTACCACCGAGACGACCAGCGCGAGCAACGCGACGTATACCAGTACCAGTGCGATCAACAACACCTACACTAGTAGTTCCATGGACACCACCAGCTACGGTCCCTCTTCGACGAGCGTCACGAACCAAACATGGACCACCTCGTCCGCGAACAACTCATCGAGCACAAGCTTCGTGGCTCCAGTCACCACAAGTACTTACTACTTCAATTCGACCTCCTCTGGCACCACCACTTCCACCGTCGGCTATGCTACGACCACGACGGCCAACGCTACCACAACAGCAACCAGCACAAGCAGCAGCTGCCCAGTCACACCAACCACCGTTTCGGTAACTGTAACCGTCACAGGCAATCCTGCAAGCGTAACTTCGACCGTTACCGTACCTTTGACGGTAACCTCGACTTTCACCAGGACAAGGACCACCAGGACCGTGACAACCACCACGAGCACCAAGACCAGATATACCACCACCACCGAGACTAACACTGCCACAGTTACCGCGACCGAGTGCTATGGCGGACCACGATGGGGCCGAATCCACTGGTAAGAGAGCTGGCGTTAGCATGGGCTGAGGGGCGCATGATGGTTCCCATTGCTGCAAGGAGGAGAGTGTTGTCGGAGGGGAAGAAGGAAGCTTACGGGGGTCTGGCATCTTTGTTTGGCCATGGGCAAGGAAAGAGTAATCGAGGACGGAGACGGAGTTCAATTTGGTCGATGCGATGCTGTCTGCTTTTGATATTGCCGTTGCTGTTCTAGATCTAGTGGCTTCTCTGACCTTTTTCTCCTTGAGACCAAACGCCTTCATTGCTTCCTTGACTGCCTCCTCGGGTCATAACTTGCTCCTGCTCCAAACTTGAACAACCTTGTCGTCCGCATAACTGGATGGGAAATACTGCGGTCCCAGGGTCTTCTTGACCACCTTCCCCGTCCCACTTTTGGGCAGTTCGCCCTCAATCACGCGCAAGAGAGTGGGCAACTTGTAACCGGCGAGACGAGTTCGCAGGTCGGCCCGAAGGTCATCCAGCCTCATCTGGCGAGGATCCCGGCCGGTTCTCTGATAAAAGGCCCGCGCGACCTCGTCGTCCCGCAAGGACAGCACCGCTCCCACCCGCTGACCGAATTCGTCATCCGGGACTGCCACGACCATGGCCTCGCCGACGTAGGGCAGGGCCAACAGCTCTCGTTCAATGTCCAAGGCGGAGATCTTGTATCCTCCCGACTTGATGACATCGACCGAGGCGCGGCCAACAATGAAATAGTACTTGCCTTCTCGCCGGGCCACGTCGCCAGATTTGAAGTAGCCGTCGGGGTCGTGGGCGTTTGCCGTTGCGGTCGGATCGTGGAGATACTTGGAAAACATATTGAAGGACTTGATCAAGACTTCTCCTTCATCTCCATCGGCCAGCTTGACTGTGACGCCGTACGTGACCGGCCCGACGGAGCCGTCGGGAATGTGTTCGGTCGGGTCGACGGACATGTTGAACACGACGCCCATCTCGGTGGAGCCGTACCGCTGGACAATGCGCCGGCCGTGCATGAGGCCGGTCCAGAAGTCATTGATGGGTTTCGGCAGGGCCGAGGTTCCACACAGACAGACCTTGAATGCGGCGACGGCGGCGCCGTATGCTTGAACCTCTGGGGTGGGCAGTTTCGTGATGTGCTCCTGATAGTGTCGCATCATCCTCATATAGATGGTGGGCACGCCGGTGAAATGGGTCAAGCCGCCTTGTCTCCAACGGTTCCATGTCCACTCGGGATCAAAGCTGCCCGGACGGAACTCGATACAGGCTCCGGTTTGGAGGAAGGGGAAGAATGAGACCCAGATGCCGGTGGCGTGATGGACGGGCAGCAGGTGAAGGAGGACGTCGGACTCCTGCAAGCCGATCTGCTGGGCGAAGCACATGGAGCCTTCGACCATGGCTGCTCGCCGCAGGACCGCGGCCTTGGGAGGCCCCGTGGTTCCGGACGTGAAGATGACGACGCCCGGCGCGTTGGGGTCGTGCCAGCGGTTGGAGGAGATCTTGATGGTGTCGAGCGGAAGGGCCGGCTGCTGTTCCAGGGTGTGGATGGGCACCGACACAAACGCCGGGTTGCTCGAGGCCCGGATCTCCTTTGCCAGGGCCTCGCCCAGGTCCAGGGCCGGCGTGGCAGTCAGGACCGCGACCGACCGAGCCTTGTTGACATAGTAGGCGGCCTCCTGGACGGGTTGGGCGCTGCTGAATGGGCTGGCGGCGGCGCCGAGAGCCATGACGGCCAGCACCGCGACGGCAAACTCGTAGCCGCCGGGCGCCAGGATGCTGATGTAGACCTCCTTGCCGCGGGCAAGGTCGTCGACAGTCTGGGCGGTGAGAGCGGACGTCAGGACGCGCCGCAGCCGGAGGACGTCGCTCAGTAGCTGCGCCGCCGTGCGCTCAATGCCGGCGTTGACATCGCGGATCGCGGGCGGCGGGTTCGAGCGGTGCGCCAGAGTCAACAGACGGGTGAACAAAGGGTCGGCGGGAAGGACATGGTCCGCCCAGTGCGTGGGCACAAAGTCGGTCCTGTCGAACCGGCCTGAGGCCTCGGCAGGGCTCTGGGTCTGGGTCTGGCTCTGCTTGGGCGTCGTCATCTTGGAGACCAAGGTGACCTAAGGTTCAGCCTCGCCTCAGTCTTGAGGCCTGGGAGCATCTTCCAGCTGTAGCGGTCAGTCTGGTATTAGTATTACGAACGATACATGTCCCGCACAGGCGCCTGGACTTCCTCGGAAGATCGCCTGGGGAATGGGGGGGGTGAGAGAGAAGTCAACGAGTGACATTAATCAGGTATTGACGTTGCACAGAATCTCCAAGTCCCCATGGGCAGCCTCCTTAGCCGGGGCAAGCACAAACCAATCACGGCCAAAATTGGCTGAGCAACCTCGGTCTTGATCCGGTTGTACAGCGGAAGCGGAGATGAAAGCACGGTGAGGGGGCATTGATGCCAGCGCCAATGTCAATATCAATGTCAATGTCAATAACGGGCTTAAAGGGCCATATCTCAGCCAGACATGCTTATACAGCCTGCGGCCTGCCAGGCCCGAGTCCGATTCAGGCGGACTCCAGTTCCAGCATCTTGATACAGTAGGTCCTGCAACGTAACACATCCTGGATACAGTACTCGTACGTCCTGTACCACAACACAACATGGCCGACTTCACCTACCGCCTACGACCGGCCGAGCCGCAAGGGCCGAGCATTCTGGCCTCCGAGCGGGCCGGGTCGAATGTCCATGTCGAGCAGCTGGCCGGGCATCTGCTGTGGCGGAACGACTTCCTGCAGCGGCAGAAGAGAATCGTGGCCATCCTCGAGCGCATCCCGATCTTCAGCAAGAAGAACCAGCTCAACATGGCGCGGCCGGACCGGTACCAGCTGGGGCTGGCGCGCGCAAAGAGCCTCCGGCGGCTGTCGATCGAGCACGGCTGGGATCGCGACGACTACCTCATGGCCGACTACCTGGTCGACGAGATGGGCCCGTACGCGCTGCAGACGAGCATGTTCGCCACGTCGATCCGCGAGCAGAGCACCGACCGCCAGCGCGCGCACTGGCTGCCCAAGCTCGAGCGCTGGGACATCATCGGCTGCTACGCCCAGACCGAGCTGGGCCACGGCAGCAACGTCAAGGGCATCGAATGCCAGGCCCGCTGGGATGGCCACACCAAGGAGTTTGTCCTCCACAGCCCGACCGTCACCGCCAGCAAATGGTGGAACGGCGCGCTGGGCCGCACCGCCAACCACGCCATTGTCGTCGCCCAGCTGCTGCTGCCGGAGCCAGGGTCAGACACAGACTCAGACTCTCCGGCGGCCCAGGACAGAGGGGCAACCGGATCCCGATCCAGATACAAATCCTACGGCCCGCACCAGTTCATTGTGCAGATCCGCGACATGGCCACGCACCAGCCCCTGGACGGCATTGTGATTGGCGACATCGGCCCCAAGTACGGGTACCCGGCCATGGACAACGGCTACATGCTGTTCCACCAGTTCCGCGTGCCGCATTCGGCCCTGCTGGCGAGATATTCCGGGGTCGACGCGGACAGTGGCGCGTACATGCGGCCGCAAAACCCGGCGGTGGTGTACGGGTCGTTGACCTTTGTGCGGGCCCAGATCGTGATGCACGCGCGCCTGGTGCTCGCCCGGGCCGTGACCATCGCGGTGCGCTACCTGGCCATCCGGCGGCAGTTTGCCGACCGCGACCACAACCACGACCAGAAGACAACGCCCGGGCCGGCTCCCGAACAAGCGGTGCTCAACTACCCGACGGTGCAGATCCGCATCCTGCCGTTGCTGGCCACCACGTTCGCGCTGCACTACACGGGCGAGGCCATGTACCAGCTGTACCACGGCACGCGCGAGGCGATCGAGCGCAGCGGCGACTTTTCGCGCCTGGCCGAGATGCACGCGGCGTCGTCGGGCCTCAAGTCGCTGTGCACCACGCTGGCCGCCGACGGCATCGAGATCTGCCGTCGCGCCATGGGCGGCCACGGCTTCGGCGGCGCCAGCGGCATGATCGCCCTCAACAACGAGTACCTGTCCAAGCCGACCGTCGAGGGCGACAACTGGATGATCACCCAGCAGACCGCGGCTTATCTGATCAAGAGGATGACCGCGGTGGCCCAAACCCTGGGCCTGGCCCCCAAGGACGAGCTGGACCTGCAGTTCCAGGAGTACCTGGCCGTCAACGCCAATAGCAACACCAACGGAAACGGCGCCGGCAATACCACTGCCACCGCCCCCACCCCCTCGACCCGCAACTTCGACATCTTGGCGAACGACGCCGAGCTGGTGCGGGCGTTCCGGCATCGAGCCTCGCATCTCGCCTACCAAGCGTACCGGGCGCGCGTGGTCGAGAAGAAGCCGTGGACGAGCCTGATGATCAATCTGCACCGACTCAGCCGCGCGCATTCCGAGAGCCTGCTGGTGTCGCACTTCCACCGGGCTGTGTTCGAGTCGTCCGCCGCGGGTACAGATATGGAAACGCCCGCCGCGAGTACGAGTAGGGGTAGGGGTAGGGGTAGGGGTACGGGTACAAATACGGATTCGCCCGCCACGAGTACGGGAACGAGTAAAGGTGCGGATTTAGATCTGGACGAGCCCACCTTAGACGTGATGAGAAAGCTGTTCCGGCTCTTCGCGCTGTTTACGCTCGACGCCTCGGCCTCAGAGTTCCTGCTATCGGGCGCCATCTCGCTGCAGCGACTGCAGGCTGTGCTCCCGACCGTGCAGGACCTCATGGCCCAGGTGCGCCCGCACGCCGTGCGCCTGGTCGACGCCTGGTCCGTGCCGGACTACCTCCTCGAGAGCGCGCTGGGCAGCCACGACGGCGACGTCTACAATCGGCTCTTCCGCCGCGCCCATCGCGACAATCCGTTGAATCGCTGGACTTTCAACCCGGACTGGAGGTCCGAGGAGATCGTCATGGGCGAAGGGGCTGAGAATGCTAGGACGAGGCTGGACGCTTTGGCTCTAGGATTAGACAACACGGGTTATGAACGGTCTGGGCTGGCGACAACGACGAAGTCGAAATTGTAGCAGAGAGACGTGATCTACATAGATAGACATTGAAACGTGACCTACATAGATAGACATAGCAACTTATGGACTATGTACGGTAGATTGATTGCCTCTAGGTCTAGTCATCACGGCTCATAAACCCTCTAGGCTGGCGAGGGAAAGCGCAACGACGAGGTCGGAATTGTAGCAGACAGACGTGGCCTACATAGATAGGCATTGCAACGTATGTACACAGACCTGACCTACATAGATAGGCATTGCAAACCTACGTACTATGTAAGGTTGATTGATTACTAGAATCAGAATCAAACCAACCCAGAGCCAGAGCCGTCCCCCTCTGTCCTTCGTCGGCAGTGCACGCTCAAGTCTAGATTTTCACCTTCGGGGCGGTCCCGACACGCTTCCGGTGCACGTAGCTGATGGCCTTGAATTTTTCCAGGGCCTCACCCCACAGTTCGGCGCGCAACAGACCGTACACGCCCATGGAGGCCCGGGGAGCAATGGACTGGGCCAGCTCGACGGCGCGCCGTCTCATCTGATCCGGGGGGCAAATCACGTCGACGATGCCGTCCTGGAGCGCCTCCTGGCCGGTCCAGCGGTGGGCCTCGAGCAGCATCTTGCGAGCGATCTGCGGGCGTAGTTTGAGCCGGGGCAGGGCGCCGATGCCGTCGAAATGCAGGCCCAGGTTGACGGGCGGCATGCTGATGAAGCCGCGGCGGCTGTTCATGACGCGGTAGTCGCACGACAGCATGAGCGGACAGGCGCCGCCGAACGTGTGGCCCGTCACCAGCGCCACCGTCGGGTAGGGGTAGTCGACCAGCGTGGCCAGGAGCGGGTAGAAGCCGTCGGCGTTGGCGTACATGTTGGTGTCGCCCTCGTCCAGCTCCAGCCCCGTGCACCAGAACTTGTCCGACGACGACGACAGCACCACCGCCCCGGGTGCCCCGGGCTTCAGCAGCTTCGTCTCGATGTACCGCAGCGCCGCTATGATGCTTTGCGCGTACGCCACCGTCAGCCGGTTCTCCGGCGCCTTGTCCATCACGATCACATGCACCCCGGCCGCGTCTGCAGGCGATTCGATCCTCAACTGGCTGAAGGTCGGAGCTGCCATGATGAGTCCGACTGGGTGGTCTATGGTCGATCGAGCTGGATTTCCCGTACCGAAAGCGAGCGTGACCACAGCAGAGTATCCGTATCAATATATTCAGAGTCAGTCACAAGAGACGGGCTTACGCTCCCCCTAAAAGTAAGGCCAAAGGAAGGTTAATGCTGGCTGGAGTAACCGCGAGCTTGCCTCGGCCAGATGAACTGTCATTGCAAGCCTCGCCGAGCAGCGGAGGTGGAGGTGGAGATGGGGATGGAGATGTGAGGAGAAAGCCAGCGCGGCCACTGTAGTACTAATAGTTAGTAGTTGCAGAGGGAGAGAGACACAACCAACCTCGGATAAGGGATTGAACTGAAGTGCCGTAGTATAGAGTAAGTACGCAGTACGGAATACTCTGGACCGGAGCACGTACAGTAGTACCCTAACAGGTCCCAGGCACCTACAGGTGTGGTGCTGGTGGTACTCGTACTCGTAGGTGGCAGCCCCGGTTGTTCGGCCCCGGATCAACAGATAATCCAGCCGCCCACGCTAGCCCCGCGTTGGGATCTAGCGTCTTGGCACGAGGCTTAGTCCAAGTCCAGGTCTAGGTGGTCGAGGTGGGAATTCCATGATGAACGGTGTGAACAGTAAACACCCTCGAGCTGGGCCAACGACACGCCGACGAGCACGCATTGGGTCCATATTGGCCACTTGAATTTGTGCAAATGCAAAGACTGCACAGAGGAAGAGAAGGGGAAGAGACAAAGAGAGAGACACAGACACAGCCACAAGCTGAAGATCCAACAACTCCATTTCCTGCCCACTGACAGTCTGCAACCACGGCGCCTACAAGCTGCGATCAGGTCACGCCTCCTGCATATGGCTTATGGGCACTTTGACGCTGAACGAGCAGGACAATTTGGTGGCCCATGGCGCCCGCTACATGTCGACCCTGCCCACCCTTTCTTCTTCCAAGTCTGGCCCTCTGGCCCCTGGCCCCCCCTCATAGCACCGGCCAAGTCAACCGCCCTCTCTTCTCACCATCACCACGCTTCGGAGACTGCTCCTCCGGCTGCTCCCCATCCACCGCCCTCACCAGGGTTGCACCCTGACTCACCCATCACACCGCCCTCTCCGGCTAGCTGGGCTATGTTTGTGTCAGCGTGCTGCCCTCAAACCGATCTAGGATGAACTGGAACAACCGACCTGATTCCACAGCCGCTGTCACTTGGACCCTTTGTCTCAGATATTGGGCGGGATTTGCATCGTCGAGATGTCTCGGCGCTGGGATTGCCAGGTCTGAGGACTCATGATGACGGAAACCCGCCGGCGGCGCAACTCCTCGATGGTCTCCTCGAGCTGTTTTGCTTCGCGTTCAGCCCTCTCAATGCTGGCCCGGAACCTGTCGCCTTCAAGGCTCCAGCGCCGGATGTTGTCCCTCTCTCGCTGCAGCCTTCTCTGCTTGATGATGATCTCCTGGCAGATCCGGCAATCGTCGTCGATCCTGGTCACATTTTCCGTGTCCACCAGTTTGGCGCCACACGTTTCTCCGATACGAGGCTGGCGTGGGCATCGCACTTTCATATTACCCCATCTCCAGTCTCCACAGCGGTAATCAGTCCTTGCAAAGTAACACATCTTGACCTGACTTGACTTGACTTGGCCTAGCCTGGTAGCTCAGTTTCTTGGATGTTGATGACGTCCTCGAAAGGGCCCCAGACTCACCTCGCACTGCTTGAGTTGTTTTCGACCGACCACAGGGCTGTCAGTTCGACGCCAATCACGGGGAAGACCTCACAGCTGGGCACTCACAATATGGCTTGTCGCTATTGTCCAGGCGCTGGCACGTACACAGACCCTCGTCTCTGTCAGGACATTGATGGTTAGTGGTTGGAGACATCAACCTCGAGGTCTTGGACCACTGGGAGGAGACTTGGCCTGACCTGAACCCTTGTGAGTGCTATTTTTGGATGATGTTTCACCGTTGTCGTTTGGCTTCCTTGGGAGCTGAAGTCCATGGAGAATAGCCAGCAGGCACGGGGGGTGAGGAGGTTCAAATACCCTTTTCCACACCGGCAACTTCGACTCGTTCTCCTCAGTCTAGACGCTTCGCCACCTCTTATCCAAGACAACATCAGACGTGTCCACCGTCCTGGCCAATAGCAATCTTGATTGGATCCGGCAAACGCTTGGATCCGGCAAACGTTTCGATTCAGTCCGTGCCGTGACCATCCTCACCAGCGGCCTCGACTATGCACCTTGTCACCCCTGTTCCCTCTGTTGTCACAGGTAGCAAGACCACGAGACTGTTGTAACGGCCGAGCATGACAAGCACGGAACGGCAGGGCCGCTGGTCCCATGTCGTTCTCCTCGCACCATGCAGCTAAAAGACTGCGCTTTGATTGCTGACGCCCTTGATCTTCAAGACCAGCGCTATGCTGCTTGACTGTTCGGCCTATCCCAAAAGAAGCAGCAAACGCCGTTTGAAAAGTGTCTCGGTGTGAGTCGTAGGCTGCAGGACCCGCATCAACGGCCTTGCCCCTACGGTGAATGAGCCTGATCACCTCACTCTGCATTCAATTGCTGCAGGAGTCGTGGTGATATCGGGTTGGAGCATGCAGCTGTTGTCACCAGTTTGGCAAATGCGACACCTCTTCTTCTGCATGAGCTTGTTTATCTTCGCCGATCACGGTCGTGATCCGGAAGCCTCGAGTTTGGCTGTGATGATCCATGGGCAGGCCCGACCCTCGGGGTTTGTTTTGGAGGCCACTGGGTCGCAGGAGAGCCTCGAAACAGACCCTGTCCCCGTTGAAGCTTTCCACCAACATTGCCCGTGATCGCCCTTTGATGTGCCAACCGAAATCTTCGGACGGGACGCCGCTAGGGCGCTGTGGGACGAGGGGTGATGGGTCCTATGACAATGGGGTAAATGACCACATCGAGTTTCTTGCCCCCGAACTATACGAGTCAGTTTGGACATTTGCCATCCCCCTGGTCCAGAATGGCATGTAAGGATAACACCTCTCTGCGAAGACGTGGCTCGAATGATATTCGATGCCGAACAGCCATGGATGAGCTGGATTGTGACTATCCACTTGGCCCCTGATGGAGGAGGAACGACGACCACAGGCCAATTCAACTGGTGGCTGGTCGGTCTGCTTGTCCAGAGGTCGACCTTGTCGTAGCCTGAGCGAGCGGACAACACATCAATCCACCGCAGCAGCACTCGAAATTTCTTGATTCATTGTTCAGCTCGAGTCAAAGGCCCCAAGCCTCTCGGCGGATCTTGTCTAGCACACAGGTCTGTGCAGGATGGTGAGCTGTCTTGACGGCATTGGTGGGTGTTGCCTGTCAACACTTGACCCTTGCTGCCTACCCGCTTCCTTTCCAGCGACGGGCGGCATGGATGACAAGAAATGAATTTTACCTTCCCCTCCGGACGAGATCATTCGCGAGGCAACTTCAATCTTGTCCCGGTATCCATGCAACCAGCTCGTTGACGGCGGTATGACCTTCCGAGCAGGTACACTCTTGCCTCGCCTGGGTGGACCGCTATCTTCTGACGGGGGTGCCATCCTCGGTCTTGCCCCTGTTTTCTTGCCTACATTTCCGGGGGTGCTCTTACTTGTTCCATACGATGGAAATGTGGCTTCTCAGACCCACTCCGTTACATTTCCCAACGCCATGAGCTGGAAATCTGCAGCCATCGCGCTAGCTCGCTTCACAGAGCATGAACATGCAAGACCCATCCAGTCTCCCCCAAGCGTCTAGAGAACAGGGGATACTTGGGCAGAGATGCTTGACCTGGACGGCTCCCATGCTGGCTCTGGTCCATCCACGCCAGAAGACGCCCATTTGTGCAAGGCCGGACTGTCTGCACTCGTTATGCTAAACCGGCGCCAAGCCAGCAGTTCTCAATGCCTGCTTATCGTCAGGGTTCGCCGGTTGTCGATGGCGATCGAGGCGACCGAGGGAAGCATGAAGCGAGCATCCTCTGCCCGTCCTGACAACCTGCTAGGCCCACATGGTTTGCTGTTGGACTTTGCAAACATCCTCGCTTCGCCGCGCGGCAGGGAAGCGGATCGCTTGTTCCCCATATGATCAGCTAAAGGCATTATTCCTCTGGGATCTATCACGCTGAGACCTACCCCGTCTTGCCACATCATCGAGGCCAGGTCTGCCGACCCGAGACAGGACGTACCAGACTTATCTCTCGAGAGTGCCGTGCCAACTGACTGCCACCATAGTCACGTTGTTTTTAGGTAAATTGCGACGATGGTTTTGAAAGACGAGGCTTAGGGTCTCAAGTATTGAGACCATCTCCGCGTGTTGGCTAAGTTTGTTGGGCTCGTAAGGGTTTCGCTCGACATCCAGGCACTCTAGCACCCCTCCCCCGGGCAGGGCTCCCCTCAACGCGACTCTCTGACCTTGGCCTCTCCCATGGGCTTCTGCACCACACTTTGTGCGAGTGACTTGATAGTCAAGATATCCTACGATTTTGCCGTGCTCAGAAGAGAAGGGTAAGCCTTGGTTGATGTGTCTTTGGCCCTTCACCGGGTTCGATCAACAGTCTTGGGCAACGCATGGCACCACTCCCATCGTCTACTATTAGGTGAGCACAGTATTCTAGCCTTGTACGCTGACCTTTAGCAAACGGTTCTGCTCATGGCCCTTTGTTGTTCCCGGCCTGGGATTTTCGTAGATTTGTGACTGATACGCACCATCACACGAGCCAGCAGGACATGTTCATGCCAGCGTTGACGCGTGACACGCTATCAATACCAGCCGCGCCTCTTCACAGATGGGGTTATCCAACCCCTCGTCTCCAGCTCACCAGCCAGGATGGAACTCAGCTACACATAGTTCACCTGCGTCGATACCGCGCACTGCACAGAAGCACAGAAGGGCCAGAAGACTTGACCGTCCTGGACCATGACCGTCCTTGGCCGAGGTCTGCAATGCAATGCAATGCCAGTGGAGGTGGAGATGGAATAAGAGTTGGGACCGAGACATGAGATCAGAAATGTGTCTACGGAGGTTAGCCACGGCATGACATGATCTCTCGACGTCGAGGGCACAGTTGCCGCTTGAGACTGGACAGAGGATATATCTTGTCGAGTCCGTTGGGCTGGCGAGTGGCAAGGATACCATCCATGGTATACTTATACTTACTAGCAAGGGACACTGGTAAGTTTATTTTACCCTTTCCACGACGCCTGAGTGCGTTCTTGTCGTTGTCGTTGTCGTTGTCGTTGTCGTTGTCGTTGTCGTTCTCGTTGTCGTTGTCGTTGTCGTTGTCGTTCTTGTTGTCGTTGTCGTTGTCGTTGT